CCACCGCGGGTTGTGTTTGCGCGGTTTTGTTTGGGGACTGGGGGGTGGCGGCCCCCACGTTCTGCCCAAAACACCACTTTGGTGTATAAAAAAAACCCCCCCCCCCCCCCCCCCCCCGCCCAAACTCTTTTTTAATGTAGCTGAGGACCGAGAGTGGGGAGGGGGTGGATGGAGGGTCACTCACGCAACATTTGCCGCACCCAAGATGCCAACCCGGATGGGGTTGGAGACCTTCGCCGGGACGCTGAACCCACCGAAGATCTGGTACGTGCGGTGTAGGAAACCGAGCATTTCGGCGGCTTCTCGCGTATGTGGAGTGAAGCCGACGATGGAGAATTCAGTTTGAGAAAAGTTTTGAGTAAGGGACACTGGGGACGAGAGAGAACGACAGATCAATAATCAAGTGTGAGCGAGAGAGAATCTGGGACAGGCTTTGCCCATGAAAACGGAAATTTAAATGTCGACCTCCTGTCGCCATCGGGGTGCCAATTCCGGCCGGTGCCGTACGCGTTGGCCACATTCCGGTAGAACAGTCCGCAGAACATTCCGTGTGTGGGTGGAGAGGCGGAGTAAATATCAAGCCGGAGGAAATATCGTGCCGTCGGTGGTTGTTACACACACGCCTATTATAAATCATCATCATCTATCCGGAGGAATGTAAGGAGAGCTCTGCTGAAAAATCTTTCTCTCCAAATCAGCCCTGCCGTTTGCATGGCGCCCTGGTGGTGATGATATAAGTAGCAACGGAAACAACGCGTACAGACCGGGAAGGACGTTCAATATATTTTCGCCTAATATATTTCTTCATCGCCTGAAACTCGGCCAGGTTGTATTTGCTCCCTCCCGCCCAAGTCCCGCTCCTTGACGCGGCCTCGGCTGCTGGAATTCCGTCGGTAGTTAATGCCGTAGTCGTTACGTCTGCTTGTCGGCCTCGAATCAGATCCTGCTGGCTGGTACGCGCGTGCTGTTTGGTCTGGCACTCAAGGGGCAAGCGCCGCGCATATTTCTGCGGACGACGACGTGAGGCACACCGTACATATGCGTGCCATCGCGTTATAATTACCCCCTCCCAGTTATCTGCACTAGACTAACAAAATCACAGCGATATTCTTCTCGTACTAGGAGCTTATCTGATTTGGAAAATATACCAGGAACACCAATGTTGCAACGCTCTCTAGCATCCCTCTTTCCGGCGCATTTGAGCAAGCAGAACAGCATCTGGATGAACTCTGACGTCATCAAACTGTTCTACACACCCTAGCACGTACAATTAATTACAGATTCCACCAAGAGATAAATCTTCGGTCGAGGTTTCTCGCTCTTATCCCAACGCCCACGAAATCCATGAAGCCAACTCAACCTAATGATCGTTTTCTTCTCCCCCCTCCTCATCGGAGGAAGCTAATAAAGCCTCTTCCTCTCTTCGCCGGTCGTCTAACGGTATGTCATCCTCCAGTAATTTTCTATAGCCCCGCTTTCTACATCTCCGGAAGACAGACCTTATTCCAAGCACAATCCCAACCAGGGTAACGATAACAAACGACAGCGAAACCCATGATCTCCAACCCCTGAAACAACACGGATACAGCGACATATAAATCCCCACACCCCACTCCATCCAGCCTTGTCTACGCCTCCGATCCGGCAGAAGCCCCTTCCGTACCAGGTGTTTGTGTCGAGGACCTGTCGGACCCGACTGAAAGCGCTTGAGTCCGAAGTACGGCACAGTTTCCTGGCGCGGATCGGAGTCTGGGTACTGGACATCCCCCCAGCGGCCGGTGAAGTAGAAGAAGGACGTCGGGTTAGAGGATGGTGGTGGTGCGGAGGACGAGCTGTTGGGAGGAACCAGGCTGGTCACCGTGAAGGTGGCGGGGTCGAATCGGTAGAAGTACGCCGAAAGAATGGGATCCCACTTTTGCCCTGCGTCGCAGTAGTCTACTAGGGCTGCGTTGTGCACTTGGTCACTGGGAGGCTGGGTTAGTGTGGTCTCGAGGACGGTGCTTAGGGGCCAAGTAGACCTACCCTGATGCTGGGTAGTTCGCGTGAGAGCCACGAGCGCTGTAAACAAGAGGCTACAAAGTGGGTAGTAGGGAGATTAGGACATGCGTTCAGATAGTGGGAAGCTGAGGCTTAACGTACCCGTCCATCTGCCTTGGAGATGATCGGATCATCCCAACCATAGGCTTTGCCGTCAACATGCTGACTGTAGTAAATGCCAACAGGTTTTCCATCCCGGAAACGAACCATATTGTGCTCCCTTTAGAATAATCAGTGATCAGCAATATCCAGAAACCCACGTTGTTGTTTGAACGACTGACCAGTCTCCAATGTGATTTCCAAAATGCATCCCCGACGCTGCCTTGCCACCACTCACCAAACGGTCGAGCGGCTCTAGGACTTGGGTGATGTTTGGTCCTTCATTATATGAATAGAAATAAAAATAAAACGCATCGACATCTTGCTGGCTCTTCTCAACCACAATCACAACACAGGGCGTGGCGTTATGGAGCTTGCCCGTCGCGTCTGGAGCCTCACCGAAGATCCATGCTGGGAACGTGGTGGGATCCTCGTCGGAAGTGAGAGCGACATGATCTCCGGACTCGTTGAGAATGTCTAGGTTGTCCAACCCGAGTGAGGGAAGGCCACGAATTGGCTCTCCGTCTAGAACCGGTGTTGTGTGGCGAACGTGAGTAAGTAGGTCGCTTGGCTTGTATGGGTCGTCTGAATGCAGCCATACAAGAGGCGCTAGAAGAGTTCGTTAGATCTCTGGTGGCATTGCACGCGTTTGGGTCATGATGTCGCCAACAATTGACATACCATGACTTGCCACATAGTCTGGGCACCTGAGGTCTGGCTCGGTCCCAGCGGATATTCCGAGTAGGCCGATGAAGAATAGGTGCCTCAGCATGAATGCTTGAGTAGGCGGGGCCCCAGTCATCTCAAAACCCGCCTAGTTCCCTGACTACGTGGTAGATCGTGGAAACAAACAAGTTCGTGTAGACGCGACACATACAATATGAAGGGCATTGACGCTAAATCAGCACCGGAATCTTCGGGACTTAGGATCAGAACTAGACCCACTATCCCTAAGTCCGACCCTTCCATCCCCACTATATCTTCTTAGAGAAACCATCCCCGCTAATTGCAAGTAACGGGGCCTATTATCCCTGGTTAAGACTCTGCAAGAAGACTGGACCGATTTGCCTCTTTTTTTGAAAAGACGAGACTTAGAATGTCATTGTATCAAAAAAAGTGTGCTGCAAAGCAATAGTCTCTTTTCTTGCGTTTAGAAGACCACATTAACTAGGACACCTTCCATTGATAATCTTGAATCTGTCGATTTTGACGATCTCTACATGTTGTACTTCCAATCCACACTTTTCCAACCCAACTTACTCAATATCCCCACCTCTAACTGGCCAGTAAGCCTGCCTCTTGGCTTTCGCTGTTGGCTACGCCTTTACTCCTCCTCAACGCTAAGGCTGCCTTGCTCGTGGCCAAGGCACATTCCATGTGTCCCCAAGTAATGATATAGATGCGGGGCTTAAATGGATGCTTCCTCCCCATTTGCTGATTGGCCATCAGCCGTCAGCCTCATTCTCTGACCGGGATTCCGCATTCGGAATCACGTCTGCTTGCGAGGCTGGTGATCCTCCGCACTCCCGCGTCAAGGGTATACCGATGGATTTATGACAAGGTAACCACGAGTGCTTGAATAAACATCTAGCGGCATCTCTTCCTTGGGACGAAGGAGTAGAGATTACATGCCCGTTATCAAATCAGGCTTCGTGGATCAAGAGATCAAGAGAGCGTTACTGACAATATCACACTGAGTTCCTACCTAATCATGGACGTTCAAGGCCCTGGACAAATTTCTGCGACAAATAATCCAACCAGGTCACTTTATTCGTACGAGAAGCTCGGAAGCAAAGATGACCTCCGCCTCGTAACCATTCTGCCAGCCGCCTTCGTCAATGACATAGTTGTTGATAGATCTCACACCCCCCAACTGCCTCCGCAACAACACTGCACGCCAAGGATGACTCTACAAGAACTGGCTGAAACGTTACCTCCCAACTGGGAAGTGCTTGAAACCTTGGACAATCGCTTCATCTTCAATTATGAGGATCCAGGAGGCAGCAGCGAAGACGAGAAGACATCCTGGGTCCACCCTACCGTAACCTTTGACCGTTCTCTCTATGAGAAAACGGATCGTGATCAAGTTCTCTACGTACCTAGGTATGAAGCCTTGTCATATACCTGGGGGCCAATGCAGGCTGAAGCAACGGCGTATGTGAAGGTTTCGGGTGCCTCGGCAGCAGCATCGGCATCTCCTGGGACATCCTTTGGCCGCCTCCTCATCGGCAAGAGTCTCGCATCGGCCATTCGGCATCTGCGCTTCCAGGACAAGGAGCGTGTTTTATGGATTGACGCCATCAGCATCAACTAATCTGACATCAACGAGCGGGACGAACAAAGTCCCACGCACAACCGACATATACAGCCTGGCACATCGGGTTGTCGTCTGGCTGGGCCCTGGCACGGAGAACAGCCGACGCGCGCTAGACACGTTAGAACACTGGGGAGTGCAGTCTGTCCATACCATGGACAAGTGCGTGATTTCGCCACCTGAGGCCACGGAATTGCACTGCGGGAACTGTCGCACCGATCTGCCGTACAGTCAGGAGACATGGTCGGCTATTCATCAGCTGCTATCTAGGGACTGGTTCGCACGTCTCTGGATCATGCAAGAGATTCAGCTCGCAGAGGACGCCATCCTATACTGCGGCCGCGACCACGTCCACTGGACACACTTCCGGTCCGCCCTCCTGTGTCTCTGGAACAAGCAAGAAATCCCCGCTTTCTTCCCGCGCGAGAGACTGGCCCTCGTCGAGCGGCTCGCATCGCCCATCCACCTCAGCGCCCCGATATCTAACACCTTCACGTGCGCCGACAGCCGCCGCTGCAAGGACCCGCGCGACCTAATCTACGGTTTCGTCGGGCTCCTCCCGCCGTCGTTCCGCGCCAGGATCCGCCCACAGTACGGCCTGCCGGTCGGGCGGGGCTACATGGAGACGGTGCTCGCGCACATCCAACACGTCCAGCGTTTGGCGCTCCTGCGCTCGTGCTACCTCGATCGACGCGTCGTCGTCAACACGCCGACCTGGGTTCCCGACTTCTCATCCCCGAAGGTCGTCGCCAGGCAAGCCGCCTGGCAGTTCGCCGCCGGGTTCTCGAGCTGCTGGGCCGAGTTCTGCGCTCCTGACGTCCTCAAGGTGGCGGGCGTCCGGTGCGCGACCGTCAGGAGCTTGTCCCCGCCGATTCCCAGCGATAAGGTCAATGTGGAGTCCGCCATCCCAGCGCGGCTGCGGACGATTAGGGATCTGGAGCCCGAGGATCTGCTGACGGCCCCTCCTTACGTGATGGGCGAACCGTTCAAGGTCGCGTATGCGAAAACGCTCATTGGGAACTACCTCCACGAGAGATTCCCTCTCCAGACCCTGCCTGATCTGGAGACTTGGGTGGCTCAGGAGTCGGCGAATGTCATGTTTGGCGAGCTTGCGAGATCGACCGATGCCGGAAGTGCATTGTTGGCCTGGCATGAAGAACACGCCCAGTCACTACTTCAGGGGCGGCCGTACATGGCAACAGAGGAAGGCTACGTTGTTTGGGCCCACCTGGCGCCGAGAAAGGTAAGATCAACCAGACGCCACCACCTGCTTCTAAGGAGTCTTTTCTTTCCTTTTCCCCCTTTTCTCTCTCTCGAGATACTTTTGATACTAGCTTCTCTTTTCTCCTTCTTCCTTCTTTTTGTGGCAATAAAGGAGACCTCATCTACGTCATCCTCGGCTGCGATTCGCCAATGCTGCTACGGCCCCTACCAAACGGATCCACCGTAGTCGGGGAATGCTTCGTGTACGGCCTCAACGACGGCATCGCGCTGCTGGGACCGTTCCCCGAGCACTGGCGGGTGCAGAATCTCAACGATTTCACGGGTCAGTTTGGTACCTACAGTTTTTTCAATGCCCAGACTGGGGCGCTTTCCGACGAGGATCCCAGCCTAGGACCTCTCAGGGGCTGGGAGAGGATGAGCGTTGTGAGGACGGGAGACGATCCGGCCACGTTCCAGTGCTTCAGAAACAATATAACTGGGGATGTCATCAAGTCGGATCCAAGGGTGAGTCCGGAAGGTTTGGCTGCACGCGGCGTGGAAGTCGCGACATTCTCGCTAGTATAGGCCCCCTCGATGGTGCAGAGTTTACTATTACTTGAAACTAGGTAGGCTTGTTACAGATGTTGAGATGGGCATATACTTAGGAGCTTAGCGCTGTCTGCACTTGATGGACAAGGGTTATACAAAACAAGAGAGAACTGAGTTGTCTTCAGTTAGCTTGGGATATCGTGTGCCCAGTCATGTTGATAGCCGGGCTTTATATACACTACTCAGGGTGAGGCTTTGTAGCCTGTTCTACAAGTTCTAGGTGAATGGAGTAGTGCCGGACGCCACGGTGCCGCAGAGCGAGGTGTGCTGGCACTACGTGAAGGGGACTCGCAATTTGGCCCCCCGATCCGACCTTGCAGGCCTCCTCTTTCAGTAACCTTCAAAATGGCCCAGGCATGTCTCGTTACAATCACGTCTTTGCATGTGCCAGACGCCAAATCGAGAGGCTGAATACTGTCCATGGACCTCGAATTACGTGTGGCATCATGTACATTGTCTAGCTCCCACGCCTCTGGCGACTCCATGCATCAGAACGTCCAAGTTCGACCCCCCTGCATACAGCCATCACTACCAACCGCCATGCTATCGACCACGAGTATGCCATGAACACGTCGGGGAACCCTTCGTGTTTATCATCGGATCCACAAGTATCAAAGCCTTGTTGCATAGAGGTTGGCCTGCGACCTCACCCATTCGGTATCGATATGCCACTATTATTCGAGACAAGCTAGATTGGCGCTGTGTCCTGTTTCGTGTGGGTTTGTTTTTCTTGGTCCCGCCCCATATTATCATTACTCGTTGGCACATATTGTGGCGGAAGCTCCATCGTCGAATGCCAACTACGCAACCACGCCAGCAGACGCATATCAGCAAAGGTCATAGTTACCGCATTGGACAAACCGCGGCGCAAAGCTTATTTGTGTGCATATCGACCCCTTGCTGCATGACGGAAATCAGAAACTCCTTCATGATATAGGTTGTATGGTGCCAGCAGATTCTAGAGCTTTGAGATCTGGGTCGGGAACGTTCTTGACCACCAATGATGCATTCGAGCTCGTTGGCGGGAGACCAGTAATTATGCATAGAGAGGGCGTAGTGCGAGAGGGATTTCGAAGGAAAACAAGAGCCGGGGGGAATTTTGTTTCGGTAAATTGTCGGTAATACCGTATAAGTGGGGCCCGAAAAATGAATGATCAGGTGATTCAGGTCAGGATTACGAAGCCTTTCGGAGGGCCGCGAAACTAGTCACATGACCTTACAGCTGACTTAAATCCCTTGTGAAGAATGTGGCTTGAGAATGTGGCCTGAGAATGTGGCTTAAGGATGTGGCTCAAAAATGTGGCTTAAGAGCGTAGCTTGAGGAATGTGGCTTAAGAATGTGGCTTCTTGAGAATGTGGCTTGAGCTACACTATGTGCTTAACCCAAGAGTCAAAGTCGGCCTCAAAAGGTACATAATGTAGACCCTATCTAGAGTCACAAACGTTAGCCTAACAATGGTCAAGTACCGAAGGCAGAAGCAAAATTAATATGAAGTGACTAGGTACCTCTACTAAGCTGCAAAACTCGCAAATAAGGCAAGTACATGTACTCACCTGTCCCGGGTCACAGCGAGAGGATCGGCAGCAGAGTGGGGCTCGCTTTGCCCTACCTCAGCAGCCCATCCAATCACTAATCACAGGTCCCTGGCTAGTCCTATTCCAATGTTTCGAACAACCTTTTTTGGGTTTGCTTTGCGTGGCACCACCTGAAAGATTTCTCTAGTTGGGCGCTAATGCACGAATGATCCTTCTCTAGCTGAGCTGGCTCGGCTGGCTCCTGCAGGTCCCAATTTTAAAAGGCGCATCGTCGCCACCCCGCGCACGCTTCCTCCCGCAACTTCGCACCACCGACACTCCTTGACTCGGCGTGTTTTCCATTCCTTCCTGCGCTTCGTTGTCTTTCTCTGCGACTCACTCGCTCTCTCTGAGTCGGAACGCATCAGCTGCGACTGTGTCCGGCCACTCTCTTTTGCAAAACTCAACAAACTTGGAGAATTTCCTTCATTTAGGCAATCACCAACGCTCCTTTCGACCCCATTCCGCACGCAGGCAGGATTCCATTCTTTGGGCACAAGTTCCCGATTCTGATACCCGCTTCCACGAAGTCGTACGCTCTTTGGTACACATAACGATATATCTACAACGACAACTCGCAAAACATGTTCGCCGTTATTCCCTTTTCCCTCGCTGTCGCAGCAGGCGCTGCGGCAAAGGCTGTGTGGACCACGCCTCACGATAGCTACTCGTCCTCGGTCGGCGTGCTCGGCTGCAAAATCAATACGAACCGCGTTGCCTACTGGCCTGGCTCCGTTGATTGCAACAACATCTGCGTCAAACTAAGTTACAACGGCCGCTCGGTTCACTTGCTGCGGATTGATCAGTCTGGAGGCGCATACGATGTCAGCTACGACGCTTGGAACTACCTGCAGACTGGCAAGCCTGCTACTGTCGACCCCATTACCGGCGGCTCTGTCGCCATGGAGTACGAGGAGGTCGATGCATCCGAATGCGCTTCCCTCATCCACACCGACGGTCACAAGCTCCCGCTCAGCGCTTCCAACAGCATCAACTTTCTCAACTCCTGCCTCGCCCAGGAGGGCAGCTGGGTGGCAAGCAACCATGTCCTCTACAACATTTGCGACCCCATCTGCTCCCTCGGTTTCGACGAGACCTGCACTCTCGACCTCGCCGTCAGCAACCAGCCCAGCTGCTCCCACACTCTGGGCTTGACCACCCCGCTCGCCTCCGCCCCCGTCTACAACGTCCAGTACGACTCCGGCAAGACCGTCGTGGCGGGCTCTGGCGAGGCCGCTTCCCCCGGTGTGGCCGCGGCCGCATGGGATGGCGGGAATGGCGGGGACGACAGCCCGGCTGCCGGCCCATCGGCGAGCGCGCAACCGACCGCTTTGCCCGGCATCTTTATGCAGGTTAGCAGCAGCAGCATCGAGGTGGTTTCCTCTGTCCAGAGCACCACCGTCAGCCCAGCCAGCGCAGATGCACCCACTACCTACCCGGTCGCCACCCCCGCCAGCAGCAGCAGCAGCAGCGGTAGTGGTCAGGAAATTCCAAGCTCGACAGTCCTGCCCGCCACGAAGACGGCGCAACCTATCTCGTCTTACGGCGGGATTGCTGCCAGCCCGAGCAGCGCTGGCAAGTCGAGCACCAGGACGTATACCACGCTGTCGCAGGTCACTGTCTCCAGCAGCCCGGGGACCACTGCTAGCGGCATTGCCACTGGCTCTCCTGTGCCGACCGCGGGTGCTGGGCATGCGGGCGGTAGGGTATCTGCGTTCGCGTTGGTCTCTAGCATCGTTGTCTGTGGGATTCTCGGCGCGTTCTAACCTGTGTGCATTACTATGATGGGAACTCATGATACCACGTGGCTGGTAAACTTAGACTTCAATGTATATATTTTGGGGGCTTCCTACCGATAGATGGAGGAGGTCTTGACAAAAGAATTGATTATCTTGCCAACAAACTCTGTGTTCAGCTTCCATCCTGTGTTGCTAACGAAATACCTGGTTGGCTTGCTGGGTCATGTGGTCGGATATAGGTGTGTGACTCTGACTTTTCTACAGAAAGGGAAACGAAGAATCTAGCTGGCCCACCTGTCGCCGGGGGGAAACACCCGTCGTCATGTATTGCTTATCAAGCGTGAGAATCCGGCATTGCAGTGGAATCTCACTGAGACCCTGGCTAGGTCACTGTGGATGGCGAGGCTGATCGATACTTGGCGGTGACGTGCCACCACGCTATTTCTGGTATGTTTTGGTAGACGCTCAGGGACGTCTTCATCACCCCCATTTTTCATTCGCCGTCCCCCATCGTGGCCGCAATGAATGTTCTGACGCAGTCTCCAGACAGCTGGAACCCAATCAACCCTCCGCTGACGGGTAACGATGACCGCGCGGTCCACTGCCCAACGCCCGAGGTGTACAACATGTGGGTTGCGAATTTGAACAAGCAACTTTTGAACAAGCAACTTTTGAACGCGACCACGCCTCGCAATCTGTTTGGTCCGAACGGACACGCGGGTCTCAACTTCAACCCCCCGGTTCCGATGGAAAGCGACGCGCAGCAACTCCTTTCGACCTTGTCGCAGTTCCATTGCCACCTCGGTACCGTTCAATTCAGCTCCGGGATTGACAACATGTTCTCGTCCGATGGAAAAACCGCCCTCGATTGCGCCGCCGTTCTTGTCGATACCCACCGGATCTCTGCGGTTGACACGCTGTCGAATGTGGGTACTTCCCCTCGTCTTGTCTCCCTCATCCCTATCGATCCGAGCACTCCATCCCCCCTCCCCAATCCGCGCATCCTACGTCTACCACCTCAACCAACCAGGCATCATAACACCTCGCTCTACTATCATGTCATATCCTTTTCCCCTTCTTCCCCTCTTCAGCCCTTCAGTGCTTCAGCAACTAACCAATACCAGGGGCATCCGGCCCCAACAGTAGAACTCCTCATGTCGAACCTCTACGACTACGAAGAGGCGAAGAAGAAGGACATCGTGTTCAAGCACGGCGCCAAAACGGGCACAACCTTGAGCCACAACTCGACCCCCCTCGCGGCCAGCCGCATCGAGACGCGCGACGGCCGTTGCTACCACTCGACCAACCGCACTGCCCTGAGCGCGCTTCGCTTGAAACCGCGCTTCTCCTGGGAGGGCGACTCGGGCGCCTTGATCTATGGCCCCTGCGGCGAGAAGGTAGGTATGCTTGTTGCAGGCGTGCGTGGGGATACGACAGGGATCCGATACGACTCGGTGAAGGGCGAGTACGAGGTGGATCCGCTTGGATCGATCCAGCTGAGCAGTCTGACGCTATACACGCCCATTGAGGAGGTCATGCGCAGCATCAAGGCGCGCGTGGCTCGGCTTGTTCCGGGCGAGCATAAGATCGAGCTTGTTTGATGGCTTGCGCAAGTACACGCGGGAACCGGACCGGGGAACTGGCGATGATGGAGAGCTTGGATGGTGGCTGGAACAGTTGCCTACCTGTCCGGGCGGCCTGCCAGTTGTCCTTGAGAGGGGCTTGTTGTTGCAAAGCTTTAGCCTAGCAGAGAGAGTCTCCGTAGTAAATCCTTCGTTCCCAAAGACAGATTCTTGTGGCATTGCTTTTGTTGTGACGGTTTTTTGGAGTGACTTCTCGACCACAATCATTTCCCCAGCTTCAAGAGCTATTGCCGTTGCCATTGCCTCTCCCATTGCTCCACTCATCCCCCCTCATCATTGACTGCCCCCACTACCATCTGCTTCCTCTTGTGCCATCCAAGAAGGCTCCCCACTCGTTCCCCACCTTACAGAATTCTCTCTCCTTACTAGTTCCTCAAATGGCCGTTTCCAACTCTCCGGATTCCTCGCCTAAAGCCAGCAAATCCCGCGCCGGATGTCTCCTGACTGCTCTGTTGGTGGTACTATCACAAGCAACGGTGGCAAATCATGACTAGCTTCTCGGCTGCGGCCTTGTCGACGACCTCTGACATCATCTGGGGTATACCAGGGTGGGGAATGAATTTCCGGTTTCGGAAGAAGAAAGCGCAAAGGATGGCGCTGATTCAGGGTCGACGCCCTAGCCAGCCTTCTGTACCTTCTCCTCTTCCGTTTTCCCACGCCTTTCCACCTCTTCATGTTTTCGCCTATTTCCCGTCATTTCCTTCGCTTTACAAGCACGCATTTATCCGAATACATCTTGCCCAGGCGACAACGTCAGGGACTAATCACAGCAGCGACAGAAAGAATTACGGCAATTGAGGTGCCCTCGAATGCCGCAGTCGCGTTTGTGTCCAAGGGAGACCAAAACGGGAAGCGGCCGAGTGTTATGGCCGGGCGTCGAGCAGACTTGGGCCTTCCGGATTCCCGGACCCGGTGCCCGGGTGGCCCGTGCATCCGGAGGGTCCACATCACCGGCGCCCGCCGGTCCTGTCGTGAAGCTGCGATTGAGGCTGGGAGGGCGAGGCAATTTAGAAGATTGGAGGGGCGGTTTCACCAGGCTGTTTTGATGGTAAACAGGCGTCCGGAAAGAATATGCCGCAGGAGTTGGCCACCCAGACGCCTTCCACGGTGCTTGATGGCGCAGTCGGCGTTGGAGGGACTATACTTGACCAGCCAGCTCCGGCTTAGCAGCAGTCCTCTCTGACACTCCGTATTTTTGTGAAATAAAATCTGTTATTTCTTTACCTAAGCCGTCTTGTCTTCTCATTGGCAATCACCTTTTATTACAGTCACTAACGAATGGCTTGATGAGGGCTCGATTCGGGACCCTCACGGCGAGGGTTTGGGCTTGGGGTCTTACCGATTCCGGCGACTACTAGGGGTACGTATGGATTACAGCAGGCAACTCCCAGCTATTTTGACGAATCACGACTGCGTGTGTGGTGTTGTGGCGCATGCTGCGCCCCGTCTTCACAGGGGATATGAATGCCTAAGGCAACTACCCCGTGAGCTCCCTGCTATATAAGCCGTCACACCCCCTCCTACCCCTGGCTCTGAACTTGTCCCCCTTTCCTCTCCTTTTCATGCTTTCATCAAAGACGGACTTTCACAACCATCAAGCTAGCAACTGCCTTTATCCTGAGTCAACTGGAACAACTGGAACCTGCAAGTCATCATCTATATCGGATCATGGCAACACTCAGCAGTGTCTTCACCGAGACTCTCCATGAGATCACCACCATCAAGCTCGACGAGCTATCCAAGCGACGAGCCGCCTTTGACGCAACCAAGTCGGCCGTGCTGTCATGCATCGAAAACATCGTCGATCCCATCAAGCGTGTTAGAACTCTGAGTGATGGCGTCAAGAAGTGCTTCTCCATCATGACTGACAAGGGAGGCAAGGTGGTGAAGGACCAGACCAAACATCAACGTCTGGAGACGGAGATCAAGAACCTCGACCGCTTCTTAGCACAGGCAGACAATGACCCCTCCGTCTCAGCGGAGATGATCGGAAGTTGGGAGCGGTCCTTGAGGCGACACCTCGATATGCTATCGCTGAAGTACCAATATGCTTCCCTCTACGGCGAACTGGTGACGGAGCGGCTGGCGGATGGCAAGGGTGCAGAAGAAGTGTTCCGGGGTGATGTGGAGATGGGCGAAGCATTTGAGGATGTGGGAAACGCCACGAAGTTGGAGGCGAGGATGGAGTGGGAGGAGACTGTGTTCAAGTCGGCCGACATCGACGTTGAGGTGCTCTCCAAGTATCTTGGCTGGCTTTTTGGTGTTGGCTCCAAGAATCCCGAAAAAGAAAAAGTCCTCGACGCACTCAAGGAGCTTCGCGACGGAGTGGGCAAGTTTGAATCAGAGCTTGCCAGGCCGAGTCAATTCACAAATCAGACACTCGACTGGGTTATCAACGGGCTCTTGGCGTCCGGCTTGCTCCCGGATGAAAAGCAGCAGGTCCTGAAGGACTTCCTCGGCAATCCGACAATCCTCACCGAGATCGCCCATGTGCTCAACATGCGCCTCAATGCGTTGGACTCGTGGTCTTGGGGCGCTGCTGGAGTCCCAGTGGAGCAGCGACGCAAGATCAGCGGCGTGTACAACATGGACATGCACGAGGACATACTCCAGGCCATCTTTTTGCAGTACATCGGCGTGAAGTGGTCTATATTCATCAAGGAAGCCCTAAAGGAATTTCGCGGATACAAGGGGGCCTGGAAGTCCATGCGCCCTGACATCCCAAGCCTCGACAGGAAGAGGCTCGAATACTACCTCGGCGACATTCCCAGGGGCCCTTGCATACAGACAGCGCGACAGAGTTTGCATCGGAAGAATTTTATGTGCCACCTTCCGGACCATGAGTGGGAACAGGCGGATATTGCAGAGGGTGAGGAGGCGGCCGAGTTTGAAGAATTCGCAGCGGCACAGCCCGAGGCCAGTAAATGCGCAAGAAAGTCGGCGCCCTCATTTATTGGAAGGAGCACCAAGGCTTTAATTGCCCGGGGTGCAGTGAGGCACAGACGAATTATTCAGGAAAAAGACTGGGACGACGAAAACCCTGGATGGGACGAGGAGGACTATGACGAGGATGCGCCCAAAACCCCGATGCAGCGTCAGCAGCGTTTGCTCCATCTGCTCTCCGCCGAGATTGCCATCAACACTAGATTGCATGGGGAGATCACGGCTTTTCACTCGGTCTTCGCAGACTGGGACCAGCTCCTACCCCACGAGACGATTCTGACCTTGATGAGGTTCCTCGGCGTCTCAGACACGTGGCAGGCCTTCTTCGCCAGGTTCCTTGCGGCCCCCCTGAAATTCGTCGAAGACGACGCGTCGACCCCTGCGCGAACCCGACGACGCGGCACGCCATCCTTGCATGCCCTGAGTGACTTTTTCGGCGAGACCGTGCTGTTCTGTCTCGATTTTGCCGTCAACCAGACTACGGCTGGGAAGCCACTCTGGCGGATCCACGACGATATCTGGTTCTGGGCCTCGGACCACGCCGTCGCGGTCAAGGCATGGAAGACGGTGTCTGACTTTGCTCAAGTGACCGGGACGTCTGTCAACGCAGGCAAGACAGGAACTGTTCGCATCGCCCTGGACCCCGACGCCAGCCCCGCCATCGATGCGTCCCTGCCCCGGGGCCAGATCCGCTGGGGTTTCCTGCAGCTATGCCCCCGGACCGGCCGGTTCGAGATTGACCAAACCATGGTAGACGCGCACATCACCGAGCTCCGCAAGCAGCTGCTCCGGAACAAGCGGTTGAGCATCCTGGGCTTCGTGCAGATCTGGAACTCGTACGCCGCCACCTTCTTCACCGCCAACTTCGGCCGGCCGGCCAACTGCTTCGGGCGGTCCCACGTGGACTCCATCCTAGCGACGCACGCGCGCATCCAGCGCAAGACCTTCGCCGGCGCCAACGAGGCAGGCAGCGTGGTGCAGCACCTGAAGGACCAGCTGGCGCTCCGCTTCGGCATCGCCGACGTGCCCGACGGCTACGTCTTCCTCCCCGCCGAGCTGGGCGGCCTGGCGCTGCGGGCGCCGTCCATCCCGGCGCTGCTGATCCGCGACGCCGTGCTCGGGGACGCCGAGGAGCCGTTCGAGGAGCTGCGCAGGTCCGAGCGAGACGCCTACGCTGCCGCCAAGGCGGCCTTCTTCCACGCCGGCGAGGGCGCCGCCGCCCGGCAGGGCTCGAAAAGGGCGCCGCCCGAGGGGGATCGCGATGACCCTGAGGAGATCTTCATGGGCTTTGAGGAGTTTGTGCGCTGGCGCGAAGAGTTTGAGTTCGAGGAGCACGACATGCAAGTTCACGATGTCTTCAGGGTCCTGATGGAGCGGCCGACGGAAGAGAGCGTTGAGGAGAATGGGGGCAAGGTACTGAGTGCGCTTGGCGGGTTGGAAGGTATTGGCGGGGGGATTGCGAAAAGCTGGCGCACCCTGGAGCCATACTGGAAGTGGATTGCGATGATGTATGGCCCGGAGATTGTGGACCGATTTGGAGGATTAGATATCGTCGATCCGGGCCTGTTGCCAATGGGGATGATGAGCTTGGTTCGGGACAAGAGGGTGACTTGGCAGGGGTAAGACGGATTATGTGGGCGACGCCATATGATATTTGGGAACACGTATCGCTTTTATCTTTACTTATCAAACTACCGTGTGTTTGCCAGCCTCGGTGACTCGGGGACCCTAGAACTTGGAAGATGCGGGCGAGTGGCGTAATCCTCGATGTCAACGAGCGGGGCGGCCGGAGTCGGCTCAGGGAAACTCGGCGCCGAGTTTCCTCTTTGGGAGGTATCTAATTATATTTTGTCTCCTCCAGTCAGAAGCCCTCAGCACACATCCACAAACGAGCGACTCTGATTTAAATATCTCGAGGCGGTTGGAATGCTCCTGGAAAGTTGAGCTTATGGAGGACGATAATTAATATTTCCAGATACTCGGAGGAAGTATCTCGCCGGTCCCATGGCCAAAAACAAATACCTGATTGCTTCCCCTGCGCCAACATTGGCTTCCAAGTCACCGATACTGCGCATCATGAGACCAAAGCTATACCTCCAGTTACAACAGCTCTCCGCCGACCAACGTCCGAGGCCGGTTCTTGATGCATTATCGCCTCCAAGGTCGTGGGTGAACATCTGCCCGGACTGGATGAAACGTCACTTTTGGGGCGTCTCTTCCGGTCGGCATGACGCTACAGATGTTCTTTTGACCGAATCAGGTGGCTACGATGCAGACGTCAACGACGAGAAGAAGGACCTGACCACTCCAAAAGTCATTGCACTTTTGCGTTTGAGGACGGGGGGGAGGAGAAGTGGTATCATTCTTGGAAACACGGAGGAGTGGATCGCACATGACCTCCCAAACGGGTCTTACGAGTTCGTCCGCGTCGGGCCTGACGGCGACACCGCCATCGCACGCTGGGCTCTCAAGACTGTATCCACAGAGGGAGCACAAGCCCACCTTCACTCGAGTCGTTCGGCCAGACGTGCATCATCAGTTGTCGAAATCAGCACATCTTCAAACCTGCACCCATGTTTCGTATTCAGCATCATCAGCCCGAAGTCGTGGAGGCATGCCATCTTAGCAGCACTTGAGCGAGACAGGCTCGAGATCAATGAGACGTACATTCCGATGCATCTAAGCGATGGCGGTGACAGTGGCTATGACTTCTCCACAAGCTCTTCTGCGTGTCCTGGTCTGGGAGAGATTGATGACAGAGAAGGCATAGTTGGGGAGGCGACGAAGAAGCTTACCATGGCCACCGCTATCTGGGTCACACTGCGAGTGGGTTGGTCGCCAGTCTACAGATCGCCTATCCAAGCGGTCGGCAAAGGGTCATAACGCGGAGGATACGAGCCACAGAGCTTGTGGGTTTTGAAAGTAGTCGAGATAGCAATTCCCAATGACTAAACCTTCTCTGACAAAATCTACATAGGAGATAATGAAAAGAAAAGGGAGTGTGTATGACAACAGTCTGATTAGAAGCAGAACGCATGGAAATAAGGACTGACTGAGTGGGCTTCAACATCACAAACCAACTTTAACCACATATTTTTTTCTCCAACCTGTAACACGACCAATTATACCCTCGCACGATCCAGTCTCTAGTTAGGCTTCTCCGTCTTAATAAAACGCGCGATAGATCTTTTGCTAGCATTGCTCCAACCATGCTTCCTAGGCACTCGAGCAAGCCAGTACAGGACCAGCGTCGCAGCCGCATTGAAGAGGATATACGCCCAGATGATTCCGTAGTTGCGCCACCGCTGATCAAAGAAAGAGGCCACAGAGGCCAGGAAGACATTCGTATCCGCGAGGGGACAGAATTCGCACGCCTGGTTGTCGGTCGGGTTGTAGACCGCGCCGCCCGCCATCTGCATGAAGGGCCCGAGATATTCGCCGCAGGTCTGCCCGGGAGGAGGGTTCAATCGGAGCAGTTCCGTCTGCGAGCAGCGTATCTCGGCGTTGGCGACGCCGGTGGAGAGCATGGCGCCGATGAGGTACGTGAAGGGTGAGACTCGGTACATGAAGATCCAGAAGCCGGGGAGGGCTGCGGGAGGGGCTATAACGCTGATAGAAAACCAAGGTTAGCCCCACGATCACTTGGCTTGTTGCAGTCATCCCACGCGCGACTCACCCGCAGAATATCAAACACAGCGCAAATAGCAGCAGCGCAGCCGTAGCCCCTATTTCCGCCGTCGGAGCCCCGGCAACAACCATGTCGGCAAACGTCGACTCGAACAGCATAAACGACCAGATGAGGAGGAACATGAGGCCGCCGCGCTCGCGGACCGCGTCTGTGGGCACGGCGTTCCGATCCATGCCGACGAGGTAGTAGAAGGGGAGGAAAACCAGCAGCGCGGCGAGCGTGCTCCAGGGCAGCTCCGCCACGATGTTGGAAAGCACAAAGACGTACCAGCCGTAGGCTCTGGACGAGCGCTCGCGGGCCTCGTACTGTTCGCGCTGGGTTATGAAGTGCGGCATTGTCTGGTATGCCAGGAAGGCGAAGATGACCATCAGCATGAAGATGGCGAACATCTGGTTCTGGAGGCCCTGTATGGATAGCTCGGCCTTGTAGAAAGAGACGCCGATGAATAGACTCTAGGGGGTATTGTTAGATGCCAATTAGGTAGGAGGGAGGGGTGAGCAGGGGAAGGGAGGGTAGGTAGTGTGGCGGGGGAAACTTGCCGTCCCGCCGCAGAGAATCAGTTTCGAGTAGATGTAGGAAGGGGTGCGCCAGTATTGTTCAAACACCCTCTTGGTACACATTATAAACTGCGTTCGAAATGGCGTAGCATATGTCGTGTCGAGGTGGTCCATGTCTGTGTCTGGAGGCGGGGCTGTTGACCCTGCGCTTCCCAAGTCGCTCAGCTGTCTTTGGACATGGCTGTATTCCTGACTATTCCGCCAGACTTCTGCCCAATCCCGATCCTCTTCTGCTCCCGGTGCGGCGCCGATGACCTTGAGGATCCATTCTGCGGGGTTCTCGTCCGATCCGCATGAAGTAGCCCCGTGCTCCTCGAAGTAGTCGATGAGACGTCGCGAATTTTCACCAATATCGCTAAAGTATACGGTTTTCCCTCCCTTTGCCAGTAGCAAAAGCCGGTCGAATTGCTGGAACAGAAGCGCAGAGGGTTGGTGAATGGTGCATAGAATGGCTTGGCCGTTGTTGGACAATTTCCGGATCAGAGTGGCGATGGACCAGGCGGTTTGGCTGTCCAGGCCCGAAGTGGGTTCGTCTAGGAAGAGGAGCAAGTCCGGCTTGGCAGCGAGTTCAACCCCGATACTGAGTCGTTTTCGTTGTTCAACATTAAGACCTAATGATAGACAAGTTAGCCGCATGATGTCTTGGGACTTGCTTGCTCGAGTGGCACCAAGTGACGAGCATGGAAGAGCCGAACACACCTTCTCCCGGCACGCCGATGACAGCGTCTGCATACCGGCCCATGTCCAGTAGCTGAATCACCTCCTCGACATACGAGTATTTTTCTGCCGTCGATGCTGTAGATGGCTGTCTGAGAACCGCGCTAAAGCGTAAAGCTTCCCTCACAGTGGATGTCTCGAGATGGATGTCTTGCTGCTGTACGTATCCCGTCTGTCGCTGGAACGACTTTCCACGTGGATGCCCGTTCACGAGCACGTTCCCACTGACCACGCCCACATGGACTCGGTCCGCAAGGACATCCAGAAGTGTGGTCTTCCCGGCTCCGGTGGCTCCCTGTTGCTTCGTCAGCTTGATGCCAAATCCTCTCTCCTTCCAAGCGCCGATACATACCATCAGAGCTGTTAAGGTTCCGTGTCTTACCCAGCCATCGACGCGATCCAGAATCCGTCTGGGTGTTCCCTTGATGGATATGTCATACGTCAGGTCCTTCCAGTGGAGGATATTATCCCCCGTTCGGGCCACTTTGCTATCCTGCGGTCCAAGGCTGGTGACAACCTGCTGTGTAGACCGTGGCTTGTCGCGAAACCCAGACTCCTCATCTTGTACAGGCGTTGAATCAAGACTCCTCTTGTGGCCGCGGCGGAAAATAAGAATCTCCGCTTTTGAAGGGGACATGAAGACAAACTCGGCAGAGAGTAGGTAGGCCGTCGTAAAGAAGATGATGTAGCCAATGAGGATGCCAAAGTTTCTGTCCTCCGGTCAGCACAAAACAGGTAACAGCAACACCACCTTTCCCTGAACGCACCTCCAGATGTGGAACCGATAGTATCCGAAACCAAGATTGATGTAGACATCTCCGCTCACAAAGTCGCTCCCGGGAGCCGCGCCGGCCACCGAGCAAGTGCGCTCCAGCGCAGTGGCGTCAAGATACGACGGACCCATGGGCACGAACTGGGCACAAGGGAACACGCGGCGGGAGAATTCGTTGGCGACAATGCTCTCGTAGGCATAGGCAATGGGATTGATGTAGTTGATCCATCGCAACCAGCCCTGCATGTTCCGCGTGGGAAGGACGAAACCGGTGTAGATCACCAAGCCCAGTATCAGCATGGCGGCGGGTGTCAGGGCCTGGTGGACGGTCCGAGACGTCTGCCCGACAGTGCGGAGGATCATTGACATTGTCAGGGTGCATGTGAATCCGAACAGCAGGTAGGTGAAGAAGGCTCCCGCGCCGTGCCGGAGGTTGACCATGAAGTAGAGCGGGATGTTGAACGCGAGGGTGGAGAGGATCTTGGAGGGGAGGTCGCAGAGGATGGAGGACACAGCCTCGGCGAAGGGATGGTATAGCGCGTATCTGGACTGCTTCTCGACTATGGGCCGTTGCACGTACAGGGAGAGTATCTGCTAGAAATTAGTTCCCGCAGCTGTGGCGTCGTTTCAGGGGAAGATCCTGACCTCCAGGGCGCTGCTGAGTGCGTTGAACAGGATGGCAAAGAACAGCACCACACATCTGCGGTTCATGCTTGTAGTGTCCGGGGGAAGCCTGTAGAAGACGCTGCCAAGGATGAGGGAGATGGCGAAGTTTCCGAATACGGTGACGAAAAAGAAGGTCTTGTCGCCCCGAAGCCGCTGAAAACCTCGAGTCATACAGAGATGGATCTGCATCGGAACCGATATGGTATATGGAGACTCGGTACGCCTAGGATTTAGGTCAGGAATCTATTGGGCCATGGTCGATGCCACGGAAGTACTGACATCAATGGGGCTTGTTGGGCCTTCCTCGCCCGTCTGAGCATCTCCACTTGCTGTTCTGCAAGAGAAAACTCGTGTTCAAAGGACGTGATATCCTCCAAGAGCCGGGCTCTCGTCTCGCTGGTTCGCCACACCTCTGCGAACTCATCCGGGGTTCGAGGCACCTTGGTTTCGAAACCTGGTTTCACGATTCGCTCCGCAGGGTTTGTCAACGAGGTGAGAAAGTCGGCCGTAGTCTGACGGTCCGCGCAGTGGTAACCCAAGTGTGTGAAGTAGGCCTTGGCCGAGTCTTTCGCGCCGAAATATATTTGTCTTCCTTCGTAAAGAACGGCGACTTTGTCAAAGATCTGCGCAGTCATCGGGTTAGCCGACATGGAACGGATACGTGGGTGGGTAGGCTGGACGTGTGAAAAGGCTTTACATCGTAGGCGAGTTGTGAGGTCTGATACATTGCCACAATAGCAGCTGTTCCGCCCAGCTCCGTGGAGAGTCGGAGGATCCTAACAAACTCCAGAGCTGTGGCACTGTCTAATCCTCGCGTGCTGTTGTCCCAGCACTGGATTGCGCTCTGATTCAACGTCACCTCGGCGATGCTGACACGTTTGCGCTCACCCCCGCTAACCCCTCGGACAAAGTCATTCCCGACCTTTGTGTTCACTGTGTGGGATATTCCAAACATTGCCATAACCACATCCCGAAGCTGCTCGGCGTAGTTGCTGCGCGACACTCCCGGCAGTCGATTCTCCGGCGTGCGAGCGAGAGCGGCGAAGAGGAGGGTCTGGCCGACGGTCAGATGAGGAAAGTGGACATCTGTCTCGGCTTGGTAGATGACTTCGCCGCGGAAATGCCGGTGCATGATGTCCCACGGAATTCCTGGAGAGAGACCTAGTCAGCAAAGAGCCACCCATCGTGCCAGGACGTGCAACGGTTGGGTGGGTGCGAACCTTGATAGTTGAATTGCGACCCCTGATCGAGGTTCAAGCCACTTGTTTGGCCAGAAATGGTCTTCAGTAACGTGGAAACACCACTAAGGAAGAGAACAAGGAAAACAACGCATTAGCGTTGTCCGTGGATATTCTTACAGAGGCAATCTCACCTTCCAGGACGACCGAGCACGAGGAGAAGCTCTCCCTGCTTCACCAACCCATCGAAGTCCTTCAGGATCTGGATCTTGCTTCGTCGACTGGACAACCATTCCTGGAAGATGAGTGGCCACTGCCACATGATATTCAACACATCCCTTTGGTAATCTGTCGAGCTTCCGAATCCGTGAACCCCCAGGTTGCGATAGGATACGCCCACAGCGTGTCGGGGATACTTTTCTGGATCCTGACGAAAGGAATTCAGAAGAGCCTTGGCCCAGCGTTTTGCATTGAAATGAGGCGAAGACGGGTCCAAAGTTGGGTCAGTCGCCAAGAAGGGGTTCACGTCCTGGTGCGAGTTGGAGGCAAGGCTGGTGCGAGTGAAGCTTATCGCAAGTTGGGCAACAGTTTCCTCTTCCCCGTGCAATGATGCAGTGGGGCCATTGACATCGCCTGTAGTAGGGGCGTAGCTGTCACCATTTTCTGGATCAATGGCAGTTGTGGTTGAGTATTCGTCTGAATTAGGATCCATCACGTTGGAGTCCAACTGGTCACCGGCTGAAGAACCAAGGTCGAAAAAAAGAATGAAACTCCAAGACAAAGTTGATACCAAGGTACAGTATGCACGTAATTAATTACATGACATCCAGGTCTGTCGATACATATATTGAGGCATCCATTGGGGCCTCAGCTCGGATTATCGGTTGCATGAGCCCCTGATCCCACCCGAGGACCTGGATCCTGGTGCGAGGATCAAATTTCGAGAAATGAAAAGTCATACCCGACTGGAATGGGCCCATGTATTCGTCCAAAAGCCTCGTTCCCGTTGCTACTAGCATCTCACCGCATGCTTAGCAGGAGCGGATTGGCTCAGGAGCCACACAAACTGCCGCCACCAAGCGCCTTGACCCAGCGCCGGGATTGCCGGAGCTAAACTGAGCTAGGCAGTTCGGCTCCGAGATAAGCCGCGGTTCTAGATATTTACCTTGCGCCCTTCTTCCATCCTCCCTACAGCATCCCAAACATCGAACCCCCATCTTCGGCTCCGATGCTTACAAGCTCCACAAGTGACTGCCGGCAGATTCGGGTTTCATTTCCGCCATTCTACGCTTCGCTCCTTTTTCCATTACCAAGATGGAGGGCAGCACCGAGGGCCACCGAGTTCTCAAGGCATGTGACGCCTGCAAGGCCCGCAAAGTTCGCTGTTCCGGTTAGGTTACCCGCTGCGAGGAGAATGCGTCTTTAGTGGGAGACTTGCTGACTGGGGAATGCAGGTAACCCGGGCCCCTGCACACGCTGCATGGTAACCATGTCCCAGATTCGCAGGTTGAAGATAATACCTCTGCTGACACTGGCGGATAGCAACGGAAGACGGAGTGTCACTTTAGCCGAATGAAACTGCCCCGGAGACAGCAGGGTAAGGAGTAATCCCGTGGTAGGGTAGTTGAACACCGTCCGCTAAAACTCTGCATCGACAGTGGCCACACAATTCATATCTACACCCTCCCCACCAAGCACGAATACGCAGGAGCATTGTTTGACAAGTTCACCAGTAAGTGAGACCTTTGCAGAATTTCCGATCAGTCAACTCACTGAATCCGTAGAGCTACGAGTTGCCACAACTCCACGTTGATCGACTGCTTCGTGCTCGGACTTCCGATGGTATGAGAGGAGATATACAGCTTACATTGAAGGTATGGGACCAATTCTCATGCCTCTGCCTCGACACAGATACCGAAGCTAATTTCGCCAAGGGGAACGGACTCTTTGGCATGTCCACACCAAGCCATACATTCTCTGCGGCATCCTAACTTTGACGCAGGAGGAAACTACAGCCTCAGTTTCTTTTCGGATAGCAGGCTGTTGTCTCTATCTACACGTTTAGGGAACAGCAAAGTGAACGAGTTGGTTAGGCGAATATCCACGGTCATCGATGGCCGCCTGAAGCCAGGCAATGCTGTGTCCACCGGGAGTCTGTCGAGGCAAGGGGCGATGCTAGATGCCGGCGCGGACAAGTGCGCTGCATCAAGATGGATTAAGTGTTTCGTATCCCCCACCTCGCAAGAGCGTCCTATGCAGCTTCTGACCTGACAGCCAGTGTATTTCCGACACCTACATCCATTTTACCCTTTCCTCGACCAAAAATCATTCGAGACCGCCGCCCAGGGCGCCAGCTTCCCAAACCTAGTGAAGCAAAACAAAGCATGGTCTGCTCTGTACCACTCTGTGCTTGCTCTCGGGTGTCAATTCGACGGTGGTGGTAGCTTTGAGCCAGGCAAGGGCAAAGCCTGGAGCCTGTTTTCCACCTCCCTGGCTCTCTTCCCCGACCTTCTCAATCTCCCTGATTCCCTTACCATTCTCCAAGCCTTGGCGGCAATGACCGTCTATGCCTCCGGCATATCGTGCATATCGATTGAGCACGTCATCGCGTCGGAGGGTGCTAGGAGGGCACAGAATCTCGCGCGCGCAAACCTAACTGGCAGCGCTGCTCACACGTTCCGCAAGACCTTCTGGGTCCTCTATTCGATGGAGAAGGTGTCCAGCTTTTACTTTGGGCGAAGCTCTGTAAGATAATCTGGGCAGGTTGTCATTTTCTCTCGCCATGTTTCATGCTGATAGGCCGCCTAGGGGTTTGTTGACTGTGACATTGGGTGTCCGATTCCCAGCGTTCCGGAATCGGTCTTTGGAGACCTCGACTGGTTTCTGACATTTGCGCGGTATTCCCGACTGCTCTCCCGGGCCCTCACGTCTCTCTTCTCCGTTGGCGTCACTGGCAATCCCAGCACCTACTATCTAGCCGCCATTGATCAGCTTAGCTCCGAGCTGGAGCAATGGAGGATGTCCGTGCCTGCTGATTTCCGGCCCGGGGAGCCTCTTCGAGCGCGCAAACTTCTGTGGGACAAGAACAACGAGTCTCTGGTTGTGCAAGCGGCTTACTGGACTCATTATTTCTATGGCAGTTTTCGTCTTATTTTGTGTCGTGCAACCCTGCAGCTCGCCGCCCAATGCGACGGACTGGTCATAATATCACGCCAGGCGGAATGCAAAAGGCTCATCATGGAGACCTCGCGGTCAATTTTGGAACTAACTGCCCTCATTGACGTAGAGCCTTACACCCCTCTCTGGTGAGATATCTTAACCCAGACTGATAGTAGCGTCCGGCATGATAAAGTTCCAAGCTCACATATTGTCGTCAGGATCCTGGCCGGCATGCCAATCATGGGACTATTTGTCCTCTTTGACATGGTCATACAAAATCCCAAGCACCCTGAAAACGCGAGTAATTTGGCCTTGCTTGACGTATGTGCCGGGCATTTCAGCCGCCTCGAGTACGCCAGCGGCGGCTCTCTTCCCGGCTCGCTCATCGCAGAATTTGCGTCCATTGCGAGGGAACACGTCAACAATGTTCGCTGGAGCGGCTCCGGAGGCCCAACGCAAGATAATACCACATCCTCTTCGACCTGGTGGCAGAGCTCGCCAGTTGTGCCGGCTCTTCAAGTTGAGTCGCACGGTAGAGCTCCTGTCGGCCAGCTAACTCCCGACGAGCAACAGGTTGAACTACCACTGGTGAGGCTACACTCTTCACATTCCTGCTCTAATTATGTACCAGTTGATCTAAGACTCAGAGACAGACTCAGATGTCGCACACCGAGTTCGAGGGCCAGAGCTCTGTTTCTGTGGATGACGCCTTAAGCTTCCCGATCAACAACACCTGGTACGGAATCGACGACGAACTTCTTGTTGGGACAGATATTATGAATTTATTCAATTACATCATACCTGGGATAGATCCAGTGTTTTGTCAGGGTTTGGCCGAAGAGAATGAGTTTACTGGTAGCCGTTGGTAGCTTGGTAGTTCATTCTCGTTAAACTAACCACCCATTCACCTTCGCTGCTACGTCTGCTGCCACATATCCTAACTTGTGGGATGATTCCTCCCATGCACTTTGCCTTTCCAGAGACAACTAGATCATCACACCGGATTAGAACCATCACATGATAGTAGTGACTGGCCGATTGCTGTCCAGCTCGAGACCTTCCTTCATCCGGTTTCTCCTCTCGTCCACCCAGCTCTTCCACTTGGCATGCGCTTGCTGGCGCTGTTCTATAAGTTCTGGTGTTTCTCCCCAGTAATTCACCTTATGCTCCCGCATGAGTTCGTCCATGTCGTATCGCTTATACTCGGTCCCATTGACAAGAAAAGTAATGTCCTCCAGCACGCCTTCGTACAGAACAGTCCCATAATTCATGGTATAATAGTTGAGATACAAAATCGTGTCGAGATGTTGTATCATGTAATCGGCAAGCCGTTGCTCGGCGGGAATCGAGGCATCATGTGGTCCGCAACCATCTTCCCCAGGCCTCACTCTTTTGTCGTACCCTTTGTCCCCCCAGATGATGCTCTTGTGAACGGCACCATCTATAGGGGCAACAATGTTGACGACAACCCTCTTGACCGCGTATCGAGGTGTAAGGCCCTTCTGCATTCCAGACCGTTTACCTCCTAGGTAGCCCGGCCCATCTGTGAGCACCCCGGTCAGCAGCTTGTGGAAGGACCAGACGGCGAGTGGCGGACCCCCATCGCCGGGACTGAAGCTCAAGCTTCCTCGGAAGCGCTTGTCAAGGTCCTTGGTGGGCTCGAAGAGTCGAAACGAGGCGTGGATAGAGTCTATATACTGCGTCCGGGGAAGTGCGGGGATGGTCCAGGTCGTCCAAAGGCCGTAAAACTTGAGATACATGATGTCGACATGGTAGCTGGTGGTGGTGGTACGCTCAAGGACGTCCTTGACCTCGGCATGGATCTGTTTATTTACCAGGAGGAGAGGGAGAGCAGGATTGCGCAAGGGCAGTTGCCAAATCCCAGCACCACCGAATGCGTCTTGAGACAGCCTCTTGCGTCCCTTTTGGCTAACTGCGGGACAGGATGGCTGGTCAGCCAGGGAACAGATTGCCTCCCTAAAGACGCTGAGCCGAATCTCGAGTGGGATTTGAAGGAAAGCCATAGCTAGCTTCATACACAGTGTGACTCGGTTGTGGTTGTGATGAACTAACTTTGGTCACTGGCTCACTTGGTGGGGTGCCGGAGGCCTAGGGTTGGAACTTAATTGTGCCCGCCCCCACTTATATGGTTCGCTTCAGGGCGTTCCTTCGGCTTACCCACTATCGAAGCAGGATCTGGTTTTATCGCACCGCACCCCACTCGGCCCTCACCCACATTTGCGAGATTCTCCCCGCGCGCATGTGAAATCCAGGCGACATTCCTCTCGACGAAGACGGGCTCGGGAACGCGGAATTCAACAACCGGCACAAGGACTGGGACGGCTACGACTTTGCCTACGAGATCATCTCCGTGTACGAGCTGCGAAAGCCCATCTCCTTCGCAGAAATGAGAACAACATACGGATTCAAGGCGGTCCCACGGGGCTTGATTTACCTACCCCAGGAGATGGGCGAGCGTGTGGTGTGGCGCCAGCAGAAGCCGATCCGTAGGAACGAGGAGACGGGCCTGCCGGGATGGGTCCCCGATCTCTTTGTATTTTAGCAGGAACTATAGTAATGCAATCAGCGGGGCTTCTTTCCTGCCTCCTGACAGCCCGGGCTTCTGCCTCGGTAGATCCTGTACCCAAGAGTCACAGTCCCACTCGAGCTGGTAGTCGATCAGGCAATCCCAGTTACTGCCATGGAGTTCACAAAGACCACGATGTCGCCGTTCCTGTGAAAGATCACCGCAAAGCCCTCTGTCAGCTTTTGGATCCCTTTTGCGGAAAGACTCGTACCAAATATGAGGACGTCCGGCCGGAGAAATCCTAGGTACAGTCTACGTCCTTTTCATGGACATCCTCGGACAGAGAGGACAAAGTCGACAGCTTCCAGACAGTTTAAGATCCATTTTCCGTCTTCGTTCCAGCTGCACCGTCGAGCACAGACTGAGCATTGGAGAAGATGGCCGATGATACCACTCCGAAGTGATTCGGCGGTGGGGCCGTATTTTTTGGGGCCCTTCCCCCGGCCGTTCCGTCTGCGCATAAGCTTCCCCCTTTCCCCGCGTTTCCTTCATATCGATATCTGTTGGAAACGGTCAATTAACTGATTAAATTCAGTGTATGTTCTGTCTCTGATCCGTCGAATGCGGAGATCATCGTAGACCCAGTCAAAATACGGATTAAGAAAGAGGATGGCGTTAAGGTGGGTAGAACTAAATTAGACACGCCAAGTACGGATCTAGATGCAATTTTTTCAACAAGCACGGTGGCGCAGTGGAAGCGCGCCGGGCTCATAACCCGGAGGTCATCCGATCGAAACGGATTCGTGCTATTATAATTAATTTTCATCTTTTTGCTTCTCTCCATGCGACTATAGGTGAGGTTGCCCTTGTTTCTTTTCTGCTCTTCAAACATATTCACTTGTGGGCCTATGACATGGAAATATGGGGAAGCGTTTCTACATCAGTACTAAAGTAGGCTCCTCGACGATCGAGTTGATGAAGTGGTTCTTGTTGCAGTCGGGCAGGCCGTTGTTGACGGCATTAGCATGAAGCGCGTTACCGAATGTGTTCTGCAGAAAGAAGCGGCCGCCGCCAGCCGGAAACGATACTACCGGTGGGAGGTAGACGCGCTATGGGGAACCATGATTGATTACTGGCTGAGAAGCTGTGCCAAAAGGCTCTGATTAGCAAATCCGCCCTTTTTTTTTCAGCCCCCCTCGCCCCCTACTCTCTCATCCTCCCTGGGTGAGGGTTCTAGTACGTTTGAAGGGCTTCTGTAATATTGATAAGACCAGGAGGTAGCAGGTAAGATAGCATCTTTGCACAGCGAGAGAGGTTCAAGTAACTGTGCCGAGGTGCGTGCCTGAGACTCTTCCCATCAGACGACAAAGGCAGTCCATACAACCGTCGCCGATTGTCCGGACGTGCGGCTCAGGGGCTTCGGACTCGGCTGGGTGCTGATTGACTACGCGGGCACGGGGGATCGAGCCCGAGTTTGTACCCCCGATCTTTGCAGTAGAAATACCCCCACCCAAGCTGCAAGGACGAGGCGACCCAGGCGAATGGAGAGGGGGAGTCTTCCAAACGACTGGGAGGCACATAACAGCAGCTCATCTAAGATAACTCGCGCAATCTTGATGACAGTTGGGGTCAATGGTTCGCAGTTTGGCAGTATGGCGTGGCAACTAACTAACTACATGCAAGGTTGAGCAATACACAATACACAGATAAACCTATCAGCTTCTGAACATAATGTACCCTGGCTTTAACCTTTAAGAAGATCCCATGCACCAAAGTATCTTCCAATCAGCAAGTCAAAGGTCGAGGTCCTGGAATGGTGTAGGGCCTTCCACCGCCATTCGGGTTACCCATGGTATCGTAGATGTTGACAAGAATGCCAGGATCGTTCGCGCTGTAAGCTCCAGGGAAGCTAACAAGGTCGGTGCCAGTGCTGGTTCCAGAACCGGTAACGTGGATCCTGTTTTTCCCCGGGTTAGTTTGTGTTTGTGTGGGGTCCATTGTAGAACCGGGGAGTGATGGGGACTCGTCTTACTGTGCGCATTCCATGTAGAACTGGGCCTGGCCCTGCTGCTGGGCGCTGTGGAGGGCGATCAGCTCGACGCGCATGAGGTAGTCGCCGGGCGCCACGCATGTCGGCATGGTGAAGTAGTTCCAGCCCTGGTTGGCAATCATGGTGTCGACTGCCCAGGTTCCGCCGTTCAGGCCGTCCTCGGCAATCTTGAACCACTTGAGCCCCGATGTTCCCGCGGTGGCTGCGTTGTCGACCTTGGCGAGATATGCCATGATGGGTCCTTGCCGCCGCCATCATCAGCTTCAACATCAACACACTGTGGTTTGCTGTCGGATTCACTCACCCTTGTGGCTCCGAGCGATCGGGTTATCCTGGTCATTTGAACCCTGTGCTCCCCCGATAACATGCCCCCACCAAGCGCCGACCTTCGCCCCGGCGGGAATTGTGATAATGGTGTTGTCCTTGAACTGGAGGGCTTTGTTGCAGGCGAACTCGCCATCGTTGACGTTCTGGATGGGGTTGTCGCTGGATGGCGCACGAACGCCCTTGAGCTGGCCTTGGTCCGCTCCGTTGACCGACACCTTCTGGAAGATGGTGTGGCCTGATGCCAACGCCGCGAGGCTGAGGAGGGCTGCCGGAATCTTCATGTTGTCTTCGAGGCTGGTGGTTGATGGTTTAGAGGCGAATGGGTGCAAGTCACGGCACCGCCTTGAGAAAGACGTGCTGGCAGATTTATAGCATCTAAGCATGCGCAAATTGAATATTATTGTCCGAGTCAGTAGCAGGTTTGGCGGGGTGGGCTGATCCGCCCTAATATCGCGAAATTACCCGGTTCAAACTTGTAGGGGCGGCACATATTGGGTCGGCATTTGTCCAGCAACAGACATATTAATTAAGCTGGGGACCCCAGATTCTCATACTCCAGTCATCGGCAAGGCGGAAGTGCAGATGCCGAGGGGGTGCTGCTGGGTTGATTGTCTGACCAGACTTGATCATTTGTCCACCAATGACAGCCACACCCGCGATGGTCGACATCTTGCCTCAACCCGGGAAGGAAGTGTCACACGCTTCAGTGTATGGGATCTCGTTCCGAGTGGCCGACCAGGATTTAGTTTCGCTGGTGCTGACCTGGCATAAGCCGGCTCGTCATAGCCATTGCCCACACCACCAGCCAAGACCTGCAGCTCTCCAATCTCATTGTCGGCGATAGGTACATGTATATCGCAGAGCTGCCTGAGAGATGCTACAGATGCCACGACTCTCCTTCCTTTTGGTAATGAATGGTGACATGACGTGATGTTAAATTGAAGCTATAATTAAACTAAGGATGAGCCCGAATACACCAACTGGAGAACGATCACCTGGGACTTTCAGGCTCGTTCGGCAACGCTAACCCACATCTCCTTCTGCAAGAAGAGGTTGTGATTGACGCTTTGCCAAGGTCTAGTCGGGTACACCAACTGGAAGTCAAATTGCCGCCATAGCTAGGTAGGGCGACGAGCAAGATTTCTTAGCCACGGTTCCTCGGCACCATAACGAGCAAATTATAGGGAACATGGACTTACCTCGAAGAATATCTTGTTAAGTTCCAGGAACGCGATTGGCTTTCCCGCACACGCCCAACGGCCATAGCCAAAGATAAGCTCCACGGTCCGCCGCATTTCCGCGGCTTGATCCTCCCCTGCCTCGGTCCATCTCTCTGGGCGAAACAGCTCTGCATCTTGGCCGAAGATGGACTTCTTGTGGGCCATGGACCAGGTGCTCGGTGCAATACGCGTGCCTCCTGGCACGAACTTGCCGTCGATCATGTCGCCTCCTGGAGGCACCTCCTTGAGGGTGAGACCAACGAAGGGAGGATGGATTCGCATGCCCTCGTAGATGACGGCCTGCGACACGATCAGTACCGGCACGCATTGATTACTTCTCGGCCTTGGATTAATTACTACCTACCTGCAGGTAGGGCAACCTCTCTCCTTCAACACTCTTGATTGGCTTGGACACTCTCCCTGCCCCAACTGCCTCGTCGATCTCGCGGACGAGCTTATCGCGCACGCGTGGCGTGGTCATGATGTACAGCATTGTCGCTCGTATGGCGGTTGCCGTGGTGTCTGAGCCTGCAACGACTTGAAAGATGGCCTCCGTTTCGCATTGCCGCTGGTTAAGCCCATGCCGAATGAAGGCCCCCTGCCGGCAGATTAGTTAGCCACCGACACCAAGGCTTACACCCCTCTACGATACGGGCTCCTCACAATCATGTCTCTTTGGTCAGGTGCGTCCGGACGGAATCTCTCTCCAACGATGTTCCTCGCAAGGCTGTGGGACATTTAGCTCCATGCAAAAAGGTCCACTAGCTAATTGATTAGCGACTCACCCCATCAGCTTCCCCATCCCGTTCTTGTCCGTAGTTTTCGGTCCTGCCAAGCCCAGCACCAGCGGCGACGACATGAGCCTTGCAAGCGCAGGGACTTCGGCTGAGAGGTGCATGACCGGGGCGACTTGCTCAATGATGCCGAGATATCCGTGCATGTCTTTCTCGTTGGCTAGAAACCCAAACTCCTCCCCAAACGCAATCTTTGTGATGGAGTCCAGGGTGAAGTACTGAGCCATCTTCGCAAGATCCAGCGGGACCAGCACACCCGGCTTGGAGATGTACTTGGCCCTGATCTTGTCAACCATGGCGGTGAGCACGCTGTCGACGTCCATCTCGAGCGCCAGGTTCTCCTTCCCGCCGTACGCCGCCGCAGTCTTGGCCTTGAGCTTATCGTGGGCGGACGTGCTCATCAGGCTGAACATGCTGTCCTCATACGGGTCCAGGCGGTTCAGCGCGTACCACGACGACCGCGTGTACCGCGACCGCGCCCCCGAGGTGCGCCGCAGGATCTCCGGGTCGTCGGTGATGAGCTCGTTGGGCCCGATCCGGACGACCGGCCCGTACTTGGCGCTCGCGTCGCGGTACACCTCCCACATGCGCCCGCTGAGCGACGTCCGGGCGATGTAGAGGTAGGAGAAGGAGGCGAGTGCGGGTCCGTTAAAGGCCCGTAACCGGCGCCAGGCTAGCGCGCTGGAGACGGTGTACCAGAGGATTAGGGCCGCGAGGCAGGCCCCGAGCATTTGGGGTGTTCCGAGCTCCATTATATTGCCTGTTGGCATAGTCTCGAGTGAATGAAGAAGAGGGGGGAAATGGGACGAGGGCGGGGCAGAAGGAATTGAAAGAGCGCTTGGCCTATCTCAGTTCTACACTAGACCTTACTCAGTCAGACCCCTGTCGCAAGCAGCAAGTCACAGGGGTTTGCTGAAGATGTGGTGATGCGTTTTGGTTGCTGTTCTTGATGTCACCATGGTGACAGAAGAATCTCTTGACAACACGCCGATGCACGCAAATTCAAGAACGATAATTCAATTCCCTTCAAATGTAGTACAAGATACTCGGTGAAATCAAATCATCCCAACTGTGGTTGAGAAACTCTTCTCTCGATGTGTTGGAAGTGTTCCATTCTTGGCGAATACCGCCTGCGTCTTTAAATCCCGGGTCAACCTAACTCAATACAGTAAAGCGCTACCCTCATAATGCCCAACTACACTTCCCAATTAAGGCTAGATAACTCTCTCTTTTATTACTTATTTCTTGGATGCATTTGGTCACCGGCATAACATCTCGCCATTATTCCCACATTTCCTCGAAGACACAGGCCTACTCTAGAGTTATATCCAAAGCCGCTAGAAATTGTAGAAATCGAATGCCTTCCCTCTCCTCTCTACCTTCCATACTATGTGTGGATCAACATTTCCCAGTTTTATCCATGACTTGGCGAAGAGCAGCTGGATAGAAGCATGATTCCATATAACTGGCGTCAGATGGAGAGCTGGAGTTAGGTGAGCAAGGTAGGTGGCCTTCTCGCAGGGGATGTAGTCGAATTGATTACAACCAAACAGATGTTGAAATGTCGTGAGTATGCTCCCTTTGGATCTCAGGATTCCTCAACTGATTAATTGGGACTGAAGGTTGGGATGCCATTTACCTGTACCGAGGTTTCAAAGGAATAGATATGGCCGAGATGCGGATACTGTGCTATTAGGGTATATGATGTGTAGAGCTAGCAGCTCTCAAGTGATCTTGTCCGGTCTCGCTCGACCACCTTATCCTCCCCAAGCTCTGAAAATCGAGAATATCCGAGGCCTCCGTAAGGGGGAGCTTACCAAATCTCTACACTTCGGGTCACTTCACGGCAGGGGGGGGCCGATCATAGCGACGCAGTCCGCCTCCAATAGCTTGGAGGCAAGTCTGTAGACGATGAAGTCTGAGCTACACTCTCTTAGGCTAGAGACGACGAGGTTGGAACATGGCGTGAAAGTATTTGACAACTGTGATTCCCTTATTGCAGGCGGGGTCAAGGTCAATTTGGCATTTGACTTTGGCTTTGGAAACGTCGGGTGATGTCTGGTCACCCGGAGGGTTGACTCGATTTGTCTGGCGAGGTGGCCAGGTCTCTTGTATCTAGGTTTGAAGCGCTCGACGACGTGGTTGGAAGGAAGGGCGGTATCCCATGATATCCTCTTAGGCTAAAACGCCCGGAAGGCTGCCTTAACAACTCGTGGGGTGGCTTGAACAGCCGGCATGACCCCAAGTGTCTTGCGGGGTGACATGGTGGTGAGAATGCGGCTTGAATGCTTACCAACAGTACCCTGCTGCTCCCAATGCTCTTCGGGGTGGATGGAGGGGGCAGCTTGGACAACAGACTTGGAGGTGCTCACCGAGAGGTGCGTGGGGGTTGCTTTCTTCAGCTTGGTCTCACATTTACCGTGCTATCTTCTTACAATGTCTTGGGATGAAACTATCTGATGGACTGACAGGGTCAGAGTAGTTAGAGCTATCACCTTCATAGCTAACTAGAGCGGTTTTGACGACGATTCACCCTTCGACAATGGCTCTCATGCCTCCACACCCAGTCCTTAATTAACTCCCAGCGGTCCCGATTGTTCCTATGATAGCCCCAACCAGGGGAAGCAAAGACCTCGTGAAATGCAGCCATCCCCACCTGACAACCAGCTCCCTCGCCTCACCGATCCCCTTCACTAATGGCTCCGTCTTACTCACGACCTCCAGTCGAAACAACTCGTTGTTCGTGGGCACCATGACAAGCCACGTGAACGGCAGCATGCTCACCGTCGTCAAGGCTGCCAGCGCAAACACACCCCAGGATGCTCGGGCGCTGCGTCGCTTGGCTGCTGTGTAGGCGTAAAGGAGAAAAGTCCCGACGGCCATGGTGGGAAGGATCTGGTGTCCGTAGTGGTACATGCGGACCCATTGGTGGAAGAGCTGGGGTGCATCCGTGGTGGTGTCTAGGAAGACTGGGACGGCCATGAGGGAGAGTGACATCATTGCTCCTAGGTTGGGGTTGATTAGCATGAATGGTCATCTCGGCGGGGAATTGTAGTTGATTCATTGGTGCAAGATACCTGAGAGAAACGACCCAGTCACCACCGCAGTTGCTCGAGCGCTAGTCGCAGACATGATGGTCTCGGTTCGTGGATAATAATGACGAAGTAACTAAACTCTCCTCTGGAGAACTGGGCTGGTTCTTGGGCAGGTTGCAGAGGGCATCGCAACCGACCCGCTTGTTTAATAGACCCCGTTTGTTCTGACGGAATGAGGCGTCGGAGTATCAACCCGAGGTTCGGAGTCCGCGTGTCGGCGCATCGGGACGACGCCGCCCCTAGCGTCCGAAACACACCACATGCTCTCATCAGACCGCTCAGCACTCATTATAACCCCAATTCTGACTTGGATCGGCCCCTCAAACCGCCCGATTACGGTTTGCCATTGCTCCAACTTACGAACAACATGGCTACTGCCCTCGAAATCCCACCTCCCCCTCCTGGTGCTGCAGAGAGCCAGTTCCTTTGCCTGACCATCTGTGGGTATCGTCGACATGGCATGAGCGAAGAAGACTACAGACACCATATGACCAAAGTCTCTGCACCAATGACCAAAGATCTAATGGTGAAGTACGGCGTCAAGCGATGGACTATGGTGAGGCTTCTCTAATGCAGCGGCCTTCTGGCTCTTCTCCCCTACATCAGCTAAAGCTGACCTTTAAAGATTCACAACACAACAGAGACTCGCGCCCTCATGAGCAGGCTATTCGACCACCAGATGGCCAACTTAGCCGACTTTGACTGCTTCAGCCAAGTTGTGTTCAAGAGTGTCGACGATTACAAGAGGATGAAGGAGGATCCTTGGTATAAGCAACACCTGGTGGGCGATCATGAGAAGTTTGCAGACACAAAGAGAAGCATGATGACTATTGGCTGGATCACCGAGTTTATCAGGGACGGGGAGGTAGTGGATGGGATGAAAGACTGTTGAGGAACTAAAACTGATCATGATTTCAGGCCGCTTTAAACATCGTGACAGAAAATTAGACTACTAATCCTTAAGATGGCCCTGTCCACGGTAGATAAGGATGTAGCCATGGGAAGAAATGTCTCAGCAACCCCATCGAAATGCAAAGCGGCGTCCCCCGAGGAAACCTAGCTCCCACCCCCCTCTTTCCGTTGACCACGCCGACGTTCTTCCCATCATAGGCTCCCTCCTGGTCATCCGCCGCCTCAATCATACCGGCCGACAGATCCAGGTAACTGATGAAGCTCTCCTCTTCGTCGAGCGTCAACTGGTGCCCGCGCGCGACGTCCACCGACAGGCCGCCCGGCTTGATGAAGATGGTGGAGACCCAGTCCGAGTGGGAGCGCAGGAACTTTTCCGCGACGCGCAGGTCGTCGTAGATGTGCGAGGCGGCGCGCAGCATGACGGGGCGGAACCAACCCGGCATGTTGCGGGCGAGATAGTCGTCGATGGTGGAGGAGCTGAGCAGGACCAGCTTGGGCATCTTGGTCTGCGGACCCGACTCCGTCCTGATCTTCTGCAGCGCCTGGATCACGGTAGAGGACAGGTCCTGGCTGAGCGTGCAGCCGGGGATGTTGTCGTTGCTCGTCACGACCAGGAAGACGGCGCTGGTGTTGCGCACGCAGTCGACCATGAGGTCGACGTCGAGGATGCTGCCCTCGAAGACATGGACTTGCTTGTTGTCGATGACTTCGGGGAGAAGACGGTGCAGCTTGGCCGTGTTGCGGCAGTAGGCATGGATTCGGTTGCGGGGTGACTGGAGGAGGTTCTGGATGAGAGCTGAGCCACAGTTGCCTGTGCTGCCGAGGACGGCGTAGGTAGTTGTGGCGGTAGCCATGATAGGAATGCTGGTGGAGATTTGCGGTTCAGAAGACGCTTCACAAAAGGGATGCCAGCTGCTATCGCCACGGGAATATTGGACGAACTGGCCCTGCTCTCCATTTTTAAGCAGGGTGCTTTTCTGCCCTCCAACCCCCGCGATCCCTCTGTCTCTCTCCTTGCCCCACGACCGATATGCTGGGCCGGGCACCCCGATCGTAGAGCCGGATCGGGGAATGCGCCAAAAGTGCCTCCCTGTTTAATAGAGTACCCCGATGTTTTAAGAGAGTGTAACCCTAATATTGCATTTACCAGATGATGTTCCAACCAATCGCTATAAATCCCGCGAATATGCATGCTCATAACAGTCTCGGAGTCCGAAGCATGTGGGTCGCCCCCCACGGATCTTGGCTGCCCACATGGTGTCGGCAATGCTGTCTACCACATCAATATTGTGCATATGCATATCGTCATTGCATCTGTTGCACTACATCCAAAGCTTGTACTACGTTACTCGTTCTTTCCTGCGATACGCGGAATTTGGCATTACCACCGTTAACTCCGGCAATGGCAGCTTCACAAAGGCACCTCCTCCACATCTCGTTTGCTGCTGACTATCCCCCTACACCGACTTTACATTAACATTCGTGCTCACCTAGACACCCGTAGACACGCACATAACATAGCCTTTCTCTGCAGCTACCTTGTCAAACAGCTACACCCCTCTCCACCTTGTTCTACTACCCACCGCTGGAATGTCATACAGGTCTAGCCCTTGATGTTGAAACCGCTGTGGCAAGGCATTACGCAGCTAGGGTAAGGTATTAGATAAGACCAGCTGAGAAGCTGCCCTTCGGTCCGAGGGCTAGTGCACAGCCTGCATCGGGCATTACCTTGTAGTGGCAAAGAGATAAGCCGACACGCCCAATGTGAGACTTGATAAGACGCTGGCACACATTGATCCACCGCGCGCCCTGGAGCAGTCAAACATGTTTCTTCCTGTCACGACCGGGCTTGGAGATGGAGGGTAACAAGAACCGAGGCGGCTACCGCCAGATCAACAAGGCGCTCAACATCTGCGCTTTCGAGGACTATCTCGAGGCCCAACAGTCGCGTCTACCAAAGATCGCCGACGTAGAGCAAATAAGCCCCCGGGTGATTCGCGTGCTGGGCCAAAATGCTGGCAAAGTGAGTTCAAATTCCTCTCCTCCTGCATACATAGGATACTACGCCCAGGGTGTCGTAGCTAACCGTATTTCATTCCTAGTTCACGCTGCAAGGCACCAACACATACATCGTAGGAACCGGCGCCAAGAGACTCATCATCGACACAGCCCAAGGCATTCCAGCCTGGGCCGACCTAATCTCCTCGACCCTCTCCGCCTCCAACACCAGCCTCTCGCACGTGCTTCTCACGCACTGGCACGGCGACCACACAGGCGGCGTCCCCGACCTCCTGCGCCTGTACCCGCACCTCTCCGACTCGGTCCACAAGCACACGCCGGGCCAGACGCAGCAGCCCATCGCCGACGGACAGGTGTTCGCCGTCGAGGGCGCCACGGTGCGGGCGGTGCACGCGCCGGGCCACTCGCACGACCACATGTGCTTCGTGCTCGAGGAGGAGAACGCAATGTTCACGGGCGACAACGTCCTGGGCCACGGGACAGCCGCCGTCGAGCAGCTCAGCACGTGGATGGCGTCATTGCGGGTGATGCGGGCGCACGGGTGCGCCGTCGGGTATCCGGCGCACGGGGTGGTGGTTGCGGACTTGCCTGGTAAGATTGATGGGGAGCTGGCGTCGAAGACGAGGCGCGAGATGCAGGTTATGCAGGCGCTGAGTAGGGTCAAGAGGAGCGGGGTGGGGGGTGGAAGGGGGAAGGGTAGTGTCACGGTCAAGGAACTGGTTAGTGCGATGCATGGGGATGGGCTGGATGATCAGGTTAGGGCGTTGGCGGTTGAGCCGTTTATGGAGGAGGTGTTGAGGAAGCTGGCTGAGGATGGGAAGGTGGCGTTTGAGGTTCGGGATGGGGAGAAGAAGTGGTATGGGATTCAGATTGTGCAAGTGAACTAGCTAGATACAGTATCAAGATAGACACTGTTGAATTGTTTTGCAAAATCCCCCTTCTATGATTTCTTCCAAGTCGAGATGTCCTTGTGCAGGCTTGCATCTAATTATCCAGGCATTAGTTGGGCACTTGGCATGGATTGCAGCCCTGCAATATAAGGTGCGATTTGGCCAGAGAATAGCACGTACGACCATACCCAGTGGAGAACTCGGGATCCCGTCCGCTCTCCCATAGATAAGCCACTGAGGGCCGGATCAGTAGTTGGGTCGGTGACGACCAGCGAATCCCCGGTGTTGTACGTTTTTTTTTAATCCTTTTTGCCCTTTTTTCCACCGTCCGGGCTCGCGTTTCTCGACGGAATATATCAGACTCAGTCTTTACACCGATTTTTTTTTCCAGTTTGGTGGAATGACGCATTCCGGTATTCTATCTCGCGGTGCGTTGGTCGAGCTCAATGCTCTTCCTCTTACACCGAAGCGCAGCGAAAATGGCTCTCTCTACGGAGCTCTCCGTGATTATTGCCCTCAATTGATTCGACTTTATGCATCTGAACTGGAATTTGAGCTTGACCTGGGCTGAATCCTGCAGGGCTTGGCACTCGGAGAATTGCCGTCGGGAATCTCACATCGGGATCACGGCGATGACGGGATCGGGAGTCCAAGCCCGAGACCCGTCCAGGTTCATCGCTAGGTCGGATGAGCTAGACATAACACCTCCAGGCCGGTCCAAGTCCACACATGCTTGCTGCACATGCTGCGTTAACGAGACAGCAATAGCAGCCCAGCATGTCGTTTGGAACCATCTACACCCACAATGTAAGCGATGGATGACTCGCCGTATAATCACCGCTCCCAACTGACACCCATGCCTCTGTTCAGCCCAACCCCCGAACATTCGCCATTTTGGCCGTGGCGAAAGCCCAAGGCCTCAAGTTGGACATTGTCTACGCAGACAAAAAGAGTAACCCGGAGAACTATGAGAAGCTTCTCCAGATCAACCCACTCGGCCAAGTGCCTGTCTTCGTAGGCGCAGATGGCTCCGTGCTAACCGAGTGCATTGCCATCGCACTCTACAGTATGTGCCTTCTTCCTCCCCTGAAATGTCACGCACCCACTGAAGAAGAACAGTCACATCACAGAGCGACACCACGACCCTCCTCGGCGCCAACAGACGCGACTACTACAACATCATCAAGTGGATGTCCCTGGCCAACTCGGACCTGCTGCCGGCCATCGGGGGCGTCATCCTCCCGCTCATCGGCCGACCGTTGGACGTGCGCAAGGACACGCAGGATTGTCTGCGTGCCTTCTACAAGGACTGCCGGCTGATGGAGAACCACCTGCAGAAGAGCAGGTATCTGGTTGGGGACCAGTTGACGTTGGCGGACCTGTTTACCGTGGGCATGCTGGTCTTTGCCTTCATGGTGTTCCACAAGGTGTTGCATGTCGAGTATCCGAGGCTGACGGAGTGGTTCAACGAGGTGTATGAGATGCCCATGTTTAAGGATGTTGCGGGGGATTTGCACTTGTTGGACGTGCCTTTTCCGGCACTGCAAGAGGATAATTAAAGTAGCATGAATGTAGCCTCTCAAACCTTTGACACACATTTCCTCATCAATACCTTCTGGCCCACGTTGTACTTCTTCTCTTGATGTATTTGAGACAGAATGAGCCACACAACATCACGATGACAGCAGCAGCATTGCATAAGCATCATGCACATTGCTAGTTCTGATACCTACTTTCAGAATCTAACACGGCGTAATCATAGAGCGATTACAAGGTATTTTCACGTTCCGTGTTATGAGAAAGACTTTTGGTGTATTGTAATTCATCGCCACCATGCTCATCCAAAGTCTCCCGTTCTTCCCCCTCCATTCTATCGCACAATGCAAGGTGGGTTTATGCTGCGCCACCATCCAGCGTGATACTCTTTCCGTTGATCCATTCACCTTCCTTACTAGCCAGGAAGCAAACAACCCGAGCAATATCGACCGGGAACCCGTTCCGAGTCAAGGGCGACGCATGAGCGGCCATCTATCCAACGTCAGTAATGCCACTGGCCACCACCAGCACGGGTATAAACTAACCTGCTGCCGCTCCTCAGCAGTATACTTCTCCCCGCCCGGGATGTAATGGTGCGAGACATCGTGGAACATATCCGTAACGGTACCGCCCGGTGCGACGGCATTGACGGTGATCTTCTTGTCACCGCAGTCCTTGGACAAGACGCGCACAAACGAGTCGATGGCGCCCTTGGACCCCGAGTACACCGAGTGGTTGGGCACGCTGAAGTCCTTGGCCGTGTTGGACGACGTCAGGATGATGCGCCCACCCGGGGAGAGGTGCCGGTACGCCTCGCGCGCGACGAAGAATTGCCCGCGCGTGTTGAGGCTGAAGACACGGTCAAATTCTTCCTGTTGGGGGGTGGTTTTACGTCAGATATATCTGGGCTGCTGTCGCTCCTACCTTCCAGTACGCTGTCTCGGGATGGGAGAGAGAGAGGAAGAAAGGGAACATACCTCGGTCACATCACCCAGATGGCCGAAACTCACGACGCCCGAGTTGCTGCACACGATATCGAGGGCTCCAAAGTGGGCGATGGCATCGTCCATGAGCTTGGTCGTCTGGGAGACCTGCCTGACATCTGCCTGGAAGGCGACGGCGTCTGAGCCCAGGCTCTTGATCTCGGCCACGACCTTCTCGGCCGACTCTCGCGAGTTGGCGTAGTTGACGACCACTTTTGCGCCGCAGCGGCCCAGCTCTACGGCTATGGCTGCTCCGATGCCGCGGCCAGATCCGGTGACGAGGGCGACTTTGCCGTCGAGGCGGTAGGGGATGTATGGGGCTGACATGCTGGGCGTCTATTGGGTGAGGAGGCTTGGTTTCAAGAATGCAAATGGTAGAGGCGATGCGTACACTGAGACTTGTCGGGTGCGCCATCGAGAATATAATCATGTTTTCGGTACATTACACATTGTACCGGCATCCGTATGCTTCGGTCGGACAGTCGCGCTTATGGCTGTACCCTGGATTGCAAGGTCCGTGCCAAGCCCCTTTCCCGGACTCCGGTGTCGGTGGGCGGTGGTCGGCAACCGGGTTCGAAGGTATCGGAGATAGGCCAGCCAAATATCCGAGTCGCACGAAGAGGGTGATAGGGGACGGTTTACGCATCTGACTCTCCGCTAGCCCAACTCAACCCATATGACTATGGCAAACTGGAGCCCAGCCTTCTTTTATGGTTGTGCAACGCTTCGCGGGGCTCTTTCTCCCCTTTTTTCCATTAGTTATGTTTTACTTTTATTTTTGCTCCAGTATCGTAGTTTTGGTATGGAATTGCAAGCCAAGGACTCCCTAGCACAAGACTAAGGAATTCAGGACGAGGATTAATACTACTGTACTCACGTTGTTGTCACCTCTTTATCGAATCATGACCCTCGCTGGGGCCGCGTGCTCACCACACCCAGCCTGTCTCGCAAATGCTGGACTGGTGACTTCGGATCAAGAGTGCCCGCTGGCTTTTCCGTCTTTGGGTGGTCATTCAAGTTATCCCTCCCATCAGCCGTAGCAGGGGTGGTGTCCGTGTCTCCCTTGAGGTTTCAGCTATGTCGTATAACAAGGAATGCAATCAAGCGGGACGGAACATGCCCTGGACTGGCTGTCTATGTAGAACTTGGTAAAGAGCAACTCAGTCCGATCCTCCCGAGCGAAGTCGTCTTCTAGCAGGTTCCACTAGTGATATGCAGTTGGGATGCAGTTGTGGCCAAGCTGGGATGCAGTTGGGCCGTGATATTGATTTGTTGGCAGCCATCGTTTAATCTATGCATTTATTTATTCGTGTATCTGCTCGGCTGTATCGTCTAAGCGGGAATAAAGGAAAGTCGTCCAAGGTAGGAAGGTTCCATTGTTTGTTGGCTGGCTGAATCGCCCGCTCCCGACTCTCCAGTCAAGTAAAAAAGGCACCCAATCTCCATAGCGAACGCCATCTAACCCAACACAGACCCTCTCGAAATGGGGTCTACAGCGAAAATAAAAGACGCCCCCCCCATCCTCCAACCCCCCTCCCTTCACTCCTTCCTCAGCCCATCCACAATCTCCAACGACAGCGCCCTAAGCTGCTTCCTCAAGTCCATCCCAAAGTGATCAAGAATCACAGCCGAAAACGCCGACCCGGGTTCCCCCCCGCGTCCCCCCTCCTCGTCTGCCCCGCCCGCCGCCTCGCCGTCCATGCACTCCTTGAGCCTCGCCGACAGCTGGTTGACAAGCCTCTGCACGCGGTGCAACTCGCTCAGCACCAGCTGCGCCGCCATGTGCGCCGAGTCCTCGCCCTCGAGGCAGTAGCTGCCCACCACGGCGGGCGCGTGCAGCACCTGCTCCAGGTGGCACAGGTGTCGTCCGCTACCACCATCGACGACGCTGCTGCTGCTGCTACTGCTGCTGCTACTGCTGTTGGTCAGACCGGCCCCTCTGCCCTTGCCTGCCGCAGCGGCGTACCACCTGAGCACCTTGAAGACGATGAGCGCCATGAGCGAGAGGAGGAAGCCGTCGTGCGAGCACGAGCACTGCAGCATCGACCCGATGGCCTCGATGGTGCCGCGGTTCTTGGCGATCACCGTCTGGATCGTCGGCGGCGTGGCAGTTCCCTCGTGGTGCCCCCCGCCGTCCTGCTTGGCCCAGGCGGCACAGGCCGTCGACGTGTTGGGGAAGAGCTGCTTCATGAAGCCTAGCGCCTGGACGAGGCAGCAGCAGGGCGCGGAGTCGGCTGCTGCTGCTGCTGAGGTGGAAGAGGCTTGGTAGGGCGGTTGTTCGTAGTTGGCTGGGGAGGCGCCGCTATTTGGGGTGGAGCGTGGGTGGGAGAGCGGATGCATCTCGAAGAGGGTGTCCTCGAGGAAGGCGAAGGTGTCGAGGAGGGTCGTGGCGCTGGTGCCGTTGCTGCCCGGTCCGCTTGCGCTGCCGCCCCCGTGGCTGCTGCTGCTGCTGTCGATACCCGTGGAGAAGAAGTGCGCCTGGTCTGCGGGGTCGGGGTCCGGGTCGACCGTGCCAGGCATGGAGAAAGACATGGGTGACGCGAAAAAGTCGTCAAGGTCCGCGGTGGAGTATTCCGGCATGCCCGAGGAGGATAGTGCCGGATCCGGATTCACGGGACCGACATTTGGGAAGAGGCTGGAAGAGGAGGTCCCGGGCGCTGTCGGTCTCGGCGAAGGGTCGACGAGGGCTGGTGAGGGTAGGTAGTCGGCCGAGACCATGGAGTTGGTGGCGAACCAGTTGCCAGGGGGGTGCATGCTATGCTTTACGTTGATGGTACTGCTGCTGCTGGCCGTGGTAGTGCAACTGCTACCCTCGCTCACGGTTGAACGACGTTCATGATTCGTGCGACCTCCGCGTCTGGTAGCAACATATTCGCAGACGAGACCGCGTTTTGCGCACCGGGAGCACGTTGGTTTCTCCTTGTGGCACTTCACCTTGGACGATGCGCAGGCATAGCAGCTGTCGCGCAGCTTGGGCCCAGCAGGAGCGGCGGACCGGCGAGAGGTGGAAGGTGAAGGCGTGGGTATCCCAGAGCCTGGAGAATGTGACGCGGCCATTGTGGTCGATGTCGTCCCGCGGCGGCGTTGGGAGGGGGGGCGGGTGGAGGAGGAGTAGGAGTACCTTTGGGGAGGAGCGACAGCGTCAAGTGACAAGCACCAGGGCGGACGGGAGAAGATACTCTATGCGCATATTGGAGCCAGATTACCGAGTCTACAAGTACGTACGTAGGTTCACCCCAGATCCAGGAATGTTGAAAGTACGGAGGTCGCCCTCCTCCCCTGCATGTCAGTCAAATGGGTAAGCTGAAGCGAGGGCTAGATAGGAGAGTTGCTCCGCAGGCGTCCCGAATGCAAATAATGTCCAGATTTGAACAGGAGAGCTGAATCGCAATCTGGCACCTGCAGCTGACAGCTGACATGCAATTATTTCGCTTCCTGTACGAATTACGGATTACTGCACGGCTTTTGCAACACAGCCACCACCCATCACCGCATTTGGTTAACATTGCGGGGAGTTTCCTATTTTCTGCTAACTAACACTTGGCAAGCTTGGTGTCTGTCTGCTAACTAACCACTTGTGACTGAAACCTGCTCTCTCTCCATCATGGAAGTTTGTCCAGGCTTACGCCACAGCAGTGGGGAATAATAAGCTACCGGAGCTGAGCTGACTGTCTCCGCCGTTGTGCTACGCTGCTGTGCTACGCTGTATTAAGTATGCAGGGATAAGTGGGACCGTTAATCTTATCTGCAGGACTTCTCGTACTGCATAATCCCGACTACTTGCATACTCTACGATATCTGCTGATAACACGTAAAGTAAACTATTGATTGGTCGACACCCCAAACCTGACCAAAGGGAGACCGAAGGGACGGCCCGGTCTTTCACCTGCACTTGCACTAGTAAGCAAATCTCTGCCGAACAGACTGTGCACTAGCAGTGCGATCCAATAAGCGGGAGTCGACAATCTATCTAGATAGACTTTGCAGGGACTTTGCAGGGACTTTGCATTAGTGGGTGGGTGTAACGCAGGGTCTCGATAAAGCCACACTTCGTGGGTGAATCGAAGGCGAGCGAGGCGAGTCCGAAGCGGTGGGGCCGGGGTCTCGACCTACCCAGTAGGTGCACCAACACGTGTAATTACATGTCCAGCACTCCAAAATACTACGTCGGGCATGAGGGAAAGATTATTGCAACGTAATTACCTCCTGTATTCCGTACTGTATGAGCGATGGCCTCATTTCACAACCCCTCCATCTGACCCCGGTCAAGCATGTGCCATTACTCCACGCCCTCGCCCACCTCTCGTTACCACATGCTACTGTACCCAACCAATCTTGGATGTGGGATTACTCCACGCCCTCCCGAACGATTCATCTACCGCAAGCAGGTAATGTCCAGCCTCAATCGATATGTTGTGAGGGAATAAGCTTTGCATAAGCTTTGCTTGTGCATGTAAGCTGCATTGTTATTATTGTTACAGGCGGTGGATGCATGTCAGATTCCAACTGACTGGCTGAGGGTACGAGTACGAGAATACATTTGAGACAAAAAATACGGATTACGGAGCTAATCACGGCTAGCTCGATCCAATTACCTATCTGACAGTGGTTCTCACAGGACCGCAGGCTTCAATCCGGCCTGACCATCCCCGCCGGCCCGGTACTTGACCCCAAGGGCGACGGTGGCGCTGTTGCGCGCGTGCAAGCGGTTTACGACAACGAGTCCGCCCCCGCCGTCGCGAACGCCACCGACCAGGTCGACCAGCTCAGCGACGTCGACGTCGCGCCCGCCAGCCAGCAGCTGCATCTTGGCGAGGTCGCGCAGGCAGGCGGCGGCCTCGACGCTAGGGTCGACGGATCCTGGATCCGGAAGCGGGCGCGGCGCCAAGACGAGCGTGGCGGCGGGGTTGGCGCGCAGCACCGCGAGGTGGGCGCGCAGCTCGGCCGCCACGTAGGCCAGCAGCAAGGGGGGCGAGCACGAGGGCGCCGCCACCCGGACCATGTACACCGCGGCGTCCCTGACCGTCTGGGGCGAACCCGCCGCTCGCTTCTGCACGGTTATGCGCGCCCTGCTCAGCGAGTTCGGCCTGCCCGCCTCCGAGAGGCTTGGCGGCGTCATCCCCACTCCCGTCCCTCCCCCTCCTCCTCCTCCTGCTGCACCACCGTTTGCCGATCCGTGCACCACTGGCGCCCCCAGCTGAACCACAAAGTGGAGTGCCGGGAAGAGCTCTGCAAGAGCCGTAGCCGCTGAGGTGGAGTCGGCGCAGACCTGAATTCTCCGGAAAAGGGGTTGATCGACCCATGTTAGTATGTTCTTGGCTTAGTGGCCACTTTCGGGATGCGCGTCTTTGGATAAAACAAAAGCAGGAATAATTTGAAACTCACATCGACGATGCAGGCGCTCCCCAGGCTGAGCCAATCCAGGCGCCCAAGCAGCTCCGGGACGCTGTCGTCCACGTCACCTGCGCACCGGAGGAACGCCGGCCACTGGCGCTGGAGCTTCGGCCGCTGCTCGCACGCGGCCTGGAAGGTCTGCGATGTGTTGAAGGCGAGCGAGTACGCGGTCGTGTCGCCGCCGGCGGCCTGTTCGTTATGGAGGAGCTTGGTGGCGGCGGCCATCTGCAGCGCCGCGGGGGCGGCCGTCTCGGCGAGGAACATGGCGGCGTCCAGGTAGCAGAGCTGGGTGACGAAGGGGGCCGACAGCGCCGTGTGCGCGATGTAGCCCGGCTCGGGCTCGTGCAGGAACCCCGCCGTCGCGGTCATGCGCACGATGCGGCGCAGCTGAGTCTCGGGAACGCCGGTCAGGTCGGCTACGTCCTTGGCTGGGACGCTGTCGTTGAGAGGGACGCATGCGAGAACCTGGAACTCCCCCAGCCATCGTAGACAGGCGAGGAGTTGAGTCTGCGACAAGGTCAGAAGTCTGGTTCATAATTTCATCGAGTATGAGAACTCGGGAGATGAAGCACACCTGGCTGGCAAGTTGCTGGATAAAGTCAGCTGGCTCGGCCAGCAACGTCTGCAGCCGGTTTATGGTGTTGAGCAGGTTGCACCTCGCACGATGGACTTCGTAGGGCGCATCTCGCGGGACTGCCAGCTGGGGAGTTGAGAAGACAGAGGACGAGCTGGACGAGCCAACGCCGCAGTCCTGCAAATGGTCGGCGAGGATTTTTGCGGCGGTGGCGATGTCATTGGCGTATGTTTTGAGTCGGCCCAGGGTGTCGTTTTTGTCGTCGCTGTTGGCGTTGTTGTTCATGGCGGCAAGGTAGAGGAGTATTGATTACGTTTGAATCCAAGTAGCCAAGGGTGGAAGCCAATGTGGTCATGCGACTCTTGGAAACCTTAATAATAGCTAAAACGGCAAGGCGACCAATCCGACACGATGTCAGGTCAGCAGCCAGTCCGAGGTCCCCTTTACGGACTCATCGGGGGCCGCAAGGTGGGTTTAACCTTGGCAGATTACGCATCGGTAGATCTACAGTGGTTCGGGGTGGTGGCTTAGGGTTACATGCCTCTCCGTCTTGGTCGCATTGTTCGATCTGACAAGGTGCTGGGCGATGATAGATGACACCCCACCATGTGCTGTGAAACCCGAGATACGAACGGAACTGGCCATGTGAGCCGCCCACCAAACAGCGAGAAATACGACGTCGAACAGCCCTTTCAAGTTCAAAACGCAATTGCTTACCGATTAAAACCCATGGGGCATTATTTTCATGTGTAAATTGAACCGGCGATTATTTACAAGTAATTAATTGGCTGTTTGTTTCCGTTTCCAAGCATCAAATGATTAATTCCATGCCCGGTAATTATCAAAGCATCGAAAAGGAGCTAATTGTCAAAATGGACTATAATATTCCTTCATCTCTAGCAAGTAGCAATCTAGCAGAATAGCAGAACAAACTGCTTCAAAAACACCTATGTCCCTAACTACACAAGATCGAATCCAAAACAGTGCAGGCTTCCCCCACAGACTCAACCCCCCCAGCCTAGTTATAATACTCCTCCAGCCAGCTCCGCAGATCCCCGATAGCCGGATACTCCAGGAACAAACTGCCCGAGACAACCACGCCGAGCTCCTCGCGGAACTTCTCGGCGATGACCAGGCTCATCAGCGAGTCGATGCCCAGCGCCGCGAAGCTGGCGTCGTCGGCCAGATCGGCCAGGTCCAGACCCGCCTCGGACGCGATGATCTGGATCGCCTTGCTGGTCGTGGAGTCGTCGGGTGCCGAGGTCTCCGTGGGTGCCGGGGGTGCAGCAACAGCGGAAGTGGTAGGAGTCGGGGTAGGAGCAACAGCAGCAGGAGCAGGCGGCGCAACAACCGGCGCAGTCTTCTTCGGGGGGGCATGCACCACCGCCGCGGCCGCCGGAGCAACAGGCCCCGCCTTGGCGTCGTCCGGTGCAGAGAAGAAGCGACTGAGCAAGATGCGCGGGTACCGGCGGAACCGGATGCCGCCAACCATGCCCACGATGACACCGTCCTGCAGGATGTACACGTCGCCCAGGAACACGGACGGATCGTCGGCGGTGGGGATCATCTTGACGTAGGAGCGGTACTTCTCCCCCGCGACCAGCGGCCTGGCGAACCGCATGGAGTGCCAACCAGGCGTGACGCAGAAGTTATTTCTGGTGTCGACCGCGTCCGACACGTTCATGACGAAGCCAGCCAAGTGGGCGACGCTGTCGATGAAGTAAGGCGGAACCGTCCACGCGCCGCCCTGCTCGGTCGAGAGGACCACGTCGGCGAAGGCTTCCAGGCCGTGCAGCACGACCGAGCGCATGCCGCGGTACTTGGCGGCGTAGTCGACGAGGTTGGCGGCGAAGAGCTGGTACGCCATGTTGTGCGTGAAGCGGTTGGCCACGCCGCGCTCGGCGAGATGCTCCAGGTCGGATATGCGGGCTTGCACGAGGTGCGTGGTCGGCACCCAGGTGTCGAGCCAGGAGGAGGCGCTTCCGTACTCGAGCGTCGCGCTGGCGAAGGGCTCGTCTACGGTGCCGGTGCCGGGGTGGACGTTGTACCATTTCAGCTCGGCCGTGTTGGAGTTTATATCGGCTGTCGTTGCCGAGACTTGGATGAGTTGTGGCTTGTCGGTGTTGTTGTTTGCAACCAGGCCTTTGAGAACCTCGAGGTTTGCAATGTTGACCTGCACTTCTTTGCTGCTGGGCTTGAGCTTTTTGTACAGATACTCGCCGAGCGTGTATGCGATATCTGCATGGATGGACTGAGCATCGGGAGGAGTTTAGGTTAGCAGACATATCAACCCAGGAGTTCCTGGTTATTACTTACCGATGTTACCACACCACATCCATTCATCTTGTGTCCCCAAGCCGCAGCGCGGAAGTCTGGCTGCATCAGATCCGACTGCATGACCACAGTCCCCGCCGTCCCGTTGAAACTCTGCTCGATAATCTGTTGAACGGTAGACGTGCTGAGACTCGACTTGGGCACGGCAGCGGACGCAATCCGAGCCTTATCAAGTCCCTTCTCGGCGTCGTAGAAAGTGTTGCCCTTCGTAAGAGCCCAGTCGCCATTATACTGGATCCAGTACGTCTTGTCGTTCCATGCGTACGTAGGCAGGTCCAGCAGCCGGAGAGCCTTTTCGAAGGGTTCGTGCAGCCCGTTCCAGCCGATCTGCACGCCGGCGCAGTGCAGAGTCGCCAGGCTCTGTGCTATGGTCGTCCAATTATCCTCACCTCTGCGCAGCGATGGGACGGCGACGTGGGCGTGCGACAAAGTGGATCGGACGAATCCCATGCAGACGGGATGGGGTCCGATCTCGATCCACGCGGTCTCATCGTCAATGGTGCCGATCCGGTGGGCTGTCTCGAGGGCAGAGAGGAAGTTGACTGTCTCGCGGGTGGCTCGACGCAGGTAGTTGGCGTTGACGGTCTTGTCGTCGAAGATGACCTTGTTCAGCAAGGGAGACACGACGGGCAGGTGCGGCTGCTGGAAGACGACGCCGCTGTTGGCAATGGCCTCGTATTCGTCGAGGATCGGATCCGTCTGAGCAGAGTGGAACGCGAACGCAACATCGAGGCTGAAACATTTGAATCCCGCCGCTTCAAGGACCGGGATAATAACATCCATGTCCGCGACAGGCCCGCTGAGCACGGTATCCCTCGGGCCATTGACACAAGCAATCTCGTACGGCCTCCCTCCGGCGCCTTCTTCGATCTGGGCCACGGACGCGCGCACAGCCACCATCTTGTGGCTGCCGACCCTGCACTTCTGCTCCAGCATCGTCGCCCGCTGGCCGACGAGGAAGATGGTGTCGCTGGCCGAGAGCACGCCGGCGACGTGCAGCGCCGCGAACTCGCCCAGGCTGTGCCCGATCACCACGTTGGGCTTCACGCCCAGCGAGCCCCAGTACTTGGCGACGGCAATCTCGGTGCACACCAGGGCCAGCTGCGTGACGACGGGCGGGTGTTGGTGGTCTTGCTGATGGCTTCCATCTAGAGCGGGAACGAAGGAGGGGAAACCCTGGCCCTGGGCGAGGGAATCTAGGTGCAGGATCTGGGACCGGAAGTGCGGCGAGTGGTGGAACAGGTCCAGGTTGAAGGACTTGTGGGATGCTCCCTGGCCGGTGAAAGCAAAGGCTACGGGGGGCGGTCCTGTCGCGGGGATGGGCTTGTGGGAGTCGACGGATCCAAGAGCAGACGTGAGCTGTTTCTTCACCTGGGCAATGTCCGATGCGGCAATGGCTACGCGGTGGTTGTGGTGGTAGCGGCGAGCCGTGGTGGAGTAGCCAAGATCGGCCAGCGAGACGTGGGGATTATTGTCCAGATACCCGAGAAGCCTCTCCAAGTTCCCTCTCAGAGAGATCTTGCTCTTGGCCGACACGGCAATGACGTGGGTGGAGCGCGGATCCGTCTCGGTCACCTCTCGCACTGGTGCGTCTTCGATGGCAACAGTCGTGTTGCCGCCAGCAGCGCTGAAGTTGTTCACGACGGCAAGGCGTTTCTTTCCCGGCAGACGTGGCCACTCTATCTTGTTGTAGGGGATATGGATGTTTCGCTTGTCCATGTCTTTGGGGAACTTTGGGTTGAGGCTGTTCTTGATTCCGACGTGGGGCGGGATGGCATTTTTCTGCATCATGAGGAGCACTTTGAGCAGGGCCGTGACGCCGGCGGCGGCTTCACTGTGACCGACATTTGCCTTTACGGCGCCGATGTAAAGCGGGTTCTTGGCGGTACGGCGCTTTGTGATAGGCGCGAACACGTCTGTCACCGACTGGATCTCCTCGGCATCGCCGGCCTGGGTGCCGGTGCCGTGCATCTCGACGTAGCCCACATCCAGCGGGTCAACGCCCGCTCGGTTCATCGCCAGCCTGCCCAGGTACGCCTGGTGGCCAGCGTGAGGGTGCGTGATCGACACTGCCTCGGCCGAATGGTTGGTGGCTGCGGCGACGATGACGCCTAGGATGTTGTCGTTGTCGGCTTCGGCATCCTCGAGACGCTTCATGACAATGGATCCGACGGCGTCGGCACGGCAGTAGCCGTCTGCCTCGCAGTCCCACGTCTTGCACGCGTTCGGCGTCTTGGAGAGGAAGTGGCCGTGGCTGAGGCCAGCGAACGCGTCCGAATTTGTCAGGACATTCATGCCACCAGCCACAGCCATGTCTGTATCTCCGTTCCAGAGCGAGGTGCAAGCGGTCTGGGGGGAGCTGTTAACATTGACTCTCTCGTCCGTTGGAGTGGTAGAATCGGGTGGGTGAAGAAGGGAGGAAAAGGGAAGAATTGAAGAAAGGGGAAGAGGACGGGGAGAAGGGGAGACAAACTTGGATGGTGGCCAGACTCGAGGAACATGCTGTATCAATACTGTAGCTTGGCCCAGAGAACTTGAAGAAATAGTTGATGCGGCCGGGGCCAAAAGCACGGCACCCGCCGGGGATGAAGTAGGTGCTGATCTCCTGTGCCGTGTTGACCTCTCGATAATCATCGCTAGCCTGGCCGTAGAAGGTCCCGATCCGATGCAGGTTGGTCGAGGCAGTCCGGTTCGCCACATAGCCCGCCCTCTCGAGCGCCTCGTACGCCGTCACGATGGCGAGCCGCTGCATGGGATCCGTCTGCTGTGCCTCGCGCGGCGACATGTTGAAGAAGGGCGCGTCGAACAGGCCCGGCTCGTCGATGAAGCATCCGTACGGCGTGTGGCTCGCGTTGACTCGCTTCCCGGCCGGATCGTAGTGGCTGTCGACGTCGAACCTGTCCGCTGGGATCTTCCGGTGCACGTCCAGCCCGCTCTCCAGCAGCTCCCAGAACTTCTCCGTGTTGGTCGCCCCGCCGGGCATGCGGCATGACATGCCTACGATGGCGATTTTGGACTGCAGCGGCCCTCTTGGGCCTGCGCTCTCGGTATTCGTGTCGTGGATCCAAGGGATGAGCTCCTCTGTAGAGCTCTCCAGACCTGGGACTTTGCTCAGGGCCGCCGAGAGGTCGTGGACGGCAAGAGAGACTCGGAAGACAAGCACCTGGAATTGGGCCGCCCCGATCTCGCGGGCATGTTGGATCACGCCTTGGATCACGCTATCCCACCTGATCGGCTGCGTGAGAATCTCCGCGATAATTTGCTGGAACAGCTCAGTCGCCGTCGCGGCGGTGAAGATGCTTCCAGTGGCGGTCGAGTAGATGGGGATCCGTGGCGAGAAGGAGGCGTTCAGCGACTGCATCGAGCGCGTTCGGACGACTTGATCGACGTTTTGCTCGGTGTAAATGTGTTTTGCGTGGCACAGGCCCGAGTAAACGGGCAGAGCAACGTGTTTGCGATGGCGGAAGAAATCGGCCGTGCGGAACATAGCCTTCAATCTTGCCGGCGGCCCGCTGATGGTTACCGAAGTTGCGCTCAGCGCGCTGATGAAGACCTTGCTAGCTTCCGGCGTTTTCTGCGTCTGCGAGTTAGGCCGGAAGAAGAGTATTGATGACGCTGAGTGGCATTATTAAACTGACCTCCTTTGCGTGAATCGCGTCAAGATCCTGCTGGACTTGGTCTGCGCTTATGTCCGGCAGCACGTAGGCCCACGAGTCGGGTGTGCTCGTGTCTGTGAGGTCGCGAGGTTGCAAATTCTGTGATACCTCGTCCACCAAAACACCGAGTCGGAAGGCCTGCCGGACCACTTGGGCTCCGGTGAGAGGGAGGTCCGCAACAGTGGCAGCCAGGGAGACTGCGGCAGTGGCCAAAAGCCCGATCCCCAGGCCGGCCAGAGATGTGCTGACGGTAGCAGAGTCGAAGGCATCTGGAGAATTCTCATAGTAGCTGACAGAGTTAGAACGTCTCTGCCTGCTTATCCATCCCATCAAAGGGCGACATACCCAATCAACGTTCCCAGCTCAACAACGCAGAGGAGGATGCCGTCGACGGAACCGCAGAGGGGACCCTTGCGAAGCTCGGCAAAGTCGGCAAAGTTCAAGATGGACTCGAAGGGCGGGATCGATGCTTTTAAGACCGTGTTCAGCTGTCGTACTTCGTCACGTAGGGCGAGTGTGGCCTCGTCCAGAAACCGGGCGAGGATGGGATGTCGCCGGTCTTTGCTGTGCTGGTGGAGCCTGCGGAATACATGTTGCAAGTCGTCGTGGGGAAACTCGTTGCTGAAGTAGACGAACTTCATTCTGATAGAGTCGTCGTCACTGGCGGTGTCTGAGCGACTGGGCGTGTAGATCACCATGGTGCCCCTGAAGACCGTGTTGAATGCAGGCAGGGAGATATTGTAATTGGGAGCTGGGCGGTGTACCAGCTGTCGTGATAACAAACATGCGGCATAGAAGAGCCATAGCCCACTATATTTGAGTACGAGGACAGTTTGAGTGCGTTCGGCATCCGCTTGCTGGTGCAGAGGAACAGGGGGTGTGGCCAACTCAGCGGCGGGCCGATCTCCGAGATAACGGCTTAGTTACTGCGGAAAACCATTTGCTCATTAATTACTGTAAGCATCGGACAGCGAGAACAACAGTCGGGGAATGCACACTCACTACATGCAGCATGGCTGAGGTACCACACTGGTGACCGAGTAACCGAGCTCTCTGGCCTCTGAAGGAACTGGGGTTCTCATGGAGGAGCTGTGGCTACTTTGCCATCTGCTCGGGCTGTGTCCACACAGGCTGACGTCGTGCCCAGGTCACGAAGACTACCTCCCCTGTGTAGGACGCGATTGGTCATTGCCAGCACTGTGGCGGTGGGGAACGGGTGGATTAGGCCAAGTGCTTGACGACAAGATATCCAGGCGTGGTTATTATCAGAGGGTTGATGAGTGTCTTCCATTGTTCCCGTTACAACCTGGCTATGAGGTTTGGGAGTGAATGGGGAAGGCAGAGGCAGGAGAGTACAAATTAGTAAAAACAACAGTGGTCCTGATGGGAATGTGGCTAGAGCAATTATTGATGGAGCTTGGAATCTCGCTCGATTTAAAAATGCTTGAAGCCCGGACATATGATCGTAAAGTCCGGTAATCCGGAGCCTCTGAAGATCATAACTAGATTGGATATCTCTTAAGATCTAGTAGTTACTCTAGAGCCCAGGCCTCTTGTCTACAGAGCCAAGTCATCTACAGGGACAGGTCCACAGCCATGTAACAACTCATTTCTCCTCGTCACCAAATTTATCCTCACCCTCTTCAAAAATCTTGTCGTGGTCGTACTCAGACCAACGGATGCCAGGCTCGATCCCGGCAAATTTCCACACGCCATCCACACTGCGATACCATATAGTCGCCATCCCGTGGGCGTGTCCCTTGACAGCGACCTCGGTCATGTTGTCGTCTGCATACTTCTGATGCGCTACTCGCATCTGGTGATATCCCGTGATTTCTGTCTCGCCCGTCTTCTCCCACTTCGAAGCTCCGCCAACTAGATGCTGCGTCTTGAGGCGCGGGTTGCCGAGGACCTTTGGGTCAGAGGCCATGCCCAGGAAGGCGTCCGCCGGCATCGCTTCCCAGAGTTTGTTGAGGAAGGCACGGTAGTCAATCTGTGGAATAATACATGTCAGATCCAATGTCGATGTCACGGATTGTCTACTATGCGGGCGGAGACAAAAGAAGGAGAGGCATACGCGGAGGGTCGGAGCGATGCATTTCGAAAGGCGGACCCAGTCCTTGGTATCGTAGCTTTCTGCCCATTCGTAGAGGGCCGCTTGGCATCCTAGGACATCTTTCTGCTGTGTTAGTCGCTACCCCCCAGCTGACGGGGGAACAGGCACAGTGTGGGAAAGGGGAAGGCGGACCTTCGAAGGTGGGCTGGTTGGCCATGTTTGATATTGGAGTTTCGTTGGAGACGTGAGTGTGTAAACTGAATGAACGCCTCAAAAAATGAGATGAACCGCCTACTACGTATTCTGAATACCTCTTCCTTGCTAGCTTTGTGCCCTCTCGTAGATATGCCATAATCGGACCACTGGTGCCGTCTTGTGTGCGCTCTCCCCGGCCCAATCCTTGCTTCCGGTGTGTTGAGCTCGGCCAACCCATAATGCGACTTTCGAGACCAATTGAGATCCTGACTGATCGGGGACCTGGAATTCAGCGCTGACAGGGTCCCCGCCAACTTGCATGGTGGCGCTGGAAGGGCGGAAATACAGAATTACGGAACTTGGTGCGGCCAGGGAGACCCGAGACCCAATTTCCGAACATCGGCAACCGATGAAAATAAGCATCCACACCCCCCGGCAGCACCGGGAATCGCACTCATGCAGGGTGCAAGGCGGCTAGTCGGCCAACCACGTGGCATCCCGCACCTGAGCTGATCTCAATAGCTTCCACTATGCTAGCTAGCACATGTAAGCAAGCAAAACAACAGGCGACCCGTACGAGTTCAACCCCGGGGGCTGAAAGTGGCGCAGCGCTAATGGAGCGATTTCGAGTCATCCTCACAGATCCGGCTTGAGGAGAGTGGCATCGAGGCGAGGCAGAGGAGGGAAAGGGGTTTAGGTCGAGAAATAATCGGCCGAACTTGGTGTCCTTCGCTGACCATGGCTTGCGACTTATAAGCAGCAGTCACCCTCTAGCCTGTAGATCAATTCCATACTCAGATCGCGACAGTCCCAGTCTCAGTGTCAGTCTCAGACTCAGCAGAGCAGAACGGAGTAGCTCATTTCGACTGTCTTTGCTGCATCATGACTCTTATTGGTTCCGCACTCCTTTCGCTGCTCGCCCTCGCGGCAGGCGCTGCAGCCGCGCCGGCAGCTGACAGCAGCAAAGCCAAGCCGGCTGATTACATCCTCGTTGGTGGAGGACCTGCAGGCTTTGTGCTCGCCGAGTATCTGACCCGGGACCCCAAGGTCAAGGTGGTTCTCCTCGAGGCCGGGGCTGATGCCAGCACCAACCCGGCAGTCACAAGTACGTCCGTCCAGAGTGCATGCATGCGTAGATTAATTACTCACTTTATCTCAATTAGCCCCCGGCCAGTTCTTCTTTACTCAGGAGTGGATGTGGCCCTACTTCTCGCAGCCCGACCCCAACCTCAATGGCCTGACCCCCAACCTGGTGCAAGGCCGAGCCCTGGGCGGCGGAACTGCCGTCAATGCCATGCTGTACTGCAGAGGCGCCGCTTCCGTCTTTGACGAATGGGCAGAGATCTCTGGAAACAAGGGCCTGAAATGGAACTCCATGCTGCAGTCCTTCAAGGCAACCACCCACTGGCAAGGCGACCCCGACATCCAGTACAACCAGCCGCTCAACACCAGCTCATTCGGCAACGGTCCCTTGGAAATCAGCCGGCAGCGCGAGCTGCTCACCTTCGACAAGCCATTCGCAGACAAGCTTGCAGACACATTCCAACTTCCCCAGATCGACTTCGCTTCCGGCGGCGGCATCGGCGTCTCCCAAGGAATCGAATCAATCCGTGCCTCCAACGCCACCCGATCCGATGCGTACAACACCTTTGGATATCTAGCCAACACCCGGCCCAACTTCGAGCTCCACCACGATGCCTGGGTCTCCAAGATCGGCTTCACCGGCAAGACAGCCGACCGGGTGACCTACAACGACACCCTGACCGGCACGATGCACACCATCCGCGGCAGTGAGATCGTCGTCACGGCGGGCGCAATCAACAGCCCGCAGCTGCTCATGCTTTCGGGCGTGGGCCCGGCAGCTCGCCTCCGCCAGCTCGGCATCCCCGTCGTCAAGGACTTCCCGGAGGTCGGCCAGAACCTGATTGACCACCACTACGCCGTGCTGCAGTACGAAGCCAAGCAAGAAGTCGACAGCTTCTGGCAGCTGTACTCCAACTCGACGCGATCGGCCATCGAGCAGGCTCGCTACGCCCAGAACGGCGACGGGCTGCTGGGCAACATCTGCGGCGACGTGTTCGGGGCGTTCCGGCTACCGGACTCGGTCTTCGCGGGCAAGGGCAACTTCCACAAGAAGCTGCCGGCGGACCGGCCGCACATGATCTACGAGTACTTTGCCGGGCCCTTCCTCGAGAACAGCCCCGACGTCAGCATCCTGTCGGCATTCGCGGCCGTGGTGCAGCCCGAGAGCAAAGGGTACCTGACGCTCGCGTCGGCCGACTACCGCGACGCGCCGCTCATCCACTCCAACTACTGGGGCACGGCGGCCGACAAGGCGGCCATCATCCACGGGTACAAGAAGCTGCGCGACCTGATGCGGTCGCCCGAGCTGGGCCGCTACACGGTGCGTGAGCTGTTCCCCGGCGACCAAGCCGTCAGTGACGAGGCTATCTGGGAGGCCATCCAGCAGAGCTCGTCCAGCTGGCATCATCCCGTTGGCACGACGGCGTTGGGCAAGGTGCTGGATGCTAACTGGAGGGTCAAGGGACTCAAGGGGCTGCGTGTTGTAGGCACGAGTTCGGTGCCGAAGATTACCACGTGTGCTACCCAGGCTACCGCGTATGCCATTGGTCATCGCGCTGCGCTGGATATCGCTGCTGCTGATCGTGTCTGTAAGAAATAAGAGGTGTAAGGTGGGAAAATGACTTGACTTTTCAGCGATTTGCTCAACTGTCGTGTCTACTGGATGAGCGCGCTGTTTTCCGATAGACTTGTTGCTATATAGCAGTACTATTACTTATTTTCTGGGCCTGGTCCCGACAGATTCACCTTTGTGTTGTGCTGAGAAGAGAGATCTGCCTTCGAGACGCCCAAGGGCATACAACAACAAAGTCCCATGTTTATGCTGTGCTCGGTGTCTACGTATCGTGAGGTCCATAACGATCCGGGGATGTGCTATATCTATGTAGTTTCACGGCCTCGCCAGTGGTCACAAGATTTCCAACTCCCTAGGTTTGGCGTTCCGCGGGAGTTAATAATTAATAATCGATGACCATGTGTAGAAGTTCACACTGCCAGAAAGAAGGAATTATCAGTGACTCAATGTATTCGCTGGCTACCAACATCTCCTAGAAACCATGTAGTTGCGCGGGAATCTTCTTCCACGGCAGGTCAAACCCAGCAAACACGATCCACTTCTCCTCCTGCACAAAGTCGACGGTCGAGTCATACGCCATGCGTGACAGCTTGAGCCAGCTATCGCCCTTGACGGGGAACGCATCCGCCCACTCTCCGTCCTCAAACGGCCTCGACACCTGCTCGCCGTTCTTGAGAGCGCGCACAAACTTGGCCACATGCCCATCGTCGCGGGCCCCATTGACGACGCAGAACAGCTCGTCCCAGCTCCAATTGGCGCTGCCGACTCCCTTGTAGTTCACAATGTAGTCGAGATTCAGCTCCGGCGTGCCGCAGGTCGCATACCAGACCAAATCGAGCCGAGCCTTGTACTCGACCAGGCGACACTTGTCCTCGACCCGGATCCACGGCTGGCGGGCCAGGACGCTCAGGAAGATGGAGCCCGTGACGTCGTGCATGTAGAAGAAGTCGATCTTGCGCGCCTTGCCCGGCCGCTGCGCGGCGCCCGCGAAGTAGGCGCAGCAGCTGATCATCTCGGCGGTGCGCCGCTCGAGGTTGTCGGGCGTCACGCGGAACTGCGCTGCCAGCGCGGCGATCTCGCGCGCCGCGCGGCCCAGCACGCCGTCGCGCATCTTCCACTGGAAGTCGTCCCAGCGCGCGGCGGTGCGGATGGTCTCGTCGGCGTGCGCCTCGTGGAACAGCTCGACCAGCGGTCGGGGCTTTGTGGCGGGGACGACGGGCCCGGCCTTGAGGGCCTCATTCTCGGCGTTGCGGAAGAAGGCCTCAATCTCGAAGCTGACGTCCGTGGCGGCCTGGGCGAGGCCCTCGGCCACGATGCTGGGTTGGTCGAACTCGACGCCCAGACCCAGGTGAATGAGGGGGTGGAAGGCGCCGTCGAACAGGCGCGCCAGGAGGGCGTCGGCGTTGCGGGTGCGGCTGAAGCAGTACTCGTTGACAACGTCGCGCCAGCCCTTGCGGGCCATCTCGCGCTCGAAGAAGACCATGTAGTTGGTGTACTGGGCCCCCTCGCCGAGGTACTTGTAGAAGCCGTCCTCGGTCGCCATCTCGCCGACGACTTGCTCGTCCACGTCGGGCCGCGCCCGCTGGTCGCGCTTGTTGTCCACGAAGCCCTGCTCCAGCTCGGCGGCGCTGGCGCCGAGGGCAAGCTTGGTCAGTATGTTGTGCGCCGTGTGGTTGTGGCCGGCAAAGTCGCGCCAGAAGATGTGGAACTCGTCGTGGTTCTTCTGCAGAAGCCGGTTCGCGACATCGACCGCACCAGGCGTGCTTTCCTCGAGGCCAGGCACCATGCCCGCCTGCTTGGGAGTCAGGCAGACCTGCGAAGTTGCAGTCACGGTGGCAGTGGCAGACATGTTGGATCAGACGAGATGTGTATTCGATTAGACAATTTCTTTGTCTTGGTTCTATGCTGTGGTGCCGTGAACAATTGTCAAGGCCGTTTGGTGTAGTTATATTTCGTCCAAGTGATATTCCCCTCTGCTGGCTGCCCTCGGATACCGCCTAAAGATCTGGCCACTCCAGAGTGGCTCGGTCAACCCTCAGCCCACTCTCTATCCAGGTATACACCGACAGGTCGCGACGGAATATTCAAGAGGCCGACCTTTAATGGGGGGGTTATCCCCGAGTTACATGCGAGGAAAGCGTTCAACGGGGTGCAGTTTGGGACGCCTTGATAGAACAAAGTTCGGTCACTACAAGAAGACCTGTTCAAGTTTGCTGTCCTTGTTCTAAGATAATTACAATCAGCTATTCAATGCTAGCTACTCGGCCATCGCCGGTCGTGATGGAGATGGTTCTAATTGAACCCCATCATTTCCATGTCACAATCGGAAATTTAAACCAACGATCGGAACCGGAAGTTACCGGAAAAGCGGTTAAGTCAGGGAACGGGTCTCTCGGTCAACAGGCAGCACGCATCACGAGGACATTTGTCTCTTCGCGCTCGAGTTGGCAGCCAGGCGAATGTCGGCTCCGCGCGGTAAGACTCAGCCATAAAGCCATAACCAATCTCGCCAATATCAGGTCTTCGAGGTGTTGATGCGCTCCCCCACCCGACTGTGATTCTACGCTGACGGGGGGGCGGGCTGTCGAACCGGCCCCACAATCGGAGATCGGAAGTCGGATACTTACCGGTGGAGATGGTTCCAGCCAATCAGCAAGCTGGGCTACAGTCTCGGAGTCCGATGCATCGGGCATCACGCACAGACTAGTTCGCGCTGATCGCCCCACCCCCCGCGTCGCTGTAGTCATCTCGGGAACCCCCTTTTTTTTTTTTTTGTTTGATGTATCCGTAGACGAGGTAAGCATTCGCCCCGACCTCTACTGGTAGCTCCAACACAACCATATGTTTTCGTGGTTAGCAAAGTCGCAAGATGCAGGATCCATTCCCATTCCTAGACAAATTAGTTGCTCTCAAAGTCTCAAGTCTACAGTGGAAAGAGAGGGCTGGTCGAAACTGGGTGTGCTGTAGGTAGATATGCTCTAATTATCAACTTTGGCGCCAAACACACTTGGGATGTGATGAAATCGAAACGGTTGGAATGTATTATGAAGAAACTGAATTAAATTTATTAGTTGAATGAAGCCAGACCTAGAGACTGATGCAGAGGTCCATCTTGTGTTTTCCTTCGATTTTACGCCTCCAGTGATTCGTCTTGACTAAAAAGTAACTTCAAAACTCGAGGACTCCCCATTGACCCGATTCTTATTTTTCCCTCCGCATGTTCGCACAGCTACACTTTAAACAACATGGCAAAAGAAGGCCCAGGAGACCAACTCGCTGACATCGATGGCGGCCCTCTGGCCAACACGCAGCAATCTATCTTCGCACACATCGAGCGTGGCCTCATCAAAAACCCACACCAACCGGCCGTGATTTGCATGCACCAGCAAGCAAACGACCTCGCGGACTGGGTTGAGCTCGACGACGAGTATGAGCCAGTCAGAACTGGCAGTGACCCGGGGACGACTTGTCTGACCCTTACGTATACTCAACTCCATCGAGGGGCCTTGAAGCTGGTTGCTGGACTAGTCGCAAACGGCGTCCGGCCGGGTTCGTCTGTTCTGTGTATGATCCCCAACGGCGGCGAATATGCGCTGTTGTTGTGGGCGTGTGCCATCTTGCGACTGACCCTTTCGGCGGTCGATCCTTCTGTGATGAGCAAGGAGAAGGGTATGGAGCTCCAGAACTACATAAAAAGCTTGAAGCCGGGGCTGGTGGTTGTCCCCGATGCAAACGGTGCCAGAGCAGTTAATACTGCGGCCGCTGCTGAGCAGTTGGATGTGTCGTCACCGTCGCTCCACCTCCTGATCCTCAACGACAACGGAGATGCATCGACTCCATCTTCTGAATGGAAATACCTACGAGACGTGCTCAAGACAGGCACGTCTTTGAGCAACAACAGCCCAACCTTCGACGAACCCACTCTCCTAGATGCCGCGCGACGCGACAACCCCGACCGCATCCACTCCATCCTCTTCACATCCGGCACATCAGGCAACCAGCCCAAAGGATGCCCCCTGCGCGTAGCCTCAATGACGCACATCCTCGAGTCCCAATCCTGGCTGATAACCGGCCCAACCAGCGCCCGCGTCCTCCAACAAGCCCACAACAGCCGCGCCATCGGGCCGCAACACACCCTGCAAACCTGGCGCGCGGGCGGCGCCATCGTGCTAGCCACGGGGCCCAGCTTCGCCGTGGAGCACACCCTCGAGGCGATGCGGCGCCACGCCGTGACCTTCGTCGTGCTCTCGCCGGCCATGGTGCACGCCTTGGCGCGGGAGCCGGCTGCTGCGCGGGACGCCGTGCGGGCGGTCCAGGTCGGCGGCGACGCCGTCGCCCGGGAGGTGCTGGTGCGGTGCGCGGCGCTGTTTCCGCGGGCGCGCGTGTGCGTCAACCACGGCATGAGCGAGGGCGGCGGGTTCTTCGTCTGGCCCTTCTTTGACCGCCCGATTGGGGAGGTCCTGTACTTTGGGGAGATCTGTCCGGCGGGGGAGGTCGCTCCGGGGGCGCGGGTGCGCGTCTGGGACGCGGCGGCGGGGAGGACGGCAATGAGAGGGCAGCCTGGGGAGTTGCATGTCTGCTGCGAGAGCTTGATTCGCGGGTACCTTGGCGGGGTGGACGCGTCGGCTTTCTATGAGGATGGGCTGGGCGTGCGCTGGATGAATACGGGGGATGTTGCCGTGGTGAGTGAGGACGGATTGGTGTACATTCTGGGGCGGAGCAAGGACGCTATCACGCGTGGCAGCATCGTCATTATTCCGGTTGCGCTGGAGAGCTGCGTTGAGAAGTATACAGGTGCACAGGTGAGTTTCGTGGCTCGAAATATGTCCATTTGTCGTCCAGCTAGTCTGCTTATTCTATTCTTTGCCTTCCCCGACTGACAAAAAACGACGCCTCAACTAGACCTCCGTCGTCGCAGTTCACCGTCCCGAGGTTGGTCACGAGCCATTTGCGGTGCTGAGCAGTCTGAAAGGCTTCACCCCAAATCAAATCATAAACCACGTAACAAGCGTGTTTGGTGAGGGGTATGCCCTCCATGGCGTGGCCTCCCTACAGCAGGTTGGCCTCGCCGAGTTTCCAGTCAATGCAACGCACAAGATCATCAAGCTTGATGTGCAGAAGGCCGTGATGGAGTTCATCAAGATACAGACAGTTTGATTGGTGTGGCCGAGAACCTGCACATGAGCGAGTATTTTACAATTTGGATGACCTTTTCACTCCGTCTCAAGCGAGGGTCCGGGGCCTCGAGTAGGTTCGCTTCACAAGCTAATATCTCTTTTGCGGGCGGGTCTGCATGGGCATGAAGGTCTAGACATAACAAACTATCTCATACAAGTATAAATCAGCAGTCATTCCTTCACAATCTGCCGATGTCTGTTAGCGCACTATGTAATCTTTCAATGGCAAAGGCGCCCACCCCCTGCTCGCTTACTGTGACTCGGGAACCGATGCAGGCAGACTCCACCATCTGACCACATGATCGGCCAAGACAGTAGACACTTGTACCACGGTATCGGGCCCCGTTGTACCAATCCCGCCCTCGTTGGTAGCCAAGAACGGGCCAGCATAGAGTCTGAAATACCACCCACGCCCATGTAGCTCAACCTTACCAGCCAGCTGGATTCCACGGGGGGGTATTGATTCCCACAACACCAGATTGCATCTGACATGACCCTCGCTGAAGCTTCTCCCTGGTCACTGGCCAAGGGCCTTGCCCTCGCCGCCGTCATCGCATTCTTGATCTCACCTTTTGTCTCGTGGAGCCGAAAGATCCCAGGTCCGCTCCCAGCCAAGTATACGAGGTTGTGGTACGCCTGGCAGAAATACCGGAATGACTTCCACTGGACCAACATCCGGCTCCATCGCCAACATGGTAAGACTGCATTCCGGTCGTTCCAACGCTGCCTGTGATGCCTCAGTGTCGCTGATTCATTGGAACAGGCAAGATAGTCCAGGTCATGCCAGGCTACTTCAGCATCGACGATGTCGAATCCCACAGGACCATCTACGGCCACGGCAATGCGTGGATCAAGGGCGAGTTCTACATCGCGTGGAATGTTGGCCCCGACCCGGCGCTCACGAATCTCTTCGCCGCGCGAGACCCGGCCCTGCATGCGTCGATGCGTCGCAAGGTGGCTTCCATGTATTCCATGAGCTCGCTAGTGTCGTATGAGCCGTATGTCGACCACTGTATCGAGCTGTTCCATGGCCAGTTGGAGAAGTTTGCCTCGGCTGATTTGGTAATCAACCTGGGCAATTGGATGCAATACTTTGCGTTTGATGCAGTGTCGATGATTACGGTAGGTTGAATCCCCACCCCCTTGCACGTCACAATCGCAGACAGATTGGATTTCCCCACGTGGCCACGAGGATTAATGTTTTCTTTCCGCAGTTTGGCGACAGGCTGGGATTCCTCGACCACGGCGAAGACGTGGAGAACCTGATTCAAACCCTCAACTACGACCACACAGTGCTCAGCTTCATGGGCCTCTACCCGTGGCTATTGCCCGCCTTCAAGAAGCTGACGAGCCTCATCAGCGGCCCCAAGGTCCTGTATTTCCAGCGATTCGCCTCGGAGAAGATCGAAACGTCGCGCCGCGAGAAACAGGACCTCCCAGATGACGGGCCCGTGTACATGGTCAAGAAGTTCCTCGACGCGCAGCGCAGGGACGAGAAGAAGGGCATCACCGACTGGGACATCGCCGCCAACGCCGGGTCAAATATCGGCGCCGGCAGCGACACGACCGCCATCGCGCTGAGCACCATAGCCTACTACCTGTATCGTGACGCGCGCATCCTGGAACGGGTGCGTGAGGAGGTCGACGGCGCCGCTCTTTCGCCGCGACCGAACTTCCAGGAGGCCCAGAAGTTGCCGTACATGCAGGCCGTCATCAAGGAGGCGTTGCGTGTCCAACCCGGCGTGGGTCTTCCCCTCTGGCGGGAGGTGCCCAAAGGTGGTGCCGTTGTTTGTGGTCAATTCTTCCCGGAGGGCGTAGGTTTCCATCCCCTGGTCTCATTATATCTTTCTTGCTTTTCCGCTGACAATCTTACCTCTCAAGACCAATCTAGGCGTCAACAGCTGGGTACCTCACCATAACAAAGACGTCTTCGGCCCAGACGCAGACGAGTTCCGACCCGAGCGCTGGCTCGAAGCCGCTGGAGCGCACGCCGCCGCCATGGAGCAGAGCCTGATCCCGTTCGGGCTCGGGTCGCGAACATGCATTGGAAAGAATGTGTCTCTGCTGGAAATAAACAAGATCATTCCCGTCCTCGTCCGCGACTTTGACTTCTCCTTTCTGGACGAGCATGGCGCGCCCGAGAAGCGCGATTATCTCCCGGTGCACAACAAGTGGTTTATTAAGCTGCCGGATCTCAACGCGCGGGTAGCGAGGAGGGCAAACACCGCTAGTTGAGTGTTGGCATTCACTACCATTACGATCAAGCCATCACGAAACTTCTGGTAAAATTTTTTGTTTTGTTTTGCATATGACACGGCTTGCGTTTAGAAACACGATGATATCTATATATGAGACCAATCTTCTGTAGTAGTAGACTTGAACTGAGTTTGTCAAATTCACGAGTCTGCACTAATTATCACGACTTTGCATGCATTAATGATATGTCACTGTCGGGAGTATTCGGTGTTTTTCCCCGTTCTTTTTTTCTCGGTCCTTCTGACCCGCCATCAACAACGCCGTCAGCTGGCAAATAAAACCCCGGTAAATCAATTTCTGTGCAGGGTAAATAAATACGAAGGGGAGGTACAGGCTTCTCCCAAAACGGGCATTGCTGACCACCCTCGAGATTGTTTTGGCCGAGTTCCTTTGTGTAACATCCTGTCAGCCATCCCTGCCGAAGACCTAGGCCCGAACCCCTGCATAAGCCTCCTGCGACATACCCGTCTCGTTCCCCGATGCATCTCGCACGGCGATAAGGCCCTGCTTAAGACCGGTAACTTCATACTGATAACCCTACCCTGGGGTGCACCGTAATTTTGACGAACTCGGAGTAGAGGCCAAGGCAAGCTGTACGTACACTGACCCAGTTAGATTCACACTCGATATTCACTCTCATCCATTTCTCTTTGCCATTTCTGCTCTTGGTAGACGCCAAGCAGCCCAAAGCGCACAGAAATGCAATCCCCATCCCAACAAGCCAGCAGCACGGCTCTTTCTGAAAACGAGCGACATGGCATCGGAGACACCAGTCTGCCGCTTCCTGAGATGGCGGCTCCCAACTCCAAAGAAGAGGAGACCAAAACTCGAGAGATATCAAGTGACTCGTCAACGGATGATCTGGAGCCGCAATGGATCAGCGGCCTCCCGCTTGTGAATATGATGGTCGCCCTGAGCATCGTCATGTTCCTCGTGCTCCTCGATGGTTCGATCATTGGGACGGTGCGTGCTTTTTTGCTTCTTCTGTCTTTCTCGTCGTTGATGCTTGAATCCCTTTTCCCCACGTGTCTCCAATCGTGAGAAAGGACAGCGACTCATCTCGGGTCCGAAGTTAATTTATTAGGCCATCCCACGCATCACGAGCGAGTTCCATTCTCTGGAAGATGTAGGCTGGTACGGGTCGGCATTTCAACTCGCGAGGTAATTATGCACGCAGCAGACACCAGCCTCGCCATCGAGAATGGTTATAAAGCACATGTTCCCACTACTCAGTGGTTGTTGTGGACTAACCATTGTTCAGCGCCGCACTAGGACCCCTGACGGGGAAGATCTACGCGACTTGCGATAAAAAGGTACGCCAGCTCAGCATCAATTCGTATTTGGTGTGATCAAGAGATCTAAAGCGGGCAACCGTCGACACTAGTGGACATTTATATGGTTCTTCGCTATCTTCGAGGTGGGATCACTCCTCTGTGGCGTGGCCGTGTCGTCCAACATGTTGATCGTCGGGCGGGCGGTGGCTGGCATGGGCGTGGCGGGCCTGCAAAACGGTGGCCTGACCATTGTAGCCAGCGCAGTTTCGCTTCAGAGACGTGCCAGTACGTGGAAACCGGCTTCGTGGAAATCATTAGGAGTTGCTGGCTGACTTTAAACCAGGTCTGAATGGCATTCTTGTGGGATGTAAGTTGATCCAGTCTACCTTCAATCTAGGATCTCTAGCTTACCTTACTCTTTCATTCTAGTGAGCCAGTTAGGCATCGTGATGGGGCCTCTAATTGGGGGGGCTTTCACGTCATATTCCACTTGGCGATGGTGTAGGTGTCCCTCATTTACTCAGACTAGACTGAGTGTCTTGCTCACCTCATGGTAGGCTTCTACATCAACCTTCCTCTTGGCGCTGTCGTCGCCGTTGCCCTATTCTTTGTGCGCATTCCGGAACAAAAAGCCACGGGCAAGAGCGAACGCTTAAGTGCAAAAGCGCGTGCTTTGATCAGAGACCTCGACTTGCTCGGCTTCACTCTGCTGACCGGATTCGCAATTGAGCTCCTCCTCGCTCTTCAGTGGGGCGGCAGCTCATACGCCTGGAACAGCTCAGTCGTCATTGGCTTGCTCTGCGGCGCTGCAGTCACCCTCGTCTTATTCCTGTTCTGGGAGCATCGCAAAGGCGACGAGGCCATGATTCCGTTCTCGATCATGACCAAGAGGGTCGTCTGGTGCGGCTGCCTGGTCTACGGCTTCTTGATGGCGTCACTCTTCCTCTTGACCTACTACCTCCCTATCTACTTCCAGTCCGTTCTGAATGCGACGGCGATATTGAGTGGCGTCTATACACTGCCGAACATCTTGGCTCAACTGGCGGCTGCGATCATCTCGGGACTTTTAGGTGAGTCCGAGCACGTCCCGCTCTCCTTTACGAAGAATCGTGAATTATCTGACTTGGGATTATTCAGTCGGTAGATTGGGCTACTATCTTCCTTGGAGTATCGCCAGTGCAATCATGACATCCATCAGCACGGGTCTCATGTCCACCTTTGACGTCAACACACCGGCGGGCAAGTGGGTCGGCTATCAGATCTTGTTCGGTGCTGGCTGCGGCATGGGGATCCAAATGGTAAGCACCTCCCATCTCCTTCAATGCAAAGCATTCAGACTCATCAGCTTCGCGCCTCCAAAACAGCCAATCCTCGCGGCCCAAAACTCGCTCGCGGCCCAATACATCCCCATCGCCATCGCCACGCTCATCTTCGCCCAGAACATGGTGACCGCCATCTGGCTGACCATCGCCTCGACCATCTTCGAGAACAGTCTCCGCACGCTCATCGTGGAATACGCCCCCTCCGTCGATGCGGAGGTGGTGATCAACGCGGGAGCCACGGGGATCCGGGACGTGGTGCCGGCCGGCCCGGTCCTCACACAGGTGCTGGCGGCGTACTCGAAGGCTATCGATAACACCTTTTACCTCTCGACGGCGTCGTTGGCGGCGAGTTTGTTGTTCGTGTGGGGCACGGGGTGGAAGGATATTCGAAAGAAGAAGGAGACTTCGCTGTCGTAAGCAGCAGATGGACAGGCTTGGTGAGTCACTGTCTACTTTTCTTGCATTTGGCTGTCCTTTTGGTTCGGAAAGAGATGTACATGGCTGGGAAGGACATTTCGGTTTGAGGCGCATAACAATAGCGTCCAAGATTGCGTCATGTAACAAAGCACCCATTCGTACTAGATACAACTGCTATCTGCACATCTTAGTCTAGGACCCTTTTTAAAAGACATCTAACTTTCTGAAGGTTTCCTAATCCCAGCCATAGACGGTACAAGTAGCAGTAAAAGAACCGTACTTTTGGTCTCTACAAGGTACTAAGCACAAAACAGCATGGTGTATATCCCTGGGTCCAGGGCCGGCAGAGCCATGTACGAACTCGAGTATTCTACTATTTAGTGATTGATAAGTTAGTGTAACAGTGCCATACCCACAAAGGTGATGTGCAATGCAGACAGATTCGAGCGAATACAGAGCACATTGGCTGGGTTCTAGCGGAACGAGAGACTTTATTATTCATCTCAACAAAAACATCAACATACGCCGTGCACTGCCAGGCCTCCCCATCATCTGCAAAGAGATCAAGCCGGCAGCTTCGCGATAAAAGCCAACCTGCCCAACTGGATGGCCGCCCCCTGTCGAGACTCGTCGCACGCCTGCGACACCATTGCCGAGTACTTGGCCCCTGCCTCCGTGTCCCTCAGTTGAGTTCGGCAGAATTCTGCCACAGTGAGAAGCCAGCTGTGACGTTGGGGGTTAGTTACTACCGGCGATGATGGTTGCATGAGACACGCCGACTTACACCTCATATAGATACCGCCATAGCATGGGGGGATCGATATGCTCGCGAAGGGAGACCTTCTCGAAGCCCTGGCTCTGGAATATTGAGTCGGCGCTGGTGAACCACCTGCATCGTCGCCACAGTTAGTGAATTGAATCGCTCGCAGTTACTGGGGCACCATACTCGTCTCCGCCTCGATACTTCCTGGATTCCCGAAGGACGTAGTCGAGCAACCCGTCCGTCCCCGGCGTCTCAAGGGATGGGTTGATCTTGTGGACGCGGCTCGCAGAACTCTTCACTTCCTCCCACTGGATCCAACCTCCGGGCTCTAGATAGGAAAAGAGAAGGCAATCAGTATCGGGTGCTCGTTCGAACCAGAGAATTGGTCTTTACTTAGGATCTTCTTCAAGTTCGAGATCACTTGGATGCCATGCTCGGTATCTCTGACGTTGATTCCGAAGAGACGCACGTGGACAATGTCATATTGGCCGACGAATTTCGACTCGGGACTCTCAAAGGCATTCCAGACATGGAAGTTGATGTTCCCCGGCAACCACTCGGGCTGGGGGCATTGGACAATGTCAATATCGAAACCATCAAGCTGGATGTTGCTGGTCGGGGCGTTCTTTTCTGTGAGGCCGAGTTCTTGCGCAAGGTCGATGAGCCAGATTCTGTTGACAGTCAGTTCCGCTGGTACGCTGTCGAGATCGCCACCTCGTACCCTGTTCCGGTACCGATATCGGCAATTTTGATCTCCTTGTTCGGATTAGACTGTAAGCCCAGCTCCTGTTTGATGTCCGGGTGAATGGTGTATCCCAACGAGTCCCTCCAGAGGTAGTTCTGGAGGTTTAGGCTGCATCATCTGTTAATACCCTCTCTAACGCCTTCAATCAGGCTATGGATATGAGAATGGGCAACATCAGCGTACCGGATCGATGCTAAATGGTCTCGGTTCAGGCCATATGGGTCTTTGGCTGTTACATCTATTGTCAGTATAATGTGGAAACAAGAGAATAGCAACCACCAACCATGTCCATTTCCGTTAGTTGCCGCCATATTGCTAGGCTGAGTTTAGTCTTCAACAGCAACTCAACACTTGAAGTAGACTTTACTGGGAGAACGGATCAATCACAGTAAATTATGCTATCTTGGGGGAAACCCTTGTGGGGCTGTTTTATAGCGCTTGATTTTTACGACAAGATGCTAAATTCACGGCCAACCTCCTTCCCAAACACCGCCCTCACGCCAATGCCGCAACTGCCTTAGATATCGGAGTGCGCGATTGTCTTCAAGCTGCGGAGGTTCAGCTTCGACTGCATCTTACGAAAATCCCCGCCAAGAGGATCGGCACTAGATACCGAATGGTTGCTAATCGGGGTCCGACATGTGTGTCGAAATAAGCGTCAGCAAGGGGGCGGCAAGTCGGGAACCACCTGCAGCCAATCAAGGCATGCCGAGGGAGTTAGCGGCCCGGATCTTACGCGCATCCTCGATTCATATCTTACACCCCTGGACCCCCGTATTATCTACCCCCACTGTTTATTTTGGGGCGTTTTTCAGCGCAACATCCAACGACCAACAACCAACACCGAACCCCGTACCGCTGAACGCAATGCGACGGGCTTTGCATGGCTAGTCTCGGAGGAAATTTGCACTTGAAAAATACCACCTATCTCGGTAACACAATGGATTTAACGGACTTAAACGGGACTTAACCAGGGTCCAGCTTCGCCCTATTTAGTGTAGTTCGGCTTGGCCCCTGAAGTGATATGGGATGATTTGCTAGTCCATCAGAATCACTCCTCTTTTGCCACATATCCATATCTCCTCTCACCAATATTTCACCCGAGACGAAGAATTAAATTCACCATGGCATCTAACAAGACCATCGTCCTCATCACTGGTAAGTCGGCTGGTATTTACCGATCCACTACAGACGGTTAACCCACCCGTGTTTCAGGCGCCAACAGCGGCATCGGCTATGACACCGTCGTGGGTCTCGCCGAAGCGTCGTCTGACTTCCACATCCTTCTTGGCGCCCGAACCGTGGAGAAGGGCCAAAAGGCCCTGGACGAGATCCAGTCCCAACACGGCAGCTCGTTGAAGGGCAGCATCTCCGTCATCCAGCTGGAAGTCACGGACCAGAAGTCGATCGAGGCGGCCAAGGAGCACGTCGAGAGCACCTTCGGCAAGCTGGACGTACTGATTAACAACGCGGGCATCATCGTGATCCGCCCGTGCGACACGTTGACCAACCTGCGCGAGACCTTCGAGACCAACACCTTCGGCCCCATGGTGATCACCGAGGTGTTCGAGCCGCTGCTGAAGAAGTCGTCCAGCCCACGCGTCATCCACGTGTCGTCGGAGCAGGGCTCCATGACCCTGAGGCTGGACCCGACCTACAAGTTTGCCCAGGTGCGCGGCGACACGTACCGCATGAGCAAGGCTGCCATGAACATGCTGGCCGCCTGCCAGAGGTACAACTTTGCCGAGTGGGGCTGCAAGGTCTGCGCCTTTAACCCGGGCTTCTGTGTCACCAACCTCACCGGGGAGAAGGGCCGCGCCATGCGCATCCAGCATGGTGCGAGACCCGCCAAGGACGCGGCTGACGCCCTGGTGGAGGTCGTCACGGGGAAGAGGGATGCTGATCTTGAGAAGTCTGGCATCGTCGACCTTGACGGTGGGGTGGTGCCCTGGTAGACGTGTTGGTAATCATGGGCACGCTGTGTTGGGAAATAAGAGCTGAATGTCTAATCTCCAGTCTCTATCTTGTGCTTGTGCTTCTGTGGTAATTTCCCACTTGACTATGTCAAAGATATTATGCCCAGGATTACGACCATGAATCCCAGACGCATCGGCGACGTTGTCGACAGGTGCATTCGTAGATTAAAGGAGATCAAGTAACTACAACGAATGACACGAGCTGCGTGATTGAGAAAAAGGTATTGGCTAAGTTTGTGTGCGTAAATCGCCCGCTTCTGTTACGGTACCTGGAAATGGGTGGTTGTATACCCCTGTCTGTTGTAATGGGGCGAACTTGCGACCGCTCTTGATTAGCTTCTTGGTGATATGGTCTTGGTCCGGATTGTATTCAATACGGTACGCTAGCAGGAGCTCGATCCATTCGAGCCTCTAAAGCGCATAATTTCACTTCCAATCATTACTTGACTAAAGCTTTTGCCGTCCTAGTCCATAGAACGAGACTCAAGAGGCAGGAAAGTCAATCCCCCATTCCTGCCTCCACGTTACACAAATTTGGTTGGCTAGTAGGCTGCCTGTAACGTGGAACAGATCCAATGGACGACGAACGTAGCCAGCTACTGCAGCCTTCAAACATTACGTGGGGTTGGGAGGCCTCTCACAGCCTGATGGGCACAAGTGCATATAGACCTCACCAGGCTTATTGAGAAGGTTATCTCTGGGTTGCCGAGTATCAATACTCAACCTTCTCTCCTGGACAAGGAAGACGTCGCTGTAGCTGCCCTCCGTCAGATCAGCAAATACCAAGTCAACTATTGACTGGACATTCTGTCAAAATGGACATCAAAGATGTTTCCGACGTCGGCGACTATGTCGGCTTATTGAAGCAGATCCAAGACAAAGCAGAGCGAGCAAGTCGAAGAAAGGGCCAAATGGTGCGAGACCATCCTCCGCCCGAGCAGCTGATCTCAAGCTTTATGATGAAGATATTTGCCTCGACTATGCGCCCAAAGTCGACGGACAACACCACTGTCATGGCTACATCGCAAGTGCCAGCGCCTTACGCTCCTTGTGCCCGCTCCGTCAGCGAGCTCCAACCGATCATGCTATCTGAGATGAGACTCGAAACGCATCATCGGGGAAAGAGGACTATACTTCGCGTCCTGACGCCTCCGGACCGCATGACCGCTGTAATGGCTATCGTCGAAGACGAACAGGGGACTGCCATACTACTCCAGCTTTATCACCAGCCAGAAGAGTCAGTGGTGCCTGCCGAGCAGATACTGCAGCCTGACCGCGTCTGCATCCTCAAAGAACCCTACTTCAAATGTGCCACAGACGGTACATACTCGTTGAGGACGGACCATGTGAGCGACATCATCTGGCTAGAGGACACTGACGAACGCATCCCCTCGAAATGGAGGAAGCCCGCGTCGACTCTGAACAACAACAGCAAGGGCATTCGGCTGCAGGGCAACGATGCTGTGAAGAATCAGAGCTGGGCGGAGGCACAGCGCTTGTGAGCTTTTTGATGTGATTCCATCTTCCACATGCCGGCATTTAGCTAAGCTCCCTCCAGATACTCGTCTGCCATCCGGGTTGCAGAGACACCCGAGGAGGAGCAGCTAGCCTAACTCAACCGCTCGCTGGCAAACCTCAGGCTCGGGCGTCCGGAGAAAGCCTTGTCAGATGCTGCCCAGGGCAGCAACGCCGATAGGCCTTCCGAGAAACGAATCTTCCGCTTCCGCGAGGCACAAGCACTCTACAGACTGGGCCATCTCAGGCAGTCTCTGGAAAGGCTGCAGGATCTCTCAGAGTCGCACCCCGAGAACACGGCCGTGAGGCCGGAGATGGACCGCGTCAGGGCAAGACTGCACGAACAGCAGACTGGGGAGTACGCGTTCCGCCAGATGTACAAGCAGGCCAGACAGACGCCTCCGATCGTCGACTGTGCCACCTTTTCCGCGCCCGTCGAGGTACGCCCGTCGCCCGGGCGGGGCCGGGGAGTCTTCACCACCGTGCCAGTCTCTGCTGGTCAGCTGCTTGTCTGCGAAAAGGCGTTCACGTACAGCTATGCGGGAGACGACGAGCCCGCAAGAAGGCACACCATTCTGATGAATCTGAGCACCAAGAAGATGGTGGTGGGTGGCCAAGCTCAGCTCCTCACGCAAACTATACAGAAACTGTATCACAGCCCCGAGCTGTCGCATTTATTTTGCGATCTGCACCGCGGGGACTACGCTATGAGCCCAGTCTCGGAGTCTGATGGGTATCCGGTGGTCGATTCGTCAGTCAACACCTTTCACGTTTGGCAGGAGAAAGGGGGGAGAATATCTGCTAATGCTAGCCCAGGTTTCTGGTTGAGAAAATCATCTCCCTCAACTCATTCGGGGCTCCAAGGTGCGACGAGGGACCTCCCGGCCGACACCGAGCTGTTCCATTGCTACCGGCCGCCTATGCCTCTTGAATCGTACAAGGAGGGACAAAAGCACCTCAGCAACTGGGGCTTCACGTGCGGTTGTGACTTGTGCATGGCTAGGAAGGCGACACCCAGTACAGCGATTCAGAGACGCAAGGCCATCTATAGAAAGCTCAACACTGTCATGAACGGGTCCGCAGCGACCAATGTTTCCGCGGCTCGGCGGTTGCTCAAGCAACTCGAGGAAACTTACCTTGAGACGGAAGCCAACGCTGTTCGGCTGGAGCTCTGGGATCCATACTTTGCACTGGGCGCTACTCTGCTGTCTACTGGCAAGCCGGCAGATGCCGTCAAGATGATTATCAAGGGATTTGAATCGCTAGGATATAACATCACTGCATGCCCGCCCATTGGGGATGCAAAGCCGGCGCAACTCGAGGTCAAACAGTGGGGCTTGTCGAACGACTACACCATCTGGGCTTTCTTGAATCTGTTCAGGGCTTACAAGACACTTGCCCCCGAGCTCTGCGCAACTGCCAAGCGATATGTCGAAGATGCTTACAGTATGGTCGTGGGCGAGAAAGAAACGATATATGACGAACTCCCGGAGCTCGCATGACGGTTCCGATCAAAGACATACGGGGATTCAGGAGGCGGCCTGAGCAACGCAATATCTCATACTATCAATGGAGTACAGGGTTTGAAGATTGTTTTGGATGGAAACGAAGGATGGAGGAGAAGGCTGGTAATTAGGTAACAAACAGAGCGGCCGTAGAAATAAGATACGCACTTGGGGTTTCGGATGTCGTTCACGCACCACCGGGATGAGATGAGATTCTTCACTCCTTTGCGAGAGGCTTCGTTTAGACGGCGACACCCGCAGCGTCTTGAGCAATATTAGACGCCAGATCTACGTTCTTGCAAGATAAGCACGTCGTGCCGGACCGCGTCGCCGGGACCACGACGCTGGAAAGGGCGGTGGTCCACCCACCCGGCCCCCAGCCGCGGTGACGCCACCTTCGCCAGGTCCTAGGGCTTGCTGCAGACCATCTAGGGAGGTAACATGCTCGTCAATTGGGGCTCCGAGGGCCGGGTGACCGGCTATGCTGCCGACGGACGGGTCGCCGGTCTTCCACCCCTTCCATGGTGGCGACGGGTTCCTGGCAGAACTGCCGCGCGTTTCGGTACAACTGGACCGGATACTCGCCCGAGACGTCGGCCGTGCTGGACGAGGTGGACGCTGCGGCGGGGGAACGGTGGGTATGTACATGAGCTGGATCAGGGATACGGATAGGATGATCTGGAGGTTTGTTCCGACGGAATAGGACGGGGGGAGCGGGTTTACGCAGCGCGAGAGGAAGCGGGGAAGTCGCAGTTCGAGACGGAGGTGTGGCCAAGACAAGAACCTTGATGGCCTCTACTTGCCTGTTGCATTAATGTGCCTTAAACATCACCTATCACTTGTCTTCTCCAGACTCGACTCAATTTTTCTCCATACTCTCTCTCAAGCAAACCTCCCGGTTGACGATTTATATAATCCCACAAACTGACACATTTAATGGAGCACGCTGCCTTTCTATCGCCCCGATTGAAATAGAGACGACTCGCTCCATTCGCCCTGACCCCTTTGACGCACCTCACCTCCCACTCTCGAGCTCTTCTCCGGACAGAAACCACCAAGGTGCACACGAATGCACCAATATATACACCCCAGGGAAGAAGGGCCCCATGCAGCAAGCATCATAATAGATGCCTTGCGCTGTCTGTTGCATAATTATCCGTAGGAGATTGCGATGCGCCTTGACTGAGCGTTTGAAAGCCTCGATAGTCTCATCCCATTAGGCATGCCAGAGAATAGTGCTGAGAGCTGCACTGCCAGAATGGTCTGCGCGATGGTGGACACGCACGAAACGCCCCCGATGGCACCCATCGAGCAAACGAGGTACACGAGTGACGCAGCAACAGCGTGCTCTGCGTGAGGTCAACCCACGCCAGAATGACCCGTCGCATGGGGGTAAGACAGTCGCGAGAGTATTATGAGGACGAAACTCATATATCTTCACTTGACCTGGCTAACATATTAACTAGAGTTTCCCCCCTCGCTCCCGATTGCCTGACGAGGAATCTCGCAGTAACAGCTGGCCTATCTCTCGTCCTCTTCCACCCCCGGCCAATTCTGCCAGCGTCGATGACGTTATTCGCGGGTCTTCGAGTGGTAGATCAGCATAGATTTCAACTCACCCGCTCCCACGCATTTCCCCACTTTCCACCAGACCAACAGCCCCCAGCTTTTCTCTCAGGACCCGTCGATGTGTTAACAGTGCTAACCCAGCATCAAACGCTACTGCAGCTCCGAATCCTAAGACCGAGGAAGGGATCATGATGCGATAATCACATTCCATCCCACGAAATTTTATTCCCTACGAATATCGTCAGGTCCGGTCGACGGCGGCTTGGGCGGATGGCGAGTCGGCCACCATGATGACCCGAGATCGCCAAGAAACCGGCTTTAAAGTGGGGATGCGCCCTCCCGACGACAACCGGAGGTGGCATATTCATTTGAGCACCGCCGCCAGCCACTCTGGATTCCCTTCTCCACCATAACGTATTGAGCATTGAACCATTTGGCAAGAGAAGCACAAGACCAAAGCAAACATGGCCCCGGAAACCAGCGAAAGCGTCGAAATCACCGCAAGGTGCCTCTGCGGGGCCCACAGCTTCACCACCTCGGTGCCCCGCTCCGACCTCCCGCTCAAGGCATCCGCCTGCCACTGCACGTCCTGCCGCCACACGACCGGCGCGCTCCACACCACGGATGCGCCGTGGCCCGGCCCCGCCGACGCGATCCGCCGCTCAACCACCCTCAGCCGCTACGTCTTCGGGGCGCGCGTCCACGTCCTCTTCTGCGGCACGTGCTCCACGCCGCTGTTCTTCGAGGAGTTCCGCGCTGGGCCGGGGGAACCGGGCGAGTTAGGCGTGTTCACCGGTGCGCTGGGCAACAACGCCCTCGGCGGCGACGACGGGAAGCGACTCGTCAGCGTCGTCGACCACATCTTCGTCGGCGACACCATCGACGGCGGGGCGAGCGTGTGGCTCCGCGAGACGGGGGACGGAGCCGCCGGCCGGGCGACGAGGTGGTTCGGCGGGCGCGGCGAGGGCGAGGAGGTGCCGGAGGCGTGGCCGCCCGTCTCGTCGCTGCCGGGTGCGGACGTCAGGTCCGAGGTCGCGGACGTGCCGGTCCGGTGCCGCTGCAGGGGCGTCGACCTGGTCTTCCGGCACGGCGAGCATCTCGCCGAGTTCGAGGGGATGTCGCGGGCGGAGCTGCCTTGGTTTGTCGACCCGGTGACGCACAAGACGTTTGCTGGGTTTGAGGGCTGCGATTCTTGTCGCCTGTCGCTGGGCGCTGATGTGATCCATTGGACGTTTGTGATGCTGCGCCACCTTGCCTTTTCGGAGGGGACGGGGAGACAGGACTTGCCCGCGTTCCCACGGACGGCGGCTGATCTGAACGCTGCGGTGTCGGCCCAGAACAGAGATCCCCGCCTCGGTACGCTCTCGCTGTACGCCAGCTCCCCCGATGTCCAGCGGTACTTCTGCTCGCGCTGCTCGGCTACCGTCTTTTATGCGTGCGACGACCGCCAGGATTACGTGGATGTGGCGATTGGATTGCTGGACGCGCCCGATGGGGCGAGGGCGGAGAGCATTTTGAGCTGGTCTTTCGGGAGCACTCCGTCGTGGTTGCAGGATGTTGCTGGGGGATGGCGAGATGGGCTGTTCACGGATATCGTGAAGGAGGCTGAAAAATGGCGGGTCGAAAGGGGCTACCCCAAGAACTGGCGAAGGGTTGAGTTGGAAGAGGCTGAGAAAAAGACAGAGAAGTAGGAAGAGTCCGGAGGGAGAGGAGCCGGGAGGGAAGCGAATTAGAGACGTGGCTTTGCATTTCCTCGAGCATGGAGCCATCAAGGGGTAGAGCTTGCTTGGAGTTAAATGCCGAGGCCATGGTGCTGCTCGAGGAATTTCAGGTATTTAAGAAGAACATGCTTCAGTAGTCAAAGTGATCTCTTCTAGGCAGTGCCAGATATTCTCGACCGGCCGTGGTGTCTCTCCGGAGAGGAGGACATCCAGCCGCTCGTCGCAAATCCTTAGGGCTAGAATGGGCAGAAGGGCATGTCTAGAACCAGGTAGTCGTGATAACAATGAGTGGTGAAACTGGGAAGTCTTCCAATCGCTCTCAAATATTGCTATTGCTGGTTTATCAATGACCAACTCTCCTGACTCTTCCAACCCCCATTGTCTAGTAGGGATTTAAGCTCCAACTGCAAAGAGCTCGTATGTAAATGCCGAAACGATAGTAGATCTTTCACTTTCACTTTAGTGCCCTGTTATGCAACTCCCCCGGCCGCAAATCCCAGTCCCCTTGACCCTAATATGCCCATACCATATCGCAATCTCCACCTCGCCCTAGAATGTCTGTCCTCCAATCCCCACGCACTGCCAGCAAAAGTCTTCAATGTTCACCAGAGTATTGGCATCGCGTCTAGGGCAAGGTCTCGTAGCCAGAGCCACTGTTGTGCGAAACACGGTTCGAAAACAGCCAGTAAACAACCAGGCCGATGATGGGAAAGAGGAAGACGACGAGGCACCAGAGCAGCTTCGAGACTGGTGGACGGTTGGACTTCACGACCTCGACTGAGCGCAATGGTCAGCAGGTGTGATCCAAATTCCCACGCATCCAAGCAGATTTCGTGGGAGGGCGCAGCGTCAGTTGAACATACCGAAGACAATGATGTCAAGTATCAAGACAACGAATCCTATGATCCCTCCGCCTGTTCCATATGACCAGGAGTTGCCGGCCGCGGTGGTGGTCAGCGTCTTGTCCGCGACGGGAGCTGCGAAGGCGAGCGTGGCCAGGCAGAGCTGAAGGATGAAGCTGGAGAGGAGAGCGTTTTGGACCATGTTGGAGTCTGTTTCTGTGAGTCTTGCTATTTCAAGAAGTAAGAAATTGTGGTCTGGAGAGAGGAGAGAATGCTCTTGATCAAGGAAATAAGAAGTAAGGTAGGTAACTACCGTCCTTCTGAAACTTCGAAGCAGGAAAGAGGGGTTATGGCTGTTATCGTCACCTGTGCTGCTCAGAGTGGTGACGTCACCAGTCACGCCCGCACAACTCCGGCCCGCCTCGGCTAGGCCCGGCACTAGTTAAACGTCCACTCCACCTTGAACACCCTCCGCAGCGCATTATCGGAGCACTTTGCTGTTGTCATTCAGTAGACCAAGTACAACAAGGAGCATCAATAATCATCTCCCGAAATGCTAGATCAGTCATATCCGGTATCTTGGCCTTGATCACAGACGCCAGACGAGGCTTGCCTCTCGCGCATCGACGTGGATCAGAGAAAGATACCTCGGGTCACATCATGGATTTGCTCAACTCTCCTCGGAAATTGGTTGCTTGTCCTCGACAGCTGTGGTCGGATTGTGGCATAGTTGACAGAGCCAATTCACATTTGACAGCATGAAGCTGGTGTTAGTTTAAGGTTTGGTCATCGAATCTAGAGGCTTAAACGTTAGACTGCGATTTGGGGTTTATTTAGTACTCGGTGGCGCACACCAGTCCCCAACTAGCCGCTGCAACTACAAGCCTAAGGGCATCTTCAATGACCCCTCGCATCCAGGTTCAGATGGATGTTGAACCACCTCCCTGGACGTCTTTCTACCAGCCTCCCTTGTCTGTATCTTTTCTTTAGAATATGCAGCAACCAAATTCCGAGCCGAGATATGTCGTGTGCCATGCCAAAACATATACTAATTAGCACATTCTAATTCGCGCTTTTACTGGTTGAACCTCCCCCCGTACCCCCCCAGGTGATGTGTGAGTTCGTTCTAGACCTGGCGAGACCAGATCTAAGTTGCGAACCTTGAAGCATGTTCAGGCTAATTCACGTTTTTTACTGTAAAATAGCCCGAAGTAAGGGCTAGGTGATCCGGAGATACTTGGTCGTGCGGAACCAGGCACCGTAGCTAGACAGATCGAAGCTTAGAAACTCTTGAAGCTAGGGGAAAGGAGTATCATGGGATACCGTGTGCTATTTTCAAGCAGGAACATCGTGTACTATTATATCAGAACATGTACTGGTATATCCATTCCGAACAAAGGATGTGGGAAAGTACAAGATCCTAGCTCCACTGAGGACGACGAAAACCCCTCTCCCCTCTTGTCGTTCTTTTTGATTGGTTCCGCCCTTGCAATCAAATACCAACGGGAGGGTATATACTTTGGAAGGCGGGGAAATACCAGTGCGTGCAGGGACAGGGATGCGTGCATTACCACCCGTGATTAGCTCGCGTGTTGAGGAGGGTGGAGGTACTCTGTAATTGGCCTCCGGGCTACACTTCAAAAGCTCTCGTCCTTCTCGAATAAATGCCGGAACCTTCTTTGGAGTACCAGCGATCGGCGCAAACTTTGTTCCTCTGCCTTCTTCTGATTTCTCCTGACCCCTAAATGCCATATATCAGAGGGTTGTGGATGCAATTGCCACAGAGTGAACTTCTCGACTACAGCTTTCGAAAACTACTACACCCTCGCCCCCCAAGTCATATCGCGAAGTCGACTTTCGCTACAGTCAACAAGATGCTGATCCTCGATATAGATTTCTCGCCAGAGCCGTCCCTAACTAGGATTCTAGCCCAGGCATCTAATTTGAGGTCTTGGTGCTTGTTGCTGTGCTGGAGGCTACCTCGAGAGGATGCTGTGTCGCGGTAGACTTGTTTCCACTTCGGCTCCATGCCCCATCTCATCAGCAGCCATGCCACAATTTTACAAAGATTCCAGTGCGAGACGCTACAGGGAGGGGGGTGGACGCTTGCAGCGCCGTCTTGTTGGCGTGGTTGATCTCATTGACGTTGAGACCCTCGTCGGCGCCGTCGCCACCTGCAGTCGGCTAGGTGGATGCCGCGGCCCGATATGTCGAGGTGGAAGTTCGGGTTGCGGTAGCGCGAGATGCGGAGCAGTTTGAGACAGAGGTCGGCCCTTGTGTCCCTACTGGGCAGTAAGAACGAGTGCGTGTAGCACGCCCTGGTCGTGCTCGCCTGGCGCATCAGGATTCGTCGAAGGGTGGCGAAATCAGCAGTACGTCGTACAAACCCCACGCTTCGCTTTTTATGCTATTTTGGACCATCATAATCTCATTCTGCGACTTGAGGACCCTGGCATTGAAAATTGCGTCATGTTGCCGAGCTTCCCTTGCCAACATCCTTCCTTTCTTGGTTGTCTTTACTGGGCCTCATGAGGCGCGATGGTGGCGAATAGGCCATCCGAGTTGCAGGTATGAAGGAGTAAATCCCTCTGCGAATGATCAAGTGCCGCAATTCCAAGAATGCCAAGTCGCCAACGGTCGCCAATGCCAACGCCAACGGTCGCTAAAAGCCTAGGCTATTGCTTGACAACGGTTATCCAGACCTTCCCGCCTGGGCATTCGACAACGTAGTAATATAACCTTAATGTTAGGTGGTACTAACCTTGTAACCTTCTAATTAAGAAAACGCCACTTCCACATATGCACATTGCAACAAATTAAAAAAACTCTTATCGAAGGGAATGCCGGATCCGGAAAGTCCTTATCACCAACAGACGCTTTGATATCGACCTTCCTAAACCTTCGTAGCCCCCAATGCGGAGATTACCAGCCGGCATCACATTTACATGTAGAATCCCGGCTAAAAGTCTAGACAACGGTACATCCCCGTCCAGAGGGGCAGTTAAGCGACGGTTCACGATTGCCAACTGAAGGCGTGCGATGGCACAAATCTCGGGCTGCATCACATCACTGACCGCCTTGTTACACGATGTGCATCGTGGAGAGTGGATGGTTCATATGTGCCTGGATTAGATATTAGAGCGGGCATATGGAAAATCTTAATTATGAGGCGAGCCGCCGACGCCGACGCGACAAAGTTTTGTGTTTGCACAGCTCCCTCCGCCCCCTCAGGCGACTGCCATTACCATTGCCATTGCCATTGCCATTGCCATTGCCATTGCAATTGCTTCTTGGCAACGGACGGGTTTCTGTGGTTCTCCTAGGCCCCACTCAACCAGAGCAGGCAGTAGAGCAACATGCCTTCCCCTGTCGCCGACGCCGTCGAGGCCGAGGTCGTCTCGGTCCCAAGCAACGAGGTCGTCTCGGTCCCAAGCCACGAGGACAACATCGACGAGAAGATCCACCTCGCTGTCGACGACGAAAAGACCGGCAAACATGGTGCGCTGGATACCGAGATCAAAGCTGTCCCCCCCCTGTACGATAGCGAAAATCACGACAAGGACTCTGACAGTGACGACGTTATCATCATCACGGGTGCCGATGCGGCGGCACATCTGCTGCCGCTGCGGGACGATGGCGAGCCCGCTTTGACCTTCCGAAGTCTCTTCTTGGCCACGGGTCTCTCGGGCTTCCAGGCCGTCATGACGCAGATCTACAATGTGAGTTGGCATTTGGTTTTAATGGTCATCATCCCCAACATAGGCTGACCCTTTTTCCAGTTCAAACCGACTCCAGTGGACATTTCGGGGACTTTTATCGTCCTCATCGCCTACTTTTTGGGCAAAGCATGGGCCGCCTTTCTGCCCCGCGGTGATCGATTCGAGGCTCGATGGCGGGAGAAAGGTGGTCTGGGCAAACCTCCCCGATGGATCAGGCTCCTCTCCCTTTTCAACCCTGGGCCCTGGAACCTGAAAGAGCACGCAATATGCGCCATCACTGCCACGTCCGCCTCCAACGCTTCCGTGAGCGTTACCGTGTTTGCCGCACAAGACCTCTTCTACGACCTCCCCGTGAGCGCCACCACCGTCATCTTGAGCGTCATCTCGATTGGGCTGTTTGGCTACGGCATCTGCGGCGTCATGCGCCCCATTGGCGTCTGGCACGTCGACGCAGTCTACTGGGGCACTCTTCCCACGGTCAAAACCCTCCAGGGACTCCATTGGCAGGACGTGAAGAACTCCAAGCCCCTCCGATTCTTCTGGTACAGCTTTGCGGCCATGTCCGTCTACGAGTTCTTCCCCGCCTACATCTTCCCGTGGCTCAACTCAGTCTCCATCCCCTGCCTCGCCGCAATGCACGCTACTGGCGCCAAGGCAGCTGTGCTCACAAATATCTTCGGCGGAGCCAACAATAACGAGGGGTTGGGACTTTTCAGTCTGTCCTTTGACTGGCAATATGTAAGATAGTGGTGTGTTCCCTGCATTGAAGCAACGAGGGCTGACTGAACCAAACTCCTTGCAGATCACTTCGTTCAACACCTCTCTTCCTCTCAAGCTGCAAGCCCATGCAGCTGTGGGGTATCTTGCCTGCTTTGCCGCAATGCTTGGCATCTACTACACCAATGCCTGGGAATCCAAGTCGCAGCCCTTCATGTCGACGCGTCTTCGATCCGAGGACGGTTCAACGTACCCCATCACGAAAGTCTTCACCGGTGGCGTGCTCAACAAGGAGGCCTTGGCCAAGTACGGTATTCCCAGACTCACGGGGAGTTTCGCGTACGCAATGTTCATGGCGAATGCTGCTGTAAGTGGCCCAGCCTAATACATAGATACAATCACCACCCGTCTCGCCACGGACTAATCAAACATTCTTGTAGATCGGCGCCCTGGTTGCCCACTGCTTCCTCTTCTGGGGCGGGGACGTCGCCAGGGCGTACAAGAGCGCGAAAAGCGGGAGATACGACGATCGACATCATGCGCACATGGCTGCGAATTACAAGGAGACACCATGGTGGTGGTACGTTGCCGTGCTTGTCATCAGTTTTGTGCTTGGACTCGTCGTCGTCACCAAGGAGAACATTACCCTTCCAGTTTGGGCGTACATTGTCTCGCTACTGCTGGGAATATTCATTGCACCCTTTGTGAGCATGCCCACAAACATACAGCGCCTACCTACAGAGCGACTTGTCTAACGCTGCTGCAGAGCACCATTCTCTTTTCCCGGTACGGCAACGGCATTGCTACGAACAACTTGTCGAAGATGCTGGCGGGTCTGATGATCCCTGATCGCCCCGTTGGTAACATGTACTTTGCCGCATGGTCGCATAATGTGATCTCGAACGCGGTGAGCCTGTCCAACGACCTGAAGATGGGCGAATACCGTACGTGTTATTATCCTCATGCCATCCGTGGATTCGCTCGGGTGCTGACCCTATGGGTGTTGCAGTCAAGATTCCTCCCCGTGTCATGTTCCTTACTCAAATCTATGGTACCATCTTGGGCGGCTTCGTCAACTACGCCGTCATGATTTCCATTGTGGCCGGCAATCGCGAACTCCTCACCGACAGCAACGGCAACAGTTCCTGGAGCGGTGCGACCATCCAGTCGTACAATACTAACGCAAGCTCTTGGGCACTGGCCGGCTATCTCTACAAACCTGGCCGCATGTACGAGATGGTGCCAATAGGGCTGGGTATTGGAGCCGGTGTAGTTGTCCTCCACCGCATCTTTGTATATGTGAGTGCACCTCATCCACCCCATTCATTGCTGGTGCCCGCCCGCTGACTCCGAGTTCTCTTAGTTCGTCCCCAAGATTCGAGGCTTCGCCACCACGGAGATCAACATGCCCCAGTTCATCCAATACGCGGGCTACATCCCCTACAACGCGTCTCAGACCTGCGTCATCTTCAGCCAGATCCTTACCGGGTTCTTCACCCAGTTCTACCTCCGGAACTACCGCCCGCGCATCTTCAAGGACTACTCGTACTTGGTCACCGGCGCCTTCGACGGTGCCAGTCTCGCGGTGCTCTTCATCCTGTCCTTTGCCGTCTTCGGCGCTGGTGGTCCTTCTGTTCCTTTTCCCACGTGGTGGGGCAACAATGAGGATGGTTTCTACGATCATTGCCCTGTGGCTGAGTAGGCACAGCTTGTTGGACGTAACTGCTTTTCTGTTAGCTATCTCTAAGGAGGTTTACACACACTGAATCGGATGCCCATGTGTCTTGTGAACCGCATATGCTGTAGGCACCACCGAGAACGGTCCGCGATGCGTTGCCGCACTTCTTGTCGTAGCCGGGTAGGGTGACATCGATTGTAGTTATAACCCGTCCACCACGTAACGGGGGGCGACGTCGAGTCTGCCTCAGCCGTTGCCTCACCAACCTGGTCACGCTCGTACTTCTTGCATTGGCCATGCCATTGAGGCTACAGTCCGCATCCGTATAATATCCTCGGCATGTCCAGAAGAAGTCGAGCGGGGTCCAAACGACAAGGAAGCTTGGGAGGCGCATTGTGAAGCCGGCACTGCCCTGTTTGATGAGGCCTCAGTAGTTTATCTGGAATGCCTCTTCTGCACTGAGCAATCAGCCCCCCTTAAAGATGTATCGAGCACCATTCGGCATTGCAACTTATCTACAATTACTATCCATACGCTCCCTAAGTCATCTCAAAACCCTTACATCTTGTCACCAAAACTCTCCAATCCCAGCCCCAACCGCAATCCGTCCACCTCAACAGTCTCACCCAATGACGGACTTGCTTCATCCATCAACGTACTGCTTTCTGCTTCCTCGGCAAACGACTGCTCCCCAGGCACCGTCGCCCTCAGCGTCGGTCCCCCAGCAGCGCTTACCGAGCCCTGGCGACGTTTCTCCTCCGCCTCTTTTGCCTCGGTCATTTCCCGCTCCATAAGCTCGACAAGAGCGTTGGGATTCGTCATGTCGAGCTCCTCGTCAAAGACGGTGAGGTCTGGTAAACAAATCACGTCAGCAGAAAAAAAAAAAAGAAAAAAAACAAAAAAAAAAAAAATGAATCGGGAGCCGGGGTAATTACTCTTGACTTCCCAGTCCTCCTCCACCCTTGATCCCCCGGACCGCTTCGTAAGCGACGATCCAAAATCAATCATACAGCGAGACGTGACGAATTGGTCTTCCCAGCCTCTCTCTGTTTCGCGCGTCCGTCAGCAATCCATTAATCACGACCAAACAAACCAGAGCCAATCCACTCACTGAACTCCCGCTTGTTCGTCCGACAAAGCCCGTTGAACGGCAGCGTGCTCCCCTGTTTCGGGTTCTTGTAGTAGGTGTCCTGCCCAAAGATGTTGATGCCGCACACGACCGACGAGAAGTCCTTGGGGTCCTGGTTGCTGAACGTGTAGCTGCCGGTCGTGAAGCTCTTGCCCGTGGCGCCCCACCAGCTCGCGGCGTCGGAGCCGCGGTCGACGATGGAGAAGGTGTAGTTGCGCTTGAAGACGAAGGACTTGGTGCTTGTGGTCTTTTTGGGTGTTTTAGTTTGTGCACGGATAAGGGAAGGAAGGGGAGGGGAGGAGTATGGGAGGGAGGAGAGGATGCTTACAGGCCAGGTGATGTCGTTGTACCCCGCTGGTATAGGCTGAACGTTGTCGTAGGTCGTGAAGCGCTGCTTGACACTTCCGTAGGTATAGTCTTCCGTATACCAGACTGTATCAAGTAGTTAGCCCACTTCTGCTCCGACATATAACCACTTGGGGTTAGCACTTACACTTGCGGTCGTTGGCATCAGCCTGACTCCCCCAGTAAAGCCAGTCATCCTTCCGATCGTCCACATTCTCAACAGAGGGTTCCATCTTGCCGACGTTCTGCTGGATAAAGCTCATCAGGGCTAGAGAAGAGGTCAATCAGCACCCACCAACCAAGGCACCACCGCAACCACCCACTCACCAATACAGTTCCCACCCAACCCGTTCTGCGCGCTCGGCACACAAACCTGGCTCCTCTGGTTATCGGGCTTGAAGTCGCCGCCTTCCTCGCTCGACGCCCAGGGGAACTCGTCGCACTCGAGCTTCTTCTCCTTGCCCGTGTACCCGATGGCGGCGTGCAGCTTGGCCGTCTGCGGCGGGCACGAGTCGTCGTCGCTCTTGAGGTTGGGGCACTGCTTGCGGCGCTTCTTGCGCAGCCACTTGCCCTGCGCGACATCAAGTTCCGGTGCGTGGGTCAGCGTCATAGGCAGGCCTTGCACGGCCTTGTAGCCTTGGCAGAGGGGCGCCATGTTCTGGTACTGGCCGGTGAGGTCTAGGACTTGGAGGGGGGGGAAGGCGCCGCAGTTGACTGGGGGAGTATGTCAGTGTGAGATGTTGTGTTACAGGGGATGGTCTAAGGGGCAGCGGGAAATTAGAGGAAAACCTACATCTTAACTCGGGGATTGTGATGTCCGCAGAAGACCCTGCAGGGCAGGTTATTGGCTTGGTGAAAGTAGGAATCGCAGGATCTTTTGCGCGAGAAATATTAGTAACTTGACTCTCTCCTCCTCGACGTATGCCTCCAGGAGGGTTCCGAACACGTACCGACATCGCCATTGGCATCATCAGCCCGTCTAAAGAGATAGCTAGGATCCAACAGGGCATTGACGCTCGTCGTGTCATTGCCAAAGGGCTCTGCCTGGGACGGATCGTCGATCAGCTTGACCATGCGCTTCGCATTGTTGTCACCGATGGGAATCGATCCGCTGTTCTCGTAGATAGTATACTTGTGGTCCGGCGAGTAAGCGGCTCTCTCGCCCAGCGCCCACGTCGCCCACTGGAGGATCGTGGCATGGGCGTTGTATCCGAGGTTGTAGTAGAGATACGCGCCGTACGAGTAGTCCCATGCCTTGGTCACGGTGCTGATTGCTCCGGCGGCGTGGAATTGGATCATGCCTCGGACCCACGCCGTGATTTGGGCGTCGATAAGGGACAGGCCCCCGGTCCATGATTCACCCCCTATCTTGATTCCCACGTTTGCCTAAGGTACCGAAAGACTGTCAGCCATGACTTTTACCCCTCGCTGCTCGCGGGAGAAATCCGTGTATGTTCATATCATGGGCAGTCACGTACCTCGGGCTGCACAATAACATAGAGATCAGCAGTGACTTGGACGCCAGCCTCAAAAGTCGGGGCCAGCTCGGGGCCGCTGGGCTTGTTCGGGGGATCATCCACTAGCCCCAAGTCGAGATACTCGTCGTACTTGGCCACATCTGAGCTATCCTGCGGCCAATACGCCTGCGCCTTATCGAACTTGAGGGTCACGCCAGCCTTGGCCTCTCCGTGGATGTTGATCTCTCCTTTCATCTGCAGTTTGAGAACAGGAAGAAGTCAGCCGGCACGCCGCTATAAAGAAATGAATGAGTGATTATCCAAAGCTTCCAAACTCACCTGTCCATAAACATCCAACGTCGGTCCCACCGCCGCAATGCCCTTGATCGCCAGCCCGGGGTATCCAAGCGTATCGATGATCTTCTTCCGATCCGAAGTCCAATGCAGCCCCGCATTTCCAACAAGCTTCAACATCAGCTCCGCCTCAGGCTGGATGCCGAAGTAGAAGAAGACGTCGGGCTTCTGCGTGGGCGGGATGAAGGTCGCCGAGAAGTAGTACGCATACGTCGCCTGCATGCTCACCCGCGCCTGCAGGTCCATCCGCAGGTTCGCCGACCACAGCTTGCCGGGGCAGCCCCACTGGGCCTTGAACAGGTTGATCTCGTCGGCCCATCCCAGCGGCAGGTCTCCCACCTCGGCCTTGCGGACCGTCGTCAGCTTCTCCAGCCACTTGGCGAAGATGCCCCACCAGCGCTTGGCGACGTTGCCGTCCCTCCTGGCCACGTCGGCACGTCGTTCTTGATGCTGTGTCTCGGGATCAGAACACTCGGCCCCGTCCGGCGGCGCGGCGGGGCGGACCTCGAACGGCATCGTCGTCTCGACGTACTGCCGCTTCCTTTTCTTGTTGAGCTGCTCCTCGACCTCCTCGGCGCGGTTGACGCGGTCGCGGAAGTGGCGCATCGTGAAGCCGTCGTCCTCCACGGCGGGGGAGGAGCCCCAGACGCGGCTGCGCTTCGAGTGCGGCGAGTCGGTCAGCTCCTTCCAGTAGCCCAGCAGGTTCGTGTAGTCGACGCGGATCTGGACGGGCCCGCGGTCGTCCCGGACGAGATGGAAGTTGTAGTCGATCTTCAGCTCGTAGACTGGGTTGTCGTGAAGCCCGTCGAGGGACCGGTGCTGGATGTGGTGGTTGGGCAGAGCGTAGTCCTCGCCCGCGGGCTTCATCGACACGATGCGCGCGAATGGACCCTCGCCGACGTGGCTTGGGAGCCGGATGATGGTGTCCTCGACTCCGCCCGCCCACACATCCTCGCATTGCTGGGAACCGGCCGAATAGCTGCAGTAGACGTAGAAAGTTTCTTCGGCGTGGTCGAACACCTGGTCGACCTTGGTCTGGTTGTTCGTGATGATCTCCCGCTTGACGTTCGGGACGGCAGCTGTCCTTCGCACAACGGTGTGGGTGTTGCTGAAATTGTCTTCAAGGGCTTCCTTCTTGCCGTTCAGCATCAGGAAGCCGTATGCGTCCGTTCCGTCCGGGTTATCCGACCGCTGCTTGTCCTTATCGTTGTGATCGTACTCGTCATCATATGCCCATAGCGCCCTATCGGTGTCCGGGTTGTTGAAGTGGACGTCCCAAAGCTTTTCGGGGTCGACTGGCCAGTCCTTATTCCAAGTTGACGGTGGCTCGCAGCACAGTCCGATGTGAGGATCGTAGTTGGGAGGCAACGAGATGCCGTCGCATGACATCTCAGACCTCCCACCCCCCAAGGAAGACGACCGCGGGGGGTTGATGGCATCAGCGATCTCGAGCTGATCGGCCTTGCAGGGCTGAGGCAGGCAATACAACTTGGGGTCACCCCACACCGGCGGAGGCGGCGGCAATGGATCGTTTGCCCAGTTGCACTTTCCAAAGCTCCTTCCTTTGGGGCAACACAGGGCGCTTTTGAACGGTTCCATCAGGGGACTTCCCTTGCTACCGTCGACTGGCGATATGTATTCCTCTCTGCACAGTCCGACACCATCTGGCTTGTCATAGCGGAAGGCTTGGTACTCGTAGCCCTCCTCACACTCGGGGTTCTGTGCGCCACTAAGCGGCCCCTGGCATGGACTCCAGACGCAATCCTCGATGATCTTGGTGCCCTGGCAGCAAAGCTTCCGGTTTCCCTGGTAGCACTGCTTTGTGCCCTTGGCATCGATGGCTGTGTCTTCGTTGAGCTCAAAGGTGCCCTCGCCGCACTTCCCGGAACATCCGATTTCACTGCGCTCGGGCTCCCCGTTCCACTCGCAGTGCTTGGGCATGGATTTGACGGGGCAGCATATGTGACGGTACCAGCCTGTGCTGCAGTCTCCGTACAGAGGTTTGGGGTGTCGCTGTTGGGGATTGTGGGCAACATCGACCGACATGGTGCCGCCGGGACACACTTGGTCCGGCCCCTGCTCGCCCTTGCTGCCGTCTGTACAGCGCGGCGTGACGAAGCAGTCCTGGCCTGTGTACTGCCCGAAGAGGTCATGGAGTTTCTCCGCCGAGTCGCCGTTGAGACCATGCAGCTCGGTGCTCGAATAGTCGCCGAATAGCTCGCCCATGGCTGTCCAGTTGCCTGTGTCCTGGTCAATGGCCCAGATCATGAGACCGCTGAGACATCTTTTCGAGAGCCATGAGAGCTTGTCTCTGAAGGACTGGCCATCGTCATATGAGACCCACTGATTGCCTCCAAAGATGTTGTACTTGACCGTGGTCTCGGGGTCGTAGAATGTCTTGACATCAAGCGTGCTGTTGCGGCTGGCAATTTCGTCGTAAGTGAGAACTCCAGCCGTGTCCGAGCAAGACCCAGGGATGCCACCCGTGGCAAATTGGCACACGTTGTTGGGCTCCGTGCACGAAGGGTCGGCCACGGTGAAGGAGCGACCGTAGAAACCAAAGCCCAGGACGACGTTCTCGGGCTTGATGTTGTTCCTCCATAGCAGGTCGAGCCCCATGTCGATTTCGGTCCAGTCTGTGTGTCCCTTGAGATACGGCCCAGTCCACTTGTTGTCGAAATCCCACATGCCGTGGATGTCGTAAGACATGATATTAAAGTAGTCAATCTGCCTCTGCATGTTCTCGAGGCTGAACCCGCGGAGGTACCAGTAGCTCGTGGGCAGAGTCACCGAGATCTCCCAGCCCGCACCCTCTCGTTCGAAGGCTTCTTTCAGCTCGGCCAGCATCTGGACATAAAGAGTGTCGTCTCTGGGTCCGCCGCCACGGTCCGTGGCTCCTGGGTATTCCCAATCAATGTCGACGCCATCGAGTCCGTATGTCCGGAGGTAGTCGCAAACCGACTTGATGAACGTGGCGCGACCATCATATGAGCCGACCATGTCGGAGAAGTACGTAGAAGTAGGCGGGTCGTTGAACGTCCACCCGCCAATTGCAATGTTGATTCGCAAATCGGGGTACTTGATCTTCCTCAGCACCGTCCGCCTCACCCAGTCCGAGTCGTCATCAATGAGCTTGAAGTCGGAGCCAAAGTTGACAAAGGCCAGGTTAAGGTGGGTGAGTGGTCCCAGGGGCAACGACTCTGGCTCTTTGACATTGCAGCTCCGAGTCCTGGTGAAGAGCTCATAGTAAGCGATTCGCCTCTTGTATGTAAGAGCGTCCGTATTGACGGGACATTCAGCTGGTCGTCTATGGTTGGCGGTTAGCATTTGCATTTGCACTGGTATTCGGAGCAGCTTCAGACTTCGGACTTACTGAGCAACGCCACATCCCGCTTTGTCCGAGTTGGGCTGGCACCCGTCTCCACAGAAGTCTTCCGTGATACCACAGAAACCATACTGACTGTTGAGCATATTAGATTAGGCGGCTGATACCAAGAAACTGTGCTCGGCGGCAATCATGTTGCAGCCCGTGACTTACCTGCAGCAGACATTTATGGGACAATCGAAAGCCTCCTTCACCGCGTACTGGCCACACTCAGCGGTGGCATTGCAGTTCGACTGACATCCGTCACCGCAATGCGCCTTGGTGAAACCGCACACACCGCTGCTACTACAACACCCAACTTTACAGGGTGAGTCGGCGCTGCAGAGGGCGTCTTGCTGAGCCGAGACATGGAAGGTGTTCAAAACGGAAGACAAGAAAACGAGAGCAAGCAAAAAAGCAAATCGGCCAGCTAGACCGCGTAGTCGACTCATGGTGCCAGTGAGCCAGAAACCACACGATCTCGGGTGGCCAGCGAGTCAGCTAGGAAAATTCTGAAGGGAGCGAAAGGACGGTACGAGTATGAGAACTTGACCATGATGGCGAGGGAACCGCACATATCCGGGCCTCACATATCAGCAACGGCTCAGTCTCACCTGCCGATCGGCAAGAGACCCCTATTCCGCCTAACGAGATGACACCCTGTCTAGCTGTGCCACTGGTCCGCGACCAAGGTCTTTCCCGGAGAGATTCCTTCTCGATCGACTTAAGGATGCCCCCATACGGAAGTCCGTATCTCACCGGCCAATTATTAGATATGCAGCTTACGTCCTAGACAGGTTAGACGGGGTTGCACGAATGATTCGGATGCACCGCTATGAGGTGCAACCGATGCAACATCTCTTTGATACATATGCAATTAGACGCGGGTGTGGCATGATTTGGGGGGGCAGGAATGTGCAGGTAGGAATGTGTGCCTTGCACCACGCACCCGCGTGGCACAGCCAATTGCCGTCCTGGCAAAATATCCTACCCTACATAATACCGATACAGCACCAGCATGGCCACTCATCAAATTTCCTCTCATCTTCCCCACTCAACCGCGTTCTGTCCCCCCTGAATCTTACCACCGAGACCGAATCCTCCGGCACAACGCGGCAGCCAAAAAATGGCCGAAGAAGAATTGACTCAACCCTGGGGCTGGCTTCCAGCGGAGCAGCATCTGATAGTGAGTCCAAGCAAGAGCTTACTTACCGACCTGCCATCCCGCGCTGACACCCCCCCCCCCCCCCCCCCCCCAGCGCAACTGGGACCCCGCCTCACCTCTCCCAGCGACCTCTCAGCGCCGTTCCCTGATCCGCGCCTTCCTCGACCAGGGCGACGTCCCGGGGGAATACGAGCCGTCGCGCGACGGCACGCCGTCTCGGATCCCCACCGCCGCCGAGGTGCGCGACGTCCTGGCGCCCTGGCGCCCGCTGGCGCTGCGCAGGATCGCATGCTTCATGTGGCCGAGCTACGAGCACGAGCTGGTGATCCTGCGCACGCACTACGGCACCGGCGGCGGCGGCGGCGGCGGTGCGGACGACGCCAGGCTGCGGGGGTGGATCGACGTCGATTCGGAGGCGGATGTTTTCTTCAACCCGGAGGCGCTGTGGTGGCGGTTGCTGGATGACGAGGAGCTGTTTGGGTTTGGGGACGAGTGGGAGAGGGTGTTTGATATACTCCCCGAGCTGGTGGGGAGGCAGGGGAGGCTTGGGGGTGTGCGGCGGACGATCGCGGCTGAGGACGTGGAGGAGGCTCGCCTGGAGGAGGACCCCGAGGAGGAGATGCGCTATCTGGCGTTTACGCTGTCGGCGCCGACGCCGCTGCTTGTGGCGGATAAGAGGGCGTTTGAGGAGGACAAGCTCCGGGTCTTGTTTCTCGATGCGCATGGCAACATTGTTAAGGAATCGAGGATCACGCCGGGGGAGATGGGGACGCTGAAAGAGGATGCGACAAATGTTAGGACTCCCATGTGGTGGAAGTATGGTGATATTGGTCCAAAGTATAAGCCGGATGGGGAGATTGGACGGTTGCTGTATCCGTCCGAGTAGTGCAGTGCTCCTCGCAGCTAGGAATTCGACGAGCTTTGGACTTTCAAGTAGTCGAATGAAGAGGTGAATACAATGTAACAACAACATACGTCCACAACCTGTCTTGAACTAAATTATTCCCTCCCTCTCTCCCTCAACCAACCACCAACTCAGCATCATATCCCACACAAACGTACACCCCCAGCTGCAGATTCCGACAATCACTCCCAATGTCCGGATTCCAAGTATAGAAATCCGCAGCAGTGATACCATTATTCGCAATCACCGTTTCGCAAATGTCCCCGCTCGCCACCTTGTAGAACTTGCTACACCCCTTCGTCATCCCCGGCTGGACGGGCTTCGGCGTCGTCACCGGGTCCGGGAGAGGATCCAAGTTGTACCAGCTGCGGTCGGGCGTGCACGCGGCCGGCGCGCGGGAGATGGGCGTCGGCGTCGGCGCCGTCGAGTTGTACGTGCAGTACGTCGACATCAGCGACTGGCAGGCCGGCGGCATCGACTCCGGGTCGAACCCCTCGGCCCAGTCCTCCTCGGTGATCCAGCAGTACTGGGTTGCTTCGGCGATGACGCTGGAGAGCGTCGCGTTGAAGGAGATGGTCTCGGCGGGAGGCGTGTAGCTCGGGTCGTAGAGGGAGCTGAAGTTGGTTTGCGGCGGAGGAGCATCGGTCTGGACGGGCGGTCCGGGAGTCCAGGAGCCGGTGAAGAAGGGAGAGGTGCTTGCGAGTGGTGGTCAGCTCACTGATGATTCCAATAAATGTGGTCAATCTAGCTTACAAAGTGAAACTTGAAGTTGTCGTGGGAACATCAGAAGTTGGAAAGTCGTATTGGCCGGGTGCCCTGCAAGATTGGGGTTTAGCTGTGGCAAGCGGGATATTTGAGGCGACTCTCACGACGCACTGAATGCAAATACTCCGCCCTGTCAGCGTGTCGAGGTTGGCAATGATGTTGCTGTCACACATGGATTTCAAGGTCCTGGCATCCCGATTAAATCAGCCCTGCAATCGAGACAGTTCTCTACCCAAGTCGCCCGAGTATACTCACGGATTCCAAGACTGCAGCTGAACGACAGTGAATCCCGTGCCCTCGACAAGATCATCACATGTCTGGTTGTTCTGGATGGTCGCGAGTTTGCAAGTATCTTGGATGCACAGTTCCCTACCCTCTACAAGTGAGGCGCATTTGTAGTCCAGGTTATTGAGCAGAATCATGCGATCAGTGGCAACCGAGTTGGCCTTGGAGATGGACTCGCAGGTGTCTCCGGACTTGACGGTGTAAGTCGTGCCAGCACAAGTCGGGGTCGTCGCTGGGCTAGTGGTTGTGGTTGTCGCATTGGCCGTGGGGACGGGAGTGTACGTCCAGGTGTAGCTGCTGGTCGGCACGGAGCAGGACGACAGAAGAGACGTGAACTGGTCTTCTGGGACCCTTGCGCGTCCATAGTCAGAACTCACCATCGCCTGGGCATATTTCAGTGAGCAGTCCGAACAAGCTGTTCGGTTACCGGCCATGAAGTCGGCCAAACAGTACCCATCCCTAGCCAGTGTCAGTCAATGCTCAATCTATGAGATGGATGTCGCAAAACTCACTTATCCTCGATGCAGACCAAGTTCTGCGCCCATACCAGGCCATCAGTTAGGGCTTGTCCAGACTGCGTCAAGGTGCTGTTCTCCCAAAGCATATACTGCGTGTTTCCGCAACCAGCTGTGACCGTCTGCTGGAAGCCCAGCAACGACTTGACGCATGTGTCTCCGCAGTATGAGATAGCGGATTCCCCCGCGAGCACCTGTCCATTGACTGCTTTGTTGGCGGTCACCAAGAACTCGCATGTGATATTCGTGGTCAGCGCTGCCCGGCACTTTGCAGGTACTGAGCTTGGGATCTCTGCGGGCTTGGCCCATAGCTGGATTCCGAAGACTGTCGTGGAGGCCAGTGAGACAGCCAATAACGCCCGTAACAGGGCCATTGTGAAGCTCTCTGTCGTCGAGCCGAGTGTAGAAAGGAGTGAAGGGGAAGACAGGAGGTCAGTTTCTCCAAGTCTCTCCACCTACTCGAATCCCAGAAGTACGGGTCGGTCAATGGTTCGAAAGTCGGTATACGAGTGCCTAAATTAATTAGCCCCTGTTTGCTGCGCCATCGGAAACCCGGATACTCACTCCAATTTTCTACAAGGCTCGGTCGATCTATAGTATGGGACACAAAGTCGAATCCTGCCCCGCTATACTGATTTCCTTTTTCCTTATCGTCCCAAACATAAGCGCAGCCAAAGTTACATCCCTGTGTCGCAGCAGACATGGCGGCTTACTTTTCATTTCGCTGCTAAAGTACATAATAGGGGTCGTGGATCGTCGTCAGCGTAGGGTTACCCCGCTATAATATAATCCATATTGACGTTGCATGCAGCAAGCAGGGGCGGCATTTAGCGCCGAGCGGCAAGGCGTAGCAAAGCGTGAGACGCCCCTTTCAATATGGACATGATCGTCGTGCGAAACGGGGCATAATAAAAGAACCCGATAGTGGTGGGCTTGCGTGGCGCCGTCTTGTGAGACATTATCTTGTAATACTCCGAGACTGAATCCCTACAGCATCACATACAACGACGTAGCTCGCCGTGCTGGGGTTTGAGGAGGTCATGCGTTGGATTGGTAAGCACCACGGGGGTACAAAATAACGAGCTGCCTAAGGGGAAGACAAGGAGGAATGGGGGGTATCAGTAAAAGGAGGGCGAGAGAAAGAAGTGTTGGAAAGAGGGCGAGAGGTTCGATGCGGATGAGGTACTTATGATGTCTTTTAAAGTGGCGAAGGCCGTACATGAGGCGCCATAATTACCGGAAGCGGAATCGCGGTCAAATCCTGCTGGTCGAGCTATCAGGGGTGGTGCACCTACTACCTCGAACTCTGCTAGACACATTGCAGACGTCGGTACTATGTAAGTCCATTGGTTAATTGTCATGTCGTTTTCCGTACCGCTATCCAATTTGTCAAGCAGAGGTTGTGGTGGTGCTCTGTCGGATTTGTTGGTGGTGCTCTGTCGGATTTGTTGGTGGATCTCTCTAGGATTACAGGAGAACGCTGGTGTACGGCAACTCTGAATAGCAACGACGTTGAAGCTGATCTGCTAAAATATGGTGGTGGAAGAAGGTGTGTATGTATAAGTGTGTGTGGATGTATTTCAATTCATCTAACAGTACGCCGTACATTGAGAGAATGGATGTATGTCAGCCATGATCTTTGGCTGCAACTGAGAATATGCCTACACCTCCACAAAGCCAACGGGAATAAGCCACCCTATTGACCATCTCAGATTTCCTTGCCCTTCTTCTCTTGAGTTGGGCTACGATCTCTTGCTCTGATCTTCAAATCTCTCACCCACAAGCTAAAATATGTTCCAAGCAACATCATGCTGAGTATGTTGGGCCACAGCACTCCCTGACCAGATGCAAATTTCCCGTAAACCACCCACATATCTGACGCAATACCCACAAGCAGTTGCGCCGACCCCGTCACATCCAGCATAGGACGAAACAGCGACGCGCCGCCAAGGTACGCGTACATGAGCACATGATGGAAAGCATTCATGGCCGCAAACGGCTTCCATCCCTCACTGTGCTGAAGGACACGGAAGTAGGTCAGGTACGGTGTCGTCGAGTGGTGGAATGCGAAATGGAGATCGATGCTCTTTCCGCCGGCACGAACGCCCATTATATCGACGTACTCGTAGAACTTGGAGGCGTGATAGAGGTGTCTCGCAAGCTTGTCATGAGAAGGCGATAAAATAAGCACAACGAGGACGAACGACACAGCCGAGTAGAGCCAGCTGTTGACCTTCGTCACGGTGCGTGCTTGAGGGATGGGGCCGTGTCGGGAAACGTAGCAGTCAATCGAGGCCCAGGTCAGGAGGAAGACGAGGGATTGGAGGAGCATTAAGTGCATGGATGACTGTTCCATTGTGTGAGAGTGCAAACAAGAGCAAGCAGAGTAGTATTTGAGATGATAATCCAAACTTCTATTCTCCTTCCCCCATCTTCCCCGCTTTTGCCCTTCGTCTTTATACCTAGGTAGTTTAACTAGACATCTCTCGTGATGACTCACGCTGTTTACTTCCACTACATTTCGGCTTAATGTAATCCCTAAAGCCGGCTTCCAAACACCGCTGTTAGCCGGGGCCAACTTTGCATCACATGTAATACACAGGGCGCAAGATAGGGTGACGCTACTATACGTAATATATTTGCACTTGAAGAAAAATTACCCGTTTCAACATTTTCACAGCTTTCTTTGAATCCTTGATAATTATCCCATCTTCTCGATACAGTCTCACGGCCCAGCTCAACGACAATGACTTCAACCCTCTTCATCGGGAACAAGCGCTACTCATCCTGGTCGATGCGGCCCTGGGTGTTGATGAAAGCACTTAACATCCCCTTCACAGAGGAGCTACACGTCTTCGCCGCCGGCCTCCGCCAGCCCGCCTTCAAGACCTTCTCCCCCTCAGGCAAAGTGCCAACTCTCCACCACGGCGACGCCGTCATCTGGGACTCCCTCGCCATCGCCGAGTACCTCGCAGAAGACCACCCGCCCGTGTGGCCCTCGGACCGCAAGGCCCGCGCCTGGGCCCGCTGCGCCGCCGCCGAGATGCATTCCGGCTTTCCCGCCATCCGCGATCAGTGCTCCATGAACGTTGCCCTGCGGATCGAGCTGGGCGCCCCGGATGCGGATTTGCAGCGTGATCTGGACCGCATCGACCACCTGTGGACGGAGGGCTTGTCCCGGTTTGGGGGGCCGTGGTTGGCGGGAGAGGGGTTTTCGGCGGTGGATGCCTTCTTCGCGCCGGTTGCTAGTCGGTTGCTGACGTATGGGATTGAGCTGTCGTCTGAGCCGGCTAGGGAGTATGCTCGGCGCCTGTTGGAGCACCCTGCGGTGGCGCAATGGATCGAGGAAGGGATAAAGGAAACGGCTAGGGAGCCTATGCACGAAGAGGACTGTGTCCGCGGGCGGAAGGTCTTGAAGGATATCTCCATGAGCTCTTGAATAGCTTTTGACTTGCGAATGGGGCGAGTGTGTCATACAACCATGGAGTGGATACAAGAGTCTCGTCCATTATCTCGAATCCTTTTGGAGGGCTCAGCATGATGCTCGTGGTTTGCTGGTAATATGACCCCAATATTGTCGTCTCTCTCATTAGGCTTACATGATCCCACACCCTAATAAGGAGTTTAAATACTCGAGACCCCGTAGATTCTGGCCGTCTCCACTGCCACCAAAACCGTTGTCGTTCGGGGCAATTGCACAGCTTAGTAGCATCGGTGGCCGGTAGGAAGGCCAGTAGGCTTATAGCATCGAACGAGAAGGTACTTCCCATTAGGTAGTACACACGGGGCAGGATGGACCCTATGGGATTCGCAACGTTGAGCACCGTATATAAACGCTTGAGGATGGTATTGGCCGTCGACAGATTGCCAGAATATTCCCGTGGCGGTCCTAGGGAAGAGCGTGACCCGCTAATTAGTACAGGTTGCAGTTACAGGCATCAGCTTTGCCGCAGTACCATGTTTCCTAACCACAACCCACAATATTGCCGATCCCAACCAGTGGGATGGATCGGACCGATATTACAAAGTCGGTATGATTAAAAAGGGCCAATTCGCAACCGTCTACATGGTTGCGTCCAAAATTTGACCGAAAGCCTTATGCTGCGAAGGAACTGGACAAACGCCGGTTCATGAAGAATGGAATCCTAGACAAGGAAGTGTATAACGAGGCGCAGGTCATGCGGAAAGCACAACATGTAAGACTTCCTGGTTGGCCTCTCCCCAAGTTTTGCTAACGTTTGGTAGCCCAATATTGTGCGGCACATCGATAATATCGACTAGAACAGTCCATATTCCATACTAGTCATAGAATATGTCCCCAGTGGCAATGTAGACGGCTTCGTCCACAACCATGGCTCTCTTCTCGAAGCAGACGCCAAGGCCATGGCAAGACAACTTATGGATGCGCTTGGTTATTTACATCAAAACCTGATAGTGCATTGACATGTCAAGCCCTACAATATTCTCATACAATCCCAACAACTCTTCACCGTCAAGCTTGCCAAGTTATTCCGGGACTCCTATTTCCAAACACGCGAGGCTCCGCATGCTGAGTCTGAAGTGACACCAAAAGAGCCGCCTGACACGGAAGTAATGGACAGGTGGCTAAATGGCCCAGACGTTCGAGAGTACGAAGACATGGACGATGCCACGGCGGATGAGCAATTCGATGTTACGATGATTTCGAACACGACTCGCGTATCCCCGGTCTTGAGGAGTACCGCAGATTTATCTCCAACGATCCGGGTTACGACTGGTTTTTCAATTGTCTGCGAAAGGAAACAATTCTTGCACGACCTGTTGCAGACCACATGCAGGCAATACAAAATAAGAATCCTACAAGCGATCCCTAAGTCACGTTACGTGAGTCTAAAGACATCATCAAGGGGATGTACAATGATCTACACTGTGGATGGGACCCTTCCGCTTTCCTCGCTGCTCAGGACTACGAAGACCCGGATCATGAGGCAGTGGCTAAAGCCATCACCTTGACAGGACTCTGGAGGGACGACCAGGCGCTCAGCTGTCAGGAATATCTGGCTCAGACCTGGCCGTCGTCCGGGCCATTGTTGCGCCCAACCACCGCCGCACCGTCCTCTCGATCGAAGTACAGGTTTCATTGTCCTGACAAGAAATCTCTGTACCCATTCAAGCGCAGCAAATTGTCAGCGTCGTCGAGGCGGCCGCGAATACGGCTGCTGCAGTCTTGGCTGTCATATTCACGGTTTGGGGGAACCCTGATAACCTGCCGAACGACCCTCCACAGTTACTGCTGGGCTTGACAAGCGTGCAGCTCGCCCTCACGCTGTGGTGCTGCGTGGGCTGGATGGTGTGGTCGTTCAACGCCGTCCGATATTCTTCTAGGAAAGGTTTAGCCTTATACGAGCTGTTTATAGACCATCCATTGACGGGGTTAGAACTTGAGCTCAGCCTGATGCCCAGCTAGAGTGAGGGTCCGCTAGCAAGAGCATTTCGCAACCAGCTCTCGGCGCCGCAGCCAAACGTAGCAGACGGGGCTCAGGCGATTCAAGCGCAGCCGGCAAATGCAACAAGATAGATAGCCACAAGTTGAGTAGGCCCAGGCTTCCTACCGACCCGCCCGGCCCTTGATCTAACTTGCCAATTGCAGCCTGAGACGGGCCCGACTGATGCCAAGTTCCACCCGGCCACACTCCTCTAGGCCCAGTCCCGGATACTCACTTTCCGTCCCGTGACTTAAATCGGCTTCCTGGTTCCCCTGATCTTGGCCTCTCTGTATCTGAGGTCGTGGCTCAGGCGTTCAACAAAAACGACTGGGCCCAAGTCCCCGGTGAAAGGTATCCAAAGTGAGTGCAGTAAACACCACATGTCGGCTCTAGTTTTGACATCTTGGCTTTGTATCCCCTGCGTATCTGCAAGAAGGCTAACGTAACTCCTCAAAGCGAATGTTGCATCGGCTTCATAGCCCCCAGCTTGACGATTCTCTACCCAGTAGCGACGTTCGCTCCGATGCCATTCCGCACCGATATCGCGAAACCGGTGCTGGGGCCAATCCACACGGCATTCGATCTTTGGCAGCTACTGCTTATGCCTCTTTTTCTGTTGAAAACTGCAGCTATGGCATTGAGCTACCACTGTACAGTCACAGGAGATAGCATTTTTGTCTGGGCCTTGATCTTCCTGCCTCTGTTTTCTCCCCTCTTGCTCTCGATGCTCGTCTTCATCGTCGGCGACCTGACTTTCGAATGGTTTCTTACAAGGTATCGAGAGCATCATGGGATTCCCACACCCCCACCGATTTCTAGAGAGCAGATCTACTACTGGATGCCTAATCATTCTACCCCTCTGTGGCGGATAGATGGGTGGTAAGTGTCTACCTAGGCTCAGCTAGGCTATTATGTAATTTATGCCTAGGCACCCCACGCTTAGGGCCTGGGAAAGCCCAAGGGCTGAGGTAGTGGTTGAAGTGATCGGCGCGAACGACTAGTCCTACAGGAGAAGACCTCGACGCCACCAGCGCTGCTGCAGCTGCTAACAAGAGATGCACCGCAGTATATGTATATGGGCAGAATATCCGGGCACCTGATCCTTGGGACCCCCGTAGTTGCATCTGTGCGTTCCGTTCAGTTGGCCAATCTGGGACCACTTGAAGCGCGAGATTGGCAAAAAGGGGAAACCTAGTGGTCGTGAACGGCGCGATCGGCTGCTTGGGCGTCGAATCAAAGGGAAACACGCAAAGTAGTGCTCTGTATGGGCCAACAGTGCAATGGACATACCCTGGTAGCAATTCTCGCAGTCTATCTATCCCGTTCGCCCTCCCCCCTCATCCACCTCTTTTGCAATATCGCCATTCCTACTCAACATGCTCAACATGGACTTGAAATCTGTTCTAAATCTGGATACCTTCCGAGCTATTTTATCGCCCGCCAGCATCTTTTACCTCATTGGTCTATTCGTCAGCCACCGCATCCTGGTCGCCTTGTACAACATCTCGCCTTTCCACCCGCTGTCCCGCTTTCCCGGCCCGAGAATAGCAGCTGCGAGCTATCTCTACGAGGCATACTACGACTGGTGGCTTGTGGGAAGATATGGCCACGAGATCCGTCGGATGCACGAGCTGTATGGTGAGACGTCAAGTTGGCTAGTGGGCCTGCAAATAGGTCTAACTGAAAGAAATTTCAGGCCCCATGGTCAGAATCAACCCCGACGAACTTCACTGCTCCGACCCATATTTCACAGACGAGATCTACGCCGGGTCCGGACGCATCCGCGACAAATGGCAGCACCAACTCAACACTGGCAGCGTTGGCCCCGTGTCGGTGGCCGGGTTCTCGACGGTTCCCCACGAAATACATCGCATGCGAAAGGCCGCGTTGTCCAGGTTCTTCTCGCGCCAGCAAATGCTCAAGCTCGAGGGCGAGGTGCAGGACGTTGCCCAACTCGTGGTAGAGAAGATGTTGCGTTCGGCCGGAACGGAGCCATTCGACGTCAAAGAAGCCTTCAACTGCTTCACGGCGGACATGATTTCCCAATACGCCTTTGGCGAGCCCATGGGATCCGTTGCCCAAGAGGGCTGGGAACCCAACTTTGCCACCATGCTCAAGTCCTTTGTCAGGAGTGCGTACATGATGAGACATAATGCGCTCGCGAGGAAGACGGCCCAAGTCCTTCCCCTGTTGGCAGATTACATGGGCGAAGACATCAAGGCAGTTATGGAGCAGATGAACGTCATTATACCGGGATATATCAAGGCGGCTATCAACAACCCTGAAAATGGGACAGTCTTCGCTGATCTGGTCAACTCCAAATCTTTGCCTGAGTCTGAGAAGACCATGTATCGCCTTTCTGGCGAAGGATTTACGTTCCTGCTTGCCGGCACGGAAACCACAGCTGTAAGTCGCCATTCCGTTCCCCAGTCAGCCAGCGCAGACTTTTGCTAAAAGAGCTTGTCTAACAGGCTACACTCACGGTCATTACATACCACCTCCTGGCCCAGCCTACGACATATGTGCGTCTGATGGAGGACCTCGAGGGTCTCAACCCCTCGAACCTCAGATGGACGGAGCTCGAACAGCGGCCTTACCTCTGGGCTGTCATACATGAAGCCTTGCGCATGATGCCCGGTATATCGCACAGGTCAGCGAGAGTTGCTCGCAATGAGGATCTAATCTACAAGAGTCGAGATGGCTGTGTTGAATGGTTCATTCCGAGAGGTACCCCTATTGGCATGACCTCGATGATCAACCACTGGGACAAAGAACTCTTCCCGAACCCCGACCAATTCATCCCCGAGCGATGGTTGATGCATGGCCAGCCAAACTATGCGCTACAAAAGATGTTGATATCCTTCGGGAAGGGTAGTCGTTCGTGTATCGGTGAGAAGTAAGTTCAACTTACTTTCTAGCTTGTCTCAGTACATATTTTGGACGCTAATACTGCTCGCAGTTTGGCATGTTGTGAACTCTACATCATGGCGGCTCTGATGGCGTTCCGAGTCATCCCCAGGGCTCGTCTATACGAAACAACTGTGGAGGACATCTCCTACGATCATGACCTGATCGTGGTGCAAACGAAGAAAGGCACGATTTCGGTCCGCATCAAAATCGAGTGAAGCTGTGAGAATGGCTCTTCGTCAGCTGGATCTTCATATCCTTGGCTCTGTCTAGTGTTTTGTGGTACTAGCTTCTTTACCTAGGCGTCTAAATTATCCCTTCTAGATCCCTGCAAACCAAACCACGGATCAAGGAAATGGAGATTCAACGAAGTCCAGTATGGTAGAACGTGCTTAGTTGGTCACTCCTTGGACATCCTTCCCTTGCCAATAGACGATATAGGCAACCCCAACTCGCTTCCTGTCCTCCAACTGGCTGACGAATCGCTTGTTGGCTGGTACGCCTTGTGACTTGACGAGACAGCCGTTGAGGGCTGACTGGAATGTGGTGTATCACATTTCGAGGACTTGGCGCTGCTTGACTGAGCGCCGGCTACTTCGCTAATAGACAATGACTCCAGGCTCGATCCAACGCTGCTATCGCTAGTTGATACAGCAGCAGATTCATCCAATGGAGGATCACCCTTGATGGGACCGCCATGATCTCTCCAGTGCTAGTGAATATTCATATTGTGGCCAAAGATGACCGACCCTTGATCTTGTAAGCCGACTTGAGGCTTCGGCTTGAGCAGCGAGCTAAAGACTTTGGGGAAAAGCACCTGCACTGGGTCGTGATGCTTCGACGTAGCGTCTTTACAAGGGCATGCTCTGGAACGTGGTCTGCTTCATGTTCCAGAGCACACTGTCGCAAATCCCCATCGGGTTGGTGGTGGTGTCTCCGTCGTTGTCGATAATCTCCTTCATGTCCCGCACACAGGCAGCAAGGTAGTATCTCTTGATAGGGAGCCGACTCCAACTAGAGCAGATAGTTCTCATCTTCTGTTTAGGCTGAATCATCTCGCCGAATCCCTGGCCGAACAAGCATACGGCGTGGACGGCTCGAGTGAAGTCAACCCATCCCTTCCCAATAGTTTGCAACGTCAAGACCTTAGGAAAGGAGGGATCACCATCGGAGACCAAATCTCTGAAGTCCCAGCCCTCCAGTTGCCTCCTCGATCGGGGGTTCATCTACAGCCCACTACGTCGTTCAGTGTCGGGATGGTGATCGAGAAGCTTTTCCATCACGTTGTAGAAATGTTCTACCCGGTCCTCCAATCAGTAATACCGTGTGTGTCGCTTGGTGACCACTTACTCTGTCGATGCTCCTGCAATTTTGGTTCTGGTCTCTTCCTCGTAGACCTCGCTCTTGTCCACGTATAGTGGAAGCGTCCGGTTTTTCTGGTCCATGAGAGCATCTAAGGCAGACTCCGAGCCAGTTGTGCAGGCAATATCAGCCAAGTCTCTTGGATCCAGCAAAAGGCCGACCTGAACTTCCGTTTGCTGTGTTCCAAGGACCCTCGAAGTAGGTGCAGTAAGGCTCTGGCTCCGTTAACCAGCCATCCGCTCTTCTCTGCTTCGTCCCAGAAAATAACGTATTTAGAGGATATCCACTGCATCTCGTTTACATAGCCCGATTGGGAAATATGGACCGGCTTCTCCCGATTACCAATGCTGAATGAAGCTGTTCTCATGATAAACTGCCCCCGCTGGATCTCGACCTTTTCCAGGGCGCAACCAGAGTACGACTCACACACCCCGACAAGGACCAGATCGTGGCACTGCTCGGGATGGCCTCAGCCTATAGCGACGCAAGGCTGCAACCACTGCCAGCCGACTTCCCTCACTCAGGCAATTAGCCAACAAAGGGGAGCACACTGCTAGGCTACATGCGTCCATGGCATCCAGTATACCAGGTGCTCTTGGTCAGGAGGGTCGGAAACGGAGATAGACATGAGCGTGTCGGCATAGCCATGCTTTTTGGACAGGAATTCGAGAGCTTGTTGAAGAAGGCAAATCTACAGGAAGTATTGCTGGCATAGAAACACGCCTCATTGGCCATATCAAGTTGCTACAAGAGTCAGCAGGATCACGAACACGGAATCCAAGAATCACACTGTCTTGAGTGCCCAGTATCTCATGGCAATCTGGAGCAAGGCGATGCGGCTGTACGGGAGTCCCAGGAGGAGCGATACTCTAGTCACGGCGTTCCATCACTCGGCCATATGACTCAGTCATCCTGAGCCCAGATATTCTGTTCATATACTGTGGTACATCTCGTGCTAGCCGCTGCAGCAACGCCACTGGCGTCGAGGTCTTCTCCTGCAGGACTAGTCGAATTCCACATAGTGGAATACAACGCTGATAAATCTGCGCAGACTGCCCCAACAGCTTTGAAGAGACCATGGGTTAAGCCATACAAGTATACACCACGCTTGCCACCCTTTGATTATAATGCAGCTTGCCTGCTCAAGCACGCCGTCGGGTCCAGAGATTACGGAAAACTGCCACAATCTGGTGGCGACTGTCCCAGATAGGATAAAACCCGACAGCAAACAGCGTTAACCAGAGCCAGATAAGGGAGACTGCAACCCAGGCTGTGAAGAACTATCGGAAGACAACGTGTTAGTGCACTAGCTCCAGCTCAATATCAGGTGCTCAGGAGGAAAGCGACTGGAACATACCGCCTTGCTAAAAACAAACTTCGCCGCGTACATGGGCAGCGGCCAAAGGACCCAGTGACCGAGGAACGTGGCAATCGCCCAAAACAAAGCATATCTGGTCCACCGGATCTGCGTGTCGTCGCTCGTAACCTCGGTAACAGCGGTGCTGCTTTCCGTTTTGTCGGATGCCTCGACTTTCTGCTGCTGCTCGTTCTCATCCCCGGAGTCCATGGCCAGTTTCTCTTTCGTGAAGTCACTCCAGTCATAGTTTGCGGGCCGGATCGACGAGATGACGACGGTGTAGAGCAGCGGGCTGAGCGCTGAAGCTACCGTGCCGTACATGCATGGCAACGTCTGGCCGGTGGAGGAGACTGTTACTTCGCCGTAGAAGGAGTGCGCAGTGCCGAGCCAGACTGCAAGGCCCGTCGCCATGCCAAGAAAAGCCGAGCTGATGGCCGCAATTCCGCTTTGTTTGCTCGAGAGAAAGGTGAAGATGACGGGGAAAATCCCAGGACATGTAACAACTCCTGGAAACGAGATCAGCCAGCTCCCTCTAAATGAACCATGGAAAACGAGCCATGAAAAACGGAACCGTACGTTGTTTTACTTACCGATCATATACAGGGTCCAGCCCATGTCGATTCCGATGTAGTGGAACATTGCAGTGAACCCTGCCGCAACAACGCCGAAGAAGACGACGCCGATATGACTCCAGCGGATCACCTCCTTGTTGCCAGCATTTTTGTTGAAATACGTTCGGTAGACGTCAAAAGTTAAAATCGACGACACTGCAATGATCTGAGCCGATAACGTGGACGTGACGGCCATGAAAGTCATCAGCAGGACTGCAACCGCGCCTCCTTTTCCCGCCACAGCAACGGCAGCATACGGTAAAGCCAGTCCGTTGGTGACCTCGGTACCTGTCATGACCTATAGATTGTGTCAGGGGAAGAGTGATCGGAGACTTCTCATAGAGATAAAGCTGGGATGTGTAACTACCCGTGGATATGTGGGGAATATTGGCAAAGTCTCAAGCCCCAGCGCTGCCATTCCCATGATCGTACCAAGGGCCCAGGGAACGCTGAAGTAGGCAACGCCTCCAACAACGTATCCCGGCACAACGGCACTTGGCGATGCCGCAAATGCCTTGATGAAGTAACCAGTGTCCATCTAACAGCGTCAGATATGTTTTGGCTTCTATCAATGCAAAGAAAGAGGCGAGACTTACAATGACGGCACCGAAGTTGGAGACGAGCAGTATTATGGCAAAGAAAATGCCTTGCTGCGAGGTCATGGTGAGAATGGATCCCTGATAATTGCCTTCGATGTTGTGCTGCTCCTGAGCTGCAACGACTAGGTCGTAAAGCTTTCCAATCGACCCAACCTGGTCCGCTGCGAGAGTCTTGGCGGTCAGGTAACAGCACAATATGAGGATGACAAAAGTGTGTATATAGTCGGTGAGAAAACTGAGACACGCGTTAGGATGACCTTCGGGGAATTGGGATTACTGTTGCGGGAACTTGCGTGGCTTTGATGCCGCCAACTAGCGTGTATAATACGACGCCGAGAGGGATGAGAAAGGTCGAGGCCATAATATGTATCCCGGTCCTGGTTTGCATTTTCCAGTAAGTAAAGTCCCTGCCTCAAGTTTGGCTCTGTGGAGGGGCTGCGTACAGAAATGAGATTGCTGAAGATGCGCCGAGGATCATGTTTATCGTGCCGAAGAGGTTGTTGATCAGAGCCAAGAAGGCGAAAGACAAGTGCGCAAGACGCCCTGACACAATCGTTAACAATAAAAGAGCATAACACCCATGCCAAATGGACAGGCCTTACCATATCGAATACGGATTATTTCCAAGATGGTATGGGCCTCTGGAATACGTCTCTTGCATATGACGCCGAGGTACGCGAAGCAGACAATCATGGGCGAGCAGCCAGCTGCGTACCAAAACGCACCACTGATTCCGTAGCTGTACGTAACCAGCACGCAACTGAGCAAAGCTGTGCTCCAGAGCCAAGACTGTCACACTGTTAGCCACTCAGTCGTGCCGTCAGTCAGGATAGAACACCACAGACTGAAACCACGGCGGAAGCGACAAGACCAGTCCGAACCCTCCGGTTCGCGACCATGAAGCTAATTCCCAACAGTCAGCATCGGTCAATATGGACAAAAGGGCCGGAGGACGTACGTCTCAACCTTTGAATTATCTTCACCGACGGTTTTCTTCAGGATATTTGTCACCCCGATCATGCCTGCCATCATGGTTAGCGAGTTTCACTGCGATATCGGCAGGTCACTAATGACTTGCCAAAGGCAAAGGCGAGGCCGACACCGACGACAACACCATAACCAACCGCTTGTGGCAGCGGAGATGGTATATCGGAACCATCGTCTGACCGCTGATATAAGCTCATTTTGCGTGTGGCTTCGAGAGGGGCTTGGATATCGTGAGATTCGACACGCGAGTCCCCCTGCTTCACTGGGGTTGACTGCTCTTTATAGGAGCCGTTAATTACCAGGGCAATTGCTCCGACCCCTGGAATTTAGTGACCTGGAGAAGATTTACCCCCACGAGGTTTTCCATAGCAACGTTATGAGTCTATCAACACTAAGATGTCGTCACTGCCGCATCGAGATTAGCGCTGCATACCGCATTGACAAGTGATCACGACACATCATTAACCGAAGCCTGGACTGGTCCTATTTCTCATGCTGGGGAAGTTGCAACCGACCTCGCGTAACAATGGAACGTACAAGTATGTTCCCAGAATGGGCTCCAGATGCCTGGTGGTCCTCCCCCTGCATGCATGACGAGCCCACAGGCATGGACTCGGGTTCGCGATGAAAGTCATGGCGGGTTGGTAGACCAATGAGAGACTCGATTCAACCTCATGCTGCACATGGCGGGCAGATGTGGGTCAGAGGTAATTATATGCCAGGCTGGATATCGAGTACGCTTGGACTCTTTACGTTGCGGGCCACCTGCGGATGAGGAGGGATGACAAGGGAGTCGCAGTCTTTGATCATAGCTCTTTTTGAACCAGGAGGAGAAGTAATTACACATGCAGAAGTTCCGGGTCAAGAATGCATTTCTTTTTAATACTAGATCGATTAGGAAAGATTGCAAGTGACCAAAATGCAACCGCAAAATCTGACGAGTGTTGACAAAAAGGAAAGACAGCCAGCGTTATCCCAATCATACCATTTTATCCGTAATCCCTGTTGTTCTGCCTCTTCATCCATCTTCGGGACTCAGTGCCGCTTTCGGCTTGGGGTGTTGCTTCTTGAAGTGACGATCGAAGTTTTTCTTCAACGTGAAATCCTGGCCGCACTCTGGACAAACACATGATTCGTCTGGTATTCCCTTCTCCTCCGCATATACCGGGTGCGTGCTCCGGAGATGGTGCTCCATCTCCCGTTTTTCTTTCGTTCTGGTGTCACAATACGAAAGAGGGCAAGCAACGGGTAGCAAGTGAATGCGTTCGTGCTGGCTAGAACCAGATTAGTAAGTATGAAGCAATGAATGATAAGGGGAGGGTGGTTTTGTATAAAAAAAAAACATACCGTCGGTCATCGTCTGTTTCAAAATTTTGAGCACAGAAATTGCAAGAAAACATGAAGTCCATTGGCTGAATGAGAGTATTGTTTGTTGCCAATTGTGTTGAGAGGTTGGGATCGAGTACTGGGGGGTATGGTTGTAGCGAATGATTTGTATCTGGGGAAACCTGAGAGAAAATGCCGCCGAAGTTTCTGTTACTGATGTAGTTGGCCATGGGATCTACCACGGTCAAGCCTGGGATAATATCGTATTGAATTTCCCGTGGAACCCGTGCCTGATGGACGTCGATGGAGTTCTCTCCGCCCAACAGCGCACTATTCGAGCCCTACAGATTGGAATATGGGTTTCCCTGGGTTTCGAAGATATTAAAGCCAGCATCAGAACCGAGAATTGTGGGCTCCGCAGGTTGGACGTCCAGATCTGGGTAGTCCGATCCATAGCCAAACCCAGCTTGGGCACCAGTCTCGGAGGTCAAGGATAAAGAGAAATTCGAGAATCCACCGTTGTCATTGCCCCATTGCAAGGACTGTTGGTAAGGGAACGTGTCCTCGGGGGTTGGGGAATAACCGTATTGGTCAGAATGGGCTTGCATGGTAAAATCGGCGTCGAAAGCAACCTGCATGCAAAGATCTGGGTCTAACAACTCATGCAATGACACTTCAGACACTGCCCATAAATCAGGATGTAGTCCGAGGGAGACGGTGGTATCAGATTTTCATATCAGCACTTACGGGTATTAAAAAGCGGGTTGGCTTGATCCTCCCTTTGGGAGGGAAACAAATGATTCCCAAGATAATCGGCTACAAAGCCCTCCATTAGCACCATTGACTAGAGGGAACTTGCTTGGGGTCAAGAAACAGGTGGATCTTACGGTCAACGACACTCGTATAGTCCATATGACAACAAAGATGGGACCTCCCTGTGAGGTCGGGAAGACGGGTACAAAGCAAGAAGAGAGCGCCTCGAGGCGCCGTGATGCCAGGCTCAAGGGCACCATGGGTTGCCTCCTGATTAGGGGAGCGTGTGCAGTCCTTGCCGAGAACTCATTGAGACGGCGAGGTCATCATGGATTAAAATAACAATTAGCCAAGCCGCCTCGGAGGACACAGGGTCGCCTTCAATAGGTATTGTAAGTATCGACATTTCATAGTGGCTTCTCCGACCCAATAAGAGGTGATCTCAACCCCACCCATATGCAGGTCGTCCGCGCCATGCACCATGCACGCACGAATGCCACGATTGGTGGCGGACATCCTCACCCAGGCAGGCTCTTGGGCAGAACAGCCCGGATCGCTTCCTCAGGCTTCTTATGAGTTCTGTATGGCCTCCTTGAATGCCCAATGATACCACTGCGACACGACGAAGTTGTTGGGTTGTGGATTGGGCTGCAGGTGAGGCCACATGATTCCCCAGCAAATTCCAGGGATACATGCACTAGGTTGACACGAAGCAGACCTCCCGCATAAAACGGGCCAGCTAGGCCTATCACATCTGAGACTAGTGGCCCTCCCGCAGAAAACCGGCTTGGCTGGTGAACCCAAGAGAAGCAGGCTGAGGGGAAATGCGTACTACGGCCTGGTCGAGCCCCCACATCCCAAGATGATGTTGGTGAAGGACGCTATTTCGTCTTCTTTCCTTCAACTTCTTTCCTGGTCTCCAGGCTGCCATATGAGTTTAGCACGACCTTGGAGACTCGCCTCCTTTCTCCGAACTGGTTACCTAGCTCTCGCCTTGAGGGAGGAGTGTATGCGTATCATGGGTGAGCATCGATTCCCCCCCCCGCTCCTGACTTTGAGGAGCCGTGAGTAAAGGCACACATGCTCACATAATCATGCCATTAATTACATGTACTTGTGACAGAATTTCCAGCTCTAGAGACCAATACCCGAGTCACCGTGCCCTTGGGACCCAAGCTCTGCCGGCGGTTCTATGAGCCTATCGTGCTGCTTGCCGGCTTGAATAAGGCAGTTCCCCATAGCACACCGGTGGCTACAGCCACACGAATTGAAGTCACGCAAGGCCCAGAGCAATCGTTCCATTGCTTTATCAACAAACTTTCCCAGGTGTGCGACAACATTCGGGGTGGGCCTACCGTAACCTCCTTCACTGTGCTGCAAGAGCCGGACAAGGTGGTCTACGTCTTTGCCTCAAACCGTAGAAAGCAAGATGAGCTTGACGTGACCAAAGAGTTCATTATTTCCATACTACAGCAATTAGGCGAGGCGTCTATTGAGACAGAGGGCAAAACTCGAGAGGCATTCACGACTCTTCTTTACCCCATCTTGGCCTTCAATCGACTGCGGATTGAATTTTACGTTGACAAGCTCTCCAAGGAGCTTGAGAAGTGCAAACAAGTGTGTCATCGGGGAACATCACAAGACGGTGCGTAGTTACGGCATAAATAGTTCGACTGGGATCTCCGCTAACGTCACTTCTTCTGTAGACCCGTCCTTGTTGGATTCTCTCCAACAACTGGGCGATATCGCTTCCTACCACACACGGTCGGACTTGAGTGATGGAGAATGTGAGTCCTTGGAATGTGTGCCCAACCCCACGTGTACTAAAACCATCGCTCTCGAGTAGTTGTTCGGTCGAGCGAGACGCTCCTCACGGCCATCAACCATCTTTACGAGTCGTGGCTTGGCAACGTCATTAGAGACAGGGCCAAGGAAGGTAGGATGGACATGGTCGAGTGTTGGGTTGGACTTCGTCACTATGCCGGCCGGCTGCTGTCTCTGTATTTTGCCGCCCAAGATCTCTTGTACGCACGTCGTGCGTGGCCGGAGCTGTTCCTGGATTTCGAAGTCAAAACCATACCATCCAGCGAGGCGGCCGCCAACCCGATGAAGAAAAAGTCCGCCTCCGCAAATGAGCTCATTGGTCGTATCATGAGTGATCCCGACGAAATCGAGAGATATCGAGAGCTTGCCCGTGAGTTACAGAAGTGTAATCTGGACGAGCTTATCCGACAACAGTGCACGAGGACCACCTTCAAACCAATCGCTCACGCCGAAGTTCTGGTACTCAACTGGCTCAAGACCAACGGCTACACCCGCCCAGATCGCTTCTTCGAAGGTTGGAAATATATCGGAGCGAGCAAGCCCACCTGCCGCCTATGCTCGTACTACTTCCACGCCAACTCGGATGGCATCCAATGCCGGCCGTCACACGGGAATCTCTACCCCAACTGGAGAGTCTGCGACGTTTACCGAGACCAGGGAGACAGGGCAACCGTGGACAGGGAAAAAGTACTTAACGGCATCCTCGAACGGATACGCGACGATGCGTGTCGCACGCTTCGTGAAAAGACCTCGGACGGGAAAAGATATGACTCCAACACATACTCGGCCCGACTGAACCGCAATGTTCTTGGTGACGGTTCGGTAATCAGTGGCACTGTGTCTGACTTTAACAATCTATCGGTCAAGTCCCCTCATAGAGTCAAGCCTGTGGGACGCACCCTGCCTGCGCTGACGACCGACGAAGGAAGGGAGGATGCGGATGAGTCGGACGATGATGAAGATGGCGGTGCGTCTCTTTCGGCCAAAACTTAAAAGGTCTCTCGTGTCAACCTCGTGGGATAATGAAACTCGTCTTGGAATCCCGTTCTAATTAATCCTTGGCTGGGAATGGTTTGGAACGCTTTATGATATGACCTGGTGTACATTGACACCCCCTTTCCCTTAGCAGATAGAAGTCAACTTGTGTTAGTGATCTGAGAATCCACGGCATCGCAATTCTATTGCAACAAAGCTACCACTGATACTTCACAGGGCAAGGTTTACTCGCATGTCCGCGGCTCCTCAAGTAGACCTTTGAGCACAGCTCCTCGAATACCCTTGAACCAAAAGCTGGCCATTTTCCTATAACCCAAGTCGTTGGGGTGGACGCCATCAACGAGATCACCAACACACGGACCTTCGGCTGTACACATGTCAATGAGAGTGATCCTTTCGCCTTTGGCTGCTTTGCTTGCAGCCAACGATCGAATCTGCTCGTTCACGAAGCGGATCCTCGAGTCGACACTCTTGTCCTGACTGACGAGGAGAGTCGAGAGGATAATGGTCGAGCCAGGAGATGCCAACCACAGGTACTCGAGCAGATTTCCCAAGCGCCTTCCAAAGTTTTCGATCTCGAGATTCTGTATGCAATCGTTGGATCCGGCGTTGACCGTGAAGACGTTCGGCAGACAAGCTGTGACCGATCCCCTGGCCTTGTTCTCAATCTGGTCGATCCTGAAGCCGCGCCATCCTTCGTGATCGTTGTTGGCCATGGTGCCACTCTTGCGCGAGCCAACCATGCGAGTAACGTGGCCATGCGACTGAAGCATGTCGTATAGCGCTTTACGGTAGCCGTTGCCGTCACTCGATCCGACGCCATGGGTGATCGAGCCGCCTAACGGCATGATGCGCAAAGGCACTCTCGGCTTCGATCGTAACTGGTGATCTGTCGCGGTGGGTCAAATGTCAGCAACCTTCAAGCGGTGTTTCGCACGTATGGTGGTAGTGCTGCACGCAAAGATGCAGACGGACGGAAGCCGCTGTAGAAAATCTGGCATCATACGGCCTATGCTTACTTACCATGCTGGGCAGCAGATGTGCTCGCCTTTGTCTGTTGCATAATCGAGAAACTAGAGTTCGATGTACTTTTACATGTCCTCCGGATTGCGGATGGAATGCTCCGCGTGGCAAGCGAAGGAGGCCGCGAACGAGGAGCCGGCGCGAACAATGGTCGAAGCGACATTTATGCAGGTCGCAATTGCAACAATCGATATCGGGTCAGGCTGGTGGAGGTTGCCGATAGTGCTCGCATCGTGTTCTCCAGGGCTGGAAAATGAACAAGAAGGTGAGTCAAAACGAACCACAATTGAAGTGGGGGAGTAATTAACCATTCAGTGGACAACTCCGACTCGCACCAACCATTGGGGGGTCAATCCAGCTCAGGCTGGCTCACCGTCGACTTAGGGTAGCTCAGAGCACCTCAGGCTAAAGCAGCAAGCGCTCAGTCCCAAGGAATAGATGGGAGATTCTGGATGCCGGTTTTGGGGACGTATGTTCGTTGTATTTACCAATGTAGATCTCAAATCGCAGGGTAGATTTCGCACGTGTTTGTCACCTGACAAAACCCCACAGGGAACAAATGAAATTGTCCCCAAACTACATCCGTACCTACCCGTCCAATATGCTTTCCGGGGTCTATCTCGTGGTGTTTCACACGTTGAGTCTTGTATCAAATCTTTGCTACCTAGATAGTCCTTTGGCTCATGGCAGACGAGAATTTGTCGAGACTGGCCTGCGTGAGCTGTCACCGCCAGAAGCGCAAATGCACGCGAGAGCTTCCAACGTGTCAACTTTGCCAGAAAAACCGGCGCATATGCGAATACCCGCCTACCCCAAGCCCTGAGTCTGGGGTTGACTCTTCCAACGCGGTGAGTAGACCGTTTCAGTTCCTTGTTACCCGACAACTGGCCTGGACAGATCCCGACCACACCTCACATCAATGCTGGATCGTCTGCCGAAAGCCCGTCACCAGCTGACACTTACTCTAGGTTTCCGAACGCAATCGAGGCCAGGCTCTCTTCTTTGTGGATTCCTACACCTTCAACCAACGCCGAATGTGCATAGAGGGTGTTGCTTCAGTGAGCCCACAAGAATTGACCGATGAACTCGGGAACAAGGCGCAGATGCAACTTGATGCCGAATGCTACTTCGCCTCCACTCACAACTTCCTCCCGATAGGTTTGTCTACGTCCCAGATGCTCATCTTCTGCGGTAGATGAATATCGCTAAATTCAGGTCAAAGTTTCAAGACACCGTCTCTATCAGCACTTGATGAGGATGACAGACTTGACTCTCGATACGGCCCTCGTCTTGTCAACCATGAAGCTCCTGTCTCTATCCACTGATAATATCAGATCAGGCAAGAACTTGTACCAGAAACTCAAACGGAACCTTTTCTTAGCCGAGATGCAAGGAGAAATTTCCGTCAAAATGCTCCAGGCAACCGTTCTCGTGGGGTTGTACGAGATGGCGAATGGTATCTTGCCAGCGGCATACCTTACTGTCGGCCATTGCGCCCGGATGGGCCACGCTTTGGGGATCCACGACCGGAGGAATGCGCCACAAATGTTCCCGTCTCCTCGTACGCTATACCGCTTCTGCCACACGTCTCCGCGCTGACAGTGGACAAGGGTCTTGGACGGAATTGGAAGAACAGAGGAGGGTTTGGTGGGGTGTAATGGTCCTCGACGTGTTAGTAATGCCAAATTCGAAGGGGTTGCCTATTATTTCCTAACTGTCATGAGCAGATACCTTAATGTCGGAGTCTCCGATCGCCCACTGGCCATTATCAACGTTCAGCCAGCAGATCTGCTTCCGATGGACGAGGCACTTTGGGACGCTGGAGTAAGATCGGAACCGGACTCTCCACTCTATATATCCCGCATCTGACAGCCACCAGGAACAGACCGTTATTCCCTCACTGGCTGTGTCGTCAAGTGCAGACATTCCCGCTCCACCGTTTGCCCGAACCTGCCAAGCATCCCACCTGTTATCTCGAGTTGTTCAGCACATCAACTTGAAGCCAAGCAACATGCGAGAGTATTACGAAGAAGGAATCCAACTGCATTATGTTCTACAGGCATTTCATGGGGCCCTAACCCACGAAACCTCGACGATGGATCCTACTGGAGCTGCATCCCTCTGGTCGGCCCGGGGGATCTGCTACACTGCCCTCATCGCACTATACGACCATCACAGCTGTGCCGAATTGAATAACTCAGAGGGTATTGGAATAGCAGAGCAGCTCCAGATGCAGGAGATTTCCCTCACGACAATGCACGACGTGGGCGTCTCACTCTGGGAATTCTCTCACGGGCTTCCGGAGGCCGTGAGCGTTGTTGGACCGAGAGCTGCCACTCCTTTCGTGACGGAGTGTCTCTACTCGGCGGCCAGGCAGTATACTTGGTATATCTGGGAGACCGGGAAAACCGAGTTGAATACGGCAGTGGCGGATTTGGTGACCGCATTGCGCCTTCTAGGCTGTTACTGGGATGTCTCAAGTAAGACCGCGTCTGCTTCACCTGCTACTATACACTACCCTGGATGAAAGAAGGGTCTAGTGGGACACAATTCTGACGTGGTGTACAGACCAATATTTGTCTATTTTGGAAACAGAAGGCATGCCGGGCTCGGGATCAGATCTCTGACAGTGGCTCAGTCGGACTATTTCTAGGAGAACGCGTATGCGAGCTGCGCCACGAAACCTTCCCGCGAGAATGAGAATATCCGTCTACCGGGAGGCTAATGATAATTGATTGGTACGAGGGCAAGGTAAAGCCTTTTTAAATTATCCGGGTGTTGGGGGTTGACAGAACGAGGCGCTGCCGACCAAGACCCCACCTTTATGCGGAATTGGGCGGACCCGTGCGGACTAGCTCCGTTTTTTGGTGGAGACATGGTCCGCACAAGGCCGCATAAATGTGGGGCTCTGCACCCGGAATGCGGATGTGTCCGGGGCATCTTGGCTTCCCGCCTAGCAAAGCAACTCTGCGTGTGCTCGAATGTTTTGAGTATATATGTCGCAGGGAATCCCATTCATAGCGAGACTTTTCAATCGCAACCTGCTCTTCCAGCCCAATTTACCATCATCATCATCATCATCATCATCATCATCATCACCAAGTATTCATTTTTGTCGTCTTCACATTGCAACTTGACCCAAGCCTGTCTGTACACCGCAATTAAAGCCATGACTTTCGACTTCAACGACATCCCAGATCTTTCCGGCCGCATCGCTCTCGTGACAGGAGGCAACACCGGCATCGGAGAAGCGACGGTTCGACACCTCGCCGCCCATGGCGCCAGGGTCTACATGGGCGCCCGCAGCAGCGACAAAGCCGCTACCGCAATAGCAAGGATCAAGGAAGCCCACCCGAGTGCCGATGTCCGCCACTTGCAAATGGACCACATGTCTCTCGCCTCGGTCAAGGCCGCAGCAAACACCTTCACCAGCCTGGAATCCGAGCTCCACATCCTAGTCAACAACGCGGGCATCATGGGGACCGAGCTCCAGATCAGCAAAGACGGCAATGAGGCTCAGTGGCAGACAAACTATCTCGCCCACTGGCTGTTGACCAAGTTGCTCCTGCCCTTGATCATCTCCACCGCCGAGAAGGCACCGAGAGGTGCCGTGCGCATCGTGAATGTCAGCTCGAGTAGACACAAGCTGTTCGCGCCGAAGGAGGGGATTCGCTTCAAGAACACTGCCCTAGACAACGAGTCGAAGATGACCCGCTACGGACAAAGCAAGTTGGCCAACGTCCTCCACGCCAAGACCCTCGACGCTCTATACGGACCCGGCTCCGAGCACGCGCAGCACCACGGGCCAATTCTCACGGCAAGCTTGCACCCCGGCGCGGTCGATACTCAGCTCAATACTCAGGTCTCAGTCAAGGGTATGGGATGGGTTAATCCGGTGTTGAAGTGTGCTGGCGTGTTCAGCGATCCTGATGATGGCGCGATGGCGAGCTTGTTCTGTGCTTCGGCTAAGGAGTTCTCGGAGGACATGAGTGGCAAGTACTTTGACAGCAAGGCTAAGGTAATCAATCCTAGTGATCTGGCGAGGAATCAGGGACTGAGAGACGAGCTGGAGGCGTGGACGACGGCGAAGATGAAGTCGGAGGGTTGGATTGAATAGACTCGTATTGATGATGGGAGAACATTGGAGTACGGAATCAGCTCATAAGCCCTTTTGAAATGAAGTAATGGCCCCTAGTCACCTATTTTGACTCATATCGTACAATCTCAAGCCTTTATACTAAAACACGAGTGTAGCATCACTTCCTTCACAACTTTCTGTTGCCCCGTCCGTTCAAGCTACAGGGGCGTCATCTCCGCAGCTTCCAGCGACAGTCGTCTTCCCAACCTCTGATTCCTTCTCTCACCTTGACTCATGGCTCTGGCGGGCTAAACTCGAGATCGTCGAAGACATCCACGAATCAGTTTAGCGGGTTCGGGTCCAATGGGTTTGAATTTAATTAGTCAGTTCCATCTAATTAGTTCAACCAGTGTTCAGGCATCAGTGAACTCCATCGTAGGCCCCCGTTGTGTTCACAAACGTTAACGTTATCCAGGTTTATATCTGAATCTAGCCTAGTATTTCGTATACACAAGATGTTGGGGCAAGCTCGCAATTATGTTCCATGCCTCTGATTGGTGTCGCCCCTACGTTCGCCATCAGAACCCTGACCTGCGACATGCGTGCCAGAAGAGAAATGGGGAAAGCACATTGCGGAGATGGACGCCCATTGGTGCCAGAGAACGGCTCCAGCAGATGCTAACCCTCCTCCGCCTTCTCTACACCGATAGATCTTCAATCATATATCATGACAAGGACAACATGTCCCGACTTTTCTATCATTCCGAGATAAGCAATTATTCCAAACTCGCAGTCACTGTCTGATTTCAATCACAAGAAACAACGATGGTGAAACCAGGGCTCCCGGGTTCTCCGTCAGGCAGTGACCATGCCGACAATGAACCTCCCATCATCGCCCAAGCCACGACACCCTCAACCACCAAACAACACCGCACCTTCCGGTCCTTCATCTGGGACACAGACACCCACCTCAAAACCCCCGAAGAGCGCAAGTTACTCCTCAAACTCGACTGGTCCATCCTCAGCATCGGCTGTCTCGGCTTCTTCATGAAATACCTCGATCAAGGCAACATCGCCAACGCCTACGTATCCGGCATGCAGGAAGACCTCGCCATGCGCGGCAACGAGTACACCTACGCCGTGACCGCCTACACCTGCGCCTACGCCGCCATGCAGATCCCCAGCACCCTCGTCATCCAGCGCATCCGCCCGAGCGTCTGGCTGGCCCTCATGGAGGTCGGCTGGGGCACGTGGACCTTCGCCCAGGCGGGGATGCGGAGTTCCGCCCAGCTGTATGCGTTTCGCTTCCTGGTGGGCCTGTTTGAGAGCTCGTTTTTCCCGGCCCTGCTGTATGTGCTTGGGAGCTGGTATACCAGGACTGAGTTGGCTAAGCGGGTGGCTCTCTTCCATATGACGGCTCCACTGGGGAGTGCTTTTGGAGGGTACTTGCAGGCGGCGGTGTATACTAACTTGAATGGTGTTCATGGACTTGCGGGCTGGAGGTGGCTGTATATCATCTGTGGAGTGAGTATCCCCTGTTCACAACTGAGTTATAATCTGTTTGACGGTTTTTAGTGCATGACGGTCCCTGTTGGACTCGCAACGTACATTTTCCTTCCGGACACTCCCTACACTACAAGAGCCTGGTTTCTCACCGAGAGTGAACGGGAGCTTGCTAAAGAGCGAGTGATCAGAGCAGGCAAGGCGGCACCTGTAAGGGTGACGCTTGCGACGTTCAAGAGGATTCTGTCTTCGTGGAAGTGGCACGCTTTTGTGCTGGGATACGTGGTATTTATGCCGGGGCATTCTCCCTCTCCATCGGTTATCTATCTTGAATCAATGCTGACCTGATCTGGGTAAGCTATACGGGTCATCGTGCGGCGGCAATGGATACTTTGGCATCTGGCTCAAGTCTGAGCATTTCTCTGTTGTCGACAGGAATGTCATCCCTACTGGAACTTCATTGATCTCGGCGACATGTGTTGTCCTCTGGGGATTCCTGTCGGATTATACGGGGAGCAGGTTCGCATGGGTGCTGAGCCCTCTGGTCAGTTGGAGCTGCCCTGGACATGAGATATCAGATAGCATCTAACGAAGACATATCCAAACAGATTCTTGGACTTATCCCCAACGGAATTCTGGCATTCTGGCCATCGGGAATTGCGGTGAAGGAGTTTGCTTTCTTGACTGTCAACATACATCTCATGACAGCCGTGTTGTAAGTCTCTTTGCTGGTCCTTCGAATCAGGAGGCTGCAATATCAAGGTGTGCTGACTGGTGCTAACTTACTGTAGCTACTCCTGGGCCAACGAGGTTTGTGCCGGTGATAATGAAGAGCGTGCAGTCGTCATCAGTAGCATGAACGGCTTCCAGTACGCCGTTGCCGCCTGGCTACCAATTGTCATTTTCCCACAGACTATGGCCCCAACCTTCCGTAAGTGATCACTGCATACTTGACTCACCATCTAGCTCAAGTCTTGAAGAGGCTCGAGACTGATCACATACACACCGCGAAGGATACGGTTTCCCGACAACCTTTGGGCTCGTCATTGCTGCGATCATTGGCGTCGTCGCGATTCAACTATTTGTCCTGCATGACAACCGAAAAGCACGTCGATCATCCACCGACAGTGAGGAAGGCGTCACTTCCGCGGTTATCAGGGCTGGGATCAAAGATGGAGAGCAAGGCTGATCGTTGAGAATTAGGGGGACTATCAAGGAGATATGTTGCCATTCAGGTGCGAAGCACGGTTTCCTCTGAAGACCGAATGGTCGAATTATAAGTTAGTCTAGCTTTCCTTGAACAAAGGCGCCAGCACGCTGTGTTCAACCCAATTCTTGTCCTTCTCCCACCCCTTCACAATGAAGTCCCTTCCAAGCTCCATCGCACCTACAATCTGCTCTGGAGTACCTGTCAGGGAATCGTTCGGAGCACGGCGAGTGTACCAACCGGTAAGGTGTACGCCCGCATGGACCGGCCGTCCTGAAGGCCATTTCGTTGCTCAGTCTGCCGTAACCGTCTATAAACCCCTGCATAGCCCACATGGCGCTGTCGACATCGTTAAAGTGCTTCCGCTCGTAAAGGTCGCCGATCATTTGGCCGAGATCGTAGGCTCGATGGCCGAACTGGGCGAACTCCCAGTCGATGATGAAAAGCTCGTTGGTTCCTTCTGGCTGCTGCGTTTCTGACTTTGGGTTCCGTACCAGGACACTGCTGGTTTTGAATGCATGTTACGACTACTCTGGCGTAACCCGAGAGGGAGGGAAAGAGAGAGGGAAAGAGAGAGGGAAAGAGAGAGGGGAAGGGAAAAATCTTACTTCCCAGACCAGAAATCCCCATGTATTACTCCCCAGTCCCCGCGTCCCTCATCGGGCTCTGTCGCCCATATTTCAAACTCCCTTGCCGCCATGCCCTTGCCATCTTCTAACGTCTTCCTGCACCCCTCCAGAACTTTCGGGAAGTTCTCGAGCACCTCGATGAAACGATGATATGTGATAAGATACTTCAACCTCATCGGCTCATTCCGCCCAATCTCTGCTCGAAGGTCAGCTTGCGCAGGCGCCAAACACTGATCGTGGAAGGACCGGAGCCAAGTTCCCATATCGCGGCCAATGCATGTTGCGAGGGGCCGGATGAGGAGGTGATTGGCCTCGGGTGAAACGAGAATTGATTTTAGATCGACCGAGTCGGGGACATCTTCCAAGACCTGGGCGTTTGTCTCCCGATCAAACAGGAAAGGACGCGGTGTCTTGACTGATGTAGACGTCGAGGATGAATTTTGAAGGGAGTTGAGCATGTATTCCTCGAAGAACTGGCGAGGGTTAGTTTAGCAAGAGCTTGTCATTCAGTGACTTCGGGTTTGTGAGCGTGCCATGGTCAGGGCGTAATTACACAACGGGACACGTCAAGAGGGCAATCCCGATTGACGGCCACATAGTCTGTGGAGTGCTTGACGATGATGGTGTGGGCGGCTAATGCTGTCATTCCGTCCTGGTAGCGGAGGAAGGGCTGAGCGAGGATGCCCCGGAAAACGAAGTTGGTGGTACCGCTGCTTAACCGGGTCAATGACGAGCAAGCATACCGAGTGTGTGACAAATGCTGCAAGACCCGAGAAGAGAGCTCGTCATTCTTCGGTTGGTCGAGGGGCGCCATTATATCAAGGTTGGATTGCTAGCGGCTTGCTGTTGAGGGAGAGAGGAGGAGGTGCCTCTGGGTGCAGCTCCTTCTTATGTTGGACCCAATGAGCCATAAAGACGTACCGAAGCACGCAATCACAATGGCAGTGTCCTGCTCAGATACCCAGGCGCAAGAGCAACGTTAAATATCTCAACATATTTTTTGGATAGTCAGTAACATAGGGCTACTACTATGGAGTAGTCTTTTGGTAGTATTCATATATAGAACGAGAACTGGATGAACGACCAACCTCAAATGCCTCAATTCCTTTTAACGCCTTTCTAATCCTATAATGATGTCTAATACCAAAGGCTAAGCCAATTGCGTTGCGCTCTGAAGAAGAAACTCCTTGCTGAATGGATAGTCCGTATAGCCTTCCAATGACTTCGGGATGTAGAACGTTTCCCGTAGATAGGGGTTCAAATCCAACCCTGCCCGAATGCGAAACGGTAGATCAGGATTCGAGATGAAATACCTGCCAAACATAACCACAATGTCTTTATTGGGATACTGCTCATCCACAAGCTTCCGTGCTGAAGCGGCATTGTGCCCGCCGGCGACGAGCAGCGGGCCGTTCCAGAGGTTATACGCAAAGTCCAGCTTGTCAGAGCTCTCGACATCCTGGCTGCCGTCGACGTACGACTCAACCAGGTGCAGAAACGCGATGCCGAACGGGGCAATCTTGCTGATGACGTCGGTGAACTGTTGCACGGGGTCCGCCATCCTCATGGACTGGAACCTGCCCCAGGGGCTGAGGCGGATGCCGGTCCTCTCGGGGCCGATGGCCGCGACGACGGCGGCGACGACCTCGACGGCGAACCGCGACCGCGCCTCCACGCTGCCGCCGTACTCGTCGGTGCGGTCGTTGCACGTGTCCTGCGTGAACTGGTCGACCAGGTAGCCGTTGGCGCCGTGGATCTCGACGCCGTCGAACCCGGCCCTGACGGCATTCTCCGCCGCCGTCGCGTAGTCCCGCACCGTCTGCTGGATCTGCTCAACCGTCATGGCTGTCGGCACAGCCGAGGTGTCGTCGATGGGGATGGTGCTCGAGCTCGAAATGGTGATGCCCTCCCGCGCGGCGACCTCGGGGTTGGCGGCCCGGCCGAGAGCCCAGAGCTGGCAGAAGATGTAGCTGCCCTTGGCATGCACTGCGTCGGTGATGTCCCGCCAGGCAGCTACCTGCGCGTCGTTGTAGATACCGGGGACGTTGTCAAACCCAGACTGGGCCTCCGAGATAAACGTGCCTTCGGTGACGATCAGGGTTCCCGGTACCGAACCCCGTTGGGTGTAGTATTCCTTCATGACGGGCGTCGGGACTTTCTCGTCGGACGCGCGAAAGCGGGTCAAGGGACACATCCCGATGCGCTGCTTTAGCACAACCTTGCCCACAGCAAGGGGCTTGAAGAGGCGTGAGTCGGCCATTGGGACAGGGAGGAACTTGTGATAGTTTTGAAAAGCTTAATCTATCCTGATCAAGCCACTTTTTATTTGGAACGCCAACGGGGTACCCGAAAAGCCAAGAAATTTGATGCTAAGACTGCTGGTAACGAAAGGAAAAGAAAATGTGGGAAGAACTTGAGACTAATAAAAAACCATTTATAATAGCCGAAACTACAACGATGTTTACAAAGCAAGAAGTTTGATGGAACACGCCATCGTCCTGATTTATAAGCAACTGTTTTACCATCCTCGGTCCAGTCATGTGCCTATGCAGGTGATCAAATGCGGGGCTGCAACTGCCGTATCCAATCAACAATTTTTTGGATACCCCCGCATAGGTACGCGATATTAATGAAGTACCTAGGAAGATCCAGTCGCCCATCGCATATTTATTACTGTTCAGCTACTGAGAAAAGACAACCATGCCATCTGTTACAGGCATCGAGCGCTGGGACCATGATGTTAGCACATCACAGGATGCAGGCTATATAGCTCCACCGGTCCGATGATTCCCCTCCGTGCACGCGCAACTAGCCGAGTCGACAGGCCCTAGGAATGGTCTCCACAACGAATCGACACCAATATAGCCCTTAATTTTGTCACGGCGGTCCCCGAGAAAGATCCACACACAGACAAGCACAACATAGAAAACTCCAAGACGATCGGGGCAACAACAACACGGTTCGCAGCCCATCAACAGAAGACAGTGCCGACTTTCCAGACGCGGTAGCGACGCCGAAGAGTTCGAGCAGCGGGCTCGAAATACCTCCCGTTATATCGTTACCAAGCGCAGGTCCTGTCCCGCAGCACTCAACGAGATGGGTCTTTGCAGTCGCGACCGACAATGATGTCTTTGCGACGCGACCGGACCTGCCGCCGTCCACTGTCTGGATGGACATAATCGTTTGCGGTTTCGCGATCGTCCCGATCGCCGAAGCGGTCTCGAAGTCCCACTAGGGTTGCGTCTCGACCCCGCTTCGCAAGCATCGAGATCCGAGATCTTGACGGTCAAATCCCGCGCTCGCCCAGAACCTTCTCGTGGACCTGACACACATTGGGGAGGGCATTGCGGTTGTACCAGAGGCTGTTCGGGTAGGTAATCTGGCCTCATTCGATCGTGGAAACTCGCTTGCGACTCGACAAGCTGACAAGCAACCAACCGCTTAGGACAGGGTCACGGGTCTCGGATTCCAGCACCGACTCAAACCGCACCACATCTTCGCGAAATACCCTTTGCCTAGCGACATGATAAGTTTCGAGTTTGCGCGAATATGCCAAATAGTAAGGAATGCAGAACGCTTCGAAGTCGGGGAGACGCCGGCGTTCGCGACCAGCTCCTAGAACTAGCCCTCGAAGGACCAAATGCCGCACCATCGGTCAGGCCTTGGAATATGTAGGATTGTCCTGTTGGATACGCGGTGTCCCGTGGGCGTGTACAGGCTGCTGAAGGCAGTACAGTGTAAACTGGGTTGACGCGGATTTTTGGTCGTGGCTCAATGAGGCGTTGCTTGGGATGGATTGACGGGGATTTTCATCGCTATATGATATGATCATGCTTGATAAAGTTACGAGGACGCTGGAGTTGGGTTTGAAGAAAAAGACTTGAAGCATTCCATTAGAGCAACCGTGGAGCTTTCAGTTTCAAGGTCCTGACCCCGGGTCCCTCCAGAGCTTTGTTCGTCAGTTTGGACCAGCATCGACGTTTTCTAGAGACTCAACAAGTTCGCCACCATCCGGGGAAGAAATCCACGGCTCCACCAACACGGGATCGGGCGAGATGGGTTGTGCGGGGAATCCCCGCGTGTTCGCCGGGATTGATGATCTGCATGTAGAAAGAAATAAGCATATCCACACCTCCATCACCCCCGCCGATACGCGAGCCGATATGCGAGCCGACCATAAAAATCGACCATCATTGGCGTCAGCTGCGGTACGTTGTGCTATGATTGTGGGAAATAGGAGATGCCAGTTAATTACTTCGGCCTATATTTGAGCGAAGCCCGACAGATCTCCAAGAACATGACGTAGGGCTCACTTCTGGCTTAGTTGTCTGGCAGGGCTGTTGCCGTGAAAGCTCATCCGGTACTAGGAACCCCACAATAGAGTTCAGTGTCTTCAGACATTAACTATCTGGGAGGGCGGCCCAACTTGCTCGCTGCTACGCTCCCCTCCCATCCTCTTACTTGTTCGTGTACTATTGTAGGATCAAGCAACATCGCAGGTAATTCATCATGCAGCTTCTATCCATGTATCTGAGCTACCTGGTCTCTTCCGTCCTACTGCCCGGGGTCGGTGCCGGGGCTGCTGCCAGTGACGAATCCGCCAGACCATGGGAGCAATATGTGCTCAGTCCGTCGACCCGAAATCCGGCTCCTGTTGCGGTCCATTCCATCGTCGGAGATGCCTCCGTTAAGGAGTGTAAACTAACCCATGTACTTCGCATGCGGGCAGGCTCGCGAGTATCTATGGACTTCGGGGTCGAGGTTGGCGGCCACGTATCTTTCAACCTACAGACAGACTCGGAAGCCCCTCTCTCACTCGCCTTTTCCGAATCGCCATCTTTCGTACGCAACATCAGCGATGACACGGGTTCAGTTTACACAATGGATTGGGATCAGGCCCTCGAGGTGACGGTCGACCTCGACGACACCGGATCGGCGTTCTACCAGACTCCGCCCGAGAGGTTTCGGGGCGGATTTCGGTTCCTCACGTTCAATGCCCTCGCAGACATCACCGTCTTCAATATCACCTGCCAGATCGGATTTGCGCCCAACATGCCCGATCTCCGCGCCGGCAACGGTTACTTCTACACGGCAGATGCGGACCAGGAGGCTCTCAACCGGATCTGGCATGCGGCGGCGTACACCATCCAGACGAACATGGCCGCAACCAACACCGGACGCTACCTGCCGCAGGTCCGACCAGGCTGGGCGTACAACGCCACACTCGGCGTTGTTTCCCCCGTCCTCGTCGACGGTGCCAAGCGTGACAGGGCCATCTGGCCCGGAGATCTGGGCATCATCGGCCCGGTCGCCATGCTTGCGTACGGGGCTTATGGTCGGGAGGCGTTGGAGAACAGCCTCGAGACGCTGTTCTACTATCAAAACGCGAGCACCGGCATGTTGCCGTTTGCAGGACCTGCCACGGGGAGCTTCCGAAGTGGCGCTCAGAGCGACACGTATCATGCCTGGGGTCTGATCAGCGTGTACGACTACACCATGTATTCTGGGAATACCGAGTGGCTGGCCAAGCACTGGCCGAACGTCACCCGTGCTGTCGAGTTTATCATCGACCACCTCGACCCTCGAGTTGGCCTGCATAACCAAACCCACCAGAACGATTGGGCGCGCCAGGGGACGGGGGGATACAACTCGGCCCTCAACGCGCTTGACTACCACGTGTTGGTATCCATGGCATCGCTATCCAGGAACGACTCCCAGGCATCGTTGTGGAGATCGGCAGCAGCACGGCTGAAGGCACAATACAACACACTACTCTGGGACGACGAAGCCGGCCTATATCGGGACAACACCGAAACCACCCTCCATGCACAGGACGGCAACTCGCTAGCCCTGCTATACAACCTCACCCAAACACCATCGCAAGCAACAGCGATCAGCGCCGGCCTAGAACGCAACTGGAACGACATCGGGCCCGTCACGCCCGAGCTACCCGACACCATATCCCCCTTCATCTCCGGCCTGGAGCTGCTAGCACATCTCCACGGCGCACGGGAGCCGGAACGCGCCCTGTCGCTGCTACACCGGCTCTGGGGGTTTCTGCTGGACGGCAGCCCGGACACGATGACGGGCTCGACGTTCGTGGAGGGCATCACGGCCAACGGTAGCCTATACTACCGCTCCGAGGCCGGGTACAAATATGACGCGGCGTACACGAGCCTCAGCCATGGCTGGAGCGCGGGGCCGGCGATGGCGCTGGTGACTGGCGTTTTGGGTTTCAGGATCACGGGGTTGGGAGGGGTGGCCTGGGAGCTGTCGCCGCAGTTGGGAGGGCTGCGGTCTGCCAGGGCGGGGTTTGAGACTGGCCTTGGGTGGTTTGAGGCGGAGGTTGAGGTTGTCGAGGATGGAGAGATGAGGATTAGTCTTGAAAGTCCGCAGGGTACCCGGGGGACGGTGCTGGTTCCACGGGGGTATGGAAAGGTGCTTTTGAACGGCACGGTCCATGAAGGTGTGAGGATAATCCAGGTGGGTCACGATTAATTCTCGTAGGCTGTGGATAGAGTTGTGAAAGGGAACTGTTAAAGGCAACGACTACAAATGAAGTGGCAATTCACATTCTATCATCAGTACCAGCGATAAGGCCATCTTACTTGGTCGACATGACGAAGACGAGGAGGCGAGGGCGTGGCCAGCTCATGGAGTGGCTGACCGAACCTCGTGGTGTAGAGGGTCGGAGCATGTCTTTCTTCGCCTTCCGGCTCCACCTCATCGGCCTAGCACTGCCCTGCCACTGGATAGATGCTGTCCACAGGGCAAATCAAATGCAGTTCGAGGGTACTAGCATTATTGGTCATACCACAGGAAAGGCAATAGCGATAAACAGCGGCAGAAAAGAGCGATAGATTGCAACGGCAATGGAAATAGACAGCGAAGGCAATGGCGACAGACAGCAAACGCAATAGCGACAGACAGCGATGGCAATAGCAGGTGTTGTCGCCACCTGGTCGCGGCATAAGGCCAGGTGTGGACCGGATGCGGGAAACATGGATTATTTGCCTCCTATGTCTAGGCAACGGAGTGCCCCTGTTAATTGTCTCTGGTGTTTTCTAGTTACCTATGTTGGCATCGAATAGACGCAGTTTTTAGAACAGCAAACTAGACCTAAAAAACCAACTGAAGGTAATTAACCAATGTTTCTCAGGGGTGATACAGATTCCCCCATCACTGTGCCTTCGAAGCGCCAGCAAAGATGGCAATACCATACGGTCGCTCCCAGGTATCGCCCTCAGCATCAGCAATCCCAACAGTCAACCGTTCAATGCCAGGGCTCCCGCCCGCCTTATACGTCAGCTTATCCCCATTAACACCAACGCTCCCCTTACCCGCTCCCGTAACCTCGAACTTCACCGGCGCCACAAACCCAGCCGCCAGCCTCGAGAGATCAACCTCGACGCTCCCACCCGGCTCAACAAACCCATGCGGCTCAGCCATGAAGTTCAGATACCCCTCGATAGGCGTATACCCCGCCCCACCCGTCTCGCCGTCCCACCAATCCGCGATCCCGTCGCCGTCGGCGTCCCAGTCGGCGTCGCGCACGACGGTCGGGAAGTCCTCGAGTCCGCCGACGTCGGCCGGGTCGTCGATCAGGCCCTTCTCGCCGCTCACGGACCCGACGTACGTGTACGTGCCCGTCAGCGTCTCGCGGATGACGCGCTCGTCGTGGTCGTCGAGAACCGGCTGCTGCGCGCCCCGGTCGGAGAGGACGCGCTTGTAGGCTTGGAGCGCGGGTTGCGTGGTGACGTGGGGCTCGAAGAAGCTGGTTTTGGGGGAGGGGGGTGGTGAGTGGAGAGCGCGGAGGTCAAGGGGGGTTGGAGATCGGTTGGGGTTGGGGACTCACGGGACGTCAAAGAAGTGCTGGTATGGAGGGGGAGGGTCGATGGTGATGTCGGCGTAGCATGCGATGGGGGAGGAATGGTCGGTGTTGTTGCCGGGCGGGTATTGAACCGAGTCCTGGGGGATGATGACACTGCTGTTTGTAGCCCACATGGTATTGCCGTCGCAGAAATATTGCTGCGTGCCTGGAAGTTGGTTCTCATACTGGAAGGTGGAGGCGAGTCAGTCAAGCAGGATTCGGAAAGCATGGGAGGGCTTAACTCACCTGTGCACGCAACGTGTAGGTAAGATAACTGGCTGGGCCCTGTTTGTAGACGTTGCCGACGAAGTTAACCTCGTGAGCGCCACCGTCAGTAACGCGATCGCCTATAATCGGGAGGCGTGACTGTCAGCCTTTCCGTCTGCCAAGATAACCACGTTGGACATGTAACTTCAAAGGCTCCCAACCTACCAAAGTTATAGACGACGTTGTTCCGAATATCCAGACGCCCTGCGAAAAATCCCGCATTGTCAAGGTTGCCACCCATGCTCCAGGACCGTCCCTCGGCGTGGGCAAGGAGATTGTGGTGGAAGGAGCCCACATCGCCACTGATTGTAGCCGAGAAGCCATGCTTAGTGCCCGGCGGATAGTTCTGGTGGCCGGCAATGTTTAGCGGTTCGGAGATGAAGTTTCGCTGGAACGTGATGTTGTACGCGGAACGAGACGAGAAGGACTCGTCAATGCCCCATCCCTGACATGGAAATAAAACAAATAAAGTCAGTGTGGCTGCAAGATGGGTCTAAGAAGGAACAGAGATGCACAACGCACCATCGAGCACCGGTCGAAGATGCAATGGTTTGACCCTTGCATACCCATACCATCGATGGTCGTGCCGGATACCTTGCCCGGGCGGACGCGCATGTGCCTGAAGATGACATCGCTGGCGCCCGTTAGACCGATGGGAAAACCCTGGACGACAATTCCCTTGCCGGGGGCGGTATGACCCGCGAGAGTGATGGATGTGTCGTTGACCGAGAGTCGACTCGTGGTTGTGATGACACCACCAACGTCGAAGACAACGATTCTAGGCCCAGCTACTTTCGTAAGAGCATATCGAAGACTGCCGGGTTCCTCATTGTCCTCTAGGGTTGTAACGTGGACCACCTTTCCGCCACGTCCGCCTCGAGCCCAACGGCTGAGTTCAGGGTCAGCAAGGGATATAGCAGTCGAAATAGGTGGGGAGCTTGTTCAACGTACCCCCAGCCCTCAGCCCCGGGAAAGGCAAGTTGGGCCACTCGGAACTTGAAGACGTTGCCGATATACAAATTGCAACCAGACACAACGTCAACACGCCAATAATACGTGTCGTGTGTGTTAAGGTCTGTGTGGAGCTGACATCAGTTTTATTATCCACTTCACACAGGAGGGTGACTCTTCGCTGACCAGAAAGTACGACATTGGTTTCTGTCTGTTTAAGACTGACGCTCGTGAGCTTCTCAGGGGACGTGCCGAGATACACGTTGTATTTGGGGGCTTTGGGAAGACGCGGAGCGGTCCAGGAGGCAGTCAAGCTCGTCGCACCGTTCAGCTCAACGTGCTCATCGGTGTGGGAAGGAGACGGGAAGGAAACCAAGTTGCCCGTAGCCGGGGCATCGATCTGGAAGCCGTTCAAATAAACTCGAGTGTCGTTTCCAGTACTGGGCGTGTACGTAACCTTGACGGTCTCGCTGGCGGACGCGACGTTTAGGCGGAGGTAAGAGTAGGCGGCGTCCCAGATATTGTCGGCACGGACAGATTGTGGGAGATTCTGCTTACGCCACAACCGTGGTCAGAAAAGGGGGTGTAACACGATGAGCAAATGAAGTTGGAGGGTGGGGGAGGGAACTACTTGGACCACAGGTTTCCCATCAACAGTGATGTTGAGCGGTGCAACGGACTCCAACTTATCCCAGCAGTTGTGCCAAGCTAGGAGGGTATGGTTTCCGGGAGAGAGGCCCTTGATGGACAAGGTGAGCGGCAGTCCAAGCTGGTCGTCCGTCGTGATGCCCTCGCCGATGACCCTCTCACCCAAGAAGGACACGACCCTCGAATACGCGACTTTATACCAGTTTCCGTATAACTTGGAGCTGCCGTCAGTGGCGAGGGTAAAGTCGACGTTATTCCAGCTCCCGGACGCCGAAGTGGAGTCCGGGTTGATCGTCCACACGTTGAAGTCGGGATCCTCCAGGTCGCGGATATTGCTCGGGTTGAGACGGACCTTTAGCCGGGAGCTGCGCGGGTTGGGTGCCGGCTGCTGGGCAAGCGCCGCGATCACCAGCGAACTGGTCAAGACAGCGAGCCGGAAGTGCACCATGGTTGAGGCCGGGGACACTGGATTAAAATAGAGCGGGAATAAACTGCAGGACCATTGACTGAGAGGTGTCAATACAGCATCAAATCAAGATTTCATGCCAAAATTTCGAGCACGAGTCTTCAATATGTATTCCAGATTGCAGAGCCTTGTTCCTGGCGTGAACACGGGCGAGCTATACCCATCATGTCAGCCTTCGGGGCCTTTTACCCCGAATCAGCCAGATTCTTTACAACATTCACGGATACTTAATTGGGGTTACTGTACATCCTCTGTCAAACCTCCTAATGCAGATGGGTAAAGGAGAACAAGCAACAAAGCAGAGTATGCCCGAGACCCAAGCTTGATCTCGAGAAACCAAGGAGACGGACTTTCTAGGACCAATCCCATGAGGAATAATAGATCCGTGCCTACCTGTCGGGAACGCGTCGGCTAGAATATGCAGGGCAGGAAGCACGTCGGATACGATAGGCATATGGGGTAGGTAAAAAGGCGGGGAAAAGATGCTGAAAAAGTGGAGGGGTGTGGGCCGGCAGGGAAGGAAGTTCGCGGTTGGAGCCATAAGTGGAGGAATGGAATAAAAATAGCTTCGCTAGACTCGAGTCCGGTAGGCGCCCGTGTGTTTTGTTTGGTTCCTTTTTCTTCCACCACTTAAGCGTCCGGATGCCACAGGACTTCGGCTTCGTCGCAATTGACGACGAGGGACAGGAGCGGGGGTGAAGACTGGGGTTCAAAAGGGGTGTTTGTATCCCTAGGTCTGCTTCATCCAGCACCAGGAATTGTCCCCGCCAAATGCTACCATCGTCTCGTTTATTTGTGAAAGTCACGACGAGCCTATTCCCAGCCATGGTGCCCTCCCTCTCGCGGGCTCTCAGACTCGTGGTTCTGTCCATTATATGCCACCACTTACCCCTGGCCGCTGCAGCACCGCCGCCGCCAAAAAACCTCTGGTGGGTGTGGCCACCGCTGGACTACACCGACCCTCTCTACTGTGGCTGGGACCAGATTTCCGTCGTCAAGGAGGTCGAGATCTACAATGGAGTGGCCCACAACCGCACCTATGCGCACCACCCCGAGCTCTTTGCCGTGGGCAACAATGTCTTCCTCATCCACTCATCCGCACCTGTCGACGAGGACAGCATGGGCCAGGACGTCTGGATGTCCACCTCCGAGGACGGCGGGCTGACCTGGACCCCCAGCGTCAGCCTCCTGCCCGCTGCTCTCCTGCCAAACCAGACCGACCCCCTCAATTACAAGTACTGGTGCGACCGTGGAATCGCCCAGCGAGGGTGGCAGGCAAACACATTCGTCCATCTTGCTAACGACGAGCTGTACGCCATTGCCCAGTCCGGAAGTCGATGGTGTCCCGGCACATTCAAGGCGGCCGGCCTCATCGCGCGTCAGATCTCGCTCGACGGCAAGCCCATCGGTGATCCCTGTTGGCTTGAGAAGAACGAGTACACCGACTCGCAGCTGTTCAACGAGACAATCTACGGCACCAAGTACGGCATGAAAATGTGCAAGAAGGCATGCCACATCAACAGGGCGCTCCTCAAGCCTGACCAGGCGCCGGCTTGGACATCATGGCTGTACAACACCGAGCTGGACGCCGCCGACGGCGCACACAGCATGCAGGAGAACACTTTCGCCGTCTGGATCAACGACACGGACTCGCCGACAGGGGGCTACTGGAACCGGTATTGGCGTGATATCTCCTCGGGCACCTCCATCACCCATACCGTCTGGGTCGAGTATAACGAAGACCCAAGCGGCAACGGCTGGTATCCCAAGACCCTATCGCCGAAAGGGAACAAGATCTACCAAACGACCATCCCCGACGCCGGGACAAAGCAGTTCTTCGGCCAAGTGAACGGCGGAGACCGGTATCTCCTCTCCAACCCCAAGTTCAACTCGACCGCTGCCCAGCGCCAGCCCCTCACGCTGGCCGTGTCGAGGGGCTCTGACCAGAGGTTCACGGCCGTGGGCGTCCTCCGCACCGACGCTAACCCGAACATCGTCCCCGATACGCGCAACGGAGTCAAGGACCACGCGTTCGGCTTCAGCTATCCCACGGCTGTCCAGGTCGGGGACAAGCTGATTGCGGCGTACAGCGAGAACAAGGAGAATATCTGGGTCAGCGTCGTGGATGTAAATGCTTTTCCCAAAGCTGGAGACGCCTGCAGCATGACTTGATACACCACGACGCCTGATGTGGAAAGTTTTGAATATTAGCTGTGCTACATAGCGTGTGCTAAGATATCGGCAGACGTTCAAATACAGCACATGAGCTTACCTGCGTTGTAGTCGACATGTGTGCTGGGACTCCACCCAAATAGAAAGTTCTTGTCCAGCTGCCACTCAACACCGAGCCTCAGAAAGAGCTCTGTACCATCAGATTGATGACATGGTACATATGCATGTCCTTCGGCCTCCTTATGCGTTCGCCACTCCCAGAAGAGCTGTTCATGGCCCATGTGCACCGTTCGAGGGGGGAGTAATCTCTCCTGCAACACCCATCCCCTTGAACTGAGAGGGTTATCGGAACCGTCGATGCTTTCCGACCAGCTCAATAACCAGGGGCGAAGCACCATCGGGCGATTCAGCTCCCAGTTCTCGCTCGAGTGCGGAAGGACAATGGGTCGAAACCGACCAGCTTGGCGGTCATGTAGGATGCCCCGGGTGGAATCCTTTGCCGCAGTGGCCGATATTGTGATGTGAGAGTTTTCATAAATTTCGCCCATGATGGCGCTTTCCCCTTCCCAGTCCTGCTTGTCGTCCTGGACGATGCAGAGCGAGTCGATCCACAGGTAGTAAATTTTAAGGCGCAATGCCAGGATGCAAGCATCTTTAAAGGTAGCCGGGAGCTCGTCGAAGGAAACTCCGGTCTCTCTCTATTCTTGAGTGTTTGCTTCGTTGTCGTCAGCGCAACCTTCCAGCTCCCCACGCGTGGCTGAGGGCGGTATACTTGTACTTCTCAGCGGTCTTGGTGGTGATCAGGCGCGGCTGCGGCAACGACGTACTTTTAGACAGATCGATGAGTCTTGTTGGCATCCGGCTGCTCCGGCCGTCAACTCGGTTGCAAAGCGAATGAGACTGATGGCATTCCGACATGGTTTGGTTTATCCACGAGATGGTCGAATCTGAAAGCGGGCTGGGAGCGACGTCGGCCCCTGTAGGGACGTGTATTTCCGGATGTTTGGGGAAGCCTTCGCCATGAGGATCGCTATGACGTTTCTCTCTTCGACGTTTCTCTCTTCCAACATGCTCCACTGCAGTTGGTGTAAGGGGGAGGAAGTACATGCCGACTCTCCCAATTAAGACATACTTTGATGGGTTTTGTCGTCTAAGGACTCGATGGTGAGCTTGTGAGGGTGCAATCTTGCGCCTGCACGAGATGTAAAGCCCTAACCCTGGGTTTCTCTCACTTGTGGGATAATGGAGGTATATCTGCGACTCGGGGTCCTCTAAAAAACTGAAAACGATTGTCCTCTCTCCAATATGGGGGGATTTCGTTGTCCAGGTAGTGGTCGATTTCCACTTCCATGGCATGGCAGACAAGACAGCCATTTCTAGCCGATGCCCTGAGGTCCGGAAGAGAAGGCTGGTGCCGATATCCCTCAGTCGGATACCGTCCAGCTACCCAGTGGAACTAGTTCGTAAACATCTCCTGGGCTGCAAACCATTCTGCCCACGTCCATGTTGCGACAGTAGTTGCAGGTATCTGCAGATACCATCCCGTGCCCTGACGATAGGGGCTTGCTGCTACTAGCACGAGTCGGAGAATCAGGGGGTGAAGGCGACATATTGAGTTAGGTAGGCTGTGTCGGTATCCTGACGAAAGAGAAGTAATTACCTCAATAGATGTCCAAACTACAAAAGCCTTACTAGGTACCTAGGTAATAAGGCACCCTTGCAGCCGCCCCCTTTTTATTGGGCAGCAGCATTTTTATAACGCGTTGGATAGGTAGTGAGAGGTATCACTCTACCTGCAGCCGGGTGAATTGTCCGCCGTCACACCGGCGTTGGCTGCAACTTTGTCTTGCTTGACATCCCCAAGCCTGCCCGCCATTACCAGCTTGAGCTTATTTCTCCCCGGCCAGAACTTACCCACCAGAAATGGATGCAGATCCTCTACCTCCCTGGGGTGCGATGCCATCGGAGCAATACCTGATTGTAAGTAGCTGCATCCAGAGAAACCCCGGTCTATTACATTGACGGGAAGAAGTTCCGCGATATCCTCGAGGAGGATGGGGAAGCTATCGACTCGGAGATTGACGAGTTCCGGGATGCAAACGTGCTCAACGACGTGGGGGTTTTTGCTGTCGGGGACGATTTCCACAAGGCGGTTCGAAGTCATGCCCGAGCTTGTGGGGCCAGCGCAGCGCTGGACGCGCAGTAGACGGGCCAAGATGCAGGCCGCCCTCAGGGAAAGCCTCGAAAGCGAGGACAGCTTCGATGATCGAGTAATACCTCCCCGTCGTGGACCGCAAGGCGTTCGAGACTGGCAAAATCCTCATTCTCTTCCTCAACGGCTTTGGGAACGTCTTGCGCTACTCGAGGGCAGACCGTGACGGCGCGATCAATGTGGTATATCATTCAGGGGGATGATTTCCGACAAGCAGTACTTCCCACCCTTTCCCCGCATGCAGGCCAAGTGGAGGGTAATTAAATGACACTTCCCCAACTTTTTCCCCAAAGGCGCGGGAAAGTCTTCCAGGGCACCCTACAACCATTTTTTTTCACGCCTTATAACACCAGACTCATCGCCCAGTTCCCTCGAGAACCGTGTACTTGCCACATCCTACAAGATGTCCAACCAAGGCCCCTCTCCCTCCGGCCCAGTGCCGAAACCAGGCAGATATCTCAAGATCTCGCTCTACCTCCGCAAGCAACCCAACGTCACAGATGCGTATTTCCACGCCTACTGGGCTAATAACCACCTCGAGCCGGCGCTAAAGAACAAGACCTTTACCGACAAAACCCGGCGCTACAACCAGGTGCCAAATATTAGCCCCTGTCTGCCCTCTGCCGGGTCAAGAATGAGTGCTTGTTTGCTGACCTACGAGGTTTCCTAGCACCACGTCACTCCTGCTGAAAGAGAGCAGGCCAAGACCCTCGGTATCCCGGTGCTCGAGTACGACGGCATTGCAGAGGTGTGGGTGGACAGCTTGGATGATTGGAAGGCTATTGTCTCCGACACGGAGTTTGTAAACGCCGTTGCCGGTACGTCGGCTCTCTCCCCGAGGTGTTGTTATTATTGAGGGATCTATACTGACACCAGCATGGCAACTGATCAGCCGATGAGCCTCACTTCATCATGGCGCCGATTCATGTCTTGATCGGGTGGGACAATCTCATTATTGGGGACGACTGGTCACCTAAAGGGGCATAGACTGCAAGAATACCCCCGTGAGGAATGATGTTGGCCTTACACTGGAGTTGGGACGGTTTTGATGAAATTGATATCCGCTGGCTTTATTGGCCTCTCTTAATACGAACTTGGAGTTCTCAATCCTTTTACTACTGAGATGCTTTCCCCAAGATGAGATGCTGTCATCGCTAGAGCTGGAAGATCCTCGGCTTCGGTTCAGCCAGGTTAATCATATCCGCTCTCTCCGCATTCCCCCAGGTTCCCCACTGTCGCCTCACTCATGACGAGACTTGGCGGGAATTCACACCAGCGTATACTCTACCGGATCCGATTATAACAGGCATCTTATGCGTTGAAGGTACCACACAGATCAAGTAGGACCAACTCGACTACCACCGTGAACACAAGGTTAATTAGCACCTTGCACCAGCAACAACAATGGCCAACAAAATCAGCGGCCCCGGAATCCTCTTCGTCGAGGCGCGCATCTCACGCCCCGCCATCATAGGCCCAGTGGTATCTGTAAGCAGGCAAGTTCACGTTAGCTGCTGTTTGGGAGCATTGGCCATGCAGACGCGGCTGATCACCGACCGCCGGCATCTGAGCAGCGATGAGCTCCGGCCCCCGCTGGAATTCCCGCAGCTGGACCTGCAGGACTGCGTGACTGCGCTGGGCGGCTTGCTCTCAGCATGGCCACGTGCCATTGGTTTGCAAACGCGCATACCACCTCAAATCCGCAACGTCATCCTTTCTTGGAAATCTTTGCCCGCCATCCCACTCAATCCTAGACTGTCTTTCCATGCAACATCATCTTTGTGAATGCGAGTCATCCCACAATGTCCGCTGCGGTGGACTTGGATTCGGAATCCAGCCCCTGGAAGTTACCTGCCGTTCGAGCTGGGGGAATGCGAAGACCTTGAGAACTACGAGCCCGGAGGCTTCCACCCTGTACACCTCGGCGACGTGTACGATAACCAATACCGAGTCGTCCACAAGCTCTGGTTCGGCGGCTTCTCTACCGTCTGGCTCGCTCGAGACACCCCCAGGAACCAGTGGGTTGCCTTGAAGATCGTCGTCGCCAGAGAGTCGCCTACGTACGAGGCCCGCTCTGCAATTGCGAGCGAACCCAGAATCGCCAGGTCCCGTCTGTTTGCCGTGGCTGACCGGCAGTTCTGGATCGACGGACCAAACGGCCGTCACCTTTGTCTCGTGCTCCCGGTTTTGGGTCCGGACTTGTCCAAGCTTTCCAAGGGCATCTACTCGAGATTAACCCCGGCGTTTGCCAGGGCTGTGTCCCTCCAGGGCGCCCGAGTTCTTGCGCACCTCAATTCCAACGGGCTATGCCACGGAGGTAAGTTGAGTGGCCGATTCAGGATGAACACGTGCGGGATTACATGCTGATCTACCGAGAGACTTTACTGCGAGCAACATGGCGTTGCGTCTCATCGACAGGTTTGACTCGTACGAAGAGGGTGATCTGCTCAAACTCTTCGGTCATCCTCAAACTGCACCTCTCCGAACCTACTCCGGGAAGCCCCCGGGACCACACGCGCCCAACTACATCGTAGCCCCATTGGACTTTTGCTCCTCAACGACCAACCTGCTGAGCAGTGAGATCTGTATCGTCGACTTTGATCAATCCTTCACCGCAACAGGCCCGCCACCAGAGCGGCCGGGCATCCCGGCTAGGTACCTAGCGCCCGAAGTCGCCGTCGGACAGCCAGCGAGCTCGGCCTCGGACATCTGGGCCTTGGGCTGCGCTATCTTTCGGATCCGGTCGGGTGACGACCTCTTGTTCGACTACGATACTGACTCCCCCGCCGACGCGCTCAGGCATATCGTCAAAACCGTGGGCGAGCTGCCTGGGGAGTGGAGGCAGACGAGGTTCGATGAGGAGGGGTTCACTGTTATGGAGGGGGAGGGGGCTGAGCCGTTCTGGAGCCTGAAGGAGACGCGGTCGCTGGAGGACCGGATACGGGGCATTGTAGATGAGCCGCCCGGCCTGTTCATAAATGGTCGAGGCGAGGCCCTTGAGGCAGTGGACATGGAGCCGGAGGCTGCAATGTTCGACGACGATGCCGCGCTGAGGGTACCCTACGTGGCTGCACTGAGCTCGATGGTGTGGAGGCCGACGGCGGTTTGTGTTGATGGGGCTTACTTCACGGCGTACTCGGACAATACCGACGGCGTGCTTGAGGCGTTTCCGCGGATATCGGGATCTTAGGCGTCGTTGTTGGTCGACTTCTTATCCAAGGTCTTCGCGTATGATACGGCGACTCGCCTTAAAGCGGAAGAGTTGGTTGCACACCCTTGGTTTCATCTAGCTATGGGGCTCTGAATAGGGGCTACGCACACACAAACACGAAACAGCACGCTGATGACAAGGCCTGCCCACATGCTGATTTCAACTCTAGGCCGAGGAATGACTCTGCAGGGAAGATGCCGAATACGTCGTGAAACAGTATTGGCCAGGTGGTGATGACAAGGGTTAGCCATGCACGAAATATGCCGCGGGACGCTCCCGAAGCACAGGTGGAGGAGAGCCTGGCAAATTGGCATGCCACCCGTTAACGGAACTTCGTTGCAACATCATATCATGGCGGACATAGCCAATAGAAATAGACGCCAAGATGGAGATGCCTTGACACCTGGTTGGTACATGCATGGTCCATGGTCAAAAATTGACAGGTCAGAATGTGACAACCAACACACCCCGAAATAGCCATGGTAAGCGCTCCGAGAACATCAACGAGGTCGGGTGTATCCTGGCCAACCTTCCCGGCCCTCTCTACAAACTCAAACATAAAAAAGCAACTATAATTCTAAACTAACTATTCCGGACGGAGATACCATACCCTCCGTGCCTCCGCCGTGCACTCGTCTGGTCAATATGGCGGATAACCAAGCCCCGGGGAAAACCCCTGAAGCCACCACGGGATCGGCATCTGCTTCACCCACCCCTGCCGCGACGGCGCCTCAGCCGTCCTCCACCTTGCATTCGGCCCAGCACTGGGCCCAAGTTGAACAAGTCCGTCCCGCGAGCCCATATTCTGCGAGGAACTCGCCAGGTCTTTGCTAAACGGCCATCATAGGATCTCCCGCTACACAACAGCGACAACGACTCCGCCGTGGGAGACGACAACGCCAGTTCGACGGCGTCCATCTCCTCCAGCATCCTGAACTACAGAACGATCAATGGGAGGACCTACCATTCCGAGAGGGGAAACGCTCAATACTGGTATTCACTCTGCCCAAGCCCATTTCACGCCGGGATTATATTGATGACCAACCTTGAAAACATAGGACTCCCAATGACGACAAGCACAATGAATCCATGGATATCTAGTAAGCTAAGTGGAAGTCTGCTGCTAATCGCCCGTTAATAACCATAACAGTCACCACTTTTTTACCCTCGCACTCGAAAACAAGCTCTTCCTAGCACCCTTGAAGGATGACATCAAGGTGTGTAACTGATCTCGTATCATCGCATTTGGCCAAATGACAAGCTGTTAATTAACCTCGCCACTCTAGAAAGTGCTTGATGTCGGAACTGGCACAGGTATGAGAACCTTCCAGTGCTTTACAGATCTGAACTTAACATGTTTCCATGTTTGCAGGCATCTGGGCCATGTAAGTTTCCACAACTGCAAACTGCATGTGCAAAAAAAAAAAAGCTCATGGCTCACCGTCGCCAGCGATTTTGCGGACAAGTTTCCCGGTGCTGAAGTCACCGGCACCGACATTTCCCCCATCCAGCCCAGCTGGGTTCCGCCAAACTTGAAGTTGTGAGTGAGCTTTAATTACCATCCACTATATTCTCCAGATCCTGGCCAGAACTTACCCGTCGGAATTTCGCGACCAGTGAGATCGACGACTGCACCCAACCCTGGTCCTTCGAGGATAATTCCTTCGACTACGTGCATCTGCGGTTCCTCCTCGGCAGCGTCGACAGCTGGGACGAGCTGTTCGAGCAAGCTTACCGCGTCTGCAAGCCCGGTGGTTGGGTCGAGAGCCTCGAGTCCTCGCCCCGGATAGAGAGCGACGACGGCACCGTCACGGAGGAGACGGCCATCAACGAGTGGGGCAAGTTTTTTATCGAGGGGGGCAAGAAGCTGGGTCGGCCGTTTACCGTCGTCGATGATGACTTGCAGAAGAAGGCGGTGGAAAAGGCGGGTTTCACGAATGTCAACACTTGGGACTTTAAGGAATGTATTACCTGTCTCCCTGTTTTGTTATTCTCGGCTGGGTGAGGGCTAATACGCAGGTACAGGCACCACTCGGTGGCTGGCCCAAGGACCAGAGGATGAAGGAGATCGGCCGGTTCGTGCAAGTGGCGCTTGAGCAGGACCCTGAAGGCTACGTGCTGTACGTGGCCAGCGCTCTGGGTTGGACCAAGAGTGAAGTCAGTGTGTACTGCGTGCAGCTCAGGAAGGAGATCCGCTCGGGCAAGTACCACCCCTTTTATCGACTAAGGGCTGTCTGGGCGCAAAAGCCAGAGTAGGTCGAGCGGTCATGGTGGAAAGGGGGAAAAGGGGGAGAGCAGGTTGCGTAATGCCTTCCATTATCTTCCCGATTGGCTCTCTTAAGCTGGCAGCTTCTTGATGAGTAGTCAGGGTGTCGTCTAAGCATATGTTATTGTCTTTCACCATCTCCATGCCCTATGTAGAAAAGCTGGTGAAGGCTGAGTCACAGATGGGGACAGTTTGGGTATATTAGACTGGCCGACCTTCTTACCGGGATTGGCGAAGCCAGTAATTAGCCTGCATCACAAACTTTACGCTACGCCTCGCCAATGCCCATCCGTCCCTGAACCACCATGTTTCTGTGACCTACCTACCTAGCACCTCACTGTCCAAGGCCGTTAGCCTGCAGGACGCCATCTGGGGTTGTGCTTCTCCTCGGCAGCCATCAACCGTTCGCATTGGCACCGTAAAACTCCCTCTGTCAGTTCGGCTGCCAGAAGTCGGCTCCGTTGAGGGTGCGGGCTCACGGGTGCTGGCATGTCCTTGTCCAGGGGCGTTCTACACTATCACGTGACCCCAAACCTCGACGGCCTGACCTTAAAACGCACCCGCGCACATCTTTCCGCCCTATTTCTCAAGCCCTCGCAACATCGAATTCACATGCGCTTTCATTTGTGGCGACAATCCCCCTATTTAAATGCCAAGAGCGACGCAAGGACGTATTGTGCAGCTCTACCAATCATCACATTCGGACCATCCAGCCATATGAGGATGAAACGGGACGGATGCTGGACTTGTCGCCTTCGTCGGAAAAAGTGCGATGGAGCTCGGCCAACATGTCGCAGCTGTGACTCTTTAGGAGTCACTTGCCACCGTGGCCGTGAGAGGCCAGATTGGATGGACGGAGCAGCGAGGCAGAGGGAGATGACCGATAGGATCAGGTCTGAGGTTAGAGAAAGCGCAAGTGCGCGCCGGGAGAGGCGGGCGAGGACGAGAGGCCAGGTGGACTTCATCGTTAGCTCCGGGCAAGACTACGCGAGCGAGCCGCCGTCACCAGCCACGCCGGTAGCCCCGAGGAGTGAGGAACCAATCAATACAACCTTTGAATCGCAGCAGGTTGGGAGCAATTCCACCTCGATAGCAGCGCGGGCTGTCTATTCCGCGCAATCTCTTTCCCAGGGGCATGTTGAGCAGTCCGCGCCGTCGTCTTCCGGCAACGCGCTTGCTTTTCGTGCTTCAGTGTCTGAGGCGACTTCTTCAATACTAGACCTAGCCGTTAACCATCCTGGAGCACGCGCCGAGTCCTCGATTCAGTCCCTGCCTCGAGCCTGGGAACTGGACTTTATCATGATGTACCTGGACTACATTTTCCCCTTCCTTTTCCCCTTCTACCACCCATCTTTGGCCAGTACGAGCCGTGCCTGGCTTTTGACCTTTCTGAGACAGAGCGACTCGGTGCTCCACTCGGTTATAAGCCTGAGCTCCTACTTCTTCACGGTCGGGTTGAACGAGGTCTTCCCAGGCAAGTATGAGAACTGCAAGAAGATCGTCTGGGACCAGGTACTCAAGCAAGCGGATTTGTCTTTCAGCACGGTCCAGAGGGACCTAGAAGAGGCCACCGGCCGACCAGCGCAGGCGACACTCCGGGAAAAGGTGCGGCTCATGGAGAGCATCATCCAGCTACTGATTTTTGAGACATTCCTGGGCAGGTCCGTCCACTGGCAGGCGCACCTAACGCCCGCGCTGGCTCTTTTCGAGGAGATGTTGAAGCAGCACGCCCAGCCACCTTCCGACAAACCGGCAATGCTGTGCCTCCTGGAGGCGCTGGCTTGGGAGCCGGGGTTCGATCACATTTTCGGCCGTCTCATCTGGAACCCCGACCAGGCCGGCTTCCGGTTCTTCACGGCAGTGCTGGTCTTCGTCGACATCGTTGCCAGCACGTCTCTCGAGCGAGCCCCGCAGCTCGGCCCCAGTCACTCCAGCCTCTTGGGCGAACTGAAGCCGAACGAGGTCGACGTGCCCATCGACCTTTCCGCTTTCCTCGGCTGCCAGAACTGGCCGCTCCTCGCGGTCGGGGAAATCGCAGCCTTGGATGCGTGGAAGAAGGAGATGAAACGGGACGGTAGCTTGTCCATGCCGGATCTGGTTGATCGCGCCCGCCAGATCTCCCAAAATCTGGCTCGCGGGCTCGAACGACTCGACCAGGGCATGACATCGCTTGACGCGGGTTCTCACGGTCTCATCCAACTCCAGCCGCACTACAGTATCGTCACGGCATCGACCGCAAACTCCTCGTTGGTAGCTACTCGAGTGTGGGCCCATGCCGCGCGAATCTACCTAACCGTCGTCACGTCGGGGTGGCAGACGTCGAACGCTGAGCTCCGGCAAAGCGTGGCGGAAGTCCTCGCGCTGCTGCAAAGCGTCGAGTCGGCGGCGCAGATGCGTGCTCTGGCCTGGCCGATCTGCGTGGCTGGGTGTCTTGCGGAAGCGGGAGAACAGCAGGAGCGGTTCCAGAGCACCATCGCGGACATAGGTGACCAACAAACCTTGAACGCGCTTCGCGAGGCCCGGGAAATCATGGAAGCGGTCTGGAGGAATTGTGACTCCTTGGACCGTGAGACTTGGGATTTGGCGGCATGTTTTCGAGTTCTTGGATCCCCGGCACTGTTGGTTTGAGGAATGCATTAAGACTAGGGTTGTCGGTAATTACGTCCTTTCCCGCTCTGTTCACTCAACAACAACTTCAAGCTAGTCGACATTGTTGGCTAACCGATTATCGACGTCAAGGACAGACGTAAAGGCAATGCTATCTTTACGAAACGCAACTGAGTCCAATCCAGGATGTCTCCATGTATCGTCACAGGCCGTCACCTCTGCCCTGTAGTGAACAAATCTTGGAGACCATCATTTCCCCTTCCAAGCGTTGATAACTTCACTGACCTTCTTGGTCTTCACATCGGGGAATAGCCTGTTGAGACTCCGTTCCTCGGGCATTTTGAACAGACCCTGGATGACATAGAGCCCAAACGTAGCGAAGACCGACTGCAGAACTGGCTTCGGAAAATACGAATATGCCAGGGGATGGGAGGGAAGTTCGGTGATGTGGCCTTGCTTGAGCTTCTCCTTGCTATCGTAGGCCACGGAGAACTTCGAGGCTACAGGTTCCGCAGTTCACCGTATTAGCAATTGACTCGGGAATACGCGGCATCGATTCGGACTTGCCTGTCGCCTGCTCCGCCATCCTGACTACCTCATTGAACGTGCAATGGTCCCCGTAGCAGAAGAGCTCCTCCTCCCAACGAGGCAGTCCGATTGCCAGCTCAACGAACTTGGCCACGTCGAAGCTGTAGGTGAACGACACGACGTCATCGCCCGTTCCGGGGAGGGAAGCCGCCTTGTTTGCCATGTCGACGTTGATCGCAATCAACCTCATGTGACTCTTGATGTGCGGGACCCCGAAGTAGTCGGTGAGATAGCCGTTGTGGACCGTCGTCCACTCGAGACCCGTCTCGCGCAGTTCAGCAATGGTTGCGGCTCGAGCAGCGTGCTGCGGTGACGGCTCGCCCCTGTAAGCCGTTAGCTCCGGTTTGGCCTCGTCACGTCGTCACTATTCACTGAGAGCCTCGTATCTTGAGTGACGGCTGTGACAGGGGAAATATTTGGAACCCACATCTTCGGGAATGGAATGCTCCAGTCGCTGGATATGAAGCGCTTAGTCGGACCTGACTTGTCGGCTGCTCGAACGAGATTGATTTCAGGGCCGCCGGACTCCGGGCCCATGACCGGGATAGTGGAGATTACGGTGTGGATGTTGTCGTTCTCCAGAACCCTAGTCAGTTCATCGACGTCGTCGTAGTTGACGACAATGACAGGCGCTGCCTCATCTTGGACTTCTGGGGCCTGCGAGAAGTTATTCGAGTGCACTCTGAAAGTGTGTAGTCTCCGGACTTGGGAAGAATCTACCTTGCGAGACAGCACAATAACTTTGTGCTCCGGATTCTCTTTCAGCACCTCCGCGATGGTCTGGCCGATATTGCCAGTTCCGCCGGCAATCGCGATAGCGACCATGATGTTCGAGGAATGGCTCTGCGAAAAGCACGGGAGGAGGAGAGACTGGAGTCTGGATTGGCCGAGCGAGAGGGGAGAATGGAAGAATAATGGTTGACTGAGATGAAATCTTTCATGTCTGGATGGATGATGGGGATGTCAAACTCTTCGGCTTATATAGCCTGGCCCCTCGCTGCATCCTGACAAATATGGCCTAGGTCTCTCTTTTGGACCCAGGATAGAACAGGGGCAGTCCGACGGCTCGGGCGACAATTTCACCGACAATACGACTTTGGGTCACGAGCTTACGGAAAGCTTGTAAATCATATCCGAAGCGAACTGTTGCCGTTGGACCGATGAAGAAATCAAGGCGCGGATGATGAAGTGGCGGCGAGTCGCCAATGTGCCGAGTTGGCTTTGCCGCGCGCACATTTCCGGATTGGGGCGAGAGCGCGCGCATATTTCCGCATTGGGCTAATAGCGCGCGCAACCTTCCATTCCAGATAACTGGGGCCCGCTTGGTCGTGCAGCCGCATGTACACCACCCGGGCCCTATCATTTGTAATGAGAAATGGATGCATGCTTCGATTACGTCGCTAATGCAAGCCGGAGCTCTGGGTCGGGAGGATATTCGCACCGACTCGGCTTCGTGGAGAGAGGCCCGAGAGTTCCACTTGCGATACTATTAAATGGTGGCGGTCTGCCGCAAACCTGGGCCCCAATTCTCGTCCTCCGTTCGATCCGTTCGAGATAAGCCTCTGTCGGTACGACACCAAAACGCAAGCCAACGTTACCAAAATGTTGACCCAGGTCATCCGCTTCACTCTCCCATCCCCTTCGACCATCTCGGCGTCGGGGTTTTCGTCCCTTCGTCGCAGTGCTTCGGCTGCTGGTGCAGCGGCGCAATACTACGGCTACACCGTGCCGACCAGATCGTACCCTCTTCCCAGGGAGAAGCACGAAATCTGCTGGGTCATCGGTACGTGACGCCTCCCGGAACTGGGAGCCTACGTGCCCATGCTACTTCGTCTCTCCATTTAAGCCGACCGGGCTGTTGCAGTGGCTGACGTGTGGTGATCGGTCTAGAATGGCCGGCCTCAGCCGATCGAGGCTCGGTGATGGCGGAGCTGAAGGATCTCTCCGCCGGCGATGCCACATCCTTGCTGTTTCAATTCGCCGACAGCCAGGCTTCAGACCTGCGCCAGGCCTTCGAGGCTCCCGTATGCGAATTCGTATGTCATCCCGGATCCACCATCTTCATCTAATTGCTCTCCCCCACCGCCCTCCAACCAAACCCGCATGCTAATCAGCGCGTTCGTCGCAGGCCTGCATCAGCATTTCCTCCGACGCGCCACTCGAGGACTCAGCCCTGCAAACGTCGATGCACAAGACGTACACCGACACGTACAAGATACGAGGGTTCACGGGCGGACATTGGTCGTATGCGAGTAACACCAACGAGACCCACGGAGTGCCGAGCGACGTGGTTCCGGAGCCACGACTTGCGGAAGGAGACCGCCGGCTGGGAGTCTACTTCCTGGGTTGGGAGAGCATCGAGGTCCGTCCACAAAAGTGTCATGACCCCCACCGAATAGCAAGTGCGCTGACCTTTCCCGACGCAGCTCCATGAGGACGGAACCGGCACTCCGGAGTTCTCGGAGGAGATCGACAAGTTGAGGCCGTACTTTGGTCCCGGAACTGGCGCTTGGTACGCCATATTGAGGAAGCATCAGTGAAGAGCGGCAAGGTCGATGAAATCGCCACCATATTCAGAATTTTGTCTTGGAGAGAAAGAAACGCGGCATGTTAATAGTCCCTAGGGCTTTGTAGCTCGGTAATGAAAACTTCAACCGTCACCGCGTCGCTCTCGCCGTATTGTAAAGTGTTTCATGACTACAGTCTCGACGGCTCTCCCACTCCTTGGCCCAAGCTAACACTCCAGGCCCCACAGCTGGCTTACGGAGTAGCTCTGTTTGGCGGTTTTTGTGATCAAAATAGCAGGCAGTAATATATTCAGCATCCGCTCGGGAACCCTCCTCACGTCGGAGGCGCGCGTCTTCCCCTTTCACCTCACCCACTAGGACACACGTTGCGATGCGAGTCTAAAGTTCTTCCATATTGTAAGTCCGGCCTAGAAATAGAGGAAATCAGGAGGGGACTGAGGACGTAATTAATACATAAGCTATCTGTCGCTGGAAAGTAGCGTATTTATAGCCTTATGCCCATTCTTGGTGGCTAAGCTAAGCGGCGTCTGGTCAAAGTCGTCCGTTGCATAAACCTCGACCTTCCCTGTTGCTAGTAGCAGCTGAACTACAGCTCATGCCCATTCCCAGCGGCTAGGCTAAGCGGCGTCTGGCGTTCTATATCATCTGCATTAACGTCAACCTTCCCTGTTTCTAATAGTAGCTTGACCACAGCCTCGTTCCCGTACTCAGCGGCTAGGCTAAGCGGCGTCCGGTCAATGTCGTCCTTCGCAACAACGTCAACCTTTCCTGTTGACAGTAGCAGCCGAACCACAGCCTCATGCCCATTCCCAGCGGCTAGGCCAAGCGGCGTCTGGCGTTCTCTATCCTCTGCATCAACGTCGACCTTCCCTGTTTCTAATAGTAGCTTGGCCACAGCCTCGTTCCCGTATCGAGCGGCAAAGCTAAGAGGCGTCTGGCCGGAAAGAGGGTGCTTCTCATCGATATTGGCACCCATACTGAGAAGCCGTGCAACCTCAGCCTCGTCCCCAAACCTAGCTGCCGATATCAGCAGTTCTTCCAACTCCCCTTCCTCTTCCGAGGTGTCGAACCCAGCGTCTGAGAAGTTTAGGGAAACCGATGCCAACGAGCAGACAGACCGCCCGCCCTGCGCCGAGTTCGTATTGTTCCCGCACGACGACACATCCTCATCGGCACTGGAGCTCCGCGGCACCGCGAAGCAAGCGAGCTGCTCCATATGGAAGGCCATGTGATTTGAGAGGCCCCTCTCGAACGGCCCGCGGGTCTGGCAAAAGGGGCACATGCTCCGCTGGTCGACCGTGTTTGTGTGGCTTAGCTTGGTGATTTCGCGTATCTGGGACTGGGCTAACACCGCGCCGTGCTCTGATTCAAGGTGACGCTCTAGTGAGTCCTGTGACGTGAAGAGTGGCTCCGGGTGAGCGAAACAGCGCCACACGCGGCGGTGGACGTTGGCCTCATGGGCCAGCCAGGCTGACCGGCTCGCATACAGTGCATCGGCATCGGGGCAGTCCTCGTATGTGCACATGTAGGGCTGGGGATCGCAAAGGATGTGTTCCCTGTTTGCGCGGGTTAGACTAGATAAGGAGAAAACGGGGAGTAATTGGATTAAATTAACTGACCGCCAGGGCTTGCCTATATCGTGACGCTCTGGGCAGACAACCCAACAATATGGACACCGAAACTCGCTCTGACCCGCCTGGATTGAAGGGGGTCGGGGCAGGTCTGCGACTGTGCCGTCAATGTTGAATGCTGTCGATGTGTACGACACCACTGAGATAGTGTCGATTCCGTCGTCTAGCTTACGGTCATATGTCGATCCCTCAGTCCCAGACAGGATAGTAGTTTCGGCCAGAGTGGCTGCCACCACTGCTGGAGCAATGGGTTCGACCTCGGCGATAGTAGCTGGCATTGGCATGGGCGGAGGTTGTGCCTCCACCGAGTCTGCCTCCTCCTCCTCCTCCTTCGCGAGCTTCTGTGCATGGTTTCGCCAATATGCGAAATATCGGCGGCGATTCGTCAGAGATTTGCTCCAGCGCTCTGTCAAGTAATCTGGCAGATATTCATCAGACTCAATTCCCTGACTGTCGACAGGCGCAGGTGGCGGAGAGGATATTTCTTTAGTCTCGCTGTCGGTGGGGGAATCAAGCGCAGGATAGACATCTTCTAGTCTCGGCCTCCCGTGGACAAAGCGTCGCAGCTCTCGGAACGCCTCTTCGATGTGGTGGTGGTCAAATTCTGCAAAGCAAGCCAGAAGATCCACAGTCGTAGTGTCGTCAACCCTGACCAGCTTCTTAAAGAGAAGCGGCTTGAGAACCGATTGTCCGCTGGAGCGAGTTGCAGGATTCCGAATCTTGAAAGACAGTTTGAAGAGATCTGACAGAATCTGAATGATCGCCAAGGTATTCTGTCCCAGCTCTGTTCGCGTGTTGATGTAATGATTCTCGTCCGAGCTGCTGTCGTCACTGGAATCTCCCCATGGGTCTTCGTCGGCAGATATCAGCGTCTCTTCAAATGGCTTTCTGACGCCGCGGACTACTTCGATGCCTGATACCCAGAGTCAGACGCTATCGCAATTGCAGACAGAGTACTCCACATACTTCTCTTGACGACGTCCTCCAACTGCGCGAGAAGCTTGTGAACAGCCGACTGCATAAGGTGCGATTCCCGGAGTCGAAAGTCTAACGAGGCACGCCCTTCCTGGAGTGCGCCAAGGTTGCTCGCCCATATTTTGAACCGGTCTCGATTGTTTCGCAGTGTCTGCGGGGGCACGAGCGACGTGCGCTCGGTTCCTGCAGCTTCCAGCGATACCAAGAGCGAGTTTAACCCCGCAAGGCATGACTTGCTCGCCGCCACCAGCCGGAACGCAGAAGGAGTCTCCATATTGTCACCTTGGGAGCACGCGGAGCAGTTGGTGGCAGGTTCACGATTAGCTCATCAGGCTCCGGGAAACTGGGGGGATATTTTGAGGCTTTCTGCTGCCCCTGCCCGTGACAGCCAACACCAAGCCACAAAGCGGCAGGTATGCCGATTATTCCTCTCATTACGTCGGCGCTTAGAGATGGCAAGTCATTGGGCCGTTGTGCATGCGGAGGGGCTGACATGTCGAAGACGGCTGAGGTGCCCAAGGGGTGCCCAATGCTTGCAGAGCCTCTAGTTTCTTGCTTTCCCCTCCATGCTTTTTGGAGCCATCCGCACTTATCGCCGCGCCGACTGTTGGCTTGCTAACTACAACCTATGTCGCGAAACGTCCACCCCCTGTCCTTCACGGGCGACACACCGTGAAAGCAGAAAAGCTCTTGGACTATGGCGGAGATTGCTGGCCTGGTCCTGGGTACCATTCCCCTGTTGATATCGGCCCTAGAGCACTACGAGGACTTTGTGAAGCCGACCGTAGCTTTCGTCCAATGGCGAGGTCGATTGTCCAAAGTAACACGACGCCTGCTGATGGGATATACGGCCTACGAGCAAAACGTCCGCCTGCTGCTGACCCAGGTCTTAAGCAACGAAGATCTCGTCAAGATGATCGGCAATCCGCAAAGCCATGAATGGATGGAGGAATGGCTCGTCAGGGAGCTCAGCGAGAAGCTAGGCCACGCCTACAAGCCGACCATTAGCACGATCGAGGAGACCGCCGAGATCATGGTTTCCATTGCCGCGAGTCTCAATATTGACGGCTCTGATAAGGTTCAGTGCAAACTCTTCCGGACTCGGCTGGCTGTTAATTAGCTAGCATCTGAGCTAACCCTCTTGACAGGTTACCCAGGACGGATTGGAAGCCATCGTCTTCCCCAACCCTCCAGCCCCCTACTCTCCCGCCCCCAATCCTCACGGCTTTCGCAGAAGTTCGAGTTCCGGAAACGCGTCGTTTTTACCATGAAACGCCGAACCATGAGTGAGAAACTCAGCCAGCTCGAAGACTGCAATGCCAGACTGGAAGGCTTCCTGGAGAGGGCCGCGAAGCTTCAGGACGAAGTCGGAAGCCACATGGGCTCATCAGGTTCATCGACCCGGATCAAATTCGTGGCACCACTGCACACAATCCAACAGAATGCGTCGAGGGTCCACCGAGCGTTGTCTCATAGCTGGTGCCGGACGCACGGCAACCACCAGGCCGGCTTTCTCCTTGAGCAGAGGCTGATCAGGCGCAAACGGCGGAACCGAGGAGGGCCTCCCCAGGCGGTCGGATCCGTCAACCGTTTCGGCATGTGCATTTGGAGGGAATCCATTCTTACTTGGCTTGGCACCGAATGCAGGTTGGATGATGATACTCGTCCCGATCCTAGGTGCGTGATATGGCCTTCCATTTCTCTACGAGGTTTGTTACTGCTGGTTGAATGCCCTCCTCAACTTCTTTTTCGGCCACCCAATGACCTTTGTTCCTTCTCCTGCCTTTTCCCTCTCCATTTTCTAACCCCTGAATGTCCTCAATCAGCCCACGGTTAATTTCTTACAATACATACCCACTTAAGCCCGTCTTATACACGCTCTTGAGAATTACCTTCCGTGAGAAACTAATGAAAACTAAAAACGCAGCTATGCGCCCAGAGTCCCAAGGATAACATTCTCAGATCCCGGCCCTCCAGACCCGATCCAGGAAGCAGTTACCGACATATGTTCAAAGATCCAGTCTGCTACATATCCACTTATGGGCTTTTATCTCGACTCATCAGATGTGCTCCGGGGCTTTTACGAGGTGCAGAGGCCAACATGCCATTTGGTTGCCAACAGTATCTCGCTGGGCGACTTCTTACCGAGCCTTAAGCGGGACGTTCTCCCCTATCCAGATTTCTACGCCCTGGCCATCACCTTAGTCTGCTCTGTTCTCCAGCTGAGCGAAACCCCGTGGCTCCGCCAGCCGTGGAGCCGGCAGGATATCCACTTTCTGCGAGTAGAGGGGGCGAGTCACGGCTTAGTAGATGTTCGGCACCCCTATCTGACAAGGAGGTATCCCAATACCAGTAAGTTACTAGCATATGCACTGCCTGTGGATACCCGGTTTCTTTTTTAAAGGGCTAACAGACCTCAAGGCACCTATCTCCAACCAATGAATTCCGAAGCAGAGGACCAGATTGACAAGCTAAACTTACTGGCTCTGGCCGTCATGCTCCTCGAGATCAATGTCGGCCTTCCTATTGAGAGCCACCGCGCACAGCAGGACTTGGGGTACATCGGGGATCTGAACGTGGGGACGGACCTCTTGACAGCACAGAGACTGCTTGCAATCCAAGTGCGCCAGGGCAAATTGTCGTTCGCTTTCACGGAGGCCATCAAGTACTGCTTGCAGTGCTATCTTGATCCAACTGCATCGTTTGGTAATTTGGAGTTTGCGGCAACAGTCGAAGAGCGAGTTCTCAAGCCTTTAGAGAGGGAGATGCAGGTTCTATTGTATGGTTCATAGCCCTCGAGTGGATCGGTGTTTTGGCTGTATCTGCTGCGCCTACGCTATCCTAACCTCGATACAATATACCATCCAGGGCCTTGATTTACTCACCATAGTTGTGTATTGTGTCATCATGCTCAGGGGTCGAGGACGGCACTACCAGTAGTACATGCTGTATGCACAGTCAACGTTCTGGGCAATGTTGACGTCGGACTGCTGATAGTTCGTTAAATTGGATAACTGCATATAACGACTCATTGAGGACAGGTTAGACGACTTGCACCGTCTCTTAACACAGCTCTCCGCGCAATATATGTTGTACGCATAACTTTATGCCATGGTATCACGTGCCGTCGATCCACGTGCTTCTGGCTGGGAGTATCCAACGTCACGTCAAACCTGCGCCCTTCTGTCACGCAAGAATGGATGAATACAACCCTTACGCCGACGAGCCTCCACCTTCTCCCCCTCCTCAGCAATCTTGCAACATTGAACTACCCAAATTTAGGCTCCCAGGGGAGCCGGAATGCTACCGTCTGCCAACAACTACACAAGTCATTCGCCATGTGCCTCCTCAGCCCCCCATCAAAACTGTGGTAATTGACGCATTCCCCCTTAAGCCTTCAGAGACGGTACTCATTCTTTGTCAACCAGTATTTCCGCTTCCGGACCCGCCTCATCTCCTCCACCGGCATACTCGCCAGCCCGTCTCACCCGCGCGTGTTGAAACTGCATCTCAGTCCGCCCACGCCTGCACAACATTTCGTTCGCGTTTTATTTGGCCTTTTTAGAGGCTTTATCTGCCTGTGGACTGAGCGTGCACTCCCCGAGTGGTTCCTCCCCACTGACATCATCATGAAGTCGCAAAGAGCAGAATGCGAACCCCATGTTGCGCGTGAACTCTTCGACACCGAAGTGCGCGCATACAAGCGGCTTACGCCTCTCCAAGGCAAAACAGTGCCCATCTGCTACGGCCAAGTCCGCCACGACGGGGCACAGGCGCTGCTTCTCCAGGATGTAGGCGGGGTGTCGCTCGCCGAGCCTGCGGGCGCGACCCTAGAGCTCGACACCCTCTCCCGGCTGCTGCAGGAGTGCTACGGCGCCCTGCACGCTCTCGGCGTGCACCATGACGATCCACAGCTGGGTAACTTCCGCCTCGTAGGTGGAGGGAGCAGAATTATTGCGGTGGATCTCGAGATGGTGGCATTTGACCGGTCTGTCGAGGAGAATGCGTTCTTTTTGAAGACAAGTATCTTGCAGCTCGCGAGTCGGTACCAGGAAGTGCGCGCGGGTTTCCGGAGAGAGGGTTTGTTAGTGGCAGCTTGAGATAGTGGCGGTGAAATAAGTTCTGATAACTGATGCATCATCACCGGCCCCCGCCTGCTCAATTCCTCCTGATCTGTCTTTTGTATCCCGTTTCTCCGCCATCTTCTCCCTGAAATCTCTTTCTTGTCAAGTCCGTTAAGGGTAGCAGAAATGCCCACAGCCAGACGAACCCGAGATCCACACCATTATCGCCTATTGGATCAACGGCACCGATCCCATCAAAGAGCCGGATCGTATGAGAGGCCGCTTCTCACTATTAAGTTCGTCGAGTCTGGAAAGTTGGAGCAAATCCTCACGGCCGCTCACTAGAGCCAGTCAGGTTTTGGGATATTTCACCTTTGTTACGAATACGCTTGGTATTCCATGAGCAACACCGAACAGTGTCTTCTTGGGATCTGCTTTGGCCTAACGCAGTGCTTCTATGTACTTATGCTGTGCCCGGCCCCTACTCGAGCATAAACCTTTCCATCGACCGTTCAATTTCTTCAAGCGTCTTACCAGTAAGTGTCGGAGACACTCCTTCGCCTTCCATGAAGCCGTGCAGGTACGACCCGCCTACCAATCGATGTCGATGTTCCCGTGAGCGGACCTCGTGGCTCGCTCTCAGTATCAGCGGCACTCGGGACGCGGGAACGATCCACACCCAGTCCCCTGGTTGAACGCATTCTGACCCAAGGCCGAGATACCCCTCGCTCGTTCTAAATATTCGCAGGTGATGGCTCAGGGAGAATGGCGTCGTAAAGTCGCTCAGCTTCGCCGCGCCGCGGGCCTGCGGCTCCCACATCTTATCCATCACCTCACTGAGCCGATTAGCCAGGCCTTCCCACTCGCTCTCTGGGTCGCTGCTATCGTGGACGCGTCTCATTTCTTGGAACCATTTGGCAAATGATGCGCCAAGAGAAGTTGTTTTGGGGACCAACTTGGGCGGATAGTCGGCCGTGTTCACAATGAGTGTCCGCCAGAAAACGTCCAGCCTGTGCTCTGATCGGGCTCTACCATACCATGTCTCCAACGACTCGAGGATCAGGAGCCAGTTTGGGAACGGTTTGCCCTGCAGCACCTCTTGCTTTGACTCGCCAACCATGGTGACGTGGTCCAATCTGATCCCGTTCATGCCCAGCGTCAGCGCCTGCCTATCGATAGTTGGCCGTTGCTTCAAGCTCCCCGATGCCGAGTATCGCTCGTATCCGGTGACTCTCAGCCCCGTGGATTCTTCAGATGTCCAGTCAGGCACCCACGAGGGCAGTCGCCCTGTAGCCTCGCGCTGAAACGACTCTCCTTCTACGCATGATAAGAGTAAAAGGTCGTCACTGTCTTCGAGAATCTGGATTGCGGCGCTGATAAATGCCTTGGCTGGCGACCGTGTCTCTTCAAGCTCATACGCCGGAAGCAAGCCTGGCTTGTCTCGGGCGTAGTCGTGGACCAGTCCAAGTAGGGCGTATATCTTGTCGCGTGGGTCGGTGGCCTTGAAATTGAGAGATCGAATCAGCGTGTATAGTAAGATTTTGGCCCACTGGTGTCGCTTCTCGTTTTGATATGGCAGCTCCTTTCGCTTCTCGCATTCCCACGTGGTCGACCTGAGTATCGTTGGAGCCTGATAGCGGAACCTAATAATATCCATGCGTTCTCGAGGCCCAAGTTGCGGCTCAACTGACTCGGTGTAGAGCGTGAACAGATAGTCTCTCCATGCCGTCGTAGAGAAGAAGTGAGAAGCTGCGGTTATGGCGGACCATTCAATCTCTTCGCTGCCACAAAGGGCCTTCACTACTTTGGCCAGGACCACTTCTTGAATGATCCAGACCCTGGTGAAGTAGGTCCGCTGGAAAACATTGGCGACAGAGACCCAGGACTCCCGACTGGAGAAGATTTTCGCGAGCTGCTTGCCGTAATCATGACATCCTGGCGACAACTTCTCCAGAAGATTGGGTGAGTGCTCAGAGAGCCTTTTGAGCTCCCTGAGCACATCAAAGCCCGGTTTTGTATGACTGTCCTGCTCTCCGAGCCATGAGACGACCGAGGCAGCTGAGCTGTAGACATCCGCCATGAGTCTAACCTGATTGCTTCGTTCTTTTTTATCTCTCTGGTTGACGCAGATGGCGTCTATCCAGAGCCTTTTGTCGCAGAGTGTTGGTATGTGCTGTAGTCGTCGGAGAAAGCCGTGGAGATTTCCCGTCACATCAAGGATCTCCCCGTTGCAGCGAATTGGATTATCAAGATATCGCTCAAAATGCTCAGCGGACCGTACTCAGTCGGCCCCCCCCAAGTGTATGAGAGCGCGTAGTATTCCGGCCCTGAATACGGGTGGTCCAAGTCCACGACTGTCAGGCTGCAGTGGATAAGGTCATCGCTGCTCGATGACGGACTCTTCGAAACGGTGAGCAGCCGAATTTGCCTTGGTCCGAGCCGCAGTCTGACGCTTTCGTAGAGAATCGGCGTCCGGTCTACCTCCATAGCGTGCCTATCCTGGGAAAGGGATGTATGGGGAAGAAGGGCAGTTGAAAAGGGGATAGTGAGATACTTCCTTGGCCTGTTGTTGGATTCAATGGCGCGGGGCTTCCGGATAGATATCTCAGGCGATTGGACGGCAGCTTCCGCTGCGAGATCGGATGAGCGCCAAGCAAAGTTCAAGCGACCATAGCGGCAGGCTGCCAGGCAGCAACGCAGACTCACTTTGCCATCTTCACACCACGACAGCAACGGGATTTCTGTCCCATATGCACCCTCGCCGCTGCGTCGTCGCAACAGTGCTGTCGCCCCTGGCCAATCTCTCTGCCAACATGTGCCGATTCAAGTTCTCCTACGTCCCCGGCTACTTTGTGGACAGTGTCGAGGCCGCGAAGGCGTGCCCAAGCTCCAAGCTCATAACACAGCCTAACCTAGGATTGCTGCGGCGAACTTACGACTTTGAGGAGTCTGCGCCTGGGGAGCTACCTTGGGCTCGGTTCCGGAACCATGTGGATGCTCTCAATCGAAACAGCTCGCCCGGCGAATCCTATAAGCTGCTGTATCTCGTGCGCCATGGCTTGAGCGTCCACAACATCGTCATGGCTAAAGTGGGGAGCGATTCCTGGAATGTAGGTACACTATGCCGCGGACTGTCCCGATTGTAAGCACCCAAGCTTACGCGTGACTAACTGTTGTCATGGTAGAACCATTGGTCCCATCTCGAAGGCGACGGTGAGGTTACTTGGGTGGACGCAAGGCTCACCAAGGACGGGATTAGTCTGGCCCAGAATGTCGGAAATCTCTGGGTAGAATGGGCAAGCACCGGCATGCCCTTGCCGGGAACGATCTACACGAGTCCATTGGCTCGCTTGTCTTGAGACAACCAAGCTCGTGTACTCGCCGGTCATGACCGAGCACGAGAGGAGCCTCCAGCCTTTGGTCAAGGAGCTCCTGAGAGAACGGCTAACGGGTCATACCTGCGACAAACGGAGCACTCGGTTGTGGATAGCAGAGAACTACCCCGGCTATGTCATTGGGGAAGATTTCGAGGAGGCGGATCCGTTGTGGATGGCGGACCAGTTCGAGACGAACGACGAGCATGTGGCTCGAAAACAGAGACTCCTCGAGGGTATTTTCGTCAACGACGACTCTCCGATTGTCTCTCTCACCACTCACTCATACGCTATCTCTGCTATTCTCGAAGCCGTGGAAGCGCCTCACTTTCGCGTCAGCGAAGGGGCGATCGTTCCGCTATTTGTCAAGGCTACGAAGGTCGAGGGAGAAGACTAGTAGTCACGATGGAGACAGACCGACAATCACCAGAATTATCTAATTATTGAAGGGCCGGTTTGAGCTTGGGCGAATCTGGGAAGCGTCGGCGCAGGAATCAAGCGATTGGAATGACACCACATGGCGCCCCTGGCTACCATGAGTTTAAGCTGCCTCGCCACATGCGGCCATGCAGCGCAGTAAGTTCTGTCACGGACGACGCTGTCTCTGACATGGTCCGGGGATAGGTGTTAAGTGTAATTAGTCCCTCGGATGTAGATCGAGAACCCCTGTCCCACTCGTCTCCCGGCGCCAAATGAAACGGTGAAGAAAGTGCGGAACAACCTTTCATACAGATGCCAAGCTAGTAATGCATGAGGATGAGGAAGTGGAGGCTGTGCTCAATGGATAAATCTTTTGCGGCACATTCTTCCCCAAGATTCGTCTCATACTCCGCGCAAACCCAGGATTTCCCGTCCTCGACCTCAAGACCGCAGTTTATACAATCCACCCTTCCGGCGGGATTCATCGCCAATACATCCCCGGAACCCTCCTCGCCGCCTTCAGCCACACCAACCCTGGGTTCCAGATCCGCGTGCCAGCCCTAACGTCGGGCAACTCGGTCCGGGAGCTGCTGACGCCAGACCCGTCCCTGGCCACAGGGTGGAAGAAGGGCCAGCTGGGCTCGGACGCGCAGCTGGCGGCGGGGCCGAAATCGAGGCTGGCGGCGCTGAGGCCGCAGTGCGGGACCGGGCCGGACTGTCGGGTGGGCTTGACCATGTATTAGCAATGTACAAAAATTCGTCCGTGGTCCTCATCTGCCCCTCCGCCTCGCGCTGGAGTTGTCGGTACCCTGATGGAAAAGGGCCGCAAATCTCGAGCCGGAGGGAAGGGTAAGGGACCCGTGAAATTCATTAGTGAATTGACCACCGAGATTTAAAGGATTGGGTGAATTTGGCGGCATTGGTGAATCCGGCCTGAAGGAGGAAGCACCGGCCTGACGGAGTGGATTTGACCGGCCCCACCTGCCGGCCACATATAAATCACGGGTCCGATAGATTTCATTTCCTTCCCTTTCCTCAACCTTCCATCAATTCGGACAACTGGGATGCATTGTGAGGTGTCGCATTCATATCCCCTTCTAGCTTTTGCGGACGGAAACTTACAGTGCGTGTGAGTCACACCAGAGCAACTTCCGAGACCGGCACACACACCGCCAAACCTACCGAACTCTCTTTTCCACCTCGCCTCGGTGCAAACCTCGGAAGTATTTTGTTACCCGCCACAATACACAAATCATCACATACCTACTGCCCAAGCCTAAGATGAAGCTCAAGATCATCGACTACGAAGATGTCAACCGCGATATCGCGACATCAAATCCGACAATCCACTTCAACACCTCCTTCCACACCAAGGATGAAGCTCCAGATCTAGAACCACCTTCAGAAGCACCTTCCTACTTCAGAAGATGGCTCCCTCTCATCCTGCGGACCCGCGACATGCCCCCCACCGCCGCCCAGACAATCGGCCTATCGCGCTCGCAAGCAAAGCTCCTCGTCGAAGCAGCAAACGGCTCAGTCCAGACGCGCGCCATCAACAGGATGTACGCCGAAGACCTCGAAGACAAGATCGCCCCCGCGCTCTCCTCCGTATCCTTCCCGCCCGAGGGTCTGTTCATGCGCCTCGACGCATTCTCGCCCAAAGACGGAGCCTGCAAGGTCCCGGGCCGACGGTCGCTCCACACCGTCGACGAGGCGATCCTCCGCCTCGTGACTTCGAGTCGGGCGCGGAATGCTCTTTCTGATGCTCTCGAGTCTGGGGCAGAGCGTGTCGACATCTTCTTTGTCCCGTTTTACCCTCGCATGCAGTCCGAGAGGGAATATCGGGCGTTCTGCCCGCCTGGTAGACGGAGGATTACGGCGGTCAGCCAGTATAGATGGCACCAGCCTTGGATGATGTCTGAGCTTCAGTCACTTGAGGAGATTGAAGGTGTGACGGGGAAGATATTGCGCGGGATTGAGTCGCTTCACGGACAGATCCTGGAGGATCTCGAGGAGGACAGTGATATGGACAGGTTGCTGCTAGAGCAAGGTTTCACATTCGATTCATTCTTCGATGAGGAAACTGGAGGCTGCCAGCTGATCGAACTGAATGGTTTCGGGGTCAGGAGCAGCTGTGGTTCGTGCCTGTTGCAGTGGGTGCGGGACAGGTCGCTGCTCTACGGGGCGGAATCGGACGTTGAGTTCCGTATCACGAGATAACTTGAGTCCGGCGAACAGGGTGACTTGTGCACAGGCACGGCATATTTTGGAGTTGAGAACTGGACGAAAAGCAATGACTCGGAGGGAATTTGGACGGCCCTAAAAAGGGTGACCGACAAGTGAGTGGTCTACCATGCAGCCAAATCATCGACAGAGAACTTTAATAGGGGCTGACATAGCCTGCTTGACCGACCGCTTCGATGCTGGGGTGGTTTAGACTGTACCCCCGTGTGATCCCACGCTATCCAATCCAGGCTCTCACCCCGCCCACCACAAACCCAGCCAACGATGTCTCCGTTCTCCACAATCGCAGGACCCAAACCAGTCAATCCTCAGAGGCCCTCGTGAACTGTTCCATCGATATCCAAGTGGCGCCCCAGCTCAGAAATTCCATGGGAGAGCTAGTCTGCAACAGTGGTCTAGCACAAGCCGCAACCCTGGCAGATCCCCCAGTTGCAGGCGTCGGTGTTCCCAGACATCACCTGCTGCTCGCAGTCGCCGCAGGATTGTTGGCGGCCTTCGATGACGGTTGCACTGCCGAAGGTTGCAAGGGTGACGGTGATGGCGATGATGGTGATGATGGTAAACTTCATGGTGGGAAGGTATGCGAGAAGCTGAGAAGGGGAGATAGTGTTTGCTATTTGAACAGTTTCCAAAACAGGGAGTCAAGCTGAGATGATGTAGTAGATGGTGTGGATAGTAATTACAATTGTGCAGATGCCCTACCTGGGCCCTTCTTATACTCGTATTGTCGTCTTTCTCTGAATTGTCTGCTCGAAGAACTATCGCACTGACCCTGAGGAGAGAGTGGGATTGATGCGTCTTTGTTACATGTTTGTGACCAATAGCGCTGGAAACAACGCTGTGCTTTGCAAATCTGTCTTTGTTTCGCAGCATCTTAAGCAATGAGGGAACAGACATAAGCGCTTCTGGAATCCTACCAGTCGTGATATACTGTCGCTAGACTCAAAACAAGATGCGATCTGCAAGCTGTTGTCCATAGAAAGACCTAGTTCGGTGATCGACATTGCTGATCATTGAAGAGTTTTGAAGGGTTGTGACTCGGTCTCTGAGGGAGCCCGGGATCGGTATCCAATTGAAACGCGATGCTGCTTATCGAATATTAGCATGTTCTGAAGTTCGCAAGGTGAGCTGGAGCTAATTATCCATTACCTATCATCGGCCAAGCGATGGGCAGAAACTATTACCTCCTTTTATCGCGAAGCGGTACGGTTATCGCTCCCCCAGAACCCTCTCCAGGTTGACGAAATCGACCCAATCAGGCATACGGCATTGCATTGGGCCTCCTCGATGGGAGACGTCGACATAGTAAAGCAGCTCAAAACCCTCGGAGCTGATACTGATGCGCGCCGTGCTCTTCTCAAACCGCCACGACAGACAAGTTTTCCCCGGCATCCTGGACGAGCTGTGGGACTCGTTCGATGTTCTCGACCACCATTCTGGCCGAACCGTCCTGGATCATGGTACTGGGGCGAGCCGATCAATTCCTACTTAGGCTCTCCTCAGGATCCAGATCCTTGAACAAGGTACGCCATTTATTAGCATTGTTTCGGAGCGGCATGTGCGGCACGGACCACCTAACATCTCCCGGGCCGGATGTACTGACCTATCCAACAGTAATCCTGTACAGTACAACGTATAGGCTTTCATTTTACCCCGCTGACTTCCCCCTTCCCTCAAACACAGATGGCCTTTGTTGTCGCCATGGCACTAGCAGTGGCACTGGCACTGGCCCTCGTGCAGTTGACTGAAGGCGTTTTTCCGTGGCAGGAGCCACCGACGAGCTTCCGGAATAAATGTCTAGCCTACAGACCGGAAAATTCCATCGACGAGGCAACCAGGACCGAACTCGCCTTTATTCCCGCCGGCACAAATCTCACACTGGTCGACAACGATGCTTCCTGCAACCGCCCGAACCAAGTTGTTGGCACAGACTTGTGCAGGGTATCACTGCACATCCCAACGTCCACGAGGTCGGGTATTGTCTATGAGCTGTGGTTGCCGGAAACGTGGAACGGCCGGTTGGTCACGACCGGAAATGGGGGCATTGACGGCTGTAAGTTATTAATTGAAGATTGCTTGTGAGATAAGTTCGGCGAGAGTTGAGTTAACACCTTTTAATTAGGTATCAAGTACGAGGATCTAGCGTATACCTCGGCCAACGGCTTTGCGGCAGTAGGCACTAACAACGGCCACAACGGGACATCCGGGATCCAATTTCTAAACAACGAGGACGTTGTCGTGGATTTTGCCTGGAGAGCGTACGTCGATTTGATTGCCAGGGAGATGAGATGCTGCTCGGATCGCTGACCAGATGGCTAGGCTTCACACTGGTGTCGAGGCCGGCAAGACCTTGGCCAAGCTATTCTACGGCTCGACAGTATCCAAATCGTATTACATCGGCTGCTCGCTCGGCGGGAGGCAGGGAATTAAAGGCGCCGAGAAGTTTCCCGGGGATTTCGACGGCATCGTGGCCGGAGCGCCGGCAGTCGACTTCAACAATCTTTACTCCTGGAGGGCCAGCTTCTTCGTCATCACAGGGCCAGAGAGCTCGCCGGGTTTCATCGAACCAGACGTGTGGAAGATGGTCATACACGACGAAGTCCTACGACAGTGCGACCTCATCGATGGCGTGGCGGACGGAATCATCGAGGATCCAAGCTTATGCGAATTCGATCCCGAGGCACTTCAGTGCGACTCGACGGGCAAGACCGATGAGTGTCTCACTCCCGCGCAGGTCGACATTGTCCGTAAGGTTTTCAGCCCACTGCGATGGTCAGAAGGCACGCTTCTGTTCCCCGGAATGAATCCCGGAAGCGAAATGAAGACCGCAGACGGTCTATATGATGGCCAGCCGTGGCCGATGTCAGAAGGATGGTTCCGGTACGCCGTCTATAACGACCCAGACTGGAACCCTACCAACTTCACAGTTAAAGACGCCGCCATTGCTGATATCAAGGATCCCGGCGGAATCCGCACCTGGCCAAGCAGTCTCGCCAGATTCCAAGACAGGGGTGGCAAGCTGCTCGTCTTCCACGGCCAACAAGACAACCAGATTACGAGCTTTAACACCCCTCGATTTTACGACCATCTGTCTCAGGGGATGGGCTACTCTCCAGCTCAGATGGACGATTTCTTCCGCTTCTTCCGGGTATCCGGCATGTTTCACTGTAACTCGGGGCCTGGCGCGTGGGTTCTCGGGCAGGGGGGTAATGCTGCGGCGGAGGGTGTTCCGTTTGATGCGGATCACAACGTGCTCGCTGCTGTGGTTGACTGGGTGGAGAAAGGTGTTGCGCCGGACACCATGACTGGTACTAAGTTTGTCAACGATACGGTGAGCCTCGGTGTTGACTTCAAGCGGCGACATTGCAAGTGGCCAAGCAGAAATACCTATCTCGGGGATGGGAGGAATCCAAAAAATCCAGATAGCTGGGACTGCAAGGGCTAAAGGTATAACCGAAGGAAAGGAGGGACTATGTGCAAAACCAGGTGGGAGACTTTTTAATTCTATAGACCAATCACTTGTTCCTTTCCGTGGTGATAGATGCTCTGGTCGGTTTCGAGATCATGCTCGGCGTTTTCTTGAGGTCTTCCAAGCCATCCCTTTCCATCATCTTCTACATATTCGTCCCCTATCTCTTGATCGTCTATCCACCAATTCCCGACCCCCCTCACGGCCCCTTTCCTTCCCTCAGCCCCGTCTCCCTTCCCACTCTCCATTCTCCCCAGTACCCGTTCGCCCTACATTTGGCGAGCCTTCGCCATCCGAGTCATCGCCATCCTCACTGCATCACACCTCCCACACTGTTGTTAAGTTAGGCTCCAGAGTTAGCGACAATCAATTGATGCCACTGCGTCCAGTCACACACACTTTCACTCTCCTCTCAAAGAGAAACGACGGCCGAGACACATTATTACGGGGACTATTGCTGATGATCGCCGAGCAGAGTATTCTTTGAAGGTGGACGGACACCAGACGACGTTTGATCATGGGAACCAACACCCCCGTCCCGGATCTAGATATATTTTGCGGCACTCGGTTAACGGCTGGGGCTCCCGTGTTCGCGTTTCTCATCAGCGCGGATCGGAAACATAAAAAGCCAATAAATCTCTTATCACCACTCAATATATACGGTCAAGTCCTGCAGTTAAGACTAAAATTATTTTTCCTTTGTCCTTCAAGCATCTCCTTCTCTCGTTCAAATACAATAACATCAGGCTTTTGCCAAGTGCAAAGTTAAGCATTTCCCTCTCAATCAGTTTCCTCTTACGAGGCGGAACACCCCGAAATGTCGGTTAGCTCCGTGGGACACTGGATCTGCTGGTACCTGATGGGCCAGCCATTGACGTCTCCCGAGGCCCAGTTGAACCGCCAGTAGCAGCCGCCCTGCATGTTATCCGGGAGGTTTGAGCAGTCCTGCCTCGACGAGACTCCACCCCACTGGTCACCCCTATTGTTCCAAAAGCGTCAGCATTGCGGATCCCGCAAACTCATCCCGGGTGACGGACACCACGCGGCAGAGCACTCCTCTACCGGGCGTCGAGATGTAGTAGTAGTTACTCACCAACTGCCTCCGAACTGGCTATTGCAGCCCTTGCTGTTCGGTCCGACGCCGCCGCCGGGCGTGATGATGATGAAGTCGCGTCCGTTGTCGGTGGTGCCGCCGCTGTTGATGGCCTGGACCTGCATCCGCTTGTTCCTGGCGGGTCCGTCCGTCCATTGCAGCTCGAAGCACTTGCAGCAGTTCTCGGAGCCCTTCGTGACGACGAACCCCAGGCTCAAGTCGTCGGTGTGCGGTCGCGGAGAGTACGACGAGCACAGGTAGGCGTTGCCGGCGTTCTTGTCGGCGCACGAGCTCTGTTCCGAGTCGCCCCTGGATTGGGAGAGGGGGTTGTCGTTCTTGTCGCACACTCGCACGAAACCACTTCGTCTGGTGTTAGGAGCATGGTCGGCAAGGGTCTAGGGTGGTTTGATGGTCACTTACCTGGCGGTGGGTGAGTTCTTTAGGTTGGAGCCCCATGCGCATGCTGGTTTGCAACTAATAGAGTCGACAAGTATTAGCCTAGAGTCACACGAAGGGATACCAACCACCATCTCTTACCAATCCCATGTTGTCAGCGTCTGTCCAACGCCATCCATCAGGGCAGCATTGGCCACTCCACCCAATGCAGAGGCCAGAGACAATATAAGGTGAAGGCTATGCATAGTTGGAGATTTCCGGGTTGGGATGGGACTCTATTACTTGTGATATAGGAAGCCCGGTTGTTGCGTTGCACAAAAATGTGAAGAGGAGAGGAGGATTGGGTTCCCAGAGGGATGGATCGAGTACTATATATGAAGGGGTAGGCGGTAAGGTAAGAAGACCCGAGACCCGGTCATCGACGAGCTCGCGCTGCCGGATCCAGGATAAGAAGCGGATATATACTAGATGGGAGGGATAATGCTTGCTCGCGGGATTTGTCTACGAAGCTAGCGAAACGGAGCACATCATGTACAGTGCCTAAACCTCGTGGCAACGCCTGGAACAAACGATCCCATTCTCACCAGCAGGAAGTACCCGCTCCGTGTATATAGGTCTTGGCAATGTGATTTATCGCCCAAAATTCGCTTCTCTGGACACTAACCGAGCTCCAAAACTGTTGTCGTGCGTAAGACGAATTTGCCGGCGGTTGGGTAGATCGCGGAACCCGCAGACCTGGTAGTTATCTTCATATCGATTGTTTAACCGGCGGGCCTGGGGATGTCCGCTGGGATTAGGCGAGTTGTTAAAGTGGGATATTTTCAGCGCCGCGTCTCTTTATAGTAGCTTGACGTTCTATTATTGGGAGTTGCAATCCGATTTCTTCCCCCCTCGAATGTTGTCCCGGGTCCCCAACAGCTCGGTCTCGGTACCTGCAGCCTATCCTCTAACGGGTATTTTAGCCGAGTGCACCCATGTATTGCAACCATTTCGCCCATTTACATAGTAGAACAAATAAAGAGGGTGGCGGGTGGAGGCGAAAGCACGGGTCGGCTGGAAAATGGCTGACAGCACGGGATCCTACCTTTTGCCCCAGGCTCGAGCGCAATACTACGAAGATACCCGGCAATCGGCGTGACATGCAATTTATTAATATGCAAAGTATCCCGGTTACAAACAAAATCCCCGAGTGGGCAGGATGAGTATTACCCAATCCTGTGCCGTGTCCTGTCAGGGTCGACCAATAAATTTGGCGTCATCTACATAGAGCAATCATAGCCCGCAATGGTTTGTTGGATCTTCGCATGCGGGATATCTCCTTAGGGACCCTGATAGGTTTGTTTGTGTAAAGTGGTAAACAACCGGCTAGATCGTTGAGGGGGCTCGCCGGTCATCTTTCCTGAAATCGGCACCAACCTGATTTACATTGTGAGCATCATATTCCTCACCTATACGGCTTGTAATGATGGCTGACCAACCATCAACCGTGGGTCTCGGATCGAAGACGAACCCAGAGACGAAGAGGGATGTGGGAAGTTGCCCAAAAGTTCGATTGCGACGCCTCCAGCTCTGTCTCCAGACAGAGTGCTATTCAGAGGTGATATAGATAGGAGATACGTCCTCCGCACCATGACACATTACAACGCCAAGCCGGCCTTGGCGGGATTGTCTCCCAATCAACAGCGCTCTCCCACTGGGCCTTCATAGTAAGTTCGTACAGATGGGGATAATTACGGCGTGGAAGTGATGCGAAAGCCATGATCCTTTCCATCTCGTCTCTCCCAGTTCCTAGTTGCTATTGGATAAGAAGGATCCTCCCTTTCCTCTGTGGCTTCAACTAGGTGGTGAAATGGGGTATCGCCCGATAATTGGTGGTGAAAAGTGGGTCTGTGTGGTTTTTCCCCTTTTTTTTTATTTGCTTTTTTTTTAGGCAAAGATAACAAGCCACACTGACTCACCCCGCACAAGCCACAGCCAGCGGGAGCATAGGATCCCGTGATCTAGCACGTGTTGCAGTGATATATCCTCTGCGGGCAAGGTTCAATCACATGTCGTATCACGTGATTTACAGTCACGTATTATATCAGGTGACAGTTCCAGCAAGTCACTGCCATTCACTTTAACTAGGTATGTAGCGATAACAACAGCGAAAGCGACAGCTAAAAGCGACAGCGACAGAAGCAATATCAACTCACGACAATGGCAAAGATGACGACATCAACGGCGACGGCGACGGCATTGAGCGAATAGCAGTAGGTCTATTAAGAAATGCTGCCACCTGTAAGTACCCCTTTGCCAGCTGGCGGGCACAAAACCCCGACCCTGAATAGCGAAATGCATGCCCTCCTAGAAGCAAGGAGCATCGACACAACACCAATCAGCCATGCTCTATCTGCAAGGCTGCCCTAGTGCCGCTTGACCTTAATGGAAGCGAAATCTGCCTAGGCAGCCTTGGCGCATCGCATGCATAACCAGGGCTGCACGGCCAGCTCAGATTTGATTGGGGAATAATGAACGCAATGTGAAGCATCCGGGGCGTGGTTGCTTCCGATAGGTTGAAGTTGCAGACATGGCTAATCGCCAAAACTGCACAGCCCCCCACTGCAAGCCAGCAGACATAAGCATCCCTAGAGACTCGACAATTCCATGTCAAGTCATCCACCCCGCAATCTCGTCGACCCGCACGCGCCGATCGGCGCCAAGCTCAAGACAAGCCGGCCCGAGGCATCTCACTATGGATCCGCTCACGGTCCTCGGTGCCCTTTCCGGCGCCGTTCAGCTCCTGGATGCCTCAATTAAGGTCTCCAGCAGAGCATACAGCCTTATCAGCTCGTTGAAACACGTCAAAGAGGATATGCGGCAGCTGCAGAAGAGTATGTCGAATCCCGATGCTATTTCCCGCCTAAAATAGGCCAGAACATCTAAATAATCACCCCAGCCTTGGAGGAGACTGAGTCTCTCATGCGCGATCTGCAAACATACGCCATCGAGGTCCAGCGATCCCCGTCTTCGATCCTGTACCACCGAATACTCCCCGACTCCATCGTCCAGATCGCCCGGCAGTTTTCCGAAGATATGCAAGTGCTCCGCAGTCACCTGCCCTCGGACGCATCACCGTCATTCTTGAGGAGGCTTGATTTCGTCCTTGACAAAAAATCAACGAGAGAGATTGTGCAGCGGTTGGAACAGCGCAAGACCGCGGCCTCTATGGCTCTGGATATCATTGGCAGGTGAGACAGCTATGGGAGAGCGGCTGTGAGATTTTGGCTCACTTTTTTAGGTTGAACGACGTCAAGCTGCGCGATGAGGTTCTATCCCTCCAGGACAAAGTCGGAGGATTGGTCACTTATCAGAGTGCGCTATCCATGAGACTCGAGCAGCGATTCGAAGATCTTGCAATACAAACCCGGCGATCGCAAGAGACGCAAACCCAAATCTTTGCCTCTCAGTTATCCGCGGTTCGGTCCGGGATTTCGTCCTTGGCATCCCACATAACCACCGAGACCCAAGCTGTGAACGCAATGTCATTCAGCAGGCTTCTCGCTGACGAGAGTCCGGATTACCTTGGACGGATAGTCCGAGCGGAGTTGAAACAACAACTGGAGCCTCTATCTTGCCATCTCAAGGGGGTGAAAGGGATGATAGACCAGGTGGCCTTGGCTGTTTCCGAGCAGGCAAGCCCACTGCACGCGGCTGACGCAGCAAGACCCGACGCGATAAACACGTCCACCACACATCCAGCGCAGGAGGAGCGCGTCTCCCATCATCAGTTGGAAGAGGGTCGATGTGCAGAATCGCCATCCACAAAAACAAGGCTGACCCGGAGACCTAGAGAAGTGAAATTGTACTCATTCATCCGCTGTATTCGCACAAAGCTCTGCTATCTTCAGATTGAGGTCGACACGTATCGAAGATGCGGGAATTTCATCGGCGAACAGGAAACGTTTTTCCGGCTGAGGGTCCTCGTTCTCCCTTCACCCTGGCTTTGCTCCAGGGGTCTCTCCTTCATGTTCTCGTCTGGTCAAAACGCAAACGGCCACTACGACATCTGCCCCAGCATTGTGCCTTTCCGAGTTATTCCATCCTCGTCTCCGGTATGGAACGCTTGGATATACGACGACATCTCCGGTGTAAAGGCCATGCTATCCCGACACCAGGTCACTCTCCGGGACGTTACAGAGCACGGCGACAATGTGCTGGCAGTATGAAGACAATGCAACGATGGTTATACCCCCTGATACTGACACTGATGTAGATTGCCGCTGTCTTTGGCACCGCGGAGCTATGTCAATTTCTCGTCCAGGAGACTGGGTGGGAAGCGGAAAGGCTCTTGGAAGACATACCTAGGAGTCCCACCGTCTGGGCAGGTTTTAGACGCCATGTTGACGAACAAGCCTTGAGGGACATCCTGAAACTATTCAAGGAGAACACTGACCCCTCCGACAACGCGTACAGCACAGACGAGACGGTTTGGGCGGGGCTATATTACTGTTTCCGCCACGAGATCCTCCTTATCCCGGATCTGATCAGGCGTGCTGGCATCTTACTAGAGTACGGTGCCACCTTGCAGCCATTCCGATGGTTTGGAAATGAGGACATGGACAAAAACAAGTTGTTCCTCGACATATATCTTCGTACCGGCGGAGATCCAAATGTTGTCGACCAATCGGGATACCCTGTACTTCTCATGGCTTTATTCGTATCGGCGAATCTCAACGATACCAGCGCCTGTCTACTCACTCCTTTGATTCGTGCTGGGGCAGATCTCTACTATATTCTCGACGGAGGCAATGCAGAAGCAGCCGTAACACTTACCGATTATGCGTTTCATCGCGGCCTCAAAGACCTTTGGATCGCAGCGTTAGAGGAGTGCGGGCTTGATGTGGACGCTGTATTTGACGAATCCGGCCGACGACTCGAGGAGCACCGTAGGCTCCGAGGAGCGACGCGGAGTGGTGTTGACGTCAGTTTCATTGTGGACCAACAGTCGTCGTCTGAACTGAGCTACCGGGGTAGGACACGAGTTGATTGATGAAGAGGATATGTAAAACTGAGAGATGTAGGCGCATGATTTTTACTAATTTACGATATCAAGAATTCTGGTTTCAACCGCAACCAGAACCTTCTCGCCGCCCATCGTGTGGTAGAATTTGTTGTCTGCGGTCTTGGCACTGGTGCTCCAGATTCGGCCAGAAGAGTCTACATGCTTTCTCCGGACTGCAGTCGTGGAGTGCCGGAGGGAGAGTCGGCGTTGAAGGAGCATGGACTAATACGACATGGCTGCTTAGCTTACGTCTAAGTGAAAAATGGGGGGACATGCCAATTACTTGCGTAATTTGCTTTATTTAGAAGGTTTTGATGTAAAACCCATCCCCGAACAAGGAATTGACAGTGAAGGAGAATGTTCTTGTCGCTGTTAATTATCGACAGGAAGCAGCGGAGACTTGGCATTGCCAAGGCAGTATTTAATACAAATTTCCAACGGTGCCGATCCCACGGGGTCCCCGGGTTCCGCGGACCCCGCACCCCGCCTCCGTTTCTCTCAACGCCGGGCGGGGAATTACCTCATTACGCGGCTTGTGCCGAATCAGCCACCATCGTCCAACACTTGAAACACGTGAGCTTCTATCACATAATCAACATCGTTTCGCCAAGTCCAGAATACACGCGTTGGTTAGATGATGCACCATCTTGAGGACCGAAGCGACTGCATCATCTTCACTCCGACATTCACACCGCAACCATGGGCCACCACAATCGGCATTTTGGGGGCGATCTCCATGCCAATGCCGGGATTTGGAGCCCTTCAACCAGCGCCGCCAAGTACCTCAGCCAGCCGCCCCCCCTAACCTCGCCCTGCTAACCCGGCATAGCTTCTGCGAAGAGGATTACGCCATGACTCGGTACATCGCCGAGTTCATCAATTCCCTAACCAACCTCGCATACAGTACGCGCCCCGCCATCGCAGGGCCCGTCCACCATACCTGCAATATCTTTACAAACCCTCATGTGTTAATGACCATCTCCAGTATACCTAGGCCTTCGACATCCCCAGTCCCAGCACGCACCACCATCCCCATCCCCCATCCCCGACCTCATGTCCGCCTCCCTCCTCCTCGTCGGCGTCACCTCCTTCATGTTCCACGCCACCCTCCGCCAGACATTCCAGCTCTCAGACGACGTGTCCATGCTCCTCCTCGCCGCCGCGATCCTGCAGGCACTATACTGCAACGGCCAACCGGCTGCCAGGGCCCGGCTCACCACGGGCGCCATCTACGCGTGCGTGTGCGCCATGTCCGCCGTGTACGTCCGGAGCGGCGACGTCCGCGTCCATGCGTGCATGTTCGCGGGCTTGCTCCAGCTCGTTTGGCCGCGGACGCTGTATCTCGTCTGTCGTCGCGAGGGGTCTGATCCAGCGAGGGCTTTGCAGCTTCGGGGGTTTCGGAGGGCGGTCGGCACGCTGGTGTTCGCGCTTGGGGTGTGGTATGTAGACCTTGAGTGGTGCGCGGAGCTGAGGAGGCTGCGAGAGGCTGTCGGCCTTCCTTGGGCTTGGTTGTTGGAGTTGCATGGCTGGTGGCATGTATTGACGGCTGTCGGTGCTGCTACTTACATCGACCTGGTTCGGGATTTGTGTGGGTAGGACAAGCCTGTGTCGGGGTGATGGGTGAGTAAATGGGTACTGTTGGGTCTGGTCTAAGCCAAAATCCTTTGGAGCAAGAAGTATCACACACAAGTCTTACACATCTTCGGGAGGATGATCTATGCGTGATGAAGTCGCATCAGCTCGACACCAATCTCTACGTCTTTCTCGTCAACCGAGCCAAAGACACAACACGGACCAGCCCCCAAGTGACTGGAAGTCACCCACCAACCCCTGAATGATGGCGCCTCAAATGCGCACTCGCCATGGTCTTCCAATGGTGAGTGCCAACCCTTCCCCGCTATTGCACCAGAGGTGACGAGCCTGGTCCTACCCGTCACTTACCCGCCAATTATCAGGGGCGTATGCATGGGGATCTCCCTCACCGGACCAGGACAGTGTTGGACTAGATACCTTATCAGGGTACGCGGGTTGATCCCCCCTTAATCTCGGACCAGACCGGTGTGACGCAACGCCCCAGCCCTACGCCGGGGACGGCCCAAATCCCAACTCCGAGTCCCACTCTAAAAGCGGCAGCACCGTATCGTTGGGTCCGTTGGTAAGGTTTACCCATATTAATTTGTTCTCGCCTTCGCCTACCTCGTCGCTCATGGGTCTGCTCGGTGAAATCCGAGAAACCACGACGATTGTCACTAAAGTTCCTCGAAACCGAACAAGCATTGGCTATCCGGTGGGCTAGACGAAGATTCCTGGAGTTTCATTTGATCCCAAGAAGGATGTGCCAGACCCTCACCGGCAAGGTTATCCTCATCACCGGCGGTAAGACGTTACAAGGGAATTTAAAATTATTCCGCCTGTCCCTCATTTACAGGGTAGCCTAATTAATTGGCAGCGAGCAAGGCAACCCCGTCAGGCTGTGCAACAGGTGCCTGGGACACCCCTGCCATACTAACAAGTCACACTTTCCCAGGCACCGCCGGCGTCGGCGCCGGGACCACCATCGGGCCGCCCCGACACAAGCCCGCGCACCTCCTCTTCACGGGGCGCAACCCCAAGACAGCCGAGTCGACCATCTCCGCCGCCGCGCCGACCGAGCTCTGCATTTCCGTCGTGGAGTGCGACCTCGCGGACCTCGCCTCCGTCAAGACGGCCGCCGACAAGGTGCTGTCTGACCTCGATCGCCTCGACGTCCTCGTCTGCAACGCCGGGATCGTGGCTAGGCTGGCTGCGCTCTCTAAGGACGGCTGACGAACTACCTCGGCTACGCGCTGCTTGACACAGAAGCTGCTACACGGCCGCCTTGGACGGCGGCACCGGGACGTCCGCGTGGTCATGGTGACGAGCACCGCGTGGCGAGGGACGCGGCCGGGCGGGATCGTGTTTGAGAAGATCAGGACAGCGCAGGAGATGGCGGTGCTGGGACGCTGGTTGCGCGACGGCCAGAGCAAGTTGGCGAATATGCTGTATGCCGGGGAGATAGATCGCGAAGCGGCATCCGAAGATCACCCCGGGCGTTGTTGCCACGGGTCTGGTTACGGATCTAGGATTTGTGGATCGCGCGCTGATCTACATTCCCAACATTGGTAAGGTGAAGACGGCCGAGGGCACTCACAATCTGCTGTGGTCCATCACTGCCCCCAAGGAGAGCATCAAGCGTGGGGTCTTCTATGAGCCGGTGGGTTTGTCCCCAATGGAGACGAAAGCTAGTAAGGACCCGGAGCTTGGAAAGAAGCTCTGGGATTGGACCAAGACTGAGTTGAAGAAATGGATGTATTGATGATTTGCTCTAATAGATCACTGGTACGCCCGCAACCTGCTTCAGGTTTCACTGCTCTGGGATAATTACACGTCATAAAGTCTTTGGTGTTTGGTTGCCTGTTATCATGACTCAGATGGACGCGAGATTTGTGACGATGGGGGTTTGTTTTGGGGGCCATATGCTTTCTCTTGGGTCAGAGGTTTTAGAGAGTTTAGGCATACAATTAGGCAGTCCTCCTCCCCAAGATACGAGCTCTAATATTGGCCACACCGGAACACAGCCCACACCTGCCTACAATAATAAATTACACAATGGTACCCTATTCTAGGCAGAATACCCACACAACCAAGAAAGGTGCCGTCTGCCGTCGTATTTATCCTAGGGCTTATTTACCAATTACCCGAGAATCCTCCACCGCGATTTTTCTGCTCAATTGAGATTCTTGCAATGTATTGAGCGGCACAGCAACTCTGTTTGTTGGGGGCCGTTGGGGCGACAGTCGGCCTCACCGAGCACTCTGACTATGAGGTAGAAAGCTTGGGGATGTATAAATAGGGGGTAGTCGAGCATATCAGCGGCAAGTAAGGTTTGGCATCGCTTCCCAACTATCAGTGTAATAGCACCCCAGTCTCGAGCCCAACTCTCACGGCACTCACTCTTGACCCAACAACGACGATGTCTATCTCCGTCGCGTCCATCCTCCTCATAGCTCTCAGGCTATCCGCCGTCCTGGCGGTGCCCGACGTCACCGTTGTGCCTCTCAGAACCGACGACTGCGTCGACTGGCCCAACTGGCTCCGGACGCAAGACTCCGACACCACCGGCGGCTTCGACATCCAAGTCGACCAGTGCGACGACGAGGGCCTTGAGGGTCTCCTTACCACCACGATCGCCTTCGACTGGACCGACTCGGGCGGCGACAGCGGCGAGCGTCTCGTCATCGATCTGCGCAAGTCGCGCCGGTTTGCCAGGTACTACTACCGCTGCTGGAACGGCACAGTGCGTTACGGCACGAACCTAGAAAGCATCATCACCATCGCCAAGGACTCGCGGAATGCCTTCTTGACCGCAAAGAACACGATAGAGGGCTACAAGCTGGAGCCATACGCGCACGAGATCAACGGGACACGCCAGCCGGGCGTATTCCTAGGCACCATGAACCGCACCACGTGGGGGTTCACCTACGTGCAGCCGACCGAGTGCGGGCAGAAGGACTACTACGAGGTCAAGCTGCAGGGCTTGCCTGTCGATCCTGACACGGAGCCACGGGCTGCGAACAATCCCGAGTTCTTTGGATTTTTGAAGGCCCTTGCGATTTAAGACTCGTGTTGTGTTGAGAAGGAAAGGGGAACAAAAGACTCAACTTAAGCTTGATAATTAGAGATAAACCAAGAAACTTCGAGGATTCTAGCCAGACTGCACCCATCGGAATCTCTATATGCGTTCCGACAGTTTACTTTGTGCGTTTTCTCTGGTGATATGTGTTTCCTTTTGCAGCCCCAATCAAGGTCTAACGATGCTGATGACCCATCGGGATGGTCTGCGGAAGTTCTGGATTTGCTCCGGACCCAGGCCGTTCGTGGCCTACTTCGAGAGGGATGAAGCGGGTGACTGAGTGAGGGAAGGGCTTGTAAGGCACCGTCATAATCTCCATTACCATGATTGCCAACCTCTCTCCGCCATCGGCTTGTTCCCCCAAAGGTCTGAAGTCCCATAACCCCCCTCAGGAATCCGCCTGCCTATGACCAATTAGCATCACAAATAGTGCCTGAGGGCGGGTTTGCAGCGGCGAGTTCCAGACGGTAGGTGCAGCTAATCTCACAGGCGACTTCCACGCTCAGTGACGCTGACTCTGACGCGTTTTTAGCCAGAAAAGCAAGAAGATGCACTGCTGTAATGCCGATCGCCGAGCGCCCTTGCTGCCCGGCGCAGCCGAGGTAGCCTCAGAGGGCCACATCGAAAGTTCGACCAGGCGAGTTCATCGTCGGGATACCCAATTGGACGACTCCTCGGTTGTGGTGTGGGGTTGACCGGTGTTAGTCAAGTCTCTATTCTAGGGGACTTGCGCCAGAGCCTAGACTCCGCGTCGTTTCGCCACAGAAGTCACCCGGGGAGTGTGGAGGCCTCGCCAAGCAGGACGAAGAGCTTCAGAAATCGTTCTCTCGGCAAAAACGTGATGCTGCCGTCGAGGGTGCCCCATATTACAAGGCCTCGGGCGACAGCCACGCCGGCATCCCGCATGACCAAGCCCGGATTCCCAGCACAAGGGTCCAACATGTCTGTAGTCGCCCGCAGAAATATCTCTTGCTACCCTCTTGGGATGGGGCAGCAGAACTCTCAGGCAAAAAGGAGAGAGGAAAGGATGGTTAGGAAGAGAAACCAGAGGAAGAATGAAGGCCGGGAAAGAGAAAGGAAAAAGAAAAAAATACGTACAACACCGGAGATTCGCTGGTCGTCACCGACCCAACTACTAATCCGCCCCTTACTGGTTTATCTAGGGGAGAGCGGACGGGATCCCGAGTTTTCCAGTAGGTATGGTCGTACGTGGAGGATAGAGAGAGAAAGTCGATATATACTGCCTGTTATCGTTGCTTCAAATACACATCTTCAAGCAGCCTGTGGTGATATTCACCTGCCTACTAGCTCTGCTTTGTATTCACTTATCTAGGTAGTTTCTTCGCCGACTGCCACCAGCTTTACAGCCCGCTGTGACCCAACAACCTGTATTCTCCTTCACAAATTCCATCATCTACACTCATCGCGTAACTTTCAATACGCAATTAGCAGAAAGCGACAGCACCACAGGAAAGTGAATAGGCTGAAAGAAAATCTGGCCATGGCTGCTGGAGAATCCTCCAACGGCAGCTATTTCGCCACTCCCATTTCTCCATTCACGTCTCCGTCCGGGTTCAATGATACCATCACGAACGCCCCGAACAATCCATCTGGTAAGCAAACAATGGCCCTGCTGCAGCTCTCTCTTACATGGGTTGAGTACGGATCAAAGGGAAACATTTGTTATGAGGGTCGCTATTAGATCAAGTGGAAAATCCTTACCTACTGGTTTCCAGAGAGTCAACTCCGCGTTTCTGTGCGTACCATCCACCATCGCTGCCAACTAAAACATCAAGCCCCCGAGCATCATTCCGCCCAACAGCGGTGCTGCGAGCGGCATCCCAAAGCCTCCGCCGTAGCCAAGCCCGTACGGTCTGTTGTACGGTCCGTAAGGCCGCGCAAGTCCGCCGCCATATCCAAGCCCCCCATATCCGCCCCCATACCCGCCTCCATACGGGCCCCCGTACCCGCCCCCCATCCCACCGCCCATTCCACCATTATAAAGCCCGCCGGGATACATCCCGTCAGCCCTAATATACCTCGCCCCCGGCCCGCCCACCCCGGGCCCCGCTCCACTCGCGTACTCCACCTCAGTAATGTACGAGCTCAGCCTCCGCTCGCCCACCACCCCGCGGTGCGCAACTCCAGGCGGCTCGAGGTACACCTCCCTCCCGTCATCGTCCCGCCCAATCAGCTGCGGCCGGCCCGTCCGCACCACCTCCGTCAACCCCCGCCGGAAGGCCAGGTGCTGCCGATACGCGTCCTCCTCCTCCGCAGCCCGACGCTGGCGTTCCGCCTCGCGCTCAGCATGCGTCGACGACGTGATCCGGTCCTTCAGCTTGCGGCCCAGCTTCGAGAGGGCTCCGGGCGGGTGGTCGTCGTCGCCGCCGCCGTCGTGACCACCCCGACCGAGGTCGCTGCGGTCGTCGTCCTCGTCCGTGCTCTCGGCCGCGAGGTCCTCCCTGCTGACGCTGTGCCCCAGCAGGGCGCCCTGGCCCGCGAGCCGCTTGCGCTGCTCGTCCGGCAGGCCGGCCACGTACTCCTCGTCGTCGTACGGGTGGTGCCAGATGGAGCGCGGCGGGTCGGCCGTCACGTCGACGAAGAACTGGTGCGACGTGGCCGGGTCGAAGGTCCGCACCCAGCCCTTGGGGAGAGGGCGCGCCTCGTCTTCCATGCTGCGCCGCTGGGCCGGGGGGATGCCATTCCGGGTGCGGTGGGTGGGGCGCGTTGAGGTCGTGGTGCTGGGACCACCGGCGGAGGGTCCGTCAGGGGGACCAGCCGGGGGACCAGTTGAGGAGCCGATGGCTTCCTCGTACGTTGGTGGCGCCGACGCCGCCATCTTCAAATTCGGTTTGCTGTTTTGCTGTTTCGAAATGCGCTGTTGTGGTGTTCCGTGTTTCTATGCCTAGAGGTGATTGACTAGCAAAGTAGGGCGGGGGGAATAACAATGTTATAACTCGGGGTTAGATTTGTAATTGGGGAATGGAAGGTGTTCGCCTCTTCTTGCCGGTTGTCGCAGTGAGGGGCTGTAGTCGAAGGAGGCTGTGGTAGCTTTAGAGTTTCACATGACGTCATCTCGCGGTGGCGACAACGGTGACGACGATGATAACCAGCGTCATTAGGTCTTCAACGTCAACCTTATCCTGTCTCAAAGAAGGTAGCTTTAGGAGAATATCTCGTGGGAAGTGTTGTAGGTTATTGACTTAGCAGGTTTCATAGGCATAAGCATGGTATCACCCAAGATAATCAAGTGATTTCAGTTTGATGGCAGAATTGGGGATCTCCTTTTTTCGATGCTCATGAGCCCAGTCTACGCCATTCCCGCCACGCTCCGAACACCCAACCGCATTGGCCCTCTTCTTTGATCGCCTGGGTCACTTGCCGCTATTCCCACGGTGGATACAACCTTCTGATTGGTCGACGTAACACGACGCTCGATCAAGACCCCGGCCTTATCCGTCGATCTCACCATTGCCTCGCTGCTACTTTACTGTAGCCACGATGGCCTCGGAGGATTATTGTCAACTTCAACAGCCTCAGATTGAGGTTCGCCGCCTTCATTCTGCAGTATTCTTGAGGCTGTGATGACTGGCTTGCCAAGCTTGTAGCCGCATCGGCCTCCGAAGCTCAAGACAATATGATGTTGGCAAGCGAACTGATCGGCGCTAAGGTAGTCATCCCACTTCCATAATCCAATCCAATCTCGGGGGGATTTCAAGAACTTAAAATAGAAAACTTGTTCCCTGATTCTGATAGCTCACACTTTGGTCTATCTGTGTTGATACATGTGGACTTTGGTCCCGCCCAAGCAAGATGACGAGGACTCGTGTCCGTCGAGGGCCGGGTTGCTTCCGATAGATGAACCGGGGCAATCCGCCACGACGTGGGTAGATTGAATTTGATCCCGATGGGGCCTTGCCGATCAGCATTGCGAGAGGGCTGAGCACACGTCGAGGACAATACCGGCATCGCAATCCCAGTCATATATTCGGATGCTCGCATACCTCTCCAGACCTAGTAATCACCATTTCTGCCACATCTTCGTAATCTCGATTCCCTCGGCGAACGCACCAACCTTCCCATCGATTGCAAACCCTTCGGCCTCCAATATCCTGCACTTCTCATACAGATCTCTCAAAGGAACCCAGAAGCACTCGATGAACTCCCCATCCTCCAGCTTCGTCGCCGGGTTCCGATTCTCGGGTCTTTCAGGGTCGATGTTGACATTTATCATGTATGTCGACGAGCTATGACAGCATCAGTAACAACTCCGACCTACAGACAAGCCCAGGGTGACCTCAATCACAACCATACCTCGAGGAAGCCGGAGCTTCACAAGTCTTATCGTCAGCAGGTACCGACACTTGATCCATCTCCAACAAAAGAGGGGCATCCCCAATCACCCACCACTCATCAAAACAGGCCGCACCCCGAGCCGATCAGGCACCACCTCCCCAACATACCCCGTCTCCTCCCTGAGCTCCCGCAGCGCGCACTCCTCGGCCGTCTCGCCGGCATCCACCAGCCCGGCGGGGAACTCGATGCAGACGCGCCCAGCCGGCGGCCGGAACTGCTTCTCGAGGAGCACCTCGGGCCCCGCCGGCCTGTGCAGGAGGGCGACGACCTGGATGGCGTCGACGGCGCTGGTCGCGGGGCGGCTTTTCCGGCGCATCGCCTCCCAGGTGCGGGGCTTGCCGTCGGCTTCTTCGTAGTTGATTCTGTTGGGTTGGGGCGTAAGCTGGTTGACTATGCCTGGTCTGCTGGATGCCATGCCCTGATGGGTGGTTGGGGGTTTGTTGACTGCGACAGGGGCTCTTACTTGACGAGGTTCAGCCATTTTGCATCTTTGTTGTCCTACGAGGGTGTTAGTGGAGAAGATTGCATGTCGTTGGTGGAGACTCACGAGCGGCTCGACGGATACTACTTTGGGCGCCGGTTTTGACATGTTGAATTGATGGTGGTGGTGCCGAGTGAGCGAGTGTTCATCAAGCTCGTTGACCAAGCGGGGTAATTAAAATGTTCGGCGGGAGTCAGTTGTGCGAGGTGGTGAGAATAAGGTTACCAAGATGGCGGCTCCACCAGCTGCCACCAACTGTAACTCTTACTTTAGGAAGCTTCCAAGCAAGTGATATACGAACGAAACATGTTTTCATGTTTTGATAGGCACCAGCAAACGAACATTAACTACTCAAGAAAGACTTGGTTCTCTTCATCTAGATCTTTATACTTGAACTCCACAAGCCCACATCCCAGCAGCATTTCGACCTTACCAGCTCTCAGCCAAGCCACACAGCCGGCCCTGGCGGGATGTACGCATCTGGCTGGATGGACCCCAGGTTGACCAAGATGCCCGGGTCGTTGGTCTTGTACGCCCCCGGCAACGCGACAAGGGGCCCCGGCTTCCCGCTACTGGTGCCACCAGTGATCTGGATCTGCGAGCACGCGAGGTAGAACTGCGCCCCGTTCGCCTGCATGGCCTGGTGCAAGGCAATTTGCTCCACGCGGAGGAGGTATTCGCCGTCCGGAGTGTCTGAGGGGATGGTCGCGTTGTGTGTCTTGTATTCATCTAAAGAACGTGCGTTGTGAGTATGGGGATACGGGGATAAGGCTCATATCATACATGGGTCTCGAAAGGTGTCATCCGAAATAAATGCGGGCTTAAACTTACTCTGGCCGGGCCAAGTCATCTGCTTGTTCGCGTCCACGGATGGCATCGTAGTGGAGAACTTGAACCAGACGGCACCGTCGCCGCCCCAGGACGCTGCTGATGCCCCTGCCGGTACCTTTGCGAGATAATACTGCGTAGGCCCTGGGTGGTTGACCTGCTGCGATGAGATGTAGTGGACGGTAGCGCCGGCGGGCACGGTCGCGATGCTGGCCGCGTTCTGCGACGAATAGCAGCGGATATCCGGACTCGTCGGGTTCAAAACGCCCTGCTTGCTCTGGGCGTTCTTCGTCATGCGCGTGACGGACCAGTCGCTCTCTTCGGCTTTGCCATTGACGACAAGCCTTGGGAATGTGTCTGCAGCGGTTGTTAATCAAGGCAAGGTCTTCTCAAGGTGATAGTAAGGGACCGGAATTGGGACGTACAATGGGCTTGGACGGCTGTCGCGACAGCCAGCACGCTCGCGAGAAACTTCATCTTGAATTTTCGGTCGTCTCAAATGGAAAGAAGGTGGCAGCGAATTTCGAACCAGTGGTCTTGGCTGCGGGTTGGTTTATATCTGTTGAACAGCAACCTACGTGAAATCCGGGATCGTCTGCCATATATTAACTTAATTCTAGGAATATAATGCTATTAATATCGTGCTAGATTATGGATTGGCCATCGCTTTAACACCTTTTAGAGCGTCTCTTATTGCAAGCCACATTTGGCCCGGTTCATTCCCCTTCCAGCCTATGGGCCGCTTCGCGGTTAATGTTCTAGACTCGCGTTATTCATTGGCGCCAACGGATGACTTCGGCAGTGAAACGGCCATCTACCAAGATTGCGGGGAAATCCCTGTGCATGCTTGCGAGTCGGCAGTCACAAGGTGATGGTAATTAAATTACTAAATTGGGTCGAAACTGGCAACAAGGTGGAATCTCCTAAGCCAGAGCATGTCTTCGCCCATCACCCCACCCCGACCGGCCCAATCGAGCCGGGCACCCACCCAGTCGGCTTCTGGAGAGCAGAGGTTGGGTTCCCCGGGCGAGCCGGGCAGGGCACCGCCACCAGTGTGATGCAGACATGGAAGGCATAGATAATACAACTAGGTACCATGTCCTCCTCGGCAGCTCTTTAAGACAAGCCCCCCTCGACGTGAATTAGTCACCTCGAGGTGGGCCTCACGCCTGCCTCCAGCAGCCAAAGGCTCGAGCTACTTGTCACCCGCTCTCCACTAAGCTCCGGCACTTACCACGCACCGGCGGCTCGAACAACCACACCGTCCGCGCCTGCCCCACCATCCTCGACAGCTCCAGCGACGGACGAGCAGGGCCGGGTAAAACCGGTTTCGTGACTGCAAGCTCGAGGAACAATGGCGATTTAACAGACCGCGCCCTAACGTTGATCCGAAAGGAACTCCCCCGCGCGGAGGTCACACTATCCTGCGGATAGGTAAATGAACGGAAGGACTTGTTTTCTGTTGCGACCTCTATTAGTATCATTTCGTCTCGATTTCTACAAGGAAATCTTGGGTACTTCCTCGTCCCGTCTCCATGGGATTGACAACCATATCCAAGGATCTGGCATTCTGCTACCCTCTGGTAACAGCAGTCTGAGGGACGGCTTCGTCCCTTTTCCTCCCCCGTGGCATGGAACCCGAGAGACGGCCGCCCCCTTTTCAAGTTCTTCGAGGAACCCGATAACCTCTGAGAAAGCAGCGGCTAATTAGAGTAAGATGGCCAGGTTAGTTGATAGGGAAGAAGGGGCGTGGTTTGGAGACGTTGGAGGGTCGCATCGCGGCGACCCTGATAGCAGGTTAACCGGGCGGAATATCCTTCATGAACGCGTCTTGAATGTGAGCTCGGTTATCTGGATGGTTTAACCCTGCGGCGAAAGGCTTTGCTGTCTGTATGGATCTGCTCACTGCGGACTGGAGGACGTTGGCCAGGCGTTGGCCATGATCGGTGGCTCGTTACCCCGGTTCGGCATTGTATAACGATAATGGCGACGATGTTGCCTGGGTTTCTTTCGCTTAGTTCGCTGTGGGGGCAACCACTGCGTGAGGAACCGTGGACTCAGGAGCAGAGATGATGGCCTGATGGAGTTAGTAGCGGCTCCGACTCGACGCTGCAGAATCCCGAAGCAAATACTCAATCCGAAGACTGTGCTAGACGATATTGGATGATCGGGCGGAAGGTAGGAGGCGGAGATGGGCCACGGTCGGTCCCCCTGGACTAGAGTCTCGGTGGGTGTCAAAACGGCGTAATCAATACGGGTGGTAAGGGGTTGGTCAGGCCTGCCCTCCGACCTCACCACTGGCAAACACTCGGCAGCTCTCACAGTCTTTGCCTCGGGACAAGAAAAACAGCCTGCTATTTTATGTATCAAGGGAGATCAGCGACGAACTTCACCTGCTTCAGCCCTCAGTTACAGGACTCCCTCACCGGGATCAAGCTCTGGGTGTGTATGGAGCACGTGGCGAACGGACAAAGGCTATTCCGTTCACAGCATGGTCTTCTCCAACTTGGACTCGAATGGCAATATGCCCCCGTTGAAGAAGTATATGTTTACGGCATCATGCTTGGCGAGGTAGTTTGGCCGAAACCTAATGAGATCCTCGCGGTTGGTGAACTCGTCCTTGCGAAGATGGTTGAGGGCTTTCTGGAACTCCTGAAGATCTCAGTTCCCTACAATGGCCGATAACTCGATTGGGACGACTTGCTTGGGGGACTGGAGCAGACGTAGTCTCTTCTTGTGGCCTTTTCGTGTGTCCAGAATCGGAGATGCAGCTGCAAGGTCCCGGCGCACCACGCCCGGGCGAAGCACCGCAGTCCCGCACATGTAGCTCGCCATTTCCCACTGCAAGCCGGCTTTCACAGAGAACGGCTTGATCCCATCCCACAAGACGAAGTTACTGAAGTCAGGCATGACAATGGCCGTACCCCTGGGGCGGACGTAGTCGAGCACCGCATCCCACATGTGTCCACCATCAAGTACGGTACCAGCGTGAACCTATTGGAGGGCGAGAACATGCATTTTGTCAAGGAACAAGTCAATATCCCCGTCCCGGCCGTATATAGCCTGTTCTTCAAGAAAGACGGATGCGGTGGTCAGGTCAATTACATCGAGGCAATCCAGGGCCAGAATCTCCACAGGCATGGAGTGACCTGAAACGGAACAAAAAGCAGCGATCCGGGCAAGCCTCAATCAGCTCCACAAGATTACGTCACCGGGGGATTTCGGGAGTCTCGGTCATCGTCCATTGGAGGACAGTATGTTTACCCCAGAGAGTTTCCATCCCTGAGCGCCTGGTTTGTCGCGGTACAATGACTGCCTTCCGTGCCGACGTCCGGCATTGCTCCCTTTCAAAAACCCCTCCGATGAAGCTGAGCTCTCTTAAAGAATCTAAAGTCATCTAGTGCAGTCGCAACTCCGACGCGAACGGCAGGCTAGACAAATTGCTTCCGAGCCCCATCGCTAATCCCAATCCCAATCCCAATCCCATTCCCAAACGCACCTAACGGCCCCCTCAGCTCACGCTTCGGGTAGCAAACCCATCACTCATCTGGCCGCTCAACCACCGCGCCACAGCAGCCCACCTATCCCGCGCCGCCAGCCCCGCCATGTCGTCGCACGCCCCAATCTACGCCGCCACGGAGTCCGATGACAGCCCTCTCTAGCTCGAGCCCATCGGCCCTCGAGTCGGCGGCAAGGAGGACCTCCACAGCTAGTATGTGCAGCCAGAGGGCGCAGACCATAGCGAGGTGCCGGGCCTCGCCGGCGAGGCGCAAGCGCAGCGGGGCCTCGGCCCGGACCCGCTCCAGCCACTGCTGGGTGGCGGCCACAAAGGAGTGGATGTTTCCGCCCTGCTGCAGCGTCGGAGCGAGGGGTAATGAGATGCGGGCCTGCGGCGAGACGCGTTTGCAGAGTGGGGCGGCGTCGGAGCCAAGGAGGAGCGTCGCGAAGACGCAGCGCCACAGTCGGAACGGGGTCTGATTCCCCAGGTCTTGCTGTTGCTGCTGCTGATCCTGGTCCAGGTCCTGGTCCTGATCCCTGTTAACAGTAGATAAATACAAAGAATCCATGTGCTTCCTCACGATATCATTACCCGAGGTAATCAATACCGCTACCGCGAGGGTCACCAAGCCTGAGTCACAGGCGTTTGGCTGCTGCGGGCACTCCAGCGCCCGCATCTCCCACCCCCTATCCCCGTCCCTGCCATTGTCCCTGTCCCCAGGCAGGTCAGCGACAAAGGCCTTACAGCACGCAAAGGCAGCCGCCGTGCTAATGTCGGTGGCCATCGAGTCGAACACATTCACGCTCCTCGCGGCTCTGTCGACGACGGCCAGGACCCAGTTGGACTGCGGCTGGGCCTCGAGCCTGCCGCTGCCGCCGCAGCTGCCGCCATCGCCGGAGGGGAGGAGCAGGCGGAGGCGGAGCGGGAGCAGCACCTTGGCTTTGGGGTTGTCGACAAGCAACTGCCTGACCCCTGCCTGCCGGCTGTTGCTGACGGCCAGCAAGCTGCTCGGCCTCTTCGTTGCTGCGAGGAGGGCGAGCGTGTCGTTGACGGCCACCTCGCTCAGCGGCTGGCCTCGTCGAGGCAGGCCAGGAGGGCGGCCTTCTGGGCTGCGGTGTATGTCAGGCCGGTGGGCGAGCCTGACTCGTGGGTGCCGTTGGGGGGAGGTGTGGAAGGTCGAGGGTGCTCTTCTTCTGTGGCGGGTGGGAGGGGCTGCTGGGCCGCTGGCCTGTTGACTGCTGTTTCCACCGCACGTTTCTCCATCTCGCGTGGGGGGGCGGCTCTGCCTTGGTCGTTGTCGTTGTCCTCGTCCCAATCCTCCTCGGCCCGAGAATGTCTACGTCTAGGTTGGTATCTCTGCGAGGGGCCCTCGGCCGACGACTCTCCCGTGTCTCCAGCTGCCTCCTCGGGAGATCGCTTCCTACACGAGGATGATCCGCCGCCCGCTACGCGCATCTCGCCAGCGACCGCCTCGCCAGATGAAGCCCCATCACTACCGCCGTCGCCGTCTTCTGTGTTCCGCCCTCCGTCCTCCCTCGTCATGCATATCCCATCTAATCGAACCACGGCCTCGGCGGCGGCGGCAGCGGCGTCCTCGGCCGGGAGCCCGGTGGTGGTGGCCCAGGCCCTATGCTCCGCCGCGCCCATGTCCACATCCTCACCACCAGCTGCCTCGCGGGCGACACGGAGGGCGTATTCGTGGGACAGGACCCGGAGCGCTCGGTTTCGCAACGACATTATTTGATGGTGGTGTATCTCGATCGATGCAGCAGGCGACACGTAGGGCCTGTGGTAACCATTCTTGGAGATATCGTCAAGCACGGCGTCTGCGTCGCAAGCGAGCCACAGGGTGACTCCGTTCCTGTGGTCCTTGGACCTAGACAAGCGCTTAGCTTGCTGTTCCAACAGGCGGGAGCGCGCAGACGGCCAGTCGAGTCTTCTGTGGACCGTGACAAGCTTGCGCAGCCTAGACCAAAAAGAGAAAAAGTCGGCGGGGAACTCGGCAAGCAGGGCACCAGGCTTAACATTCCAATGCCTGGCCAGATATCGGAGATCGCTGCGGGAGCGTGGGTTGAGATTGTGCGGTACGTTGTCTAACGAAAGAATGTCCTGTGTCACCGCGGGTAGTTGGATGCAGACGTCGTGCGCAGAGTACGTGGCGGCGAAGTCGGTGCAGACCTGGTAGAAACCAAAGAAAACATCTCCAAGGTCGGAGAGCTGTAGTAATGGCCGGATGGCACGTTGCAGGTTCGCATCAGGGCTAATCAAGGACAGGACGATGACGGGGACACCATTGCCAAAGAGTTGGCAGCGGCCTGCCCGTCTGCTCATCCGCGTGTCGACGACGCTGGCCTGGAAGACTGTTTACTTTCCAGCCCCTCACGGCTTGAATGAAGAGCCTCTCACGTGATCTCTCACGTTTGTTCAGAGCGACGCGATTATTACAAGCCTTGAAGAAATAATTAACTGGGCTGCTATTCGCTCTAAATTACAGGCCTTCAGGAAATAATTTAATGGGCTCCTATTGGCTCCTAAAGTGGAATCCGCCCTAGTTGTCAGACTTGAAATCCAGTCGTCTTATTGGTCAACCCGCTCTGACACTTAGTGACTTTTGTACCTCCATACGACACCGGTAGCTGTCGAGTCCTGCCTGCCATTGCTTGCCTTGAGAACCTGAAAATTTTGAGGTGATGCTCAACTTAGACAGCGAGCTCGCATTAGGTCAATTCAATTATCTAGGCGAGACCTAGCGACAATACCAAGCACAAAGATCGCCAGTTGCGGCAATGGTTGTACCCAGATCCGCAATTGTCAGTGGACTGCCAGTGGCGGAAAGTCTTTGCCACCTGTCATGAACTCTGCCCCTCAGCCAATCAGACCCTCGGAAATATATCAAAAGGGGGTTGCGCCGCTTGGAGAGATGGGTTGTGCGATGAGGCAGTTGAGCAGTTGACAAGCAGCGGATCAAAATGCAGATGTCTACCAACCATGTCGGTCACTACCTGCTGATAAACCTGCTGCTGCCAGCCCTGTTGGTGGCCGGATCCGAAGCCGGCGGTGCCCGCGTCGTCATCGTGACCAGCTCGGGCTACCTGATTCCCCCTTTCCGCTTCGACGATTGGAACTACTCGGACGGCAAGGAGCAGGGCACTCGGACAGGCTACGGCCAGGCTACGTCCAGGCTACGGCCAGGCCAAGATGGCCAACATCCGATTTTCTTTCGGCTTGACTGGGCGGCTCAAAGACCGCGGCGTCACGTTGGTGGCCGTCCATCCGGGGTACATCAACGACACGAAGCTGGGGAGCCACCTGACCTGAGATGATCCCAGCGACATATTCCAGACCATGAAGCGTAGCGCAACACGGGCAAGGGCTTCGAGTTCGAGGAGATCTGTGGAAGCTGAGCGAGAAGCTGGTTAGGCAGGCGCTTGAGTATGAATGACTATGCATAATGGACGCAACTTGTTTCTAGCAGCTCTACTGAGTCTGAGGGCGAGAGCAGGCTTCCGTCAACGTTAATTAACTACCTCTGACCTCCCCCTTCCATGAGTTGTCTTTGCTGTCATGTTCAGATTCGACTCTTTCATTGGCCTCCAAATCTCCAGCGTGGCAGAATGACTTTTGACATCTACATTCGGACCCTAGTCTTTGAAAGCCAACAATGGCAACACTTTACGGACTGAGAAGTTCTGTGCGTGTTCTGAGAGTTATATTCTCAGCTTGTCATAGAAGCGGGTATGCCTAAGCTAAGATATTGCATGAAACCATTCCTTAGTTTGCAGCTGGCCGGCGAAAGGGATATTGTCCCCACTCGGGATTCTCCTTCATCTTTTCTTCAATCTCATCCAATAGTTTATCAAGTGTATGACGGTCCTTGGGTTTCGCGAGATTAATAGCACCCTGGTGCAAAATACGTGGGCGGGCGTTGTTGGAATCGGAGCCATCCCACTCGTATAGCTCGACTGTCAAACCGATGGCAACTGCTCCGTACATCCGTGTCGAGACTGGATTGCTATGTGGAAGACACCGAATAAGTCTTGTCCGGACCTCGCCCCATCCGTCCGACGTGTCCAAGGTCGGGCTCTTGCACAGCACTCTAAAGATGGGCCGCTCGCGGAGCTCGCAAGGCTCGTAAGCCGAGGTTCTACCTTCGATAAACCGGTTCTCGAGGAGCAAGAGCTCTCGCTCGTCATCGCTCGCCAAGTCCATCCTCTCGTCGCTGATTCGACAAGAGATTGGCCCAAACCATCCGTTCAAGAGGAAGTCCCAGAGCCTCCAAACAGGATCCGCAGTGGTGGCAAGGTTGACGTCGAAGCAACACCCCATGAAGGCGGCGTTGGAATTTTTGAATACGACTCCGTTCCGCATGCTAATTGATATGGTACTGATGGGTGTTTGGAGCGGGCAACAAAATCACTGATCACAGTAAATATTGCTAACCTTAGGGTGGCAGCATGTGTGTGGAGCTGCGGAGGTGCGAAAGGTCTAGGAAGGGGATTCTTGAAGCAATTTATAATTAAACCAAGGCCAATTAGAGTTTTAAGCTGCCAAGTCCGTAAACTCTATGGATGACAACCATAGAGTTCTACCTAGCAAGAGCCTGTTCGCAAGGCGTTAGATTTGACTATTGTGTCACTGTGCCAAAAATGTGGCGCCGCTCGAGTGCAACGAGGCCAATCATCAAGTCCCGGACTCTGGTGCTGGTGACCAGCTTCACAGTTCCGGCGGAAAACTCGTGGCTTTTACGACGTTTAGTGTTTCGGCTTTCAATAAACGCACAGAGGTGACGTAGCGGTATGCGGGTTAGTAAATTAAGGGGCTCAGGTTAAGGTTGGACCATCTCTCTGGGCGTATAAGCATTTCCTCTTGCCAAACGTGGTTTATGGAGTTGGGTACCAATGGGTTCTGCCAATTGCCGATATTTTTCTTTGTCCATCTGTGGCTTATATTTGTAGCGCGGTGAGAGAAACCCCTTCACTCCGTTTCCTTCCAGCGTCCATCTGCCACCATCTCCCTCATGACCTTGAGAGTGTTCTCAACTGCCATCCGTGCCATTCTTTTCTCCTGCTCCCGCTTCTGCTGCAAAGCGATATCGTCTCCCTCCAGCTCAGCGTGCATCCACTCGAAGGTGTACGTCATATACAGCTCGCCATCTTGCCCTTCGCTGACAATATTCTGCACCTTGCTGCCGTCGGGCTGGTGAAACTCGACCTTGACGGGCTCGTACTCGATGCACTCCTCACGGACGCGGCGCGCACCCTCTCGAAACACCACCTCCCGTACCGTAAGGGGTAGGCCTGATGGAGTGGTGGATGTCGACAGCACTTTGGTGGTCGTGATAGCAGCCCCGACAAAGTCTTGTCCATGGCGGATCTTGCGCTGAAGCAACGGCCAGATGTGTTCCAGTGTGAGCTTGATAGGGGCCGAGGATGGGTTGATGGGGGCAGTATAGGCGATGTGGTTGGCGGCGACCATCTTGGGAATGATTATAATGAATTATTTGGTGCTAACACTTGAATTGCGCGGTTTTAGGATGAGGGATGCTGGTGAACTTATTATGTCAATAGCATCTCACTGAGCTTGCTCGTCGATTATAGTCATATATAGATAGATAACTAGAGCCACGGGTGAGTCGGAATTATTAATGTCGCCAAGATGTACTATGTGCCTTGGCAGAAGCCACGTCGTGGTTTGTCATACGGACAAGTCTCTCATCTAATCTAAATTCTTCTCGCGCGTCTACAGTGGGTGGCACTAGGTTTGAATCCAACCCAATGTACTGGTACACAAATCCGGCACTAGGCCAAATTAAGCTACAGTTATGCAAAACTTAATATACGTAGCGAAACAAGCTAGTACACTTAGCAGAGCTCATACAAAATACTAAGTGGGTTGCTAAGCGACGACTAGCGTTAGATTTAATACATTGGTTTGGATTCAAACCTAGTGCCACCCACTGTACCGCAGTACTCCACCTTCGGCGCGCGAAGGACGCGAAAGAGCCGACGCTAGTCCGTCGGGCCCGAGTGCCGAATAGAGACAGGGCATGCGCGCGAAATCATATGCCAACGCCTTTTTATCCAAGCCATGCTTACCAATCCCACATTACAACTATCCAGTCATTCGATCCATATGGTCACACAAGGCCCCGCAAAAGGGTGGAAACCGAGAGTATTGGCCAGGAACATCAGACCTGGAATTTCGTAACTTCGTCTCTCACTCGCCCCTCTAGAGCTCAAGCACTTCCAGTTTGAGAGTGTTCGATTGTTTATGGCTTTGAACCTTCTTTAAAATCCTTTGTATGCTTCTTTGAGAATATCGCATGGATAAATATCTTCTAGGAGAAGTCCGGAAGGCCTAGATATAGGTAATTAACTCTTGCCTTATCGACATAGTCTTTCCAAACCTACTTTAGGAGGAGGCCTCTATCTTGAAAAGGGTTAAGACTATAGACCTAGAAGTATATTTTAGGAATGTTAGAATGGTTCGAAAACGGGATTGATATTGCAAGATGGCTTGCTAGATTAGGTTTCTATATGTCCGTACTGATTGCACTTCTTTTGTCCCCTTTCAAGTCACAATCACGAGATTCAGTTCAGTGTACAGGATAGCACACTTCCCCCTGTCGAGAGCTCTACCAATTAGGCAGGAACAAATGCGAGAACTGCTGCTAATAATCCTCAGTGGTAGAGGTCTGAGTGGATCAGAGGAGCCTTGCCGTCCGTGCGTTTCACTTTAAAACAACTTGGTGTTGCTCGAGATATTCTCTCGCCTTGATAGCATCCCGTCTAAGTCAGTGACCGGCCCGGAGGGGCGTGCACGACTGGGAGAGTGGAGCTAGGGTTCGATGTACGGCCTCACCGTCTGTTTCGTGGCTGACATGCAACTGCCTAGTCGTACCGGCAGCCCACTGTGGAGGCATCTTCTGTTAATCTTGTAGACAGGTACCTCCAGACACGTTCCGATGCCATCACGGCAGGGTCGTCCCCAAACCGGGGAACTCTTCCATCAGATGGAAGAGGCTTGGACTAGATGCTATTGGGAGGGAGGTCTTGGAAAGTTGCAGCCGAAGTTGTCGAACGCTGTTTAAGGGCTTTAGAGCACCAAGGGGGTGCGGGATGGTTTGTGTGGCCGCAAAGCCGATCTCAACGTTGGGCATGGGGTTCACCTGTCTCTCAATGCGGTGGATTCTGCCTGCTCACCCAAGACGATCAACATCGCCAGCTAAAAGACTTAGGTACCTAACACAGAACTCCGTTAGAGTCCGCGTGCTTTCCACAAGATACACTACCTAATAATCACTTACAGGCCACCAGCATTGTGATGGGGCTCTTATCTGAGCGTAGCCTGATTACGGGGTTCTCGTTGCATGAACTGTTGGGTGGCTCAGGAGCTTACTTGCGAGCGGACAAGCGATATGCCATACTTACCTCTGCTCTTACTATGTAGTTTCTCGTCTCCAAATGACCAATTACTAATTCCATACAGCTCAGCCACGCATAACTGCGAATCCATATTTCCAAGGGTGATGCCATTGTGCTCCACCACATGCCGTACCAGTCATGTCATTGGGCACATTGCTGCTGACGACCCTTGCTCGGATTTAATCCGAGGGTTGGTGTGCTAGAGCTCGGATCTGGAACGTTGCTCCAACCAATCAGCACGCAACACAATCCGAAAGTGTAGTAATTAGGTAGTAGACCCACGCATGCCACGCAACGATCCATGAGAATCCGAGGCATGTCGTCACTCGTAAAGATTTCTTCGTTCTTGTCCAAGCAATCGGTAATTATAGAAGCATCTGTGTGATTAGTGCCGAAGAAAATTGCATCAAGTGATATGACCTAGGAATATATAAATCAGATTCGAACTTTGTCAAGATGGAACACACCAGCGCCAAATTCCACTTCAGACGATCCGTCTACATCTGCATGACGATTTCTGGCTTGGATTAATCACAGCCCCGTATCTAAATATGAGGCCTCTTCTGATCATTGCTACCATATTAGTTGCTGCCATTCCGTTCGCAGCGACTACCATATGTCCACCTAGACAATGGACTGTGGGACAGACAGTCCACACCACGAGCGGTCCCGTCCACGGGCACGCTGCAACCGTGGCTTCAGAGGTGTCCGAATACCTTGGGATTCCCTATGCCCAGCCTCCCGTAGGGAAGCTCCGGTTCCAGCCCCCAGTTCGGTATAATGGGACAACAAAAATTGATGGCAAGGACTTTGTACGTCGCAGCACTCTATCTCACTTCCTGCTTCATCCGCTGGGGTTTATTTGAGGCTGACAACTCCAAGGGTCCCGCGTGCATTCCTTCTAATATCAGCGCCTACGACGCTGACTTCCCCGAGAAGCTCATAGAGAAATATGGAGTCACTGATGCCGGTCGCCGGCTCCTTTCGTCCATCACGGCTCCTGGCATCAAAGTCAGTGAAGACTGTCTTAGCCTAAACATTTGGACAAAACCCCAAACCGGCGAGTGGAAAAAGGCCGTTCTGGTCTGGATTCATGGAGGATCTTACGTGTCAGGTACGCCGTTAACGTGGCCGTAACCTCGATTCGGACCGTCCATCTAACTGATATATAGGAAGCTCAGGTCTGCCAGCGTATAACGGCCAGTTCTTCGCCGGCCAAGATGATGTGGTTCTTGTCTCGATAAAGTGAGAGATTTATCAAATATATCCCTCTTTCTAAGTTGGCAATCGGATTTGACAGGCATGGCTAACAAGCTCACTCGTCCCAGTTACCGCCTCACCATCTTTGGCTTCCCTGGCAATCCCCTCGGCGCCCAAAACCTTGGCCTTCTTGACCAGCGCCTGGCAGTGGAATGGCTCCGTGACAATATTGCCTCTTTCGGTGGCGATCCTTCGCGTATTACACTTTTCGGGGAATCAGCAGGCGGCGTTTCGATCGACGACTACTCTTACGCATGGCCATCCGACCCTATCGTAAACGGTCTGATCCCAATGTCTGGCACAGCAACCGGGATCGGTGTACGCAACAAGGACCTGGCGAGCGAGTTCTGGTTCAATTCCTCGTCAGTTGTGGGCTGCGGAAATGCAAATACCCCGGCGCAGGAAGTCTACAACTGTATGATGGCCGCGCCTGCTGAGGATATTGTCCGCAGCCTCGTCAACACCATTGACAGCCCAATCAATATGCCTTACTGCCCAACCATCGATGATGAGCTCGTCTTTGACAATCATACTGACCTCCCAACTGCGTCGCTCCCAATGATGATCGGAAACACCGACAATGAAATGGGCTTGTTCAAGATCTTCGTCGACATGCCGGTCCCCGACGAATTCTGGCAGCAGCAGAACCAGATCATGTTCAGCTGTCCTGCCGCATCTCGGGCCGCCGTCTCAGTAAAGAACGGCAATCCGACATGGCGGTACCGCTGGCACGGCGTGTTCCCAAACACAATAATCGCGACGCGCCCGCCCAGCGGCGCCTACCACGAATCGGAGATAGCGCTGTTGTTTGGCAACGCCGACCAGGATGAGATTGCCAACACTGTCGAGGAGAACACCATTGGACGCTACATGCGTGGCGCGTGGGCGGCGTTCGCGAAAGATCCTGTCCACGGACTGCTAGGATACGGCTGGCCGCGCTATGTTGCCAACGAGAGCACCCTCGTCCGCATTGGCTACGAGAATCGCACTGGACCGAACCTCGCCGTGGGAAGTTTTTATGATCGAGGTTGCTAACTGTATCTAAACGATGGGGTTGTAGGCTTGGTACGAGATGAGTGGTTGGCAACTCCATGGAGGGAAATCCGCAGTTGTATGGAAGACTTACTTGTATGGAAACTTGAGAGTTTATTTAAAACAAACTAGCAACTGTCAGCACCTAAACCAACCCTTAATCATTCTCTTTATCCTCTTTGTCTTCCTCCTCATGCTGCTTATAATAACACTTTATGTCGTCCAAGATCTCCTCCTGCAGCTCCTTCAACCGCTTCGCCTGCTTAGGTCAACCACTAGCTTACCATACAAACGATACTCACGCCAATCCCTCTTCCTAACAAACTGATCTCTATTTCCATCTCCCTCTTCCGGCGGGGGGGGGGGGGGGGGGGGGGGGGGGGGGGGGGGGGGGGGGGGGGGGGGGGGGGGGGGGGGGGGGGGGGGGGGGGGGGGGGGGGCG